AGAAATATTTTTATTCTAAAATTGTTTAAACAAATTTTGTTTTTACATAAATCTTACATTTTTGTTGTTCACTACAATAATTTTGACTGTAACCAATTTCTGATAAGCGACCAGAGATAAGTCAGCAAAAATAGCCGTTAATCATTAACGCTCGTAATTGTTTTTACGTGCGATTGTGTTGCCATTTGGACAAATGGCAATTAACGGTTTAAAACACGTTTTTAATTCGGTTAGTCGTGCTTATTGCGCCCATTGCGTCCATTGCGTCCATTGAATGTAATTGTAGGAGTTGAGTAGATTATCGTCTTTTGTGCCCGTTTTTTGCTTTTAATTAACAAGGTTTTTACGATTTTCTAAAAATTCAAAGTGCAAATGATAACGGATTTAATTTGCTATAAACTGAATAAATTTGTTTTGTTTATATTCTGTTGAAAATGTTGTTTATTTAAGTTTAAAGTTGATTGAAAATAATTTGAAATTTTAATTTTTGGTAAAAAACATGTTTTACTAAAATTGTTATAAATCAGAGACTAGTAATAATATTAACATTATTTTAACATCAATAGATAAATAATTAAATTCTCTATATGCATAAACTTTAAAATATCCAAATATCATATTATTAAGTACCTTAAATTAAGTTTAAAGTTAACCATTAATAAATAAATTTATTGTGAAGGTTGGTTAATGTTTATTCAATTTCAAAGCTAAATTAAACGTATTAGTAATTTAATTATTAATAATTTTTAAAAACACAATAATAAAGAATTTATCCCTCTATCCAATGAAGTTAAATTGATAATGATATATTGCATACTTTTTGAGTTACAGAGTGTTTAGTAAAACATGTTTTAACAAAAAATTCAGTCAAAAAATTAAAAATCTAAAAAATGTTTCTAAAAACTCTTTTTCCAAAGAAAACAAACAACAAAACTCTTCAATGCATATTAAACTCTACACAATACGACTTTATTGTACTTAACATTGTGATACTTTGACATTTCGTACCTTTTAATAGTCATAAACTCCTAACTTTTAAGCTACTGCTACTGCTACCTTTGCTTACTTCTCTTTACTCCAAATAAAAGACATTTGTTAACCTTTTGTTACCGTTTTGTGCAGTGATTCTTACCGTTGCTACCGTTCCGCATTGTTGTCATTGTCCGACTGTCATAAATCTCCATTGTGCCACGCTGCCTACATGCCAACATGCCAACAAAACGGAAACAAGCCGAGTGTAGATTCGACAGTTTCGTCAAATGCCGCAAATGCGACAAATTCGAAAGTTATTTTTTATTGCCACTCCAATTCCTTGTCTGTTTTTTGTTTAGGCTCTCATTGCTTTTTTATTACAGTGCTATAATTTGTTGTTAGTCGTTTTGTTTGGTTGATTTTTGTCACGGTAGAATAAAAAGATGAAATACGAAAAAAGAAAAAACAGTAAATTTTGTTTTAGACAAGTTTGGAGTTAATTTAAGTATAGTTGTAATTATTATATTGAAATGATGTAAATTTTGTTTTGTAGGGAATTTTATTGTTAATTTATTGCTTTTTATAGAATAGTAAAATTATTTATAGTTTTTTAGTTATTGTAAATTTTGTAATAAATTTCATTTCTATAACATGTTTGGTATTTTTTAAAGTCAACTTTGCGATTAAAATAAATACACTTCTAATAACACAATTTTTAGGGAGTCAACGTTATTTAATAGATAATTTAATTGTTTATTTGTGTACATTTACAAATTGTAATAATTATTAACTGTTTTTAAATTATAACAAATTTTGCACAAAGTTTACTCAAATATATTACAGTCAAGTTTGAGGTAAATTTAAACATACTTGAAATTACATTTTTAAAACCAAAAAAATGTATTATACAGATAATTTCATTGTATATAACATGGTTTCTATAAAACTTTAAATTTATTAATAGTTTAAAAGTTATTAAAATTTTTATATAAAAAATCATAAATCTAATTTAACTCAAATATATTACCATCAATTTTGAGGTTATTTTAAACACACTTCTAATTACACTATTTTAATAAAACAAACAGTAGTTAATAGACAATTTAACTGTTTATAATCTTGCTTTTACAGAACATAAAAATTATTTATAATTTAAAAGTTATTAAAATTTTTATACAAAATATCATAAATAACCTCTATTCAATAATTTTCAAACCAAAAATTCCTAAAAAATTCAAATTTTACTAACAGTAATAAAGTCATGCTTCACGATGCCGCCCAAATTCAAACCCACCTCAATTATCCATAATTACCCAAATTAAACAACCAATTCAAGAATCCAAATTTCTCAAAAAATCCAAAATTACCCAAAACTACTCTAAATAATTGCGGCGATTGTTCCGAAGTGAGAATATCTTAGATTAACGCCGCAGATTAATGCACACAAAAACACAAAATCAACACGAGATTGTATGAAACGCGTTCACGAATGAATTATTCAGTGTGAAACACTTGCCTGCGCGTGGTCGCAGCGCGGTTCAATTACAACGTAATCATGTAATCCAGATAATTATCATATTCTTCTCATTCATCATTCCACGTTCGGCGCGTTTTGTTTGTGTGGGAGTTTCCACAATCAACGCTAATTAGAAAGTCAATGAGTGTTCAGCTCAAGCAAACAAGCCAAGAAACACGTTGAAGTAACAAGACATTTGATATTATAATCATTAAAGTTGAAAAAATAATAAAAATGTTACAAATATTGACGTGGAATGAAATTAATTCAAAATAAATGAAATAAAATCAAATGTTTTAGTTAGAAGAGTAGATTTATTCATGTTTGGTGTGTATTTGGTGTGATATTGTAGTTTTACAAGATAAAACTTGTGTTTATCAATGTTTTGAGAGTTTTTTTGTTGTTTTGATGAATTTCTTGTTATAAATATAAAGATTCTGCATTGCAGCGCCATCAGGTGACTATTTTTACATACTATTGGCGTATTTCACTTCTAGTATCGTACTACTATAGCCCTCTATGCGCTTATTAAAGAACTACTTTCATTTTAATGTAAAATGAAAGAATTTCAAGGTTTTACACAATAAAACAGCTGTAAAACATATTATAAACATAAAATAAATGAGTTATTATTGTTGTTATAATGTTTACAGCCCTATAAAGGTATAAAACAAGTAATTTTCTTTTAAATTCATTAAAACAGTTAAATATGAGTGTAATATTAACTCTTAACGTTTACAAAAAACAAATATTGTATGTTTATATCTTTTACAACATTTTATCAATGTTTTGTTAGTTTTTTTAGTTGTTTTGATATATTTCTTATCTTATAATACTTTATTCTGCATTGCAGCGTCACCTGTTGCATACTTCTCTACACTATTGACTAATTTAACTTCTACCACAATACTACTATAGCCCTCTATGTGTTATAAGTAAAACTAATTCAAAAGAAATTAAAATTTAAATAATTTCAAGGTTTTCCACTCAAATACACCTCTAAAACCTAATCTAAACATAAATATAATTAGTCACTAATGTTATTCTTCTATTTATAACCCAATAACACTGCACAAACAAGTTTATTTCCTTTTTTACTGCATTCAATGGAAGTTTCCTTTACATTCCAATATAAAACGTCGATTACCATCACAACACTAATTCCAACCTCAAACAAACATATTTTTTATAATGTAGACGACTTGTATGACTTATATCACTTAATAAGCGGTGTTTTGCGTTCGTTTAAGTGTGTATTACACAAAAGTACAGGTTGCGTAAGTAGTTAATTGATGGACATGATGATCATAATGGTTTTCAGCACGGCTGCACAAATATACTAAATATTGTTTGATTGTTTCGTAACAATAGTTAATAACACGTCTATTGTTTGCTAAAATGACACGAATATTGCTCAATTGTTCGCAAACCGCCGGAATATAGTCGGAAAACGTGTAATTAGCTTTTATTATATTTTTGACAATTGTCTGGATAATTTATTGTTATTTTTTATTGGATATATGTTGATATTTCTGAAGAAATTATGAATAAATAAATAAATTGGAGACATAAACATGTTTGGTTAGTTTTTTTTTTCTTTGTGTGGAACACGTTTTGTTTTTTGTTAATTACTGCTAAATGCAGTGAGTGATTTTGATGATTTTTTATTTAGCAGATAGGTGATTAGTGTATCTTTCGAATAGTGGTTAATTGGAATCATTATTTATAAGATAAGTATGTTTAAATTGATGTTAAAATCAACAAAGTATTTGTAAACTGATTTTAGAGTTACAATTTAATTGGCTTACTTTAAGACCAATTATCTTAGTTTCTAATCAAAATATCTTAAAAATTCTTTTACAAATTTATAGCTACATTCAACAGCTATCAATTGATATATAAATTATTGTTATTGAGTGAAAATTGAAGAAGTTTCAAGCAATTAAACAAAGTAGTGTTAATAAAGTTAACATTTATTAATGTCTTACTTTTATTTATAACTTTGCGTCACAATAACTCCGGTTATAATTAATATTTTTCAAAATTTAAATTTGCAGAGATAGATTAACTAATTCACTATAATTATACCAAATTTAATAACAATCTGTTAAGAAATACAAAAGTTACAAGTAATTTAGTAAACCATTACACTTTTCATTTTTCTAATTTAATAACCAACTTTAACTCTAATTATCCCTGCTCCTAATTAAAATATTTAAAAATTTCTTTCATCAAGTTATAAATAAACTCAAAAACAAAACCTACACCAAATTTCATATCAATACAACAAAAACTACCCGAGATACAAGCAAATTATTAACTAAAATCATAAACATATCCACTACTCAAATTTCTATTTCTGTTTCGATTACTCCTGATGAATATTCACAGCGAATTCAAGTAGTTTCACTTGCAGATTATGCTTATATTCATACATGATATATATGTCAGTGTGTTAATAGTGTGTGTTAGTTTCGTACACGTCTCGTGTTACCTTGCGTCGTCATCCAACATTCAACATTCAACAAATTACTTTCGTCAGCGATTCAGTTCTGCTTCGCGTTCACGTGCGACTGCTTCGATTACACAATCAACAACAGCGAACAACATCACAATGACCAACACATGACATAAAGCACTTGTTTACGTGTGATAAACGTGGAATAATCGGCGAAAAACGAGTGAAAAGTGCGCAGAAATGTGAAAAACGATAAAAACGCACAAGTTCAAAGTGAAATAACGGTGAAATCATAGTTTAAAGCGACTTATAAACCAGTTAACGTGTTTTAATGATGAAGGTATTGAGTCTATTACGAAACGACATTGAATTAGGTTTTTTTAATGCGTGATTTTGTTGTTATAACCTTTGAAATCACATTAATAAGTGGAATTTAAAAATTGGGAAGTTTTGGTTTGGATAGTCAAGTTTAATCTTAAATAAAAGAAAAACTAATTGATATATTTCAATTCTTTAAACGTCGCGTAATAAAGTAACTATTTATTTGTGTTTTCTAAAAAGTTGGTTAAATTATACAGGGTGGTTCAAAAGTTATAGGCAAAAAACTAAAATAGAACGTTTTTGGTATTTTAAGTGTTTATAATAAATTTTAAGAATTAATTACGGACAAACTATCCATAATATTACTATTGTTTAAACTATACGTGATAAAACAACTATTTATTTATATACTCTCAAAATTTGGTCAGATTATACAAGGTGGTTTAAAAGATACAGACAAAAAACTAAAATAAAATATTTTAATGTAAAAATGATATTTAAATGTTTTATTATAAATTTTGAGAAATAATTACAGAAAAACGAATAATAATATTACGTATTTTTTAAACATCACGTGATAAAACCACAATTTATTTATATTCTCTCAAAATTTTGTTAAATTATACAGGGTGGTTTAAAAGTTATAGCCAAAAAACTAAAATCAGTCATTTATTGTGTTTAAAATTATTATTTTAAACTTCAAGAATTAATTACAGAAAAACTAATAATAATATTACCATTGTTTAAACTGATAATGATAAAGTAACTAATCAAGAACACATATTAATTTTTTCAAGACAATATACAGTGTGGTTTTGCCGTAATTGAAGTTTTTATTAAAAAAGCAATTGATATGACAGTGAATTAACCTAAAAGTAACCAAAATGTCGTTAACTTTGATAATAACACTGATAATCCTCGGATTCATCGTCAGTTCGGCAGTTTTCTTCATGTTGTACTTGATTTTCACAAAAATCTACTTAAAATTCCGCATTGTTGGCACTTGCCCTGCTAATTTATGTTTAGTTGGAAGAACTGTCATCGTTACAGGTGCAAATAAAGGTATGCAATACACAAAACAAAATGGCGGCTATTTATATACATTTTTAATTTATTATATTATTGTCTTGATGATTATTATTAGGTATGGGTTATTGGGTCGCAATGGACTTTGCAAAACGCGGCGCAAAAGTAATCCTCGCCTGTCGAAACAAAACAAAAGGCAAAGAAGCCGTGGAGAAGATCCAGAGTGAGACGGAGAATAAGAATGTTGTGTTCCAATCGTTGAATCTGGCGTCGTTTAAGTCCATTCGGGCGTTTGTGCAGGAAGTTAAGAAAAACGAAAGAAGATTGGATGTTTTGGTGAATAATGCGGGGGTGGTGAGGCCGAATGCTGTCACTGAAGATGGGTTCCATCCGACGCTACAAGTGAATGCCCTTGGACCGTTTTTATTAACTATTTTATTGATTGGTGAGTAATTATAAGAGATAATAAGAAATTAAGATTTTTTGTTGAGAAATTTATAAGGTGAAGTTTAATGTTGAATATCTTGGGTTGTAATAGAGATAATTAAAAAATTCTTTCGTCAATGTTTAGGTAATTTTATAAACTATTAATGTGTATAATTTTATCTTATTTTGATAAGAATTATGGCAGTTATTGGTGATTTACTAAAGCATTGCATTAATGTTACAATGTTTGGTTTTGATATTTTTACTTATTTCAAAGTCGAATATCTCAAAGACTAAATAATATTTTTAAATGATTCTTTCACTATCAGATAGCTGTTTTAATATTTTATCCCATTGCCAAATTTTGTAATAATCTAATAATAATTACTCAAGTCACAAGCGATTTACTAAAGTATTGCGTTTAAATATTATTCGATGATAGTTACTTATTTAAGTGCTATTTTAGATACGATTATCTCAGAGTCTAATTAATATTTTTGAAAAATTCTTTCACCACCTATTAGATAAACTCGATATCTATATTTCCACCGAATTTTATAATAATCACGTAGAATTTACCCGAGTTACAATTCCACAAAAAAAAATTTGCATTTTTTTCAAAAATAATTTATTTTAACTTTTATGCTTTACACTAAATATTTTTTATTTCTAGACTTATTAAAATCAACAAAACACAGTCGAATAGTCAATGTAACCACAAAAGAAGGCTCCGAACACTTCGATATCCTCGAAGATTTAGTCGACAAGTCAGATTCCTGGTTCGCTTACGTCAGAAACTACGAAAACAGCAAGAAATGCCTCGGACTACTAATGACATCTCTATCCGACAAACTACAACGTCACGAAGTGACAGTTCAATTCGCCGTGCCGCGGCCATGTCGAACAGACCTTCAAATCTACGAAAATCTCCCAGAATTCCTCAAATTCTTCAAACGACACATATTTATCACATTTTTATGTCTTGTAAGTAAAATAAACATAAATATTTATTATAATGATTAAATTTGTTTATAGGAAGCTAATGAGAGTGCAGTCAACACAGTTTTCACCGCGTTAGATCATCAAGTAGGCAACTTCATGTGCAAATACTACCGGGATTGCGAACAATGGGATCCTGGCCATCAAGACACCGAAGTTGATACTTATCTACGTAAAAAAATATGGTGGAAATGTGTAGAGTATGTGCAATTGAAGCCTAATGAATTTTCTGGTCTGTCATAGCAACAAAAACCGAAAGTAAACTTTAAAAATCATATTAAAATATTGAAACGTAAATATATCCATAGAAAACGTTTGAAAGTGTGTGTAAACTGTGGTAAAACACGTAAAAACCGAAGGAAACTCAAGAGGATTATTAGGTTTATTGTTTTTAACGTGTTTGACATCACAAACATCAAAAAACATAAATATTAATGTAAATTAACACTAATATAGTGTAATGTGTGTTGCCTACATCAAAGTAACACTTTACTAGAGGAAACAGATTCAACTTCACTACTTTTACTACAACGTTCAATATTTCACCAACAGATGGCTAAACTAAACTAAACATACCCAACTAAAAACTAGATCCCTACCCCACCTCTAAACCACACTCACTGATGTCACTACTACTCCACCACAATACACAAAACTTCACAATGCAACCCTCAGATGGCGTGCACAGTTTGAATTATGATGATATCTCTATTGATTTGTGATAGTGCACAGAATAAACTCTTCCGTGAGTGATCCTGCGAGTGCGCGAAAGGTAAACGCACTCACAACTCGCCAGTGACCAACAGCTGATCGGGAAGGTCGCTTCGCGTCTAATCGCATCGTTCCGATAGGCAGCAGGTACACGCACAGTACACTCGCGACCGCCGCGCTGCGATCACCCCAACGAGGAATAAAAAAAAGGAAGAAGAAAGAGGGAAACGCCGAAACGTGGATTTATCACTGAAATAAGGGTGGAAATTGCATCTGGAGTGAATATTATCGTAAAACAAGTGAAAAGACATCGTGTTTAAGTGATTAAAACATTTGAAGACTAAGAATAACGCCTGGAGAATAAAAAATAAAAAATAAAAAATTAAATTGATATTAAAATCATTCTAAACTGAAATTAAAGTTGTGTCTACACTGGGGTAAGTTATAGTTATGTTATTGTTAGTTTGTTGTTTGTTTATTGTTAGTAATGTTAGTATTTGGTGTATTGTCCTTCGACTAGTCCGCAGGCTATCATGTTGTTTGATTGTACGGCGAGTTGGACTTTGAGTTTCCAGTAGGAGTCGCCCAGTGGGAACCAGTTGAAGCCGGACATGTCCAGGGTGCAATTTCTACCCCTATAAATACCCTAAAATGGGAAATATTTATTTTTAGCGTTATATCATCGTAAATTTTCATTTTAATCTTGGTGCGAAAATAATTTTGTTGTTTTTAAGGGTGAAAAGTTGATATTTTATGCACTAGTGTATAAAATTATAGTTTTTTGCATTAGGGTTTAAAAATATAAAGAAATATAGTATGAAAGTAGTGAAAAATGTAAATATTTACATGGTTTACTTATTTTTTTGATGTAAAAATGCAAAATTAATTGGTTTTATGTTATTCTGGTGCGGAAAGCTAGTATTTTATGGACTAGTGTTTAAAAAATAGCTTTTTAGGTATTTGGGAATAGAAATATTAGTTATTAATTAAATAAAAATTAATGAATGTGTGATTATGGTTAATTGTTGTTATTTTTGCGAGAAAATACATTTTTTGTTGTCTTTAAAAGCTGGAAAGTTGATATTTTATGCACTAGTGAGTAAAAATTCACTTTTTAGGTTTCTGTGTATAGAAATATTAGTGATTCATTAAGTAATATTGAATTAATGTGCGATTATAGTAAATTTCTTTCATATTTTAGAAGAAACGTATGTTTTTGTTGATTTTACGTGTCTAAAGTGCGTATTTTACACACAAGTGTTAAAAATACTTTGATACGGTGTTGATATGATGTTGATTTCTTGATTATTAATATTTTTCTAACCTCAAATGAGTTTAAAACACGTAAAACATTGAAAATCATGAAAAAGCGTGTGTAAAACTATGTTTTTACGCATTTAATATGCGTATTATACATATTTTACTTACTTTAGCCATGGGGCATCCAAATTTAGGCCGTGCGCATGTTATCATCGGACTCCAAAACTCCTTAGTTGATACCAACAGATTACAAAGCCGACTTGTTTTAAAATTAGCGAATTTTATGCAACTATCCGGGTTTTCCTTGCCTTTGCATCTTTGTATATCAACAAATAACTAAAACATACAAACATTAATAGATATAAATATAGGTTACTAGCTTTTGCGCACGACTTCGTCCCGGTAGTGTTTAATAAAAATGCAATTCGTTTTTTACTCTCTTGTTCTAGACATAGTATGTGTCAATTCTATCAATAAGATTCGCAATTTTATTTTAAAGAAATTAATTATATAAAGAATAGCTAATAGTGCACATCAGCGCGCCATCTTGGATTCAACTATTTAACTATAACTATGACAGAATCTCAATGCCAACTTTTATTCTATAGAAAAGGGCTGTTTTTAGGGTTTTCCCAGCAATTATTTGAATTTTTCTCGCTGTAAAAACCATCCTTGGACTTTAACAAGCATTAAAAAAAATAATTGGTCAAATTAGTCTAAGCGTTGTTGAGTTATGCGCTTACCAAAAGATTATGTGATTTATTTTTATTTATTACTAGCTTTAACCCTTGGCTTCGCTCGCGAATATCAAAAATAATGAAGTTGCTTCTGTACGCGTCTGTAATCACAGAAGAAGTAACAATGAGGTAGAATGGCGGGAAGTTTGAAATGGCTGAAAGCATAGTCTATGGAAGTACAGTGTACAGTCTCCATAGTGTAGTCAATTGGATTTGATGTTGACGTAGCTGTCGGTAATACAGTGTGATAATACAGTGTGATGGTACTATAGTACTTAGGTTGGAGCTTCATTGCTGGAATGCTAGATGGCGTTAAAGTAGTCAATTAGCCAGATGCAGAGGTATTATTGGCTAAACTATTTCCTTATTTTATTTAAAAAATAATTTTTTTTATTAAATAAAAAGTAGCCTATAACCATTTGGGGACCACTAAGAATATGTGTACAAATGTTCATGATGATCGGTTAAGTAGTTTTTGCGTGAAAGTGTAACAAACCTCCTCAGGACTTTCGCATTTATAATATTAGTAGGGATTGCTAATAATGCACTTCAGCGCGCCATCTCGGTTTGAACTATGTATTTAACTATAACTATGATTGAATCTCAATGCCAACTTTTATCCTATAGAAAAATGCTGTTTTTAGGTTTTTCCTGGTGATTATTCAAATTTTTCTCGCTGTAAAAACCATCCATAGACTTTAACAAACATTAAAAAAAAGAATAGGCCAAATTTTCATTTTTATATTATAGATATGAATATAGGTTATATGATAGGCAACCAAATAAACACATAATATAGGTAGTATTAACTTACACTGAATGGTGGTTTAATATAAACATTATTAATAACGTCGTAATTAAACGTGAGTAATCCTGCACTGCTGTAAACAGTGATATTATCATAATACAACGGGTATTTATGCTGTTTTGTCTCCGGGCAGTTCAAGAGGAACTTATCCATGCGTATTTTACCGTTGAATATCTCAAAGATGGCTTCCCGACCCCAAGCAGCACTAAAAATGTAAATTATGCATAATATTACGATTATGAAAGTTTTGCATCTTGTGTTATTATTTATTAGGGACATTGTGAGTGTTGTCTATGACTATGTCTATGACATATTTTCTGAGTATTCGTAATAAAACTGAGTAGAATTATTTTATTATTATGTGAATATAAAATTCTAATCGGTTCAGATTGCATTTTAATTGAGTCGGGTGGGAGATTATCGTTGATGTTAAAATATGTGTAATTTATAAATAATTTGGTTGATAAATAAGCCGGAAGTTGTTGATTTTGGTTTTATTGTTTTATTTTAATATTTGGATTTGGTTTAAATTTGGGATTTTATTAGGAGTGTTGAGTTTGTGTGCATGTAACTTTTTTGTTTGTAGGAGTGGGATGATGGTTGATATGGCAAATGATAGTGAATTTAATATGGTTTAATTTGGAGTCATATTGATTTTTGTGGTAATTTTAGTTTTTCAGTTATTTAAATAAAAGTAAAACTTTTCATTTTGTGATAATTGAATTTTTTTATTAACTTTAGATGCTTATAAATATGAAAGTAATTAACGCACTAATTTGATTTCTTTATTAGTTGATAGAATGATTATTTATTTATCTATTCTAAAAATTTTATCAAACTATACTGAGTGGTTAAAGAATTATCATAAAATTACTAAGAAAAACATCATTTTTGCTTTCTAAGTTTTTTTTTAAACCGCAAACATCAACTTTAAAATTTAATTACACAAAAACTATCAATAATATCATAATTTTAAAACTTGATATTAATAAACCGACATTTCGAGAACCTATATACATTTTTTTAAGTAAATATACCAATTGGTTAAATTTTTATAACAAAATTACTAAAAAAAATATTTTTAATTTTAAAATTTTTTGAAATTACAAACATCAACTTTAATATTTAATTACACAAAAACTATCAACACTATCATAATTTTTAAACTTGATATTGATAAACCAACAATTCAAGAACACATCTAATTTTTTCCCAAATTAATATACCATGTGGTTTAATTGTTATCACAAAATTACTAAACAAAACCAAAATTCCTCTCAAACCCTTTTTAAAAATGTAATACATGTACGATTACATAAAAACTAAGGTAGTATTCTTATACTATCGAAAGTTATTGATTATCAGGTGCGTTTTTGTCGTTTGTGGTTGCTAGTATCGTGAAACGTGACAAGCGGCCGAAAAATCGAACGCAATCGGACACGAAACGCGCGTTAAAGCAATGTTTTCGGCCTTGGCGCGTTAATCAAATGAGCAAACACGGACGAGCGCAGAATGTCTCAAAGAAGCGCTACGAGTAGGTATTCTTATTTCATTAAATGTCAACACGTAATATCTTCCACGTAAAAACCAGAAGTAGAAAGAAATAATTTGCATTGTTTACACATTTAGTCATATTTAAAATAAATTGAATTTTAAACTTAAATATCTTAGGTAATAAATAATATTTCTGAAAAATTCTTTAATAAATATTTAGAAACATTAAGTAGTTAGGATGGTGCAAAATTTAGTAATGATCCAATCAAAAATGGCGGAGTTATAAGTAATTTAGTAAAATTTGTAATTTTGACTTCATTTATACTCAAAGTGAACTTTAAACACAAATAGTTCACATGTAGCATTGAATATTATTAAATATTATTATTATTTCCTTTAGTTCAACTCATTGACTATGTTTTATTGAAATTTTCATAAAAATTCATCAAAAAACAAAAAAGTTACAAGCAATTTCCTTTTTTTTTATAGTTCACAATTTGTGTTCCAAAGAAAACTCAATTTTAATCTTTAATATCTCACATAATAATCAATATTTTCCAAAAATTCTTAAAGAAAAACATAGACACACTTATTAACTATCATTATTTAAAACTTCATAATAATATAAATAAAACTACGAAAGTTATAAATATTTTACCAAAAAACAACAAAAACCAAAAAATGTAGTGATTTTCTCATAAAATGCATTTTTGATCGACGTTATAAAATCCCCAGACGTCACAAAACTCACAAATATCTACACTTTCAGAATATTCCAGCTTTCCAACCCTCGTGACTCTTCTTCACCCTCCGGAAGCAAACGAAAGTCAAGTCTCCACTTGACGAAACCCTTCGTAATTCCTCTATTTGCCAACCAATGCAAAAATCCATCCAGAAAAAAACTTAGAAGTCAAGAAATGCAAAAAAAAAGCAAAAAAGGAAAAGAAAAAGAATAAATCAACTGTATGTTAGTATAAGTGTGTGATAAGAGTAGGGGGTGGTGCAATGACCTGCTACTGTTACTGTTCACTATTCGTGTTTCAGTACTTATTTTCCTGTTACTGAAACACGCAGCATTATAGGTATATGTATGTGTATGTGTGTTGGGCATTGTTCGTATTGTTTGCACAGTTAATACACGTCGGTTGGGCTTTACTCGATGGTAATGTGATTATAATTTGTCGGTGTGGGTGGCGGCATTAGTTGGGCGCACGCCGTGGAAAACCGGAAGCGGAAAGCGCGCGGACTTGGTTGTTGAGCCCGGCGTAAAGCTCTACAAGTGTAATTTATCATCAGAATAAAAAGTTGCAAGCTATGAGTATGAGTAAAAACTAGAGTGAATTAAAGGTCTAAATGACTTTATTACGTGCTTTTTTTTTGGTTGCGGATTTGATTTTGTTTGGTTTTTTGGCTGTAACTTTTGTATTCGTTGTTTAATTTTTATTAAATTTGGGGGAAATATAGTTATTTAGTGTAGCTTTATTATGGAGAAATAATTTTTAGGAAATGTTAATTAGATGTTGAGATATTTAAGCTTAAAATCAAAATTTAATTATTGGAATTTTGTTAGGGATATTTTTTATTTAATTGTTTATAATTTGTTTATTAATTAACAAATTAATACCAAATTTGGTAGAATTATTGTGTTTGAGTGTATGTATAAACTGACGAAAGAAGATATCAAAAATTTTAATTAGAATCCAATTTATTTTAACTAACATTTTAATGGGATTATTGTTGTAAATTTGCTTGTAACTCAGTTAATAACAATCAGTTTCTTTTCAAATTATGTCCTAAGGTAGTTGATTAGTGTATGTTTAAATAGGTATAATAATATTTAGGAAAAATCAATTAATACAAGAGATAATTAGGTTTGAATCACAAATTACAAAAAATCGAACATTTTAATGTGTTTTTTGTAATAAATTTGTTTATAACTCAACTAATACTCATCAGATTATCAACAAATTTTCTACAATGATAACTATTGACTATATCTATACTTTAACAAAAGAATTTGTCTAAAATTTCAATTATAACAAAAGATATAACGCGTTAAAGTTTATTTCCTAAAACTATGCAACCAAATTAACTTACTACACTTAATAATCTACGAGTACTATAACTCAATTTATCTCTTCTTCATTTTACGACTTCTATTCATTATTTGATGTCGTCATGCGGTCATGAACACATCGTGAACCAGCTGAATATGATATGAATTCCGGTGGCATTTGTTCGCGTGCCCGTGAACAGGCGATGTTCGCGCCCCAATTAGCACCGACAATTAGGAGGAAGCGCGTGGGCGTGCACATCGCACAAGTGCGCAATTATTTGATACTACGCACACTACGCGTATACCACGCATGGACACAATCATCGCAGTCGGTCTAAAAATAAACAAATATCGCATTGCGAATTGCACTAATGGAATTAATATGCGTTAATGGCAAATATAATCAAGGTTGCGTCACCAGATTCGACTACTATGGAAGCAGAGACGTATCTAGATATTAAAATAGTAATTTTGTGGGGCTTTTTAGCGTGTAAAAGGAGTTGCCTAAGTTGTCTATTGGAAATTAATCAGAAAATATTGTTTTTTGAATTTTGAAGTTAAATTTGTTATTGTTTTAATGAATTGTTTATAAAAATTATTATCGAATTTCAGTTAGCAGGTAATTATCTATGATTGTTGTAAATTTTGTTAAAATCCAATTAAAAATGGCGGAGATATAAACATTTTACTAAAAATTCGATTTTTTACTTTATTTTTAAACTAAAAGTGAACTTTAAATGCAAATATTTCATGTTTTGCATTGAATATTATAAAATATTATTATTATTTCCTCTAGTTCAATTCATTGACTATGTTTATTGAAATTTTCATAAAAATCGGTCAAAAACCCAAGGAGTAATAAGCAATTTCCATTTTTGCATTGTTCACAAGTTTTTTCAATGAAAACTGAATTTTAAACTTAAATATCTCAGATAATAATCAATATTTTCGCAAAATTCTTTTATATATATTTAGATACATTAAGTACGTATTATTGTGCAAAATTTAGTTATGATCCAATTAAAAATGGCGGAGTTACAAGCATTTTACTAAAAAATTACGATTTTTTCTGCATTTTTAAACAAAAAATAAACTTTAAACATAAATATATTACATTTATCAACAATTATTATTAAAACCAATTACTCTATACCATACTCCAACAAAATACCTACATTTACTGAAATTTTCAAAAAAATCCATCAATAAACAACAAAGTTACACGCATTTTAAAAAAGCATTCACATTCAAACATTTTAAATCCGCCCCTGGAGTAATTCGAACATAATCATTATCACGATTACATCACCCGCTCATTATTACATTTAATACATTTCAAGACCGTTTCTATCGATCCCATCACGCTTGTGTCCATCTAACAACAACACAATTAATTTTTAAGGTTACACGCATAACATGGAAGCCAAAACCGAAGTGGTCAGCGCCGACGCACTCGTCGAATCACTGCCGGTAGGTGGCGTGTCAATACGTGACTCACCACCTACAACCACCACGCCACCAGCGTCCACAGCCGAAATAACCTCTGTGGCGACATCTGTACGTCAATCACAGTCACAGGCGCATGCGCAGGCGCAATCACCAAGCAGTGTTCTCTTCGAGGCGTCCACACAAACGCCCACTGATGAGCAATGCGATTCGCCGTTGTTCACCCAGAAAGGGTATGTTTTGAAGACGAACAATCATAGCACCACTGCCCTTGTGAATATTCACAAGATGAGACAGAATGAACAGGTATGATTTGAGTGGGGGAGGGGATGAGTGGAGGTTAGGTTTAGATATTTATATATTTATATATTTATATATGATTGTTTTTAGAGGTTTAGGGATGATGTGATTAATAGTTTTGTTTGTTTTTGTTTCTTGTGTTTCTAGTTGTGTGATATAACGTTAACGATAGGTTTAGAACAGTTCAAGGCTCACAAAGTGGTCTTAGCGTCGATAAGTCCGTATTTTTTCGCCATGTTTAATGGTAAGTATTATAGAATTTAGATTTAACCTCATTTTTAGTTTAGTTTTTCTTAAAATTTACAAAAAATTTTAAAGTTTTGAAGTTTTAAAATTTTTTAAAATATTTTTATCAGTTTCAAGCATGTTATGATAAAATTATGATAAAAAGTTTAATATAATCTTAAAGATAATTTAATTCTCTTTAATTTGATGTATTTGTTGTTCAATTTGAGTTAGTATTTAAAAAGTTATTAATAAAATAAAAAGTCTTGTCAAAATTCATAAATTTTTTAGATATTTTTTTCTAAACTTTAAATAATTATAAGTTATAAATATTTTTATTGATATTGTTATATATCGTTTTAAAGATAATTTAATTGGCTTTCATTTGATTTATAATTTATTGAAATTTAATTATTAGTTTAGAAGTAAGACTTGAAAAACTAAATATTTTCAATTTTTGATTTTTAGTTTTTCTAATTACTATTGATTCATAGAAGTTTGAAACGTTTTATCACGTAAAATATTAAATTTAGTAACAATATTTATAGATATTCTGAAAGATAATTTAATTCTCTTTAATTTCATGTATTAATTACCAATTTTGAATTATTTGTTTAAAAATTACAAACAAAACAAACAATTTTGTCAAAATTATACAAATTAAGTAACATTTATATAAAACACCAAAAAAACTAATGTTACTAAAATTCTTAATTACTAAAACATCTGATATATAATTTATCAAAAACAAAAATGCTGTTTTTGAATTATAACCAAATTAATACATAATTACCACATCAAAAACAAAACATTAAATTATCCTCAACTTCAACATAAATTTTCGCCACTTTATAAACAATTTATATAACAATATCATACACCAATGGAAAGAGAATTTAAATATATTTAATTCAACATACCCCCCAACAATATCCAACACCAACTATCCCCATAACCTCAAAAAAACTAAAAACTAACCAAGTTCATATCCCTAGGCGACATGCGTGAACATACCTCTGGCGAAGTAATCCTCCACGACATGGACCCCATGGCCATCGACCTCCTCGTCGAGTACGCCTACACCGGTGAAATCATCATCACCCCCGACAACGTCCAGGTCCTCCTACCCGCCAGCAGTCTGCTTCAAATCTCCACCGTGCGCGAAGCATGCTGCAAGTTCCTCATGCTGCAACTCCACCCGACCAACTGCCTTGGCATACGCAGCTTCGCCGACACGCATTCATGCAAAGAACTGCACACGAAGTCGCATTGCTTCGCGCTGCAAAACTTCCAACAAGTCGTGAGCACCGAGGAGTTTCTCTTGCTGCCATTCGCTGAAGTCGAGGAGTTAATATCGAACAGTCAGTTGAATATATCGTCGGAGGAGGATGTGTTTCAAGCTGTGCTGAATTGGGTTAAGCATGATTTGACAAGTAGGAGTCAGTATGTTTCAAGGGTAAGTAAAAAATGCAAAATTTGGAGGTTTATTTGAGTTGATGTGTGAAAGAAGGTTAAATTCAGTATGATTGGTTGCATATGTTACATTTTTATAGTGATTTATCTATATTACAGTTTCCTGTAATATTCATACATTTAAAACTGATGCATTTTGAGGTTAATTTATGTTTTATTCTTTTTTTATTTGGTTTTTCGCAGTTAATGGTGCATGTGAGGTTACCTTTGGTGAATCGTGAGTTTTTGATGACGCGAGTGGATAATGAACGATTGGTTAGAGAGGATAGTCAATGTCGAGAGTTGTTGCTGGAGGCTATGCGTTATCATCTCGCTCCGGAGAGGAGATGTGCGTTATCTACGCCACGGACCATGGAGAGGAAGCCGAAGGGCGCGGAGCCGTATCTATTTGCAGTTGGTGAGTACATTTATATTGAATTATTAGTATTATTTTGTGCTATTGGTTGAATTAGCGATGTCAAATGTCAAATGATGTGGTACATAATATTCCCGATAGGTGCAAAATGTCAAAATTATATTAGCTGTCATTAACTGTCACAGCTGTCACAAAATCCGCTGTCATTCTATAACATAACCTGTTTACAGGTGTATTCTTTGATATTTTACTTACTTGAATACGAATTTAGTTAAATTTTGTGTGATTATCCTTTAAAAAATTATATACACGATGATAATTAATCCAAAAATTGATGCAGTGGCACTAGTTAGTATTAAGCACACACATGGCATAATTACTTAAACGTTTATTCTTATTAACTTCAATTTTAAAACTAAAACTAGAAACTAAAAAAGTATTAGTCCTTTTGTTTGACACGGCTTGGTTGACATTAAACTAAGACTGCAAGTGCCACGTCAATCGAATCGAATCGATGCACACGCAATTCAAGTACGAGTACAAGTAGGTACATATCATCAAGTGCAGTGTAATTGATTTAAAATGCACGTTGTACTCGTAATGCAAAGGTTAATTAAATTAAATTACCCTTTCTTCCACTTTTTCCAATATCTTACAATTCAATCAATCTAAAAATCCTTTTTCTTTAATTTTCTATTTTTTGATAAAATTTGAATTTTTTTTTGTAAAAGCATTAACATCATATTTAATAAACATTATTATTAGTTTTACATGAATTTCGATTATTTATTCATCTTTAATTAACAAAAATTCAACAATTTTTGTATATTTTTCTGATTTTTTAAATTTTATCTTCCAGATTTAACAAGTTAATAATCATGAATGAATATAATTTATTAATGAATAGATTAAAGATCAAGGATACCACGATTTGTATTTTTGGCATTGAAACTTTGTCTGTTTTTCCTGCTTTTATGAACCTACTTTCTGTTGAGAACTATTCGTCCACAAACAGCTTGTGTCCGTGTCCGTGTTTGCGTTGGCGTTTGTGTTTGCAATGTGCTTTTTCTGTGTCAAGGACAAAGTCGTAACATTTACCCTAGCAATCCACGTTTCTACATCCCTACATCCCTACCCTAAACTAAAACCCTCTCCTACATCTTTTATCCTTATTCTCCCTCACATTTCCACCCATTCTTTCCTATTCCTTTTAAATAAATTATATATGTTTATTATATACCTGTTTTTCTTCTTTTTTATGGCAAAAATAACTTTTACATTACGAGTATTTCAAAGTCGCATAAATAATATAAATATGTTTTCCATACTATTATACTCGTACATAAGTACTGTGATTGGAAATATTTATAAAGCAGAAAGTAGAATGGCAGAGGAAAATAAACGCGTGGTCGTAATATTTTATGACCTTTGACCTCATTTCGGTTTTATGTGTGGTATTTCCTATTTTCTCTGTTAGCTAACACAACTTAGAGAGAATCAAGAGAGAAACGAGAGGAAATACAAGAGTAAACTTTTATTTTACGTTCGGGAATTACTCATATCCCAGAGTAGTGAATATTCAAGGATAATGTTGATTAAACGACTTTGTCCTCGATTTTGTATGCAAACTATCACCAAAGGAAGTAATTTCAAGTTTAGGTTAAATTTTCTTGACTTAGAGGATGATTTTTAGAAGGGTATTATACATCATTTTAAAGATAATTTAACTGGCTTTAATTTGATATATAATTTATTAACACATAATTATTACTTTAGAAATTACACGTAAAAAACTAAATAAATTCGTTTGTTGCTTTTAAGTTTTTCTAGTTACTCTCGATTTATTGAAGTTTGAAACGTTTTATCGCGTAAAATAATAAAGTTAGTAACAATATTTATAAATATCCTGAAAGCTTATTTAATTCTCTTTAATTTCATGTATTACTTAACAATTTTGAATTATCTGTTTAAAAATTACGAACAAAACAAACTATTTTGACAAAATTACACAAATTAAGTAACTTTTTTATAAAACTCCAAAAAAACTAATGTTACTAAAATTTTACATAATGTTGTTATACATCATTTTACAGCCAATTTAAATACCTTTAACCTGATATATAATTTATCAATAACAAAAAGGCTTTTTTTAAAAACCAAATTAAAAAAGGTTTTTTAATTATAACCAAATTAATAAGCCATTTCCATTTAAAAACTACAAACTCACTTATTTTACAAAAACATAATTTTTATAAATTATAACAAATTAATATAAACAAATCATACATCACTTAAAAGATAATTAAATTATCTACAAATCGGCACTACATTTACTCCATTAAACCTACTAGTTAAAAAGTTATAACCAAAAAACTAAAGTAAAACTTAGGTTAACATTCTCACCACTTCCTCCTTTAACCCATAGGTGGCGGTTCCCTCTTCGCCATCCACGCAGAATGTGAAGTCTACAACCCGAAAACCGACGCATGGACAACCATTGCCCCAATGCAATGGCGCCGCTCCCGCTCGGGCGTAACCGGCCTTCGACGCAATCTCTACGTCGTCGGCGGCTATGACGGCGCCTCCGACCTCGCCACCGCCGAATGTTACAACCCACTACTCAACTCCTGGTCACCCATAACACCAATGGGCACAAAACGCTCTTGCTTAGGCATATGCAGCTTCGACGGGTTAATCTACGTGTGTGGAGGTTATGATGGCGCATCATGTCTGAGCAGCATGGAGAGATTCGACCCGTTGACAGGCATCTGGTGTAGTTGTCCAGCTATGAACACCAGGCGGCGATATTGTCGCATTGCGGTTGTTGAGAATTGTGTATATGCACTCGGAGGGTTTGATTCGACGAATTATCAAGCATCAGTTGAGAGGTAAAATAAAAAAATTGAGAAAATATGGTTTTAAGGTTATGTTTTGTTTGTAGGTTTGATCCAAGGGTTGGTAGTTGGTCGCCAGTGCCCTCTATGTCATCACGGAGAAGTAGTTGTGGTGTGGCAGCACTGGATGGACATTTATACTGCATAGGAGGTTAGAAATCAGTTTTTTCGTTTTTTGACGTGATAACGTCTTTAAAATCGTTTTAGTCGGGTTGCATGTTCAGAAACTTGTGTCACGAGGCCTCACCCCCCTCTCGTTATAACGAGAGAGAGACGGACCGATCTCCCGTCTCATCTCGAGCGCTGCCAGTCATTCCGTGCCAGTCATAGCGTTCGAGTGAGTTGACCGATCTTCCGTCTCTCTCACTCTAGCGGCATACAAACGAATGGAGATTTTCTCGTGCGGTTAAGTTTTCGTTGAATGTTTAACAGTGACACAAAATGTGAAGTGCAAGTGAAGTGTTACAACAATTGCAACAAAAAAAACTTATATCACCAATAAGTCGTTATCACGTAAACATCTCGATCGTAAACCTACTTTACAAACAACCATTTTTTTGTTGTTGAAAAATTGTTGTTTAAAGTGATTTAAAGTATGAAATATGTGTTTAATGTTTATAATATTTGTAGGTAATGATGGTACGATGTGTATGTCAAGCGGGGAGAGGTTTAATGTGCGGAGAAATGCCTGGGAACCGATAACATCGATGCATAATCGCAGGTTAGTAAATTTTTTTACTAAAAACTTATTTTTTTCTTATTTAAACAAATATTTCTTTATATTATTATATATCAACAGAAAGATAATTAAATTCTCTTTCATTTGATATATAATTCAATCTTTTATGACCAAATTTGATTGAGTTATTCATATTTTTAGATCAACACATGAAGTAGTAGCGATTGGAGGTTATATCTACGCTATCGGTGGCAATGACGGTTCTTCAAGTCTAAACTCCGTGGAGAAGTTTGATCCTCTCCTGAGTAAATGGACAGTGGTTTCTTCTATGGTAACACGTCGAAGTTCCGTCGGCGCTGCGGTTTTGGAGTGCATTAACATCGAATCGGTGCTGAGACAAATCACAGCCACTGCCAAATAGTGCATTGTCGTATAAGCGTACATTTCTGAGTATTTTTAACGATTTCGAGTGTTATTTTAGGTTATAATTAGCTGTTTCTGTGATAATCAGCAACAAACGCGGACGTAAACGATTTAAAACAATTTAAGGAAGAAATGAAGCAAGAAAGAAAGAAAGGAATGTATAGTTTAGTATAGAGAACAATGTGTGCGATATCTGTATGAATAAATAAGTTAAAATGAGAAATAAGGTAGGTGATTATAGGTTAGGTATGCATTGGTTTGTTTTTGTTGAGTTTTTGTTGTGTTTTTATGGAAAATTTAACAAAATTAATGAAAATTTAGGGATTTTGAGTTGTAAAATAGATAAATTTGTGTTTTTTGAGGAACCCATTAACTTTTAGTGTTAATTAAAGGTGAATTAACCTTAAAAACATGAAAATACTTAATATAACCTCAAAATAAGCATAAAACTCAATTTTTTTTGCATTTTTCATATTTTTACAACAAAATAATTGATTAATTTTAATACAATTGGTTTCTAAGGTAACATAATCAATAATTTGACACATTTATCAACTTTTTATAATGATTTTACGCGTTTTACACATTTTTATACATATTTATTTAATTTTCTTAACTTTACCACCAAATATAACCGCAAATGGTACATCATTCACCGTTGGAACAGTTTTATTCACTCCATCTGACATACAAAGAGAATGCTGGACACAAGAAAACATGGCGCTGCTTACAACACGGATGTTAATGGCGAATCTCATGCCGCACACGGAGAAAATCAAAGCGGACGATGATTCTTTCGTCTCGGATATCATCGAATACTTTCGTTTGCTGCTGGAAGTAATTAGGTCGAATACCAGTGGAAAAACGAAGCATATTATGTTGTTAGCTGCTACAGATACAATGGGTAATGTAAACATAACCTATAATAATTTATAATGTAAATTTTTAATTTTTTTGTTTGTTTTAAAATGTTTTAGGAGGTTATATGAAACATTTAGTTGTGCCCATATCTAAATACGCGTATTATGCTGGTAATATACAGTATGCTAGTATTATCAGGTTGTATCAGTTGTATGATGAGTTGAAGAACTTTCTAAGGACCAATGGTGATGGATGGGCGAAACCATGGCGGAATGCAGGGAGGCATATTCAGGCGAAGAGTATTTCGGTGCAGTCGCCGTCACCTACGAGTGATCCTTGTAAAGGGATTATTTATTACAAGCATACGCCGACTATGTGTAAGTATTTTATTGTTTATATCTGATAGGGAATTTAATTAGCTATGTTTTGATGTATTAAACATTGAATTTGAGTGAATATTTTATGAGTTATTAATGAAAATATGAAAAATTTGGAGGTTAGTGTTAAATTTGTGTTTTTTGAAGAAATTTAAGTTTTATTATAGGCAAGGAATTTGTTATTAGGTTGAGTTATATATCATTTTGGAGACAATTAAATTATCTTTAATTTGATGCATAATATATTAATTTTTAGTTATAAACAAAAAAGATATAAGCAAGTAAAATTAGCAAATTTAGAAATATTTTCTTGATTTTTTGATTTTTTTAGAATAAGTTAGTTTATTATAGTTTAAACATTATTTAAATTATATTATGATACATTTTTAGATAGCTAATGAAATTGTCTTTTATTTGATATATAATCTATTAATTTTTATTCATAATTACCAAAGTTATAAACAAAATAAAAACAAACAAAAATTGAGAAATTTTTACGGTTTTAATATTTTTCAATAGAAAACCGTTAAATAATATAATTTATGAAAGTATTACTTATTATTATTATACATCATTAGAAAGATAATTAAATTATCTTTAATTTAATACCAACATAAACAATTTTACTCCACTCAATCAAAAGTTATAACCAAATTTTAAAAATTTTCTAGCTTCTGTCCGAAAAGCCGAACACACTGAAACAAAATCATGCGGAATGGACGTCCCACTCCCCTTCTTCGACTCCAAAACCCACCCGGCTGCCATTGCTGTCCCCTTTCGCACATTCGGCCTGCGCAACCTGGAATCTCGTGTCTCTGCATACATCCTAGTAAAATACTTCGTCGCCGTGAGTAAATGTATGGCTGCCCGCAACACAAACGACGAAGACGTGCACAAATTCAACGCGAACATCTTCTCCTTCATTGTGTCGAAAGTAATGCCGCATTTGGGCGATGAGAAATTCTACGCTGCGTTCGGCGGTGTGCTGCGCATATTACAAACTGTGACGGAGACAACCAAAGCCAAAGGGCACGCCATTGGGAATATTAATATCATGCCGGAGACACAGGATAGGGAACCGCCTGATATGAAAGAGGATGAGGATATTGCGCTGTCGAAAGGTGGAAGTGGTGGGAGTAAGAAAAATGGCGACGTAAGTTTTTTTTTACTTTTTTTTGTTTTATTTGAGATTTTTATTGTTTTTATTTGTTTCAGAAGCGTTCACGTAATAATTTAATTCTTCTGGCGGCGTTGGCTACGATTATTGTGTGGTTCTGTTTGGGTGCAGCGTTTGTTTGTTGTCGGATTAAGGCTGGAAAGATGCGCGATGATAAGTCGGTGAATGATGATGAGAATGTGTGCAGAGAGAGTACCTGTCCGGTTTTGTCTGCGCCCACGTCTGCTTCGGCGACTGATAATGAACATCACAATGAGCATCATACTAAGTAAGTACTTTTTGTTTATTTTTAAACTTTTTTTGTTTGTTTTGAAGTTTTAAAGTAGCGTAACTTTGGTTTGCGTTGTTGGAATCTTATGAATTTGGGGTTAAATGAAAGATAATTTAATGTGTTATAAATTGAGGTTAGGTAGAGAGTAATATGCCTGTGTATATAGGTGTTATTTAGTCAAAAAGGTGAATTTTACATTTTTAGATATATTTTGTTCGAAAAATTTTTCAAACTTAGATAGCGCCGGTATTGTTTCATCAAATTTAATAAATAATATGTTGTTTGATAGATAATTAAATAGACTAATAGATAATATTAATTAATATTTGATATCTAAATCAATTTAACAGTTATTCATGTCCAAAGTTGCTATTTCTACGTTTTTTCACCTTTTTTTTTAACAAACATTTTTCAAACTTTGATAGCGTCGATATTTTTTAATCAAATTTAATAAATAATACGTTGTTTGATAGATAATTAAATAGACTAATAGATAACATTAATTAATATTTGTTATCTAAACTAATTTAACAGTTATTCATGTCCAAAGTTGATATTTCTACGTTTTTTTTCACATTTTTTTAACAAAAATTTTTCAAACTTTGATAGCGTCGATATTTTTTAATCAAATTTAATAAATAATACGTTGTTTGATAGATAATTAAATAGACTAATAGATAATATTAATTAATATTTGTTATCTAAACTAATTTAACAATTATTTATGTCCAAAATTGATATTTCTACGTTTTTACACATTTTTTTAACAAAAAATTTTCAAACTTTGATAGCGGTGATATTTTTTTACCAAATTTTATAAATAATACGTCATTAAATAGATAATTAAACACACTATCAGATTGTACTGATTAGTATTTGTTATTATCATGAATTTAGCCGTTATTTATGCTAAAGTTTAAGAATAATTTAATTTTTAATTTTTTGGCAAAAAAGTTTAAAACTTTAATAGCACTCGTAATTTTGCAACAAATTTTTAAAGTTTTATATTATTTAATAGCCAATTAACCACAATTAAAGATAATGTAAATAACAATCCTCAAAAATTTAACATTTCTTAGTTATTTATCCCCAAAGTCAGTTTTTCAATATTTTTTACGTTTTTCGAATAAAAAAATTCCAAATTTGATAACTATTGCATTTTTTAATAAAATTTAATTAATTAAACATCACTTGATAGCCAAGTAAATATACTATCACATGATAAGAATAAATAATTCATATTTCTCTTAATTTTAACGTTAATAACCTCTAAAAACTAAAAATGTAATAATTTTCATTAAATTTTTTAATTTTTCAGAGTATTATACAGCGTAAAACGCCCCAAGAAGAAAGAACCCAAACGCAAAGAACCAAAATCCACATCATCTCACAAAAGCAACAAATCCTCCTCCAAAAGCTCCAAATCTCAAAAATCTGGCCTAACCAACACCACCGAAATGGACAGCGAAACAATCGAATCGCCATCCCTTATATCCCGCACACCATCATCCACCAACAACTCCCCTGTAGTCCTCCAAGCCCGCGCCCCAACCAGAGACCGCCCTGGTCCCAACAAAGACCGCGTCTATTCCTTTACACAAATACGCGGAAATTCATTCGAAAAAGAACCGGAAATGACCCGCGAAGATTCCATGCTCGAAAGACGTTTATCAGTCAACAGGGAAAGAAGACGACAAACTGAAGAAGAAGAACGAGAAGAAATAGAAGAAGAATTCGAGCAGGAACGCGAAGTGGATGAAGAAGAGCGTGAAACTGAACGAATACAAGAAGAAGAAGAGCCTACACGTGATGAAACCAACGATAGGCCACCACAGTTACAAGTGCACAGGTAATAACCTCAAAATATTTATTTTTACGCATTATAACCTAACTTAAACTTAAATTTTTGTTTGTTTTGTTTTAGTGTGCAATATTATCCGCCTACATTCGCTTGTCACACGAGTATGACTGGAAAAATTAAACTGGACTCTACTTCAGAGGACTACACGTCACGTGATGATGATAAGAGGCCGTATGTGTTTGGGTATGACTTCCAGACGACGTCAGACGAGACTACACCTAGAGGTAACCTCACTTTGTTTATAATCTTATCTTTTATCTTTGAAATCTTTATTATTTTGAGATTTTAAAGATTATTTTTATGTTATCTTGATGATATTGCTATAAACAATTCATTTTTAGATCCTACGACTGATGGGGAGAATGATATGGCTGGAAATATGTCTAGATAGATGTTTTTTCTAGAAATATATTAATATTTTGTGTTTTTTTATGATTTACGATTAAACTATACAAAGGATTTTTATGAAATTTTAAGGGCTGATGAATAATTTATGTATGTTTAATATAACGTTGAAATAATGTCAATATTGTAATTTGTTTATTTTTTATTGATTTTTTAAGGTGAAAAAGTATGGATTTTTGATGTTTTTCTTTAATATCTTGATGAGTATTATTTTTTCTTGTATTGTGTAAATTTTATAATAAACTATATTTTATTATCTATCGTTTGCAGTTTTTATTTTTAAAATATCTTTATTCCAACCCTGTTTATTTTAAGTTTTAAATAAATTAGCTATCATGCCGCCAGTTTGAATTTTCCCGCCGCAGTGTTGCCACTACAAAAATCCCAAACCAAAACTCCCTAGTTTTTGTTTTTGTCACTAGATTTCAAACAATAGCCTAACATATGATCGTAGTCAGTTCATTCACAGTTTCCCAGGGCGTGTGAACAAAGAAACACACTCGTCGTGTGAATATTAATAATTAACCGCGCTGCGTGAATATTTAGTAAGTAATTGGTGCTATTTGTTGCGGACATTTGTTTGTTTTATTTTTGATGTTTATTAAAATGCCATTTTAACGCGAGTTCGAAGAGGTTAGTGTGTGGCTGTAAAAATTCACTATAAAACCCATGTAAGTAATCCGCCGTGATTAATCTGAAGTGAATGATAAGAATTGCGTGCATTGTTTTGATTGAATATTTAAATTCGGTGGTGGTTCTGTGGGTTGCGAGACGTTTTACGATTTCGCCATCGCGAGCGCTGCGCACAGGCAACGTCGCACAATTCCGTACGGTCCGCCATATTGAAAATCTCTCGATACAGAAAATTTTGTAAGTAAATTGTGTAAATAATCATCGCGGAAAAACGCGTGCGAAATTCCCGGCGAATGCGAGTGCGTGTGCTTGATTTTCGGCCATTGAACACGCGCGTTTCCAATTCATTGCACACGCCACAGTCGAATTGTGTCCGAATCAATGCTTTACCAAGTGGCTCAAGTGCAATCCTCACACAACTCGCCACCAAATTGACGATAATTAATCATCGACGGCGAAATCAACGCGAAACGCATCATCGTCGCATACACGGATAATCAGTGAATCATTTCGCACGGGGTAGAAATTTCCCACCTGCTTTCAAAGCGGTTTAATCGGCTGTCAAAAATGGACATATCAATTATAAATATTTATGCCAACCAGACAAAAGTTGAGGCAAAAGAATTACAAATAACACCTAGATAATCATACAAAAACACACTGCATACCAAAGTAACACACGGTGTTATCTTGATTCTTAGTCAATGTGAATGTAGGTTGAGTCATCATGGGTTTTTCAATACATAACAGATGTTAATATTCATTTTGAGGCAATAATTAATAATAATTTTCGAACAATGGCTGTGTTGGTGGTTGTGTCTTATCACAAGTCGTAAATATTCATGCCTCTAGCACCGATAATAATTGTTGTTTTTGTTTGATTGTAGATTTGTTGTGAAGGATTCCAGGAATTGAAGATTTAGAAGAATATTTGTTGTGTTGACAATGTCAGTGCTAAACCAGAGTGGCGAGGAGCAGGTGGAGTGTCCGCTGTGTATGGAGCCGTTGGAGGTGGACGACCTCAACTTCTTCCCGTGCACGTGCGGATATCAGATCTGCCGCTTCTGCTGGCATCGCATTCGCACCGACGAGAACGGACTGTGTCCGGCGTGTCGGAAGGCGTATTCGGAGAATCCAGCTGATTTTATTCCGCTTTCCAAGGAGCAAGTGGCGCAGTTGAAGGCGGAGAAGCGGCAGCGCGATCAGCAGCGCAAGGCGAAGCTGAGTGAGAGTCGCAAACATCTTGCGAGGTAATATTTTGCATTATATTTAATAAAAAGTAATAATAAAATTAATTTTTAGTGTGAGAGTCGTGCAGAGGAATCTTGTGTTTGTCGTCGGTTTACCGATGAGACTAGCCGATCCCGAAGTGCTTAAGAAACACGAGTATTTTGGGAAGTTTGGTAAGATACACAAGGTTGTGATAAATCAGTCCACTGCTTATGCTGGTACACAAGGACCTAGTGCTAGTAAGTTTTATTTAATTATATATTTGTTTTATTTATAAATAAATATTTTTTTTAAATAATTTCTAGGTGCGTATGTGACTTATATGAAGAGTGACGACGCGCTGCGCGCCATCCAAAGCGTGAACAACTCAACTCTGGATGGTAAAACGATAAAGACCAGCCTCGGCACGACCAAGTACTGCTCGCACTTTATGAAGAATCAGCCATGCCCCAAACCGGACTGCATGTATCTGCACGACTTTGGTGAGTTTAAACACATGTCCTTTATCTCAAATAAAATCGCTTTTGTGCGCTTGTCGATTGTATGAATCGTTTAAATTCGTGTGTATTATGTCTCCTGGCTAAATGTTGAACAAAGACGACGTGATAGTTGTGTGTTGCGTGTTAAAGGAGACCAGGAAGCCAGCTTCACCAAGGAGCAGATGCACGCCGGTAAACATCAGGAGTACGAGAAGAAGCTGCACGATTGTCTGCTGGCGAAACTGGCGGCGGCACAGCAAGCGGCGGCGATTGCAGCAGCGCAACCACCCGTTGTTGTTGTGCAAACGCAAGCGACGACTGACACGACTGCGAGCACCACCACCACGACGACGAATGCGAAAACAAACGGCAAAGCGAAAGAAACTACGATCGGCAAGGATAAAGAAAAGGAAGCGGGTAGTTGGCCACATCTAGATAAAGATAACACGAAAGCGGAGGTGGTGAAAAAGAGCACGGATGCGAACTGCAAGGAGAAACCGGAGAAGTCGAAGCGGAATAAAAAGAGCAACGTTACGGAGAATAATAGTAAAAACAAGACTAGAAATGAGGAAACGACATGTAGCAAAGATAAGGACAAAGAAAAGGAGACTAAAGTACAATTATTGGAAAAGGACAAGGAGAAGACGAAAGAGAATAGCGTTGAAATTAAGGAAAACAAGGTGAAAAAAGACGTGCTACATGATGAGATTGTTGTGAATAACAATACGATCACTAGCAACGCCAAGACTAATAAAACCGATGAGGGTTCAGGTGATAAACAAAGAAGTAAACTACCACAATCGCAGCCAAAACGTAGTCCAATGCAAAACGGTGATGACACTATCAAAATGCCTCTGCACGATGATAACTCTAGCTTCTTTACGTCAAATTCGTTCTCGTGCGCGAAGCTCGAGAACGAAGATGATGACGATTCCAGTTTGTTGAATCGCCAGATTGACGGACAAGATTTACTGCTGGATATCAACGATGGCGATGCGTGGGACTTTGATTTTGGCTACACGAATCACTCGCATCATTTGGAGGAGTTGGCGACGCAGCGCTGTCGTCAACAGGAGACAATTAAAGATCCTCTGGAATCATTCGCGAATGGTTTCGGTGGTTTGGACACGTTTAGCAAACTGGATGCGTTTATGGACGCGCCGTACGTGGCGAATACCGAGAGCTTACTAGAGACTTTGGCGAAGAACAGTGTCAATTATCAGATGCATCCACAGCAACAGGTGCCACAACAACACAGACAGCCACAGCAACAGCATTATATGAACGGGCATAATGGACATAAAGATGTGTTGTTGTCGGGGTTGTTGGAGCAGCAACAAGCGCAACAACAACATCAGCAACAACAGCAGCAGCAACAACAGATACAGAATGCGTTCCCGAAATTGATTGATATGTACAGTAGGAGTTTACATCCGCAACAGGCGCATCCGTCGCTGATGAATGGCCTGCATTCGCAGAGTAACGGATTTCATAATAATTTCGCGCAACAACAACAGCAGCATTTTAATCACATGATGGTGGATAAGCGGATGGCGCTCCTGCAGCATAGGCAAATGGAGGAGAACTTTTTGAATTTGTCGCTGGGGAAACAAATGCAACAACAGCAGCAGATACCGCAACAGCAACCGCAACAACCGCCGTTCTCGCATTCGCAGATGAACGGACATTTCGATGGGTTTAATTCGTTTGGGTTGGGTGGTAATGCGCCACAGGCCAACACACAGAAGCGACATGTTGTGGTGGACGATAAAGACTTGGATTTTCGATTCCAAGAGGCGCAGAAAGCTCTGGAGGCGTTGGTCGAGTCGGACAATCATGTGCACAATTCAGGTAAGTTTAAATTTATGTTGATTTGATTGATTTTAATGTTTTTGTTTGTTTTGTTTTAGGCCGTACTACATTAGGATCAAATCAATTAAATGGTTTAGTGCATAGTCAAAGCGGTAGCCATTTGCCGCCTCCGCCACCCGGCTTTGTTCAACCCAACACACACATGAATTCGTTCGGTTAGTACACACAGAAACTGTGCGCATTTTTTTCTCTCTCTATTCTTGCTTCACTTATGAATCGATGGTGTTTTGGTGTGGGTGGTGTGTGTATGTATGTATGTTTGTTCTATTCGTTTTTCTCTTTGGCTTCTTTGATGATGAGTGTTTTGTTTTCTGTGTCTGCGCGCAGGTAGCAAAATATTACCCTTCTTAAACATGAATAGTCAACAACAGCAACAAATTAATACCTCACAGAACAACTGGCCGAGCAATTTTAGTCAAATTCAACAACAGCAGCAGCAGCAGCAACAAAATCAACACAATAAAGGTGCGTTTTAGTTGAAATTTAATATTTATTTGTTTGGTTTGTTAAAATTTTGTTTTTTAGGAATGGGAACCGTGTGCAATGACTGGAAAGTTTTGGACACGGCGATTATTTCCTCCCGCCGCCACATTCCCAACATGGGCCCACTGATAGACCAGTACTCGCCCGGCGCGCCTTCGCCTCAACAACAGCAACAGCAGCAGCAGCAGCAACAACAACAACAGGCTGCAGCTGCCGCCGCTGCACAACAACAGCGCACCTATGACATGTACGCGACGTTCTCCAACTATTCAAACCAGCTGCCACCCGCGTATGGCAACGGCTATCAGACGCACCTCGCCACTCAACCGAACCTGAACTGGTTGGGCAGCGAGATCGCCGGGCCGATTTCCACGCCGCCAGGCTTCCGCACCGCCGGTCAGGCCACCAAACAGCAGGAGTGCTAAATTCCACATCGCAGATTTTCGACCCGCAAGCGACCACAACCGCTCCCTCTAAGAGTTTAGTGCGCATCAATTTGAATTTAGAAGAAAAACTGTACTAGCTGATTATTATTTATATTTGTCTTTGGTAATTGATTTTAGTCTTTTTATTTTTTTTTCTGTTCTTTGATTGGCATTCGATGCTTTTTGTCGTTTGTAATTGATTTGCTGGCAAAGTTAAGTTTTTTCCGATTTGTTTTTCAACCAAAGACTGAACTCTGAGCGTGTGGTTGGTGTCGACTGTGGGTGAATAGTAACGTCGAAAGAAATGATTACATATTGAATCAATACATACATTTATTAATCAAATATTTTGGGGTGCGAGGCTTTAAACAATACAAACACGAAACAATTCATGTAACAACTCGATACAAACAACACACAACCAAACAACAAGCGGTCAGCGGTTTGTTGCGCGACGAAATGATTGATGTTATGCAAGTGTGATGAAATGTGAATTGATTTGTTGGGCTGCACGAGGCGTCGGGTGGACACGTCGGCCGGGTACGTTGGACGTTAAGGCCCCTCGACTGACGTGTCCATCTGATTTTGAAATAAATTAAAACTCGAGCCTTCACACAGCAAGGACGAGAGGTTTAATGAGGTGCTCTGTAAGTGCCGAGCACTTACACTTGATTAATGTGACTTTAATCATGTTCGAGGACCTCGAGTGATGCGCTTATCACACCGTATTATTAATATTATATTATACACACATATTATTGATGATAACGCGTCGCTACGAATGAGCACGCCTCGTGCGCCAGCAAGGCATTTACTGAACATGAAACTATGCGAAGAAAATGTTAAAGAATTGTGGAGAGATAAAAAAAACACTTGAACTCTTTGAAATTAATAAAATACGAAAGCTAAAATTGAGATCTGTGTGTCAATTATTGTAAATTGTCACAATGTGACATTAATAATGTAGAATTAGTTTCGTTTGTATTAGGAATCATTTGGATGCAAAATTTCTTGTGAAAATATGAAAAAATTACCGGGAAAATTGCCGTTCCATCAACGGTATTATTTTCGACTCAGGGATGAAGCACCGAAACGTGAGATTCTAGTCACCACGATCGTTATGGGAATGTTATTTGGCAAAGTATGATTTTAATTAATTAAGTTGATGTTATTGTGGTAAATGTTTGTTTGTTGATTTTTAGGTGACTTACGAACAAGTCAAGAGTTTCTTCAAGGAACCGCCCATCCTGGATATGTGCACCTGCTGTACGAATGGAGACGATTACAACGAAGATGAAGATTGCGAGGATTGAAGAAGCTGCATCTGCATGAACATTAATTAAACTGATCCAGAGTTATTACATTTGAATATCTTATATTCTTTGGTAGTCTGATGGTTATCACCTCATAAAGAGGTAACTTCTGGTTCAATTTGATGCTGGTTTATGTTATTTTAAAGAGGAGGAGTTATTTAATTGTTTGTTAACCTTTCCCGCTTCGTAAAGGTCCTAAATATGCCCTAAACTTGACTTTGATTAGTTTCCTGTGAGTTTTCCAAACAGGCTCTGGAAAACACCCTGTATCTCGGTTGTTTCTGGTTCAATTTGATTGTTCTTTGTTTTATTTTGTAGATGAATAGTTTTCTCATTGTTTTATATATTTTTGATCCCTTAAAGGCCCTATAAATGCCCTAAAATCTACTTTGAAAGTCGGCCTTTTTTGAAATTCTTTGAAACACGCTCTCGAAAACGCCCTGTATCTCGGCTGTCTTTGGTTCAATTTGAGCTTTCTTTGTATCATTTGGTAGAGGAATAGTTGCTTCATCGTTTGATATACTTTTCAATGCCCTAAAAGCCCTACAACTGCCCTAAAATCTACTTTGAAAGTCGGCCTTTTTTGCAATTCTTCGAAACACGCTCTCGAAAACGCCCTGTATCTCGGCTGTTTCTAGTTCAATTTGAGCTTTCTTTGTTTCATTTGGTAGAGGAATAGTTGCTTCATCGTTTGATATACTTTTCAACGCCCTAAAAGCCCTACAACTGCCCTAAAATCTACTTTGAAAGTCGGCCTTTTTTGCAATTCTTTGAAACACGCCCTCGAAAACGCCCTGTATCTCGACTGTTTCTGGTTCAATTTGATTGTTCTTTGCTTTATTTGGAAGAAAAAGAGTTGATTCATCGTTTGATATCATTTCCGGTGCCCTAAAGGGCCTAGAAATGCCTTAAAAACACGCCTAAATGTTGGCATTTTTGGCCCATTTTTTCCATGAAATCTGAAAATTTCCGGCGAAGTTTTTAAAAATAATTCGGAATTATTTAGAATTCGTGCGAAGATCGCGCAAAAATTTTCAGCCTCCTCGCATTTCTGGGTTCCTAATATTTAAATCAATTTTTCCCTTAGTTTCGAGGCAAAATTGAACGAAATGAAAGAGAGAGACGGAGGGAGAAAGAGAGAAGCAGAAAATAGATTTCAAATTCAGTCGAAAATCCCGCGAAAGTTTACTGAGAGAGAGGGTGATATAAAGTCAGAGAGAGAAAGATATAGTCAAAAATCCCTCGAAAAGTTTCAGCCTCCTCAACTTTCTGCGATCCGGATAACACAACTCGATTTTACCACTGGTTTCGGCTCGAAATTGGACACACACACACATGCATTCACACATGCACGAAACAATAAATTGAAAATTTGTTGTTTTTAATTGCTTATGTAATAGAGTATTTCTTAAGCAGTCAGAATCTAAAGTCCTTTTCCTTCTAGCCCTTTTAGTTCAGGAGTTATAGGCATTTAAAGTTTTATTTTGACTTCGCAGGAAAAAATTTTATTCGAAAAGTTTGACCCTGTTCTTCGACCGAAAATATTTTAACGAAAAAAGTTCGACCCTGTTCTTCGGCCGAAAATATTTTAACGAAAAAAGTTCGACCCTGTTCTTCGGCCGAAAGTATTTTAACGCGAAAAGTTCGACTCTGTTCTTCAGGCGAAAATTACTTTGATACATTATTCCAACTCTGGGTTTCGACAGAAAATGAAAAAAATGTGAAAATATTGCGAATTTCCAAGGGCATTTTAGGGCAGTTCCAAAGGGTTTAGGGAGGCAATAAGGCATGCATTTTGTAGCAGAACTCTTCATTTATCAGATAAAGGTGAGAACCCTGTAATTACTCCATAATTATAGGAGATACAGAGTGTTTTCCACAACAATTTTTGAAAATTTCAAAAAATGTTCATTTTTAAAGGGATTTTTAGGGCACTTCTAAGGGATTTAGAGGGCCAGAATGGTAAGCATTCGATGTAGGGACTCATCAGCTATAAACTGAAGAAGAGAAAATTCAAATTGCATTATTTTTACAGGAGATACAGGGTGTTTTCGGTAGCAATTGGCAAAACATCTTGCACTAAGGGGCACAGAGGATGGAAAAGGTATGCATTCTATAGAGGAACTCTTTAACTATTAAATGACAAAAGGAAATCCTAAATTGCTTCATTTTTACGGGAGATACAGGGTGTTTTCCACGACAACTTTTAGAAAAAATTAAACCATTTTTTAAAGGGATTTTTAGGGCACTTCCAAGGGATTTAGAGGGCCAGAATGGTAAGCATTCGATGTAGGGACTCATCAGCTATAAACTGAAGAAGAGAAAATTCAAATTGCATTATTTTTACAGGAGATACAGGGTGTTTTCGGTAGCAATTGGCAAAACATCTTGCACTTAGCAAAAAATAACACAAATGTTTACTAAAATAAATTTAATAGCCTTTATCAACAATTCTGCACCCTTCTGGATAATCTTCTAGTACATATTCATTATCTTTTCTATAAGTACTGCGCAATACTGCGGAAATTACATTTCAGAAAGATACATATCACACTGGTCATCATTCCACATAATAAAATAATACAAAATACTTATAAAATCCACTTTTGAAACTGTGAAATGGCTGAATTCCTAGTTTCATTTTGATTACAAAAGTTGGCCAATTTACAAGCCATAAATATTACAAACAAATTTCAACTTAAATCAAAGACGTTCGCCTAAATGCGCATGAAAGTTTAAGTAAAACAAAACGTACTTATGAATTTAATGCTTAAGTAATAAATCTGTGATGCGATTACGTCGTTGTAAGTAAATTGTGGCGAAGCAGTAAAAATTCAGACTTCTGTCGAAGGATACATGGCGTTTTACTATGCGTGGGCGGCTCCGTTCTGCTTCTTCCTGGAATTGGATGTGGATGCCGCCGTCTGCGTCAAGTACGTTATGCCTGAGTCGTCGTCTGCATCGTGGCTAGCCAGCAGAAGTTCGCTCATCATTCGATTTCGATTTAAAAACCTAAAAACCAAAAATCAATTAATAACCAGCAAACAACAATAAAATTCGACAATTAACACACAATTTACAGTTAAAACATTGCAATTTCCCGCAATCTATCAAACAGTAGCACAGTTATTGCGATTAAAACTTTAGTGTTATAATAACATCTCGAGCAGCGATAAATGTTGGTAACAATGCGCGGCCACTCTCCATTGGTCCGAAATCAATGTAAATATTGACGATTTAAAACTCAAACACAATCGAATGATAGCAGAGCCTCGAGACGAGCGATAAAACGCGTCTAGAGGGCAAAGTCCAATCGTATCGTGAGCGTTTAGGGCTTGCCACAAGTACCGCTACAATATTTTATGTCACATTATGAATAGTGGCTGACTTGATATTATTTTACAAAACAAACAACACGCACAAGAGTAGTAGGTTAATCGATGTAAGAAAACCGTTAAAAGGCACATTTCAAGCTTACATTACATCAAATGTGAACAGTTTTGTACTCTGCAGCGAGTTTCATCGAGTTTAAGTTGTTGAAAGTGCTAAGAAACAAGAGATAACAGTAAATGTATGTCCAGAGGATGTTTTACAAGGATTATTTGATGAATTAAATGATAATCGGCGCATGTTTAATGAAGTTTGCTTCATTCAAGTGTTGTTTTTGTCCTTCAAATTACTTTTCTATAATTTAAAAATCAAAATAGCGGCTGGATATCAATAACATCATGTTTTCCAGCCGCCATCTTGCCTACTATATACACATATCACGTTTGTAACTCTAATTAGCACTTTGAATCACCTTCCGGATTCAAATTTACGTTTTTGTTTGTATTATTATTGCTAGTTTGCGTTTGATCCACTTGTGGTGGACTTGCGGTTGCAACGCCTGACAAATTTGAGTTATGCGCACAACCTATCACCCCGTTGGTATACCTTGAGAATGCCGACGCTTGCTGTGGCTGCGTGGACGCGCCCTGCTCCAGATCATCCATACCACGATGAATTGAAATCGTGTCGTCTTGATGTGCGCGATTTCGATCAGCGAGGAAGTCTGGTGTCGTCAAAATGGCGGCATTCGGTTTTTTCCAGAGTTTTAGCAGTAAACTGCTGCTGACGACCGACACGGAAGACAAAGCCATGGCACCGCTGGCCATCCAAGGTGCAAGGGTTAGCCCAAAGGTTGAGAATGCACCAGCAGCCAAAGGAATACCTACAGTGTGTCAAATAAAATTAAAATATAAAAAAATACACATAAATGAAGTAAAAAAAAAAAACAATACTTACAGAGGATATTATAGAGACTGGCAAGCAAAAAGTTAAGCCGGATGCGTTTGACTGTTTTCCGAGATAGGTCCAAACATGCGACCACGTCGAGTAAATCATTACGCATTAAAACGACCTGCGCAGCTTCCACCGCAACATCGGTACCGGAAGCAATCGCCATGCCAACATCCGCTTGTGCTAACGCTGGCGAATCATTAATTCCATCACCAACCATCGCCACTTTCACACCTTTACTTTGCAATCTAAAATATTTCAAAACAATTAATATTTGTAAAAGTACTTAAATTAAAAAAAAAATTACCTTGAGACACGCGCAACTTTATGTGAAGGTAAAACCTCGGCGTAAACCTTGGTAATACCAACTTGACGTGCAATACTGGCGGCGGTCTTCCGATTATCTCCAGTGAGCAAATAAACATCCAGTCCTCGTTTCTTCAGAGAATAAACCGCAAGTGCTGCTTCTGGTTTCACAGGATCCGCCACGCTTATCATCGCAACGATAACACCATCAATGGCGCATAAAACCGCCGATCTGCCTTGTTCTTCTTCAAGTTGCATCTTACGATCGAGGTCGGGCGTCACAATATGGCCATTGCGGTTCATCCATTCACGATTACCAACGATTACGTGGTAGTTGTCACGGATATCATCAAGTTTTAAACCTAAAATTACATATTAAACAATTTACCTATATAAAATCTTATACAGAGTGTTTAAATAAACAAAAACTTACCAATTAATTGTCCTAAATTATGCGCGGATGAATTCACAACTTCCACAACAATTCCATTCAAAAGCAGTTTCCTAGATCCCAAATCCCCGCCTGCGTTCTGCGCATCATTCAAAAAATTACTAAACTCCTGTGATTTCCCATTATTCACCATCGTCGCAACATCCTTCACCGTACACCTCAATCCACAGCCTGGCACCGCTTGAAAATCATCACTGGATCCACTAATCTCCATCTGGAAGACTTGCTCCACAAAGCGAATAATCGACGCTGCAATTGGATGCTCGGAATTTTTCTCAGCCACGCCGAGAACAGCCAATAAAGTCGCCGGAGGGATATCCTGCGTTGTCATCCACACCGCCGCCACTTCCGGTTGTCCTTTTGTAATCGTCCCAGTTTTATCAAACAAAACCGCTCGGACTTTATGCGCATTCTCCAAAGGTTCAGCACCTTTGATTAAAATACCATTCTGTGCACCAACTCCTGTGCCAACCATGACAGCCGTAGGCGTGGCTAAACCCAACGCACAGGGACACGCAATCGCCAGCACATTCAACGCGCATTTAAACACAAACTGCAGCAGAAGTTCAGTCTTATTAAACGAATGTGTTTCGTGCTCATGAATCGGCAACAGATCGAAATTAACCAAACCGATGATTGTCCAGATTATCAAAGTTAATAAACTTAAACACACTACCAACGGTACAAAATACCCGGCGATTTTATCCGCCAATTGTTGAATGGGTGCTTTTGACGTCTGCGCTTCTTCAACCAGTTTAACAATCTGAGATAATGTTGTAGCCTCACCAGTGTGTGTCGCTTCCACAATCAACAGTCCATGTTGATTGATTGATCCGCCAATCACAGCGACGCCTTTCTTTTTATACACAGGCATAGATTCGCCGGTGATTAGCGACTCGTCGCACATAGACTGCCCTTGGACGACTTTACCATCGACTGGCACTTTTGCTCCGGGCACTACTTTTAAGTAATCACCGCGTTGTACCAAGTCAACATTGACTAAGCGCTCTTTTTCGATAGTCTGTCCGGGTCCAAGTGTGACCAAAACAGCTTCGGTTGCTTTGAGACTCAGTAACCGTGACAGCGCTTCGGAAGTTTTACCTTTAGCGATGTGTTCCAACCATCTACCAAGAGAAATAAACACTAGAAGCATGGGTGGTGTATCAAAAAAGGTTTGTGGAGATGTTGGCAGGCGTAAAATCATGGCTGCCATGACAACGCAAACACTGTACGTGTAGGAGATTGACGTTGCCATGGCAATGAGCACGTCCATATTCGTTGTGCGGTGTTTGATGGCTTTGTATGCTTGTACAAAGAAGTGACGCCCGCCGAAAATCAGCACCGGGGTGGATAATGACCACATTATTAAATTCTCCAAAGATAAACCTTTAAAAACACAATTATATCTAAATTAACACCCTGTATAATTAATAAAATTTATCCCTACCTGGAATAACACAGCACATATCCTCATGACTGGTCCCAGCCGACATCAACGCCATGAAATATATCATGGCGCCCATACAGGGCAGACCAAACGTGAGCGAGAACAGAAAACTATTCCGCCACTTACGAATCTCCTCCTTTTGCTGTAGATAATCCCCATTGGACTCCCTCTCAAACAACTCCGCTTTAAACCCGAGCGCATCAATCGCCTCCAAAATATTCCGCGCACCTGTCACTTCCGGATCATACCGGAATTTACCTTTCTGTGTAGTCAACGCAACTTGCGCCGAAATCATCCCCGGCATGTTTTTCACCGCCGATTCGATTTTGAACACGCACGATGCGCATGTCATCCCTTCAATACGACAAACCACCTCCGAATCACCACCGGCGCTTAATAAAACACTCGCTGGAAACCCTAACTCTGTAATGGACGCTGCCAATTCTACAGGTGTAACCAATGTGGCGTCGTATTTTATCTCGGCTCTTGCTGCCAACAACGCGACTAGAATCTTATGACATCCGTTGATTTTATAGCAGTGTTTCTCAATGGCAGCCACGCATGATCCACAAGTCATTCCTTTCACTTGCAGCGTGCATCTGGATAAATTATCTAAATTATCCATATCGATGGCAAGATGGCGGTTAGAATTTGAATTATCTTTGGATAAACGCCGCTTCTTTTTAGTTTTTTGATTTTGATTCTGTTTAACATTACCATCAGAAGTTAATAAAAACGCATCAAAACCCATATCGTTAATCGCCTCTGCAATTTCCAGCGGAGTTATCTCAGAAGGATGATAATCAACATCACCGCGCTGTTCATCCAAGTGCACTTTGATACTTTCCACGCCGGGTTTCGTCGAGATATTACCTTGGATGTTCTGCACGCATGAATTACAAGTCATACCCTCAATGCGGACACTGCATGTGCTCGTCTGAGACAAAACAGCATCGAAACCCATGTCATCAATGGCATCAGCAACTAATTCCGGTGTGAGTAGTGTCGGATCAAAGTGGACCACTGCGTATTTCTCTTGTAAATTAACCTGAAATTAATTTTTCAAAATAAGATTTAAGTTATTATATTATTACAACCTGCTCCATAAGAATTAGAATAGCAACTGACTCTTCTATTGTCTGCGTATGCAGTATGCACAAACCGCGATTGTCAAATCAAAAACTACTCATAATTGTTAATAATCGCCGCAGAATGAATGCATGTCGTGATTCAACGTCGACACCTTTACATGTGTTATCAACGCCCACATGAAGAGAATAAATTTCAACTACATATGGTAGTAGAATAAAAACGTACGCGTACGAATGGAATGTTGAGGTTAGTGCGTGCTTTACTGATAGGCGGGTTGTCTAATCACCGCAATAATGTTATTCTCTGCGGTGCGCTATCGGTGATCAATTTATGTGCGGTTTTTTGTTATCTACACATGCAACTTTCTAGAATTGAAGAATTCTAATAATTCAAACAATTCTAGAAAGTTTTACTATCCTAACACATAACATAACATGTCACAAATTAGGTTATGTATAAAATATCTTACCTTAATAAAAACAATCCCATCTTTCGCACCAATATTACTCTCAATATTGCGTACGCATGACATACAAGTCATCCCTTCGATGTTAACTCGACACGCCGATGGTAAAACATTTCGATTCTGTTGCTGTTCCTCAATGGTAAGCAACGCGCCTTGCTCTTCACGTCCGCCATCTTCGTTATCATCCGAATAGCCGTTATATTCCGCCGAGCGTTGATTAATCGACCTGGATGTGTCGATAAGCGACGGTTCGTAGCCGTACGCATCCATTGTGTCCCTGAAACGATAAAAGTAAACATAAATAATAGATTCATGTATATCAAATAAATTTTCGGTAAGATAACAAGAAAATAAGCAAATTTCGGTGTGTATTTCATCATAGTATTAATTATTACCAGTCATTATCGTTTAGTAAAGCGGCACGTTCCTCACTGGTACGTTTTTTCCTTCTTAACGCCATGTTTAAGTATAAAAAACGTTAAATTTATGAATATTTTAAACAATATTCATGTTATTTATCATTTATGAAGAAAAAAATGATGATTTATTAATAAAAACACTGATTTAAGTAAAATTAATAAATTTCCGATTGGAAAATATAAAATTTCTATCACGATGTGCACTACTTTACTTTAGTAAGTAACTTCTATTTCGACTTGTCTACCAGGTACACACAAACATCGATAAGACGTTTGTTATCAATCACACTGATAATACGCCGTATGAGAGTCAACATTCGACTGTTGAGTGTTTCCTAGTCGATGGCAAGACGGCAACTAATTGAACCGAATTGAACTGCACCCAACACAACATCAATCGTAATAATAAAAAAAGAATGCAAACAAATAAACAAACAAATCTATAAAACTACTCTTATTACGCTTGTTGTTTGACTAAACATTGATAACATGTTCACGTTAACTTTACAAATCGCACACTCAAGATACGTGCGGCTAAGCAGTCGGTTTTTTTATTTAAAACCTGTCGCACATTTGTTTAAAATATGCAATTGACACGCGCACTGCTCACTTCCATATCACAGTGATAACGGTTTACAAATATACGCTACACGAGTGTTGTTCAAGCGCCGAAAATCGTCGCAAATGAAAAAAATTAACAAAGTCATTTGCGGGCGCTATGTCTCATTAAACAAGAGCGACAATTAAAACAATTGCGGTTCATTGTAACGCAAATAACGGCAATTGATGATAAAATCAACAATAAAACGCGCTAATACGTAGATTATGTGATAAGACTAGCACTTACAATTTGTGATACGCCATTTTGTTTCTTGGTATATGGTAATCCGTATACGTATTAATGACACACTGTATATTAATAAGTTAATAAGTTATTGTAATCATTTTTTAACTACATTTTGTGTCGGCTATGCTTGCATTGTGGCGTGGCGCGTTTGTTTATATTGTTTACTTGCAGACGTCCGGAACGCTACTAAAGACACTCAAATTGTTGGAGTTAAGTAAAGTGTGGTGAAATGAAGTGAAGTGAGGTAAAGTAAAGCAAGGCTAGAGCGGCGGCTAGAATTCGTTCAAAAGTGTGCTGCTTTCTGCTTTTGGCTTCACTCGCAATTCACTTTCGTTTCGATTCATGTTTTGAGTTTCTCGCGAGTCGCGACTAATAGATACAGCGGTAGCAGTAGCAGGAGTACGAGTAGTAGCACACGGTTTAAGTCGGCATTGAAACGAAATAATCCGGAATTGCGATGTGAGCGGACAAGTAAATATAATTGCTGTGGTAATTTGCGGTTTTTCTAGAAAATGCACGTATAGTGTAGACGTGTAGTATTTTTTAACAAGCAAGTATTTTATCAGGTTGTAACGAGGTGTCGTTACCTAGAGTAACAAAAAAATAAAAAACGATTATTGGGATTTTACGTGGTCCGGCCTATATCTGAATATGAATTAAAGTATTTTGTTGTGTTTCGCAATAATTGATATTGTCGCTTGTAGTCATATGATTTCAATAGACGCATGTGACAATACCTACTAACCCAATTAAATTTATTTTAAAGCAGAAAAAATTAGAAAATTGTAATTTTAACCGTATATCTTTTTTTTGTTAAATTTGCATAAAATTTAAACACATTTCCATTAAAATAGGCGAAAAAACATCATAATATCAAAATTTTTAGAAATAAAAATATTTTTTGCCTTTTTTTTTTGGAAAAATATGAATAACTTCTGTAATTTTGATTGTATTATTTTGAAATTTTAAACAATAATAGATAATAAGTTTATCTAAATAGTTGTAAAAGAATTTTTGAAAAATGTGAATTTGAATCAAAGATATTTAAGTTTAAAGTCCAATTTATACCGAAAACGAGTCTACACTATTTAATTTTATATTGCGTTGCTATGACACCGGTGCGCAAAGTATAACTGGTTGCATACTTAAACACTTTGTGAATATGAAAGCCTGTAGTAAACTTTGCATGCATTTTATTGCTCTGAATGTAAATAGAGAAAGTTTCCGACTAAAGTGTACATAATTTAACCTTGATTTCTCCTTCTCGCAAAACTAACAACTTTATAATACCTCGTACGCAATTGTTTTAGTTAACTCGACTGTTTTTGTTATTTGTTGATTTTAATACGAAATGACGTAATCTTTTGCAACTCACCGCGTGTTCTTCCGCACGTACGCACTACTCCAAATTTTACTTATTAATCTTATTATTTTTTTATTAAAAACAATAAAATACAACTAAAGATAAATTAATTCATTTTTACACTGCTTGACTATAGGCAACCCAACTTGCAATAAACTTGAATTCTCATTGCAAATAACATTGTGTGACTACACTACTCGTATGACTAATAATTATCAAATAAATGAGTAATTTAGAAGTCACATGGAGAAAATAAAAACAAACAGCATGAACAAAGAATAAATTCGCGTCTAGAATTACGCACACATTGAACACGTGCGCGAACTTTATCGCGTCGCTGCTGTTTAATCAAATTTGCCGCAATTGTCGATTAATTGTTTGTAAAAATATTAATTTCACTTGTGGAATTGCGGAATCTCGCTCTATCTCGGCGATAAGCTAATAAAATACGGTATAATTCATCTAGGCAACCGATAAGGACATAAAAGAACGCGTCTCGACCGCGAATTAATAAATTATGAAGTAATTATTAATAGGATTTGTAAATTTCAGCATTTTTTTTGACGGATTTTTGGATTTAACTCAAAAAGTAATAAAAATAAATGAAAAATTCTTTCACTAATCAACTAAAAATTAAATTCTGCGTAAAATTAAATATATTGCAAAAATATGAATTGTTTATAACAAAAGTTACAGACAAAATAAACAAAAAAATTATGAAAATTTAACTTTTTTCGTCTGTAACTTTTAATTATAAAACAATATAAACAAATAATTTTCAAGAAAACACGCAGAATTTAATTGTTAATTAAATACTAAAAGAAATTCTACTATATCTCTCTTAATTACCGCGGAATTAATTAAAACATGTATAAAAACGCTGTTTTTCCCAATTATATCAATTATTTAACCATGATTCTTAAAATACTAATAAATGACTAATGATTAATTAATAAATTTGACTTACTTGATGTGGTCATACTCCTCGGCGGGTATCCGTACGTCCAGTAAGCTCTGCTTCACCAAATCTTCTTCTTTTGCACTTTTTTCTTCCGTTTCTTCGACATTTTCAGCACTTTCCGCTGGTTTGAGCACTGATACATTCACAAGTGATGCGTTGAATTCTTTTAAAGACTTTTGCAATCTGCTTAGTTTAAGTGGAGAACTATGTTTGGTATTTACAAGATTTTTTAAGGGAGATTGGGGTCCATTTTGTTTTTCTGGAGTGGTATTTGCGGAAGGTATTATAATAACTTCTTTGTCATTGTCGTTATTTACTAGTTCTGTTTCTTCTGGTGAGATGTTTGCTGAAATAGACAAAATATTAAAGGTTAAAATATGTTTAATCAATAATTTACGAAATTTTATGTCATTTACGAGTATGAGTATAAAAGTGCGTGTTTTGTTCAGAAATTTTTAATGAACAAGAGGATATGTATCATATTAATACTGATGAGGTAGAATTAAATTATAAATTGAATTTTGAAAGAATTAGAAGGATATATTTATTAGTTTTAAAATAATTAATTAATCAGTGCAAAAGTTTGTCAAAATTTAAAAAAAAAGTGGGAATTTTGCTCTGAACTTTTTAATAAATTGCACAATTTCCGTCATATATTTACTGAAGATGTTGAATTCAATTACAAATAAAATGTTGAAATAATTGAAAGAATGTCTCTATTAGTTTTTGCGTAATTAATTAATTTCTTGAAGAATACATAGCTTAAGCAAAAATGAAAAAGTATGTTTTTTTGTTTATAACACTTAAACGAATCCAAGAATCTGCGTAATATTTTTATTTTAGATGTAGAATTTAATTAGGAATTAATTTTTGAAAGGATTGTTAAGATATCTTCAATAGTTTTAAAGTAATTAATTAAATATTCATAAAACAAATATTGCATAATTTACCAAAAAATGCGTGTTTTGTTCAAAACTTATTAATAAACAACCCAATCTATCTAAAAATACTCATAGTTGATGTAAAATTAAATCCTAAATCAAATTTTAAAATGAATATCAAAATATGTCAATTAATTCGAGAGTAATTAATTAATTACACAAAGAATTAAAGACACGATAGCCAGAAAGACCTTATTTAGTTAATAATTTTTGAATAAACGACTTACAATATCCAAATTTATATACATATAGTTAATAACAAAAGAATTTTGAAAACAATCAGCGATATCTCAATTACTTCACGCGTACTTAATTAATTAATTAATCAATTAATCATAAATATCAAATATTTGCCAAACTTCCTGCTATCACCATAAAAACCAAACAAAAACAACTCTCACCTTTGCGCGTAAACCGATAAATGCTTTTACTCATCTTGAATATCTTCCTATTTCTTCAATCCCACGTTTAAACTCAATTTGTACACAATCATACCTTGTTTCACTTCACTTCGTTATCACAGAGTTTACACTTAAATTAAATCCTTATATAAATTTTGCATAAATACATAAACTTCTCCCAACAGAAAAACACCACTCTTCTTTACTTAAACTCATCCAACTTGACTTAAATGCATGACTTTTGCCTCAAGCACCAAAACAACAACAAATTTCCTCAAAAAACTAGGTTAACACTTTGATTTTCTTCTAGATTCTGATGATTCATAGGTTTTCCTCACAATTACATCCGTTTCAAGTTAGACTTTAGAATTTAGCTTTGTTCTATTATAATAAAAAACGACTTTTATTACACATCTGTCCGCACACAACAGAACGAATCGGTGGAATGAACTAATGAACTAGAATGGGTTTGGTGGCACACGCGATAAACTCATCGCGCTTTTTACACGCAACGCGGAATTGAACCGAGTGATTGTGATAGGCGATGAGACGATGAGAATTATTGAAAGTGGATCGGCCGAGTTACTTTATTTAGATGCGGACATGTGTGCGGTGATGTGATGTACATGAACATCGTGACACTGACTCATAGAAAAGTGACTTGACACTTTCACAGGCGTCATGAAGGTCATTGGAAAATAGAATATACCAATGGTTAGAGAGAAATTTTGGGATAAAGTAAATAAAATTATAATTAACAGGTGGAAAACTATGAAATATGATAGAAAATATTAATTATTATGTTATATGATTGTTTAAATATTTGTTTTTAGTGTGTGGAGTTCTTAATTAGAGAAAATTGAATAAAAATTTTACTTTGGACAAGCAGTATGTTAGTATTTTAGAGGTTTTAGTTCCAGGGGTCACCATAGGCGGCGCGGAACGCAACTATCTGTCATATTCAAATAATATACGAATGGTTAAAGGACAAAACTAAAATAAAACATTAAAATGGTGAAATTTAACAAAAAAAGACGTGGTTTTCATATAAAATCAACAAAATTAATTGATTTAGCATAAAAAGAAAAGATAATTGTCTTTATATGCAATTTAACTTTCAAAAATTTTAAAAATACTTTGGGACATTCTCCTTTGGACATGGGGTATGAAATAATATTTTATATTAGTTCCCGAACACACCGCAAGAGGCGCTCGAGTGCAAATCTGTCAAAATAGGTATAAAAACTTCAAAAGTTTCAAATCACCCCAAAAACTATCCCTAAAATTAATGTAAACCATAAAAGTTCACATATTCTACCTAAATTAATATAAATATACTCTGCAAAGTATAAAAACGCAATATTTCACCTAAAAAAATTCAAATTTGACACCCATACGTCAACCTGACAGCCGCTCACACATAAACAAGCCCTACATACACGAAAACAAGGGCTACACGTCACTGTCACTCCCGTCGAAGGCGATTTTCCAGCGCGAACCGCGGCGATTTTCCTATTTTCCGCGTTAATTACATCTGCCCCGATAATTATGTTCAACTCAATTACTCATCCGCTCGTAGTGTTCAAAAACCAGTGAAGTTTTACGCCACCAGATGTTAAAATCATAAAGTTCCTATGTTATTAAACACATAAACATTCGAGGAGAGGCTTCAACGACAGCCAGGGAAGATAAAAGAAAATGTTTAAGAAGCTCAAGGATAAGATCGCCGAAGAGGTGAAGATCTCTCCGCAGCGCATGCAGCAATTTCAACAATTTACACAGTCAATGACTGACAAAATACAGCAGGGATTAGAACAAGGTGCTACCTCACCAGATGACGGATTGTTTTCAATCAGTGAAGATGGTGAGATATTATTTTTTGAATAATATAGAAATTAGAGGTGATTATTACCTTGTTTTGTGGTTGTTGTGGTGTTTGTAGATACGAAGATGGCGGATTCGGGGTTTACCAATGTGCCGCTGCATGTCTCGACGTCTAATCCAGAGTTGCCTCAACGAGTACGGCGTAATTCCAACTCGTCCATCGCCAGCGATGTTTCGTTTCTGCCCCGATATGAATCTACAATGAATTCATATCATTTACAGGTTAGAAATTGGGTTAAATTGTGTGTAAATAGCGTTAAAGTAAGGTTAGGTTATTTGGACATAGTTTTTCTATGATAAACCTTACTTTTAATGAGAGAATTTGTAGAAATAAACAGAAAAGTATCGAAAAATTATCAAAATGCTTTAAAATACGTTTTGCAGAAGTTTGGTTATGTTGCATATAAAGTTTGAGGTTATATTATGTGCAGAATTTAATTTATTATAAGTTATTTAAAGAATTATAAATATATCTTTGTTAGTTTTCGAGTTATTCATTAAACATTGTGGAAATATTGCACATTATTCGAAATAGGTGAAGATAAAGTTACTAATTTGGGAATTACGCGAAAAGTACGTGAGTTATTACGAAAATTCTAACTAAAAATAGAGTAATGGCAATGTTGGGTTATTTATAATTATAATTTGTGTTACTAACCGCATTACTAAAGACAATAGAGCATAAATAAACAAAAAAGCGCAAAATTCAGTTTAAAATGGTAAAAATAAGGTTATGTCAAATTTGGTTATGTTGCATATAACATTTTATACCAGAATTGATGCAGAATTTAATAATGAATATACACTTGAAGGAATCAATAAAATATCTCGATTAGTTTTCGAGTTATTCATTAAAAACTGTTCAAATGTTGCGTAATAATGAAAAGAGGTGAAGATTAAGTTACTAATTAGTGAATTACTCGAAAAGTACGTGAGTTATCATAAAAATTCAAACTAAAAATGGAGTAATAACATTGTTAAGTTAGTTATACTTATGTTTTGTGTTACCAACCGCATTTTTTAAGACAATATTAGCATAAATAAACAAAAAAAGCGCAAAATAGGTTGAAAAATAGTAAGAAAATTAGGTTATGTGATGTTTGGTTATGTTATACAAAACATTTTATACCAGAATTGATGCAGAATTTAATAATGAACATACTCTTGAAAGAATTATTAAAATATCACGATTAGTTTTTGAGTTATTCACTAAAAACTTTAAAAATGTTCCGCAACTTTCAAAATAATGTTTTAAAAAAATTATCAATTATTAAATAACTCGAAAACTAATCAAGTTATCATAACAACTCAAACTGAATCTTACTTAGTATTTAATTCTGCATCAAAACATGCAAAAATATTGTTGATATCACATCTCCATCAAAAGTTATAAACAAATAATCTCAAACTTCCAAAAAATAACCTAAAACACTAAAACAATTTGATTACATTGCAGTCTGACCTTGACGTGTCCGCCAGTGAAGTAGAAGACAACCTTTCCCAACAGTCTTCATCACTCGGCCATGTCAGCAAGGAACAAGTGCACATGGCCTTCCAAAAGGCCCAAATGCGCTACCACAAGTACCGTGGCCGCTACACCGACCTCGCCAACCACTACAAAGAACTCGAACGAGAAAATGCTAAAATGAAGGTAGACATAACCTCAACCACCCCCAAAACAAACAAAAACATAACATAACCTCAATTTTAACCTATTTCAGGCAGTATTAGTGGAAACGCAAGACAAAGCCATCCGTCGAGTCTCCGAATTAAAAGAACAATGCACTCTATCACAACGCGCGAAAGCCGATCTGGAATCAGCTCTGCGTGTTGAAATCGAAGAGAAGCTAATAATCATCGACACGCTCAAACAAAAGGTCGACCTGTTGCAAACCAGCGCTGAAATCAACGGCAATGACGGTTTATCCACGCCGTCAACTCCATCAACCACAGCGTCAACATCCACCTCCATTTCTACACCGATCACAAACGGCAACAATGGGAATATTAGTAATAATAACGATAATAATGAGCTACTCAACGACCTAAACGAGAAACTCCAGGAGTATAAAGCTAGTAGTATTGTATCCAAGGAAAAACTCTCAGCTTTACAAAGAGAATTAGACGAGGCGAAGCAAATGGTCGCAGAAGTACAAGAAAGAGAAAAGAATAACAATTTAAAGTTTGCGAAGAGTAAGTTGGATTTACATACGGAGTTGCAGAATCGTGAGTTGGAGATAACGAATTTAAAGCAGGATTTGGAGACGATACGTGTGGATTTAGAGGGGTATGAGAAGGGTGGTGGGTTGAAGGCGCAGAATGCGAATTTGATTGATAAGTGCGAGGCGTTGAAGATGAAGAATCATGAGCTGGGTGCGGAATTACTGAAAACTGAACAGTATAAGTTGGAAATTCAGGATTTAAGGGAGGAAATTAAGAAATTAGCGGGTAGTGAAAAAGATAATGAAGAAACTAATCAATTGAAGTGAGTTTTTTATAATATAACCTCAATTTTATGTTATTTATGATGTTTTTTTTAGGTTAAAATTACTTGAAGTTGAGAAAAATAATATGGATAATCTTCAAAAGGTCGAAAATAAGTACCTGGAAGAAATTAGGGGTTTAAAAGATGAAATTTTAAACTTTGAAGAGGTTAAACAAGATTTTGAGAAGAGTAAACAAGAGAATTTGATGTTGAAGTCCAGTGTGGAGGAAAATAATGCGTTGAGGTACGTTTTTGGATGTTATTTGAGATTATAACCTCAATTTTATGCTTCTATGTGTTTTTTTAGGTTGAGGGTGATTGATCTTGAGAAAAACAACGAAGATGTTCTTAAAAAGGTGGAGAATAAGTACACACAAGAAATACAAGCTTTAAAAGATGAAATTGTGAGGTTAGAAGAGGTTAAACAACAATTTGAGAGTGTCAAGGAAGAAAACCAGCTATTAAAGAGTGGGATGGATGAAAATAATGATTTAAAGTATGTTTTATGCTTAAATTTATATGAAGAATTTAGATTTTAACTTTTTTTCGTTGTTTTTTAGGTTAAAGTTAACCGAAATAGAGAAAAACAATGTTCTGAAGCTTGAAAACATTGAATCGCAGTATAAAGAAGAAATTAAGGGTTTAAAACATAAGAATGAGTTATTAACTAATGAATTAGAAGAAAATGAACAGTTGAAGTAAGTTTAACTTAAGAAATTGTGAATATAACCTCAATTTTAATCTATTTTTAAAATTATTTGTAGGTTAAAATTGCTTGAAGTTGAGAATAATAACACTGATAAACTTAAAGAGGTAGAAAATAGCTACAGTAAAGAAATTCAAGCTTTAAAAGATGAAATTGTGAAGTTTGAAGAGATAAAGCAGCAATTTGAGGTTATCAAACAAGAAAATGAAGTTTTGCAGAGCCAAAAAGAAGAAAATAATGAGTTAAAGTATGATTAAGATATAAACAAGTAAAAATAACATAAAGTTAATCTATATTTGTGTTGTTTTTAGGTTAAAATTAACAGAAAACGAGAAAAACAATGTTTTGAAACTAGAAAATCTAGAAACAAAATATAAAGACGAAATAAAAGCTTTAAAACATGAAATTGAGAGATTCAACGAGGTGAAAACACAATTTGAAAGTGTTAAACACGAAAATGGGTTGTTAAAGAACGAAATAGAAGAAAACAAACAATTAAAGTAAGTTTAACATATGAAATTCCGCACATAACCTCAATTTTAATCTATTTTTCTCAATTTTTATAGGTTAAAACTAAACGAAATTGAAACCAACAACGTAACTAAACTTAAACAGATTGAAACTACCTACCAACTTGAAATTCAAGCTTTAAACGATGAAATCACCAAGTTAAATGAAATTAAACAACAAATCGAGAGCATTAAACAAGAAAATCAGCTATTAAAGAATACAGTAGATGAAAACAATGAATTAAAGTAAGTTTAACTTAATATTAAACAAACATAACCTCAATTTTAATTAATTTCTAGGTTAAAACTAACCCAACTCGAGAAAAGTAATGAAACTATGACTAAAACACACTCAGAACAAATCAAAACCCTCCAGGAAGAAACAAAACACTCACTTGTTTCACTCCAAGAAAAGATCCGCAACACCCTCCTCTCTGAATACCAACAGAAGGAAGAAACACTCAAACAAGACTTCGAAGTAAAACTACAGCAGTTGAACCAACAAGGTGATTCACTGAAACAAACGCAGATTAAACTAATGCAGGCGGAGGATGCGTTGAGAATCTATGAATCTACCAGCAAAGAAAACGAAGAGAGTATAAGTGTACTCAACGAGAAAAACACACAACTAGAGAAAAATTATGTAGTGTTAATGGATGAAAACAATGGTAGGCAGAATGAAATCGCCGGGCTGAAACAACAACTCGAGAATAAAGATAAAAAGTGTAAAAGTCTCGAAGATGAGAAAAAACTACTCCAGCAGGAAACAAAGAAACTAGAAGGTGAATTAACACAAAAGATTTTAAGGTTAAAGGAAGAGATAAAGGTCCTACTTGATGAGGAAGAACAAAAACGTTTACAAGTGCAAAATCAACTTGAAAACACCGAAGAAAAGTTACAAGAAGAGAAAAAAGCATTAAAAGATAAAATAAATGAATTAGAGGTTATGTTAAGTGAGAGTAAACAAAATGGCGATGAAGTAAATGACTTAAAAGCTCAGTTAGAAGATAAAAACCATGAAATAACAAAGTTAAAAGAAACTCACACGGAAAATATGACTATTTTACAAAACCAATTGAAAGAATTGAGTGAAATGAAAAACACAGCGCAAACAAGATGGCAGACGGAGAAACAAGGCTTAATTACACAACTAGAAGAGTTCACAGAGCAACAAGACAAAATAAACCAAGAAAAACAATCATTACAAGCGAGGAATACACAGTTATCCAGCGATAACAAACGCCTCATGGACGAAAACGACAAACTACTCTCGGAATCCTCCGATATTATGCTGCAATTAGCCACGAAAATCACCAACACTGACGCTGAAGTCGCTGAAAAACTCGCTGATGTCTCCACGAAATACTCTCTAGCTTTAGACGATGCAAAACTAGCCAGAGAAGAGCTAGAAACCTTTAAAAAACAATCTTCGCAGCTACAATACGAAAAACAAATCGCTGATTTGGACAAACACGTCAGTGAACTGGAACAGGAACGACAATTCCTCAAAGATGAAATCGACGAGCTTAAAACAACGCCTATTAATATAACAACAACTTCACTGAGTGAAAAAGATGTTGAGTCACTGCAAGCGAAACTTGCGCAGTACAAAAGTATTGATGTGACTAATCGTAGTTCAATTGAATTTTATGAGAATGAGCTGCAAAAACTACAGTCGAAGAATGAGAAGCTCAATAGGAAGCTGGATGAGACTTTGGTTACGCTGAATCATTGTGCTGATTTGTCTGCGAGCACTGAAGTGGAGTATTTAAAGAATGTGCTGTATAATTATATGCTGGGGAAGGAGAGTGTGGTGCTGGCGAGGGTGATTGCAGCGGTTTGTAAGTTTGATAGACAACAGACTGAGACTGTGATGAAGCATGAACAACACAAACAGAGTTTGGTGAGTTGAAATTGAGAGTTTTACTTACAGTTTGTGAGGTTAAATTTGCAGAACTGATTTTTAATCGATTTTTGTATGATTTCGCGTGAAATTTGATGAAATTTATTGTTTATTATGTTTATTAAGTTGTGTTTAATACTTTTTGATAGTTTTCTATGCGTATTTCTGTGTATTTCATTACTTTTTTACGATTTTACTGTGATTTGAATCGCGCTGTAACCGCCGGTTGATATTTTTCGCATTATACATACGTAGGTTATGTAAAATTTGAATGTTTATCACTCACCTGAATAAAACACTGTTTTCTTCTCGGATTGCAGTTGGGACAACTTGGAATTCTCTAGCATTTCGCCCTGAGCGCCGAAAGAAAGAAGCAAGTATGACCACGCGGAAACGCACCGGATAACACCGCCGGCCATTTTGAATCTTGGCGTCATCATGCGCATCGCGCATCGCAGTGTTGCCAACCTAACTTAACCCAACATAAAAACCCTCCACAAGGACTTATTAACAAACAAAAAAAAACGTTAAAAACGTAACCAAATGAAACAATTTCACACGTGTGCTAATGTTGTTCACCATATTTATCGATACTTTCAATGGGAAATGTGCATTTAATGACTTACTGACTTAAAACAAAAGCTTAATGATATTGTTTTGTACATAGAGTGTAAAATGTCGAGGAAAGTAATTTATAGCGAGCAAATTATGAATACGCAGTGTTATAACTTATAAGTAAATAATATAAATGATGTAAAGTGTATGATTGAACCTATGATGTATTTATTATGTACAATATTACTGCACAAGCATTGAGTAGTAGTGTTTAAGTTGGTGCCACTGTTGTGGTGACAGCAGCGGTTGTTGTGGGTGTTGTAACAACAGCAGCAGTTGTTGTGGCTGCTGTTGTGGTTGTTGTTGTTGGAGCAGTTGTAGTTGTAGTGGTTGTAGTAGTTGTTGCTGCTGTTGTTGTTGTAGTTGCAGCTGCAGCATTTTGATAAGGTCCACCCCAGCCCCATGGCCGCCAGCAGGGCCAAAGTGGATGACTGTAGTATCCGGGAGGTCCTTGAGGAGGTCCTGGAGGACCATAACCACCGAAACCGAAACAAGGAGCTGCGTTTACATTCAAAATCAACGATGCAAACAAAATGGCCGCTAGGAAACACACAGAGTACGCAGACATTTTGTTTTTTCTTCTTTTTTGTTAACTACAACTTGTTTTAAATGATTTTAGATGACTACTGAAACAATTTACAGCTTTAAATGGTTTTATATGATTAAGAATAAAGGAAAACAAACGATGTGGATGGTAAACATTGTTTTCGCAGAAGCAGTGATTGTTTTTTTGTTTTCTGGTAAAACAAACGCTTACTTACAAACTCGCGGAGAATACACGTCTCTGTCAATATATACGCAGTTAAATATTTTGAACAGACTTACAAAGCGTAAAATAGGTATTTTTATATTATTTACGTGTGTTGTTTGGGTTGCATATGTTTTAACCTCTTGTTTATATACTATTTGTATTATTTAGCTGCTGGTGCAGCTGCAGGGGCGGCTGCAGGAGCTGCAGCAGGCGCAGCTGTGGTAGGTGCAGCTGTTGTGGGTGCCGCTGTTGTGGATGCTGCAGTAGTTGGCGGCGGTGGAGGTGTTGCAGCTGTTGGGGGTGGATAATATGGTCTGCATACCCACCAAGGACCATAGCAAGGTCTGGTCCATGGGGGGAATATACATGGCGCTGAGGACACTTCCGGTGTACGCCATACAAACACCAAGATGAATATTAACCTTAAAATCTATTAAACAGCGTGAAATTTGTTTTGTTTTTAACACAAAAACTTGTTTTTGACTTACTTTCATGGTTTTCTTAATGAATTTTCTAGGAAAAGTGTAGATTATTAATATTTACATCAATTTATAACAAGAAATAAGAGTTTCTTTTGTTTAGTGTGTTGCAAAACGTAAATATAAGAACAATAGTCATTGTATGATGTTTGTGTACTAAACAAACTTAAGTTGAGACTTTAAATGGTAATAATTATAGGTTAGAAGTCATTTGGTGGTTGGTGTTTGATATATGGTGATAGAGAATTTCACTGGCTTTCATTTCATGGTAAATTTGTTAATTTATCTTAAAAATTACAAAAGTTATGAACAAAAAATATAAAATAAAAATCACCATTTGTCCACTTTAACTGCATTTATTTATATGTTCTGAAGTGATAACCTATAATCAATATATATTATCTTATAGATAATTTAAATAGCTTCCTTTTGATAGTAAATTTGTTTAAATATCTCAAAAATTACAAAAGATATTAACAAAAATGCAAAATAACCATAAATATCATCATTTATGCACTTTACCTTCATTTATTAATATGTTCAGATGTCATAACCTAACAGAATGACATATTATCTTTTAGAGAAATTAATTAGCTTCCTTTTGATAGTTAACTTGTTTAAATATCTTAAAAATTACAAGAAATACCAACAAAAACATCAAAAGCATCAAAAATATCAAATATCAACTTTCCATTCATTTATTTACATGATCTCAACACATAAATAATGAAAATTTAGTATTATCTTATTAAGAATTTAATCAGCTTTCATTTGATACTAAATTTGTTAATATACCATCAAAATAACAACAATTACATTCAAAAAACATAAAAAATTCACATTTTAAGAATTACCACCACTCCTATTCACCAATGGCGGATCAGGTGACCACCACCACCACGGCGCATTCATAAAACGATTCTCCGGAAGTTTAGGATGTTCAGGAACACACGGAAAATAAACAGGCGCAGCTCCCACACTCCCCAGCCGCCATATTGTCAACCAAAACCACCACATACAAAATATAACCTAACAACATTAATGCATCCGTAAATATTGACAATATATTGACTCACCTTCATGTTTTCTTCAATCTGTAACCTAGGAATGGAAATAAACCATTGTTGCAATTGTAATATCAAAAATGGCGCAAGATTCCCGCGCCTGCAACGCTTATCACTTGTTTATCACTCGTGATACATCAATATTAACCTGCGAATCATGTTTATCATGACGCAACGTCATATTTGAGTTTAAAACAGTTTTATTCTTGTTTATATAGAAATATAAGATATGTTTTGACGATTAGAATATTTATGACATGTACACACGCAAAATGGCCGCCATTGGGACTAATAGTGTATTAGTATATAGGTTTTATTGTTACAAAATGGCTGCCGCTTTATTTGTTTTGTTAGTATATTTTGTGTTTGTGTTAATTTTACTTGTTTTTTGTTTTATTTTGTGTGGTTGTTTAGTAAGTGTGGTTCTTGACAAAGTTGCCAGAGTCGCCGGCGGTTCCGGAAACAGTTCCGGCTTGGTATTTGCCCAGAGATGCTTGGCTGTTTGCCTGAAATAAAAAAATAAAGGTTATGTTAGTAAAAATGATGAATAATTGTGGTTTTTTGAGGTTATGTTACCTTGGCACGCTTGAGGAGTTCTTCCTGAGCGGCGCAGACGTTGTCGTCCTTGCCACCCCACGCCTTGAGGACTGAAGCTTGCAGAGCGCGACCGAAACTGAAGGATAAAGCCCATGGCTTCTTGCCTTCACATCTAAAAGAAGAAAGTATAAGTTTTTATTAGTTGATAAATTTGGTGTCAAACTTTGAGGAATTTAATTGGCTATGATTTGATGTTAAATTTGTTAAAATATATGCAAAATGACAAAAGTTATTAACAAGAAACTAATATAATGTATAATTATTATTGTAAAAATTGTGTTTTTTGCTATTTTAACTATCAAAATGACCGGTAACCAAATTATGTTTGACACTGTTTTATAGAGAATTCGATTAGCTTTCATTTGATGTATAAATCTTTATGGTTACCAGAAAATTACGATAGTTTGATAGTTTGATAGATAGTTTGAAAATATTTCTGTTCGAACTTAATTAGTAAATAAATTAATGTTTTTAATTAAAAATATTATTAAATTTGGTATCATTCGATGCAGAATTTAGTTGGCTATAAGAATATGTCAAGATTGTTGTTATAACCTCAAAATCACAAGAGTTATAAACAAATTACTGAAATATTTCAAGATTTTTATATAAAATTAAGAAAAAATTAAATATTTTAACTTTATGAGCGGATAACTTCGTATTAATAACAATTATTTGCATAAAATTTAGTATCATTTTGAAGATAATTTAATATACTTTAAGATTATCCTTAGAAAATTATTCTAACTTTAAAATTTAAAAAGTTATAAACAAAAAACGAAACAAAACAAAAATTTCGAACTTTTAACTTTAAAATCAGTAATTCATTAATAACAATCAAAACTAATATAAATCCTACACAGTCTTATAGACAATTTAATTATCTATCCAATGATACCAAATTTATCAATAACCCTCCAATCACTTCAAAGTTACAAACAATTTTCCATAAAAAAAAACAACAAAAAATCACACTTACTGATTGATTGCATTCAAATTCACAGACGCTTCCTCCTCACTCTGTCCGCCCGACAGGAAAGTAACTCCGGGCACTGCTGGAGGTACAGTCCTCTGCAGAGCGGTGACAGTGGCACGTGCGACATCCTCCGGCCCAAATTTGCACGCATGCGACATGCCTCCAGTAACCATGTTGGGCTTCAACAGTGTGCCCTCGAGGAAGACATGGTGGTCAGCGAGTGCCTTGTAGACAAACGAGAGCACAGTCTCTGTGACCTTCTGGCAACGGACAATGTCATGGTCGCCGTCGGGGAGGATCTCCGGCTCGACAATCGGTACAATACCGTTCATTTGACAGATGGACGCGTAACGGGCGAGGACGTTGGCGTTTTCCATGATGGCTTGGTACGTGGGCGTGTGTTTCTGGATTTTCAGCACACAGCGCCATTTCGCGAAGTGGCAGCCATCTTTTTTGTATTGTGCACAGCGTTTGCCCAAATCGTCCAAACCTTAAATTACATTGGAATTTGAGATTTTAGTTTAAATTTTAGTTTAAATGTTTATAATAATATGTTGGAGGTTGTTATGTTGTTAATTTTGGGTAGATATTTGTAGAGAATTTAATTGTGGTTAATTTGATGTATAATTTGTTAATGTAGCATAATAATTGCAATAGTTATTAACAAAAACATAAAAAAATGTCAAGAAAATTTGATTTTTTTTCGAAAAATTAACTTTAATAGCGTTTATTTTAATTAATATGACTAGATATCTTTTTACTTTTGATATCATCTGGTAAAGAATTTAATTGGGGTTAATATGATACATAATTTGTTGATGTAGAATTAGTATTGCAATAGTTATTAACAAAAATATAAAAAAAGTCAGGAAAATTTGATTTTTTTCAAAAAATTAACTTTAATTGCATTTATTTTGATTAATAAGACTAGTAATCTAACTAATTTTGATATCACCTTGTAGATAATTTAATTGGGTTTAATTTAAGCCCAACTTGGTTGTTGTAACTTCAAAATTACAATAATTATAACAAAAAAAATTCAAAACCGAAAAAAAATCAAACATCAATTTTAACCTCAAATTACTAATTGTTCCTAACTAATTCCCTAATCAAATTTATTAAAATCCAACAAAAACTTTAAAAGTTATAAGCAAAAAACCAAACATTTTACCTTGAGTAGTGCCTTCACCATCAGTTCCCATCAATGGCACCACACCAGTATCCACTTTAATACCGGGAATAATTCCACGTTGCTTGAGAAGTTCCGGGAAGGGTGTACCATCATCAGACTTCTGATACAATGTCTCATGGAAGAGAATAACGCCGGAAATGTAGTCGCCAATGGATTTATCGGTGGTGAACAACAATTGACGGTATTTACGGCGGTTTTCTTCGGTGTTTTCTTGTCCAATGTCCTGGAGACGTTTGCCCATAGTGCCTACGGACTCATCAGCAGCCAGGATGCCCTTGCCGGGGCATACAATGGCGTTTGCGATGCGGCGGAGTTCATCCTGCATCGCTTCATCGGGGTAGTTGAAGTACGAAGACATGACTGAGTAGTTTGCTGTTTTTCTAATAATAATAATAATAAGAAATGTAAATATTGATAAATATTAATATACATTAAATGTGTGATTGATAATTATAATATTATTGATTAGAAAAAAAGAGAGGAGATTGATTGTTGTGTTATCATGTTTACTGTCTGTGAGTTATTTAAAGATGGATAAATGCATGTTTGAAAGGTTACATCAAGGTTAAACTATAAATATATTGTTGAGGGTTTAATTATGTGTGTTTTAGAAGTTATTTTGGAGAATTTGATGTAAAATTGTGGTTGTTACAAACAAATTAGCGAAAGAAAACATGAAAATGCTTAAAATTGCCATTTTTAGTTTAATTGTTTAAAATAATCACTTTGCAAATTGTTTTTGATTAAAATTTATATGTTATATTGTAGGTTATTTTATTGAGGTGATTTTTAAACTTATTTGAAGAGATTTGAAGCAAAACTGTAGAAGTTATTAACAAATTAGTCAAGAAAATCACAAAAACTTTCCAAAAAACAACAATTTTCGCTTTGATGTTTAAAATAATGTACTCAAAAGTACTTTTACAACAAATGTTGTATATCAAGTTGTAGATAATTTAATTAGGTATATTTTTAAAGTTAATTGATCAAATTTGATAAAAAATCGTAAAAGTTATGATCAAATTAGTCAGAAAATGCAAATCCCGCCAAATTTTAATGAATGTCAAGACTAATTGTTATAAATAAAGTGCTTATAAACAATTATAAAACAAATATTTAGCATCACTTTATAGACAATTTAATTGTCTGTATTTTTAAAGTTATTTTATCAAATTCGACAAACAATTGTGAAAGTTATAAACAAAATAAACCGAAAAAGCAATTTTTCAAAAAATATTCTTAATTAATAAAAATTAAGAACTTCTAATTATTTTTTCAATAACAACCAAATATGAACCTATAGAGAATTTAATTGTTTATCATCTAAGACTATTTTCGTTTCTCTGGCATAAAAATAACAACAATTATAAACAAATTTGTATAAACATATCAAAATACCACCAAAAAACATAAAAAAATCAACTTTAACTATTAATAACAACCAAACTACTAACACTAACCACATACACCATAACTAATATGATGCAGAATTTAATTGGCTATAATTTAATACCAAATTTATTAAAATCATCATAAAACTACCAAAGTTATACGCAAATTCCTATTCAATGTCACACATAAAACCAAAAATCAACAAAACCAGTAAAACCCGATAAGATAACGGCACGAATTACCATTCGTCAAATCCGGAGGCTCGGCTAAACAAAATTACATCACCCAAACACGTCACACGACAACATAAACATAAAAAACATACACACATCAAGCGCGATTACACCACAAACAATAAAAAATAATATAATCAAGTCTAATATTACGAAATTTCATACGTGTTTAGCTATCTGATAACACAAATGGTGAAAGTCTACACACGTAATACAATATTCTACGTTTTATTTGATAAAATTATCAAATTTTAATACCAAAGTACGAATTTCGAAGTAAACTCAAGTAAAACGCATACGAAACGCAATAAATGTTAATCCGACCGGTTTTCGATGCAAAAACCAACAAAAATTCGCGCGTTTCTACTTGTATCAACGTCAACGAACGCGTTATCATGACCTACAGGTCACCTTGACTTTCACTGTCGCCATGAGTCGCCATATCATAACTCTCAACTCTCAAACTTTCAATATCTCAATATATTCCAACAACTACAGTTAATTTTAACATAAAACTCATGTAAAACTGCGAATTACATTAAAATAAACTAAAAAACAATCAAATAAACCCGTCAGCCATTTTGTATCACGAGTTATATCAAGTTTTCAACTATTTCACACAGTTTTCTTCATTTTCAGTGAATTTTATCGTTAAAACTGATAAAACATATCAAGTTATTCGTTAGTAGGTTATGTACACATTCACAACGTGTTAATTATTAATTACTGAGCCTGAAACACGACAAAACTAACAAAATCCAGCTTAAAACTTTTCAAATGTCAAATTTGTCACTTACTTGCAGATAAACCTCAATTAAAAGTGTCGTTTGTACACAAAACACACACAACTAGTCGCCTGCTGCCTGCTGACTAACTTATGTACGTCTATGGCCTGTTTCTCCTGCCGGCTGCGAGTAGGGAGCGACGCAAAGTGCACGAATTTGTTTGCGACGTGAACGTGAATGACGCGTAGAGGACGCCGAAAGGTCGAAACGTTTGAACCGTCGCTGATCCTGCCCGCTTCTTTATATAATATCACAGCGACAATGCTAGATTGTCATTAGTGTTATCATTATCACTGGTTATTGCATGAGCGATAAGATACGGCATTGATCCAATGCGTTGCATATCGAATGTATCGAAATATTCCATCGTTAACTACAATGAAAATAATTTTAGGTTATTTTTGTGGAAAATTACAGAAATTCACTTTCTTCGGCTTGTATTATGTATAATTACCTGTTTTAACTTGTAATATTATATGTTATTAATATATTACCTTCTAATTGTTGTTATTTGTTGTTTATCGGGCTGAAAATCTGTTTATTTCAAGTTTTAAACCGGAATCAATTTGATTTTTAGTTGGTGTGGTGTTTTAATGTAGGCAACCCAAAATACACCTAAGCAATTTATAAATGTAAATTTTTTAAACAAAAACACAATTTTAACGTGTTTAAACAATATTTCAACTATAAAAACTAATCTTATCTTGTAGATAATAAATTTATCTATTATCTGATACCAAATTTATGTAGTTTAAGCAAATATTAAGCGAGTAATCTTAAAAACAAATATTGATTCAACCAAATGTTTAAGAATTTCATCAAACAATCAAATAATAACAACTAATTTCTATTAAATTTATGTTATAAGCATACAGAGACACTCATTGAAGTGTTAAATATTAGAGGAATCAAACACAAACAGTTCCGTTGAGAAATACCACTTGAAATCAAAAAATTTCCATTTGTTTCGATTTTTTCTGTCTTCAAAACTAATATTCATTAATTACGCGTTTATTGAGCGTTCAAAGTGCAAGGAATTACCACATTACAATCCAAAACGTAGTAAAGTATATAATCTTTTGTTTAATACGTTGCGTCAAGGTGTTAACGCGTAATTTTCTCGATAATCGCATCGAAATTGAATCAATTTTCGTGTAATTATTGCTGCGAGCATTCATATTCATATATTTTGTATTTTCCTGCTTACACAAGCTCGGGATTTATCGGATGCATTAATTATTACTTGATTGCAAGCGTAGACTTCTCGTAAATCAATTATTTTCGGTGATTTGCCAAGATTTCAAGTGATATGATTTATGGTTAGGTTAGAAATTGTTGGTCATTTTTACCTCATTATATATCGGGTAATTAAACTCGGAGAATATCGAGTAAGGTATGATTAGAAAGATAATTTTGTGGAGATTAAATGTGCCAGAGGAATTATGTTTATGTGTAGTGGTTTGGACGTGGTGAGGTAAAATGTAAAGTGTTGCATTTTGAGTCAGCGAGGTATTAAAATCATGTTAAATTGTTTATAACTTTTAAACTACACGTGATAAATGCGTGATTTTTTTTGTGGAGGTAGATTATATCATGGAGTATAACATGCATTTTTTGTTTGTTTAAAATATTTTGTTATTAGGCTGTAATTTGAATAAAATCAATGAATTTACCAAAATTTTCACAGAAAAAAATGTTAATTGTTTAAATGACAATATCTTGGTTATTTATAAAGTTAGAATATTGTTTAAACATTCATTTGATAGATAATTTACCTATAAACAATCCTACCAAATATATACTATGTAACTTTAATAGTTTTTACATAATCAACAAAAAACTAAACAATTTCACTTTGACTTCTTAAAATTGCAACAAAGTACAAAATTGTCCATAACTCCTAAACAAATAACAATAAATTCCTAAATAAACCATAAAATCAACACCAGATAAATTCTCTAGCTGATACAATTTGTTACAATGTAAATAATCATTTGTTATTGCAATATTTCGCCTCTTTTGTTACAGTTTTTCTTTTTTCTGTTCCACACTCACACATCCTGCAATAATTGTAATAATTTTTATAATTCAACGTTCATCTATATGCTATTATGATTAATCATGATCTGCTCCGTTTCACTCATCTGTGTATCACGGTGTTTTTGTGTGCTATCCTCTCTTTTTTAGCATTTTTTACGTTTTTCGCTTCGTGTGCGCGGCGTGCACGCTTTTGATTACATGGTACCGGCATGCGATGTAATGATGTAGTATTAAAAAAGATCTGCGTGGAATCGGTAACTCACAATTCACAATGTATTACGAGTAGGTGGAAGCAGCAAATGTGAAATATAATGAATATTTTGTTATTGCGAATGAATTTTGTGAATATTGTATGAGGTATGAGGAAGAGAAAAAAAAAAGATTTTTGATTGAAGATTTAGGGCAGTTGTAATTAGTTTCTTGGATTGGTATTGATAGGGATGATTGTTTATTTAATAAACTATAGTTTGTTGAAGAAAAAAGTTAATTTTAGTTATTTGTTTAATAATTATTGAGGTTTTTGTAAAACGTGTCAGAATTTACGATGAAAAACACAAGTTTTACTTTGGGCCTAAATTAGGCATATTAGTTAATATTTTATGAAATTGTTTATAATAAAATCTGATTGTTTATTTTAATAGCTATCATTTGGAGCAAAAATTATTCAAATCGAACGATTTGTTTAAAAGTTATAAGAATTTTTGTAAAGTGTGTTTTCGATTGACCTCAACCGATGTCACACACTAACCAAACCACTACATTTGACCTTAATTTAAGGGTATTAATGAACCCTTTTCAAATTTTGATCTTATCTAATATTATTGTATAACTCATAAGCTATAATTATCATAAAAAATAATTAAATTCGAACGATTGGTCTAAAAGTTACAAGCAATTTTGTAAAATATGTTCATATTTACAATCTACCAACAACCAACACTAATAAAACCCCAACTTTTAACAATAAATAAAAGGTATTTACACTCAATTTAAACAATTGATATTTACCATAAATAATAATCAACTCTTTGGCTATCAAACAATAAAAAAATAAAAACAATCCGAGTTATAATTAATGAAATACCGAGTGTTTTCCAAAATTTTTCCAAAAAAATTTTTAAAAATTGTTATTTCTTCAATTTTCTCAATTAATTTTAACAATTTTCATATTTTTATTTTAAAATAATATAGATAATGTTATTAATAAACATATCAATGTCATAGACACTGTTTACCCATAAAACTTTTCCTGTTACACGATAAAATGCAAAATTTTCCTCTTTCCGCATTGTAGCGAATGCCATTATTCATTATGCAAACGACGCGACATATTGTGTTATAGAATAGGATAAAATGTAATCATAATTAGTTTACGAGTATATTTGTACATTAGTACGTAGGCCATAGTCAATGCCAGCAATCAGCAGTCGAATGTGATAACATCATAGACATTGAGTGTGTGGACAACAAAGCAACTCACACAAATTCGATTTTTATCTGGTTTATCAATAAATAAAGCAATAAACCTATAAATAAATAGATATTAATTGATAGTATTGCATGTTAAGGAGATAAATGTGGGGTTTATATGAAAATTGTTTATTTTTTGTTAATTGAAAAATATTTTTGTTATAAAAATGCAATTTTTTACTTTTTTGTTTATAATTTTTAAAATATTAATTGTAGGAAACTCGTTGTTTGGTAGTTTAATAGTCAATTAAATTGTCTTTCTAATGATGTTTTAATATTAATATTATGATGTCAAATAGAATAGTTACGATGTCACAAAGTCGAACTAATTTTAACACATCATCAAACAACCGCAAATAATTTGCAGTGTTTTATATTTTGTTGAATAATAACAAAACTATAAAAGATACAATATCCATTCCTTTACTGTTTTATTCTTGGTTAAATTATCTTTTTACTGCATTTTTAATCAAATTGATGTCTTATCAGGTGAAAAAGTTATAACCCAGCAAAGTCAAATGATTTTAATGGCATTATCAATGTTTACAGATAAATGCAATGTTTTACTTTTTAGCAAATAATTAGTAAACTATCAAATATACTAAATTGATTCTTTGACAATATTAATGTCAATTAAATTCTCTATAAAATGATATTTGCATCAAATTTACAGCTTAATAGATAAAAAAGATATAATGCCGCAAAGTCAACCTAACTTTAACACATCAACTAGTCACACACTATTCCGCGTATGATTTACAATGTTTGACATTTTGTTGGATAATATCAAAACCATAAAAGATACAAAGTTAGTTCCTTCACCAAGCTATTCTTAATTAAATTGTCTTTCGAATGACATTTTAATCCAATAGATAGCTTATCAAACAGAAGAGATATCGCGCCACTAATTCAAACTAACTTTATCCGCGTATAATCGACGTATGATTTGCATTGTTTTACATTTTGTTGAATAACATCAAAACCATAAAAGCTACAAAATACATTCCTTTACCAATTTATTCTTAATTAAATTCTCTTTCAAATGACATTTTAATCTAATTTATAGCTTATCAATGAGAAGAGTTATCATGCTTCAAAGTCAACTCATCAAACAACTTAACTTAATATCTTCATCCGAAAACAATATGCGTAATATAAAATGTACTTAAAAATTTACATAACAATAAATGCAACGTAATAAAACTTCTAAAAACCCGTCGAGTTGATTACTCGGTAATCCTCGTAACTTCCAAACCGAGAATTTTGCCGGTACTCAGTATTCCAGTAGTATACTAGTACAGCAGTCGTGTCAATAGAATAAAATACAATTTACAGACATTTACAGATTTGAATCGTAAACTTCATCATAAATGAACAAAACACAATAATATAACATAAATATTTGTGTTATGTTTTGTTCATTTGTTTAAATCGTAATAATTTAATGATTCATAGGTTTGGTTAAAAACAAAAACAAATAATAGGCAACTTATTCAACACAAATAGTAAAATTTTGTTAACTTCACTTTATAAATGTAAAAATTTGCATTAAAATAATAAAAATTAACAAATTTTTTGATGAGAATTAATAGAATGACTCTTTGACTTTAATTTGGAGAAGAAAAAATTGAATTTGAATGTTTAAATAAAAAGATACGGAGTGTTTTGTAAGATATGTCATAATTTCAAGTAGAAACACAAAAATTTGTGTGAAATCACGGTTTGCAACATTTTAAATGCAAATTAAACATAGTTATAAACAATTTAGAACTAAAATTTTAAAGCTAATTGATAATATAACTAATTATAAACCAACAATGCCAAAAACAATAAATTCCGCCGGTTAATTCAAAAGTTATTCGATTTTAAACAAAAAAAAATCACCAAAATAATCAAATATTGATTAACAAGACATAACCGCACTAAAATCAATCATTAAAGATATAACTAACCTCAAAAATAACCTAAAAATGAAGAATTCTTAACTCAAATATAGAAAAACGATACAAAACTGCACTAAAATCAACAATTAACCTCAAAATCACTAAAATAAGACAAAAATTCCAATGAAAAAGCAAAACTCAGGTTAGAAAAGTAATAATAGGCAACTTATTCTACACAAACACACAAAAAACACTCAAATTCATCAATCAAACATAAAAAACATGATAAAACTCAAAATTCACATAAAAACCCTTCAAATAACCTCAAAACCTTCCAAAAACATAATATCCCTGCAACATAACCTAACTTTAACCTCAAAACCCATAAAACTATTCCTAAAATAAAACCCAACACACAAACCTCATACAAACTCCTCTAAACACATAATTGAAACTTGATTGAGTGTTTGCCCCGAGTGTTTCATTTACTCATTTACTCATTTACCCATTTGCTCACCGCTCTCACAGGTGAAACACCGTCCGCTCATAAAAAGCACACGCGCACCGATTTCAATTTCATTACTCACTTACTCACCGCGTCGCCAACTCGCTCATCGCTCATCAAACAACAATCAATAGGTAATCACCATCCACCATGCAACCTGTGCGTGGCGTCCAACTTGAATCTCATTGACTCAGTAAACTATTAATGATCATTTAAATTTAAATATTACTGTAAATTCTCAACTTGACTCAACTCAACTCGTCTTGATGAGAGACATAGTTTAATATAAAATATAAAAGTGTGTAAAATGTGTCAGTGGTAATTAAAGTGTGTTTAAAGTGATGTTGATGACATAAACGCACGAATTTAGTTGTGTGTTAATGTTAACGCAAGTAGTTGTATGTTTAAACAATGTGATTGAAGTGTTTCTTATGCGTTTATGCGTTATTCGTCATTAATTGTTATTGAATGGGTTTATGAGTTGGTTGACGATAAAAGAGTTGTTCGCTTGAAATGCGCGTTGCTTGGACGATAAATAACAACAATCGGAGCGATAACAGTAGTCAATGAGCGTGATATTGATACGGTGATATGGTGATATGTTAGGAATGTTGGGAGTTTAATTGAGGTAAGTAATTATTGTTTCTTTTTATGTTTTTTTAGAGGGTTTTTAGAAGTTGGAAGTGAAATGATTGGAGTTTTGATTAATTTTTTGTTTTTGGTTTTTAAAATGAGTTTTAAGGGTGATAATGATATTTTTAAGAATTGGTTTTTTGAAGGGTGGTAGAGTAATTAATTGACTTTGTCTTGGTGAAAAAATTAATGAAAAATATTGTTTTGATTAAAAGTTATTGGGTTCTGAAGAAAAAATGTGATTTTCTTGTTAAAAATTTTCACTGCTTTTTTCAAACGTGAATTACGAGTACTTTTAATTAGTTTTTAATATTTCTTTAAATGGTATATTATGAAAGAAGTCTTTAGCAACTAAATAATAAAAAGATAATTCACTTTGAGTAATTAGTTTAAAAGTTATGATGAATTTTCTAAAACGTGTTCTGAGAAAATAGAAATTTAGTGTTTAATTCACTATTAATTATTCTACGTCGTACTTCAATTGTTAATAACAGTTATGTAAACACTGTTTAGATGATTATTTTTAATGAGAAACGGTAGAGTAACTCTTTGGCTATAAGTGGAAAAAGAAAAAATGTAAAAATATTGTTTTGATAAAAAGTTATTGCATATTTTACAAAATATGTTTCCCAAGGCAAAAAATTTACAAATTTTACTCAATTATCATTTTTCAAACATGAATTTTAAATACTTCCAGTTATGTTTAAACATTTATTTAAACAGTAAATTATAGAGAAACTCTTTAACTGTCAAATCATAAAAAAATAATTCAATTTTAGCAAATTGTTTAAAACTTATGACAAATTTAGTAAAACGTGATTTTGAATTAAAAAGTTAACATCAAAACCTTTACACAATGCATATCCAAGTTTTTAATTGTTAATTAAAGCAATGTAAATATTCTTTATATAATTATTATTGATAAAAACTTATAGAATGACTCTTTGACTTTAATTTTCCAAAGAAACAACATAATTCGCATGTTTAAATATCAAGATATTGAGTGTTTTCTAAAATATGTCATTAATTCACGTACAAACACAATTTTCACGATTTGCAACATTTTCAAATGCAAATTAAAGATAGTTATAAACAATTTAGATCCAAAATTTTAATTGTATTTGATAATATAGCTACTTATAAACCTACAATACCAACAAACACTAAATCCTCCGGTTAATTCAAAAGTTATTCGTCTTTAAACATGAAAATGCCATAATAATCAAACTTTTTAACTTCATTGAAATAGTATGTTATTAATGACAAAAATGAAGTAATAAATACTTTTGACTCACGTTTTATCCGGCACATATCGATTCTGCACGAATTTCATCGCGCACTCCTTGGGCATACTCTGAAGACATCTTTTGATATCCTCTTGGCGCTTCTTGAGCGACTCCATGTAAGCTTCCTCTTGATTTTGCAACAACGCCATGTTTACGACCGACTTTCCGGATAAGAACTCACGAGTACTGGGTAATGATGCGATTTTCTCAGATACAAGGCGTTTCCACACGCCTAGAACAGCCTTAAAAGTCGACATTTACCAGAAAATTAATTTAATTGAATGATTAAATGCCAAAATAAAATTCACAACAAAAAATAATTAAAATTTCAATTGAATGACACAAAACAATAGAAATTTGGACAGTAGTATATGTCAAATAATATTAGGAATTGTTTTTAGTGTAAAAATTTTTGTTTCTTGGTGGAAATTTAAGAAATTTTTGAAATTTTCGAAAACGTGTTTTGAAAAATAGAAAAATAGAGTTTAAGTCATTTTACCTAATACTTTAACTATAAATAAAAGTCATGTAAACATTCTTTGGATAACGATTATTAATCAGAGTCGATAGAAGAACTCTTTGGCAATAAATTTATGGAGAAAAACCTATAAATTATTGTTTTAATAAAAAGTTATTGCGTATTTTGTAAAATATGTTTCGCTGGCAAAACAATTTACAAATTTTACTCAATTATCATTTTTTAAAACATGAATTTTAATTATTTCTAATTATTTATAAGCATTTGTTTAAACAGTGAATTGTAGAGAAACTATTTAACTATCATATCATGAAAAACTTATTCAATTTTGATAATTACTTTAAAAGTTATATCAAATTTCGTAAAACGCGTTTTTAAAGCAAACAAAAAAAGATCAATACCTCAATTAAGTAACTCATATTTCAATTGTTAATTAAAGTATTGTAAATCTAATTCAAACAATTATTTTTCACAACAAACAATAAATTAACTCTTTGACTATAAATTCACCAAGAAAAACCTATAAAATATCAATTCAATCAAAAGTTATTCCACAATTTCTAAGCAATTAATTCCAATGAAACAAAAACAAAATCATTTCACGCAATTTTCTACTACAAATAAAATTTCTAAAATTTAAACAAATGCATTGTTCATCCACACACAAACAAACACACACACACACCTACACATACATACCTCCTCGTAATTCATAGATAATTACTCCATCGAAATTCCTGCGAATATCGGCAGGCTAGCAATTTACTCTGACTGTTCCAACTCAAATCTCTCGTGATTACATATAATAGATACGAGTACATAGATAACTCGTCCTCGCCTAACAAAACACAACCCCCACCACACATTACTATTATGCCACACAATCCACCAAACAAATTAAACTAAAAAACGTCAGTTATTATTCAACCACTAAACACACAACAACCTAACCTCAACTAAAAAAAAAACAAACAAAAAAATTAAACATTTTTACTTATTTTCAGTTAAATATCAACAAAACCATCATCAAGACAATAAAAGATGTCGACTATAAAAGGAATATCCTCAAACCCTTCCGGAACACTCACCAGAACCTCCAGCAGAGACAAAAACGTCCTGGAATTACAATCCAGGCAACCACGATCACTTCAAACACTCACAAGCAGTGGCAATCAATGGGTATGTGTTTTAAAATCATAAATTTAAGGTTATTTTATGTATTAATGTGATTTTTTGTTTGTTTTGTTTTGTTTTAGCTGCGTCCTCCGGCGTTACAACGTCAGAAATCACTTAATTTATCTACGGAGACGTTCCATAGGAGTCGTATATCGTTTCTGTCGGAGACTAACAGTCAACCGACGGGCAGTCGGCAGTATCTGAGTCCTACGTATCCCAACAGTGACATCTCGCTTAGTCTTCCCACTGTGTCGCGGGAGAGGACGCCACCTATGATGATGCATTCTCCTCCACCGCAGTATTACAGTTGTAATAGTATTAATCGGATAAATACACATCGAAAGGTAATTTAACCAATTTAAACTAAAAAAAGTAGAAAAGTTGAATTTTCGGAAGAAAAAAAACCGGGTGAAGTGATTTTTAATGGTTTTTTGGATGAAAATAACCGGAAGAGGGAAAATAAGGTTGATTTTTTGTTTTTTCCGGAAAGAAAAACCGGATAAATGTGTTTTTCAACGAAATTGTGAAAGAAAAACTGTTTATCCGGTTTTTAAATATCAAATTAAATGAAAAAACCGGATAATCAATAATCCTATTGAATTTTTCGTGTATATCCGGCAAGAAAAACCGGATAAATAAATTTTTAGTAATTTTTCGGATGAAAATAACCGGATTAAGTAAAATTATATTGATTTTTAGTATTTTGCGAAAAAAAAACCGGATAAATGTGTTTTTTTTATCAAAATTGGTGAAAAATAATTACTTATCCGGTTTATAAATATTTAAAGAAATTGAAAAAACCGGATAAACAATAATCCAGTTAATTTTTCGTGCTTATCCGGATGAAAAAAAACCGGATAAATATTTTTTCCCCTAATTTTCCCAAAATTACATAGATAATCGCCATATAAAAAGTATTTCCGGTAAATTTCTATACTCTCCATCCGGATATACAACTTCCGGTCAAAGAGAAAAACAGGAAAAACAATATTTCCACCATTAATCCGCCAAAAAACACATTTTCCCCCAAAATTTCTCAAAAAATTCACTTTTCCGGTTTAAATCTTACCGGAAATGACCCATAATCTTCTTATTCTTCTTCCAGAACCAGCAAAACTCCACCTCTTCCACATGCAGATGCTACTTCGAAGAAATCGGCTGTGTGAACGAATTAAAAGGCCCTCCAAATCCCACACCGGAAGGCTTATCATGGCGCCGATTACATATGTCTCGCGCTAAACTAAAAGCCACCTCCACCACCAGCGAGCTGTTGTCTGGCTTCGCCATGGTGGCTATGGTCGAGCTGCAGATAAACGAACCGACAAATGTTCCGGAATGGCTGTTTATTATGTTCGCCGTGTGTACAACAGTTCTCGTCTCCGTGCACATCTTCGCGCTAATGATCTCCACGTACATCCTGCCGAACATCGACGCCATCTCCAAGCTGGATGTGTGCGAGCTGGTCGCGGAGAGTCCGCATGAGCGCATGCGGAATTTCATCGAGATCGCGTGGGCATTCTCAACAGTATTAGGTAAGGATAGAGAATACCGGTATTTTTGAAAATAGGTATTATTAATACCGGTTTTTTAAATATTTTTAAAATTGGTATTTTGGGTATTTTAAAAACTGGTATTTTAGGTTTTTTAGAAATCGGTATTTGTAAAACCGGTATTTTCGGTATATCGGAATTTTTAAAATAGGTATTATTAATGTCGTTTTTTTGAATATTTTTAAAATCGGTATTTTCGGTATATTTAAAACCGGTATTTTCGGTATACCGGTAATTTAGAAACCGGTATTATCGGTATTATTGATACCTGTTATTTAAATATTTTTAAAATTGGTATTTTCTATATTTTTAAAACCGGTATTTTCGGTATACCGGTAATTTCAGGACCTGTAATACCGGTATACCGGTTTTTTCAGAAACTTTATGCCTCGTATTTAAGAAAAAACCGGTATTTTCGGGATTACCGGTTTTTTTACATCAAAAAATCCCAAAATACCGGTTTTTCACCCAAAATTCACAAATTTAATACAAATATCCAACATAACCTCACTTTTTCCATTGTGGACAGATAAATGTCGATATTAATTCACTTTTTTTATATTTTAGGCTTATTTTTGTTTCTCGTCGAAGTAGGAATCCTCTGCTGGGTGAAATTCTGGGATTACAGCTTCAAAGCAGCCATTGCGGCGACAATCATCGTGATACCAGTGTTGATAATCTTCATACTCTTCGCTGTGCACTTCTACCACTCGCTGGTGGTGTACAGATGTGATACGTCCGAAGGCGATCTTCAGCAGTTGGAGGAAATCAAGAAGAATCTCGACCAGCAGACGAAGTACTCCGTTGGCGGAGCAAATATTAATAATATAAATAATAATAATAACAATCTTAAAATGGTATAAAATTAGTGATAAGAAGTGAAGTTATGTATGATTTATATGTAAGAAAATAAGTAATAAAATGTTACACCATGTATAACTCGAGCATGGTGGGAAGGATTTTTGAAATTTGTTGGTTTTGGATTTGGGATAACCTCAAATAGGAGAATGTGCAAGAAAAAATTAAAAATGTTTAAAAATGGAGAAGTTATGGAAGAAAAACCGATTTTAAGGTTATTTTTGTGATATTTTGATGTTGTCAGAGCATAGAAAACAAAATTAGAGGTTATGTTGCCATAAATTGGTCATGTTGCATCCTTATCTCTTCCTGTAACTTCAATTCATCACTAAGTATACTTAACTATGATTAATATAACAAGTTGTATGTTACGCCATCTATAACTCGAGAACGGCTCTAACGATTTTCAATTTTTTTAATTTTCTGAACTTGTTAAAACCTCAATTAGGAGAATAATCATTAAAACATGAAAAACACTCAAAACTTTAGAAGTTACAAAGAAAAAACTAATTTTAGGTTAATTTTTGATGATATTTTGAGAATATCAGCTTATCATTGCTCAATTTCTGTTCAATTCCTAAACTTTATCCAATTATCTTCAATTTCCTCCTTTAAATCAATGAAAATCATTAATATAACGTCAAAAACATCCACAAACAAATTTTTAAGGTTATTTTTGAATATTTTGACAATTTTACAGGTTATTTTAACAAGTTAATAAACAAAGCGTTTGGTTCTCCATTCTAAATCCTCATAATCTCTTCCTATAACCTCAATTCGTCACTAAGTATACTTAACTATGATCAATATAACAAATAGTATGTTACGCCATCTATAACTCCAGAACGGCTCTAACGATTTTCAAAATTTTTCATTCCTTACACTTGTTATAACCTCAATTAAGAGAATAACCACCAAAACATCCAAAAAACTCAAAACTTTACAAGTTACAAGCAAAAAACTATTTTTTTACATTTTCACCTTACAAAACAAAAATTAAACCCAACCAAACACCTTAATAAAAAAAGCGTCTCCTCCCATGCGTAGCCACAGGTTGTCCCCTCTGCATCCTCATAATCTCCTCCTTCAACCTCATCTCCTCACACCTCAACTTCTCAAACTCCACCTCCCGCTTCTCCCTTTCAATCTCCTTCAACTCCTTCTCCCTCACCTTCTTCCACTGCACCTGCTGATCCAAACACCTCCTATACTCCAGCTTCTTCCTCTCCTCCCACACCTTAACCTCATTAATCTCCTCCTTCTGCCTATTCATCCTCTCCAACATCTCCTCCCTTTCCTTCAACAACACCCTCTGCTCATCCCTAGACTTCTCCAGATTATCCTCAATCTGCTGCTTCAAATCCTTCAAAATCCCTTTAACCAACCCCTTCCTCAACTCCTCCTCCTTCTTCCACGCCTGATCAAACTGCTGAAACACCTTGGGCGCTTCCGAATCAAACGTAAACTGCATATGCTTCATCCTCTTACCTTCCAAATCCTTCAAATCATTAACCAAACCCAAGAATTCATTCATCGAGGATTGAATTTCTAACCTCTTATGTTGATTGTGTATCTTTTCACATAACTCCGCATCTTGAAGACGTTTTATAAACAACTTTTCTTCTTCTAAAGATTTTAACACATTCTGTGCTTTTAATTCAAGTTTACGTTTGTGAAAGCGTTGATTAGCCAATGCGACGTCTTCACTTCTGCGCCTGCGCTCATCCTCCTCCCATTTATCTTCGAGGAGTTGTAATTCTGCTCCTTTTAACCTCACAGCTTCTTCTTCTAACCTCAATTTATTAGATTCTTCTTCCCTGCGTAGTATTTCATCCATTTGCTTCTCAAGGTCACGCCGAAGGTTATCCCTCTTAATTTCCGCTTCTTTTTTGAATTCTTCTTCTTCTTTTCGTTGTTCTTCAATCGCTTGTTTTGTTTGTGCAATATATTGACGTGTTTCTTCCTCTTCTTGTTCCTTCTGCATGCGTTTCTGTATCTGTTGATCAAGCCATGACATTTTGACCTTGTCGAGGTTACAGCGGCGTTCTGCGTCGCGTACGCATGCGCTGTCGCGTTTCCATTGATCGTATAGTGCTGATTCTGCCCGATGGCGACGTTGTTTCTCTTCGGAGTGTTTTATGTCGTTGTTTACTTGTTTGAGGAGTTCGATTGGTACTTGGTCGATTTTGTGGTTATGTTTTGTGGATTCGGGGTCTTCCCATGAGCGTGGTGTGCATTTTGACATCATGTCTTCTAGGGAGAAGGTTTGGTCTTCTTCCATGAAGAGTTTGCGTAGTTTCTCGCGGCGTGTTTCGAGTTTTTCGGCTTTTTCTTTTTTTATGCGGAGTTCGGTGTGGAGTTTGTTGTTTTCTTCGTAGTAGCGTGGTGAGGTGAATTGTTCGAATTTGGCGTTTTGTTTCTCGCAGCGTTCGTAGTAGCGGGTTTGGGCGGCGGCGGCGTCAAGGCGCGCGTTTTCTTTGTCGCGACGCCGGGCGTTGTCTAGTTCGAGGTCACGGCGCTGGCGGTAGGGGCGGTTTGCTAGGTTAACCATGCCTGCGTAGTACGCCATCTGTAATGATAAGTATAAAATAAAATAAAATTTTGTATTTTTCGATTTTATTGCAACACTATGTGTGATATGAGGTTGAAATTTGGTATGGTGATAGTTTATTAACTAGTGAATAATTTGATAAAAAGATAATTTAAATATATATATTATTGTTAAAGTTATTGCTGTTTAAAGTTCAGTTGTTAAAAATGTTTTAATTTTTATTGGTTTTAAACTTTAGACACTGATAACTCAGCAATAAATAAAGATATCACTAAAATTTAAAAACAGTTTTATCCGTGTATTTCTTGGTTAATATTGTGTAAAATGTTAATTTATTGCTATAATATTTAATAACAAATAATCAATATTTTATAAACTAATGCAAAAAGTATTAAATTTTTAGTAAAACTGAATTTATTGCAACACCCTGTGGAATATATAAATAAAATTTAGCAAATATAAAGTTAATAAACCAATAAATAACTTGGTAAAAACAGAATTTAAATATATTAATAATTATAAACGTTATCAGTGTTTAAAATTCAAAATGAGGAAATACAAATATTTTCCAATCCCTAAAAATTATAACAAACTTTAAACACTTGTAACTCATCAACGAATAATGATATCTTAAAAATTTAAACACCATTCTTTTCATATACTTCTCCATTACTGTTCTGCATAATATCAATTTGTTATAAACATTTTTAATAACAAATACTTAACTTTTTATAAAAATAATCAAAAAACACGAAATATTTCCTTAAAATTAATTTTTTTGCAACACCCTATACAATATTAAATATAAAATTATTGTATTGCATAACCAATAAACACCTCTATCATCTAAAAAAAATCCCATCACCTTAACACAATTACCCACCGAGTTATTGTTAATTAAACTTCACTTAACTCCCAACACTCCGCAGTTACCTCCGTAAACAAAATTCACTAATTACTCACACCTCAAACTCATATAACTCAAAAACTAATCACTTAATCTTCTCCAAATAAACTGCACTATCACCAGAAACTTTCCCTCTGACAACTACCAAAATTACACCTTCCTAGAATAGCAACAAATCATGTTTAAAGCGCTTTTCGTGCAACATGCCAAAAACAAATAAACAAATACGAAAAACCACACAAAATGACTTATATTACAGCATTCACGGCATATTTCTTGGCGATATTTTCGAATGTGAATAACCGATGCGTCCGTGGTGGGATTTACACCTCGTTGCGTCACTTTGCACACATTTCGTGCAGTGTAGTGTGTAAAATGTGTACGAAACCGAATCACAACCGGTTCCGTTTGAATAACTAATTGAATTAATTACGTGCAAAGTGATTAAAACTGAGTAATATAAGATCACCGCGCATTGCGAGGTATCACTCGAGATAATAGGCAGGTGTGTGCATCACGCAGAGTTCTTAAAAGTTAGTTTTTTGTGTGATTTCTTGGGAGTTGGTAATTGTGTCGTAATGATTTGTAAGTAAATATTTTTGTTTTTTCAATTTTATGCAACACTCAGTATAATTATGAATAAACAAATTAGTGGAATTGATAGTTGATGAGTTATACTATGACTTGGCAGAAAGATCTTGTTAGTAACTATTTTATCTTAAGAATTATTGTTGATTAAAGTTTATGACACTTTTTCTGATTAATTTGTTTATAAACTTTAAAGTCAAATAATTCATAAACAAATTATTAGATTTTATTCAAACAAAAACAAAAATAATCGTTATACATCTCTTTATATTATACCTAAATATTATTATCCTAGAATAATAATATCCTAGATTTTTAAGGACTTTTTGTTAAATTTTCATTAAAATTTTTCAATTTTTCGTGTTTTTTACATGAAATTTATTGTTAAACCACTTTAAATATTATGACCGTGTAGTTAATGACCCAACATGCTATTCGCAATTAATCTAAATTACATTGACAATCACCATCACGTTGAAAAAACATGTAAATTGCCAAAGAACACAAACAAACGCAACAAAAGCAGAATCCATTCAAACGTGCGACAGAAATTGTTGCAAAATAACTATAAACATAAAATAACATAACATCACTTGTCACTGCGTCACGCATTGGCGCACAACTAACGACTTTAATAATTACTATTCAAATTTTATTTAAATTTTTTATTGCAAAATTACCGATAAAAAAATTTCGACGTTGGTACCCGTAAATATTTGAAGGTTACCAAAAAGTTTAACAAATACCATTGAAAGAGTATTAAATAAACTTTAATTTGACGCATGGTATGATAAATTCGGTCCATTAGTTTAGGAATTATTCGATGTCAAAGTCGCAGCTGCGCAGTTGTCAATACACAGAAGTATGACTCATTTGTTGTCAAACCTCAATAAAAAAAAAACAAATATGATACATAAATAAATTATCTACAAATTAAGACTAAGTTCAATAAAATATCACAAATACAACCGGAGATATTCAATGTCAAAGTAAAAATTTCACAAAAAAAATCATTTTTTGCTTTTTTTACTTCAAACCGTGATTACACGATGAAATAAAATGATAACAACTATTTTTATGTATTCAGCTGATAGTCTAATAACTGTACTATAATTATATGAAAACTCCAGCTTGATATCTCAAGTATTCCCCGAGATATCCACAAAAAATAAATCAAAACGATAAGCAATTCGTTATCGCGCGCAATAAAAATGTAGAACAAATTAATTTATTAACTAAATTGATTGATAGCACGCACGCGCGTCAACGTTAGCTATTTATGCGCGGTATTTCACACAGCCGGCGCACCCCCTCCCTTGGCGGCGAGTTGTCACCCGCAGCAAGTTCATTATCGCTGCGTAATCAAGAGTTGCGCGTTGGACGTCGAGCGGAATAAACGTGCGCAATACTCATTAAATAAATTAAAAAAATAAAAATAAATTTAAAAAATGGATAAAAGTTTACAAATATTCATGATACTGGCAATCGGCGCAGCTGGTGGTAAGTCATGCTTACTTAACTTAAGTCACTTTGAAGAAAATTAATAATTTTATTAATTTTTCGTGTGTTGCTTTGTGTGCTAAGTCTTGTTTGTGTTTCTTATGATGCCAGCTAATAGCAGCCCGGCGTATGGTAAGGAACACGCCCATCATGCATCAGGCCACGCCCCGAAGAGAAGCGAAGTGGAGAAGAGGTTAGAAATTGTATCGCGGGATGATTGGGGTGCTAGACCGCCGAAGAATACGTCGAAGATGAGTCATCCGGTGCCGTACGTGATTATACATCATTCGTATATTCCGGAGGCGTGTGACACCCCCGAGAAGTGTGTGGCGGCGATGCAAAGTATGCAAATCATGCATCAAGTAAGTTTTTTTTTCAATTTTTGAAAAATATTTTTTTAGTTATTTTGATTTTACGCAACACCCTGTATAGATATTGTTAATTTATAGATTGGTGTTAATAGTCGGATTATTTAGTGATGTTTTAGTGAAAGTTTCAAGTCGCTATGTTTATTTACTCAAGAGATATTTAAGTTTTAATTAGTTAAGTCACTTTGAAAGAGGTAATGCATTAAATTTTGCTTTGACTTTGTAGGTCAATAACTTTTGATTGAAAAGCGATAGAGTAATCAACTAAAGTTCCTGTTATTCGGAATTTTATCAGTAATATAACGCAACAGTTATTTTTACATTATCACAATTAATTTAAACGTTATCAATGAAAAAGTAAACTATTCACATTAATACAAACAATATTTTTGTGATAAATTAAGTTTTAATTTAAGTTTCAGTAAACACCTTGTATATATTAAACAAAATTATTAAACAAAGTGATGACTAAGTTATTTAGGTATATTTTAGTAAAAAAATCAGTTTCTATCATTATTATTGCAAAAGTTATGCTCAATTAATTAAATTTAATAATAAACAAACAATTTATCAACTTTAAGCCTATAAATAATAAATATAAATAAAATATTTATTATGCAATAGATAAAGAAATATATTTTCTATAATTTAGTAAAAATTTGATCAAATTATCTCAATTAGTTTACGTGATATCGCACTTCAAACATTTAAGTAAACTTTTAAGTCACTTCTGAAACCTACATTTCAAACCCGCATATCTTCTAAACTACTCAACTAAATTCAACCAAACAAAAACAATTCTCTCCCAAATTTAATACTTTTTCTTCCGTTATCAACAGGATACTAATAACTGGGACGACATAGGCTATAACTTCGCAATTGGTGGCGATGGTCGCATCTACACGGGTCGCGGCTGGTCCAATTGCGGCGCGCATGCCCCAAGCTACAATAACGTAAGCATCGGCATCTGCTTCATCGGTGATTGGACACAGGACATTCCACCACCGGAAATGACAGGCCCCGCGCATGATTTAATTGAGTTTGGCGTCAATGAGGGTTATATTAGTGCAGAGTATGAAATGTATGGACACAGACAAGTGAGAGACACGGAATGTCCGGGTGATGCTTTCTTTGACGAGATTACAACATGGCCGCATTGGGGGGCCAAGCCACCGAGGTATGTAGAAAGAACAACAACCACTACGGAAATACCATGAACGGAGTAGAACAATAAATATATTTTGTGCAAGGATGTAATTAAGATACTGTGTATTTATTATGATAAATGTTTTATCGACTGTTTAAAATTGATTTTATGCCTTTGAAAATTGGTAGAATGTTTAAATATTGAGGTTATGTGAAAGAGGGATAAATTATCTATAAACTAGAGAAAATTTTGTTGAGATAGCTTAAGTAGTTTAGGAGATATTTGACTTTAAAGTAAAATATTTACTTTTAGGCAAAAACCTGGAGATTTACCGGCATATTTTGATTAAAATCTCAAAATAAAGCCATTTGATAATAACAAAAAACTTATAGGCTATTGATAGTGGGATAATTTTTGAATATATTAGTAAAAGTTTGAATGAATTTGCTTAATTATTTATAGAGATATTCGACTTTAAAGTTAAAAATTCATATCCGGAATGAAAAATATTTAATTTTGATGAAATCGTTAATTATTATCAAAAATAATCATATTTAAAAGATCATAACACAAGTAATATAATATTATAATGATAGCAGGATAATAATAGAATAGTTTAGTAAAAGTTTCAATGACTTAAGTCAATTATTTTACGAGATATTTGAGATCAAAGTAAAAACTGCACTTTTGGAATAAAAAGTATAGATTTATCGAAATATTTTGATTAAAGTCGTAAAATAAACATATTTCGGATGTGATTACAGAAAATTTTTGATAAACTACTAATAATATAAAAAATTATGAACATTTTAGTGAAAATTTGAACTAATTTGCTTAATTATTTATGGAGATATTCGACTTTAAAGTTAAAAATTCACTTTTTACTCAAAAAAAATTTTTTTTTTTAATAAAATCACCGATTAAGCACATTTAAAAATGAATAACAAAAAATAGCTAATATGTTAATGATAGTAGACTAATCTAAGAATACTTTAATCAAAGTTTCATTAAATTATCACAATTAGTTTAAGAGATATTCAACTTTAAACTTTAAGTACACTTCGAGCCTAAACCTAAGTAACTTCTAGAGGTGGAACTTCAAACTCCTATAACTTCTAAACCAAGCATCCAATTTGAACCAAAAAAACTTTATCATATCCTAAATTTAATCCTCTTTCTATTTGTTACAACAAAACAATACAACAGCAACAAAATCCTACTTAAATCCATAAAAAACAAAAATAAATACAAAAATCAACCCAAAAAAACACAAAAATAAAGTTAAATCTAAAAATGTGAGAAAAGGAAAACGTACAAACTAATGACGTCATAATTGAGACGCACGCACCGTCGAGCGTGACCCGCGCCGCGACGCCGCGACCAAAATAGCCGCGCCGAGAAATAGCTAAGCGATGCGCAGGCCGTCCACAACTGAATCAAGCGACCATCCGAGCGAAGATTCATCAGATTCCCGCCGTCGGCGTCCACTCACGCATCGCCACGCCATTTTCATTCTCAACAAATACAAAAATCAATTTAATTTAATCAAAAAATAGAAAAACATTCAAAGCAAAATCAACAACAAATCAACGCGAAAATCGATTGAAAAACTGTGTCCGTGCCTGTGTATTGTCCGCCATCTTGTTCTTGCAAATGTGACTTGTCAAAAAATAGCAGTGCCTGTGTCCACACCCACAAAAACAACAAAAACATAAACAATACACAAACATTTACCACACCAGACACATACAGGTACGTGAAAAGCAAATATTTTATTAATAACAATAAAAGGAGAATAAATCGTAAATGGCGTAAATAGTTTACTGCGCATGTCGTGATTTGCTCGCTTAAGTCGCTTCGGGGTTCATATTCACATCCACACATTCATGCGATGCTATTTTCGGAGGGCGCGGCGTGACCTTGCTCTACAAACCACACTTATACATTCACACGCACATATATTGAAATATCATCATCATCATGCGCATTAAACTTATTTTCACGCCTACATTGCTTTGGGCCGCATGTCATTGTGGGATAAATTATATTTCATGCAGTTTGGCAATTTTTGGCAGGCGTACAGAAAAAAAAAGCGAAAAATATTTTCAATAAGTGTTAAAAATTGTTAATAAATAATGATATTATAAATGTTTAAATAATATATTGGATAGGTTATTAATTAAGCTATAATTTGATGTAGAAATGATTGAGTTATCATCATTAGTTTCTGAGATATTTAGAGTTAAAGTATTTAAGTCATTTTGATGGGTAAACTGTACTTTTATTTTAATTGTTAATAACTTTTAAAGTAATAATGATAGAGAGTTGATTTAAAGTGTTATTTACTGATATGTTTAGTATGTACATGATGATATTTAAAAAGAATAGTAAAACATAAAACATAACCTTAAAAACGGCTTAAAAAGAAATATTTTCATAGTTTTTAACTAAATTTAACCAAAAATTCGCTAATTTCAATAATTAAATATAAACAAAAAACATCAGAAATTATAACGTAGATAAACTAATAGTCAACTTATAATATGTTGCTTATTTCATGTCTTTATCACAAATACTTCGTGAGATATTCAGTCTTAAAGTATTAAGTTACTTTAGCCATCTCAAATGACTCTTTACTTCAACCATCAATAACTTTTAAACTATCAAAGATAAAAACAAAATTCAAACTGCCTATTACACCTAAACTCACCCTTAATCCACTCCAATATTATCCCTAATCATATCTCCACAAAAACACGCTCAAAACTAATTTTAAATAAAAATTTCCGGCTTAAAAACAAAAATATATCGTTGAAGTCAATTTAATGCAGTTTGGCAATTTTTGGCAGACGCACAGAGGAAAAAAACAAAAATATTTTCAATATCCCATGCTTTCAGATTGAGAAACTATGCCAAAGAAAGTTATTGCAGCCGCCTCCACACCATCTGCCGGTGGCGGCGGAGGTGTAGGTGGTGGTGGAAATAATGGCGATGGGAAGGCACCGGTTAAAGGATATAAACCGCCGTGGATTAAAGAGGCGGCCGAGCCGAATAAAGAAACGGAGACGCCATGGGGGATCATGAAGAAGCGGGATTGTATTAATGATCCAGAAGAGGCGAAGAAGTCAGCGGCGAGTCAGAAGCAAAAGACACGAGGTCGAGATGATGATGATGATGAAGATACCGGAGCAAATTGTAAGTTGAATTTTTTTAAATTTGATTTTTAACAAACACCCTGTATATTTATTAAAGTTATATGTAGTATTGTTGTTTGTCAGTTTAATAAGCTTTAATTTGGTACTAATTTGACTGTTTTATTTCAATTAGTTTCGGAGATATTTAGGTTTTTTTTAAATTTGACTTAAGTTAAGTCACTTATGCATTTTTTTGTTTGGGAATGAATAACTTTTGAAGTATTTGCGATAAAAACATCGTATAAATCGTAAAATATTCTTTAATTATTAATTAATAATATCTACTAATAAAAATAATTGTTTAAAACTTTTAAATGCCATTAAAATGCTTTTAAAGTTGTTTAAACATACAAGTAATTCAGTTTTATAGGTGCAATACTTTAGTTTTTCAGTGTTTTACTGCAACACTTTGTATTTTAATCATATTAAACTTTAATATTGTGGTTTGCTGCTTGAATGCACTTTAATTTGATACTAATATGACAATCCTATCGTAATTAGTCACTAAGATAATTAGGTTTTTATATTTGGTTTATTTAGGTCATCAAAGTATCATTTAAGTTTAACAATGAATAACTCATAAACTATTTGTGATAAAAACGTCGTCTAAAGTATAAACAATTCCTAAACTTATCAATTTTCATATTTACTCTATAAAATTTTTAATTTTAATATTAATATACTATTAAAATCATTTTAAACATTTTTAAAAACGAGTAAAACAAATTTTTAAACAAAAATTACTTCAGTTTTTATTATTTTACGGAAATACTCTACCTCATTACTGATAAATCCCTCTATCTATAACTTTTTAATTCATATTTTTATTACAATTATTAACAAAGTTATTCAACAAAAACTAAAAAATACACTTTAACTCCCTAAAGTTACACTTTACTTTAACATCAAATATCTCACAAACAACTGCTCCAAAATCAAAAATTCAAAAACCAATCTATTCTTAATTTTACCAGTTGCAATACCCACGCTACGAAAAGTCTCCCTCAAAACCGAAAAAATCGAAAATGGCGATTCAAGTGAACCCGAGCCGAAACAATTCATCAAACCAGCGCTCAAATCAGTCCGCACCAAAGAACCCAAACCTCTCACGCGTGAAGAAAGCAAGACCAAGATCGTCATACCGAAACTAAACAGCGTCAAAGTGGAAAAGATGAAGGAATTACCGCCGCCGCCCAAGAAAGATCAACCCGACTATCGCAATGTCCTCAAGAAGGTGGAAACACGCGATCGCATCGACGATGAAAAGGTAATATTAAAAGAATAACATAAACGCGGTGTGTTGATTGGGCATTTGCGTGTGCATCCGTAAACTTGGCAATCAATCAAGGCGACGCCGCCGGCCGAGCCGAACGCAAATAGACGCGCCGCCGCAGTGCAGTGGAGTGGCAGGGCAGCGATGAGTGATTTGCGTGCGGCGGCGATTGCGATTACATTCGAGTGTGTGGAATAGATTAAGAGGTCATTTGGGGGTGATTTTTGCAGAAGCGAGGCGCACCAATGGCGCCACCCATGCCGCCGATGCCGCCGCCACCGCCGGCGATGCCCAAGGTTGATAGTAAACTGAATGAGAAGCAGAAGGCGTCGCTGGATGCATTGAAGTGAGTTGTGAGTTTTGCATGAGTATAAAAACAGGAAAGAATACTAATGAAATATTAATGTTTTAAATGTTTAAATAATATATTGAATTGATTATTAATCAAGGTATAATTTGATGCAAGAAGCATTGAGTTATCATTATTGGTGTGGGAGATACTTAGAGTTAAAGTATTTAAGTCATTTTGATGGGTAAAATGCACTTTTATTTTAATTGTTAATAACTTTTAAAGTAATAATGATAGAGACTTGATTTAAGTAAATTGTCATTTACTAATATATTTAATAATTATACGATAATATTGAAAAAGTATAGTAAAACATAAAACATAACCTTAAAAACGGCTTAAAAACAAATATTTTAATAGTTTTTAACTAAATTTATCAACAAAATTGCTAATTTCAACAATTAAATAATAACAAAAACAGCAAAAATTATAATATAGATAAACAAATAGTCTGCTTTTAATATGTTGCTAATTTCATGTCTATACCACAAATACTTCGTGAGATATTCAGTCTTAAAGTATTAAGTCACTTTGGCCATCTGAAATGACTCTTTACTTCAACCCTCAATAACTCTTAAACTATCAAAGATAAAAACACGATCCAAACTATCAATTGCATCTAACTGAATACTTTATTAATTAAGATATAATTTGATGCAAAAATCATTGAGTTATCATTATTAGTTTCTGAGATATTAAGAGTTAAAGTATTTAAGTCATTTTGATGGGTAAAATGTAGTTTTATTTTAATTGTTAATAACTTTTAAAGTAATAATGATAGAGACTTGATTTAAAGTGTAACTTACTAATATGTTTTATATTTATATGATAATATTTAAAACGTTTAGTAAAACATAAAACATAACCTTAAAAACAACCAAATAACAAATATTTTCATAGTTTTTAACTAAATTTATCCAAAATTCGCTCATTTCAACAATTAAACAAAAACAAAAAACACCAGAAATTATAACATAGATAAACAAATAGTCTGCTTTTAAAATATTGCAAATTTCATGTCTTTATCACAAATACTTCGTCAGATATTCAGTCTTAAAGTATTAAGTCACTTTAGCCACCTAAAATGACTCTTGACTTTAACCCTCAATAACTTTTAAACTATCAAAGATAAAAACACAATTCAACTCCCATTTACACCTAAACTCACCCTCTAAACACTCCAACATCATCCCTACTCATATCTCCACAAAAACACCCTTAAAACAACCCTCAAATTTAATTTCCACTAAAAAAAATTTCAGATCACGACCAAAAACACGTCCAGATTGGACAGCACTCCTCAAGGGCATCGAATCAGGCGCCAAACTAAAACATGTCGAAATCAACGATCGCTCCAAGCCACTCCTACCGAAAGCCAAAGCCAAAGGGCAGTTCTTATACGAGAGCGAAAAAGATAATGCACACAATGTCCTACTTAAAGAGGTAAATATTAAGTAAATATTACTTAAGTACATATTACTTAAGTAACATGACTTAACCACAAAAATCAAAAATACAAAAAAATAAAAAATTCTTTGATAGATCCAACAAGGCACCAAACTGAAAAGTGTCAAGACCAACGACCGCAGCAAACCTAACCTCGAAGGCCTCCGCAAGTTCCGCCGCCAGATGACCATCGAGGAACAAATTCAAAAATCCGTCAGCATGGCGTCCATGGCCGGCATGCCCATTGTAAGTACACACAAAACAAAACATAACCAACAAAAAACATTCAAACATAATTCAAACCTACAGAATCTTCAAAATAATCCATCAATGGCCAGCATAGTAACAGTAAGTTAAAAAAATAAAAATAAAATAAACCATTAAAAATCCATTAAAATGTAAAAAAAATTGACAGAATTTACAGAACAATCCATCAATGGCCAGTATAGTTCCACCTGTAAGTATACATAACCTTAAAATCACCACCATAACCTCAAAAAACACATTTAAACAGAATTTCACCCCGGATGACCTTGCGGCTGACCTTGACGACCTCGATGATGAACTGGACGACATCGACAAAGTGCGCGATGACCTCCAAAGCACCAAACAACTCCTAGCCATAGAAATGCGTAACAAGGAACAACAAATACGCGAAAACAAACGTTTATTATACCGAATTCAAAACTTGGAGAAAGATATGGATGAAAACAAATCCATCGCCAAAAACGAGCAGGAAGCCGATAAGCGACGTGAACCCGATGAGAAACTCATCGTGACTCTCAAAGCGGAGGCTGCGGAAGCACGCAAACGTAATGAGGAGCTAGAGAAGAAGTTGACGCAAGCGGCCAAGGAGCTGGATAACACAAAGTATGACCTTGAGGAGATGAAGAGGAGGAATTCGGATTTGGAGAAACGGCTGCAAGAGTACATGACTGGGAAGAGGTATTCGGTGGCGGATAGAAGGGAGAGTCAGATGATGGACGATGATGGTGATAGAGATGATGAGGATGATGATGAAGAGACGGAGGAAACGGAGGAGAAGGCGGCGAAGAGAGGGGCGAGGGAGTTGAAGATGTTGGTGAATAAGTTGAGAGGGTTTAAGAATAAGGTGGATAATGCGAAGAAGGAGCGGATTGCGTTGAAGGAGATCATGAAGAAGCATCAGGTGGCGATTAGGGACGAGAAGAAGAGGTTTAAGCAATTGCAAAAGGAGGTAAGTTGGTTTTTTATTTTGTGATGGGGGTGAAAATTTGGGGGGATTGTAGTGAGGGTTGGTAGAGTATTAAATTGGGTTTAATTTGAGACTAGGTTGGGGTTTGTGGTGTGATTGGTTGCGGGGATATTGCAGGTTTTGTGTGAAAAGTCTACTTTGGTTGTTAAAGGAGACTTTTGGTTTGAACCTCGATATCTTTTGAATGAAGAGGGATAGAGGAGTGGTTCAAAGTGTGGTTTGTAGATAATTATCTTATCTATAAGATAATAGAGTGATATATTGTTTGAAACATTAAATTCACCCTTAAAACAACCCTTAACTATGATTTTTCGAGATTTATGCAATATTTTCGGTTAAAAATTCGTTTTAAATGCCAAAATACAGCTCTATTAATTAAAATTAATTATTAGTGATATGTCTATTAGATAGTACATTAAAATAGGTTTAAAATGATACCAAATTAACATTTCTGTCATAATTAGTTCAGAAGATATTCAAAGAAAACTTCAAAAATGCATTTTTATCCATTTTTCGTAACTTTGACTTCAATCCTTAATAACGTTCAAACTAATTAAGATAAAAACATAATTCAAACGGTAACTTACACCTAAACTCACCCTTTATCAACTGCAATATCATTCCTTATCAAACCTATACAAAAACACCCTTAAACCACCCCCAAAATAATATTTTAACAATTTAAACAAAATTTCCTAATAAAAACGTCATTTGCACTAATAAACAATCAAATACACCGTATAAATATTTATAAAATTAATAAACAAACTAATTACCTTTCATTTGATAACAAATTTAACTTCCCCCCACCATTATTTCCCGAGATATCCTCCGAAAACGAAACAAAAACACTTTTTACATATAAACAACACTAATTTTAATTTCGTGTTTATATTTAGGTTGACAAGATGGCCGCCCTAATGAAAGAGTCCGAAAGTGATGAAGAAGAAGACTCTGACGAAGAAGAACGTGAGGAAGACGAATCTGAAGAGGAAACCACCGAAAGCGAGACGGAATCCAGCGATACAGAATCGGAATCGGAACGTTCGCAATCCGAACCAGAAGATGCGCCACTCGAGAAAAAGAAAGAGAATGTCGTAGCACGATCCCGACGCCATGAGAATCGTCTCTCCGCGTTGAAGAAAACCAATTTCATGTTGAAAACGAACGCGGAGCGATTGCAGGATGATTTGAATCAACAGAAAGAAATGACTGCGACATTACAGAATGATTTGGACAGTGTCCTTGCTGAATTGGGGTAGGAATCTGTAATAATCGAATGACAAAGCAGATAAAATCTGTCAAATGTCAAATGACTACGCAGTTGTTACTTGTTTCTCCACTTATTACTCTTTACGTTGTGTTTCGTCTTTTACGTTTCTGTTTCTAATGACTTTTATGATATTCGTATAGGTAGTGCTTTTTTATATTAAAATACATGCAAGACTTGTAAGATGTTGACAAAATACACGGATAAACAATATTATTGCGGTTTGTCAACGGTTATTGCGACATAACCACACTGTTTTGTTTACATCCAAATAAAAGCGAAAATAATCGTATTGAAAACACCCGTGGGAGTGTAGATAATAAGTCGTCAAGAGGTTTATCACTCACCTTTTATTCTGCAGGCGTTTGGTGCTGACACTATCGGTGAGTGGACTGTGAATCACTTATTCGCTGCGGATTGATTGCGGTCAGATAATTTGAACGCCAATAAAAATTTGGGTATAACAGCTGTCACTGCGCCTGATGAATGCAACCCAATGTACATCAAAACATTTTACTAAATTTTATTTGTTTATTACATTATTTACTAAATATTATTATTGATTTTAATTTAATAATACTTAATTCAATATATTTAATAGTTTAATATGGTATTAATTACGTATTTTGTTGTTTTTTTCTAAAAAAATTAAACAAGACTTATGTTGGCACTTCCGAATAAAAGCACCAGTCGTGCATCTTCGCATCCTTCGTGTATCATCGCCCAAACAAAAAAAAACGCAGCACTCGGCGGCGGCCATTACATACTGTTGCGCGGATCGTGGTGCACGAAATAATGTGCTCCCCTTTCAAATGAGTACAAACATTAAAAAGCCACCCCTACGCGAGTGAAAACGTGTGCGACCGGTGCATGCTACCCTTCGCCATCCCACACACACCAAATCTAACTGTAATACAATCGTTAATAGTGCAATATCAGTGATTATCTGGCGTGCGTTGACAAGTGATCGTCAATTGTCATCAACAACCTCATCGAAAACGCTTGAAAACTCAATCATTAAACCCAAAAAGACTATTTATTAGCTTTCACGATGTCTATTGAGTATCTACAGGTAGCGGAGGATGAGGGTGAGGAGCCTATCGAGCTGCCCACCGAAGATGACGGCACACTTTTGCTCAGCACCCTCGCCGCACAGTTTCCCGGCTCCAGCGGGCTGAAATACCGCAATCCAGACTCCAGAGCGATGCGAGGTGTCCGTCTCAGTGAGGGGCGGCTACATCCACCGCCGGAGATCGGCTGGGGGTCACAGATATTCTATTGTGTGTTTCCAAAAGGTAAGAAATGCAACAGAATGCATTTTTATTAGAAATTCATTAATTACTCATTAACTAATTAAGATACTGGATTGATTAATTGAATAAGTAAAGATAATTAAATTATGCGTCTAATAGTGAAAAAATTATTAAGATTGCTTTAATGAGTAAAAAGTTATTAGCGTTTAAAGTTTATTTCGTTTTAAAATACGATTTTTTGTTGTTTATAACTTTTTATAAATAATTATAAACAAATAATTTTAAACTTTATTAGGTGTAGAATTAAATTCTGTATACACCTGCGAAAGAATTATTACTGTATCAATAATAGTTTTTGAGTTATTAACAAATAACTTAACATAACCTAACTTTACACCTAATTATGATATTGTTTAGTTTTTAATTAATAACTCAAAAACTAATCACGTTAGACTAAAAATTCTTTCATAATTTTATTAACAATTAAATTCTTTATCCAAATACACTTTATTTGATAAAATATTTCGATTGTGATAAAAGTTACAGGCATGCAAAGTTAATGTTTGTTTAATTTTCTTGTTAAAGCAGAAAATAAACGAAAGTCTGACGATAATCTCGAGAATTCAACAGCGAAAACAAAGCGCATCGAGACGAAACTACGCTGCACTGATCTCATCGTTCTGGGTTTGCCCTGGAAGACCACCGAGCAGAATCTACGCGAGTATTTCGAAGCTTTCGGTGAAGTATTGATGGCACAGGTAAAATTTTAATACTTTTTGCTATAAAATTGTTTAATTTGTTAATTTTTATGTTTAGGTTAAAAAAGATGCCAAAAGTGGGCAGTCCAAAGGCTTTGGCTTCATCCGTTTCGCGTCCTATGAGAGTCAAATGCGTGTTTTAGCTCAACGACACATGATTGATGGACGGTGGTGTGATGTCAAAGTACCCAACTCAAAGGTAAAGCTTTTTTTGTATGAATTTGTTTTATTTTTTATGATATTAATGTTTTTGTTTGTTTTATGTGTGTGTTTGTTGAATTTGTAGGAAGGGTTGATTCAGCAAGTACCATGCAAAGTGTTCATTGGTCGTTGCACAGAGGATTTGACTGCGGATGATTTGCGCGAGTATTTCGGTAAATTCGGCGAGGTGACGGATGTGTTCATACCGAAACCGTTCCGTGCGTTTAGTTTCGTTACGTTTTTGGATCCGGAGGTTGCGCAGAGTTTATGTGGGGAAGATCACATTATTAAAGGTATGTAATTTTTTTTTCTTTGAGTTCTCTTATGTTTTTTTGGTGGAATTATGTTTGTATTTTATCTGAAAGTACATGAAAACATAATTGGGTAATCAAAAAGCGTGTTTTGTGTTTTAAACTTATGTTTTTGGTTGTATTTTGGTTTATTTTTGAATTTTTTCTTTGAAAATGATGAAAATGTTTGTGTTACAATGTTTTTTTCATATTTTTTTCATGATTTTTTAAAGCTATTCTAAGAAAATCAAAGAAAAAGCATGAGAAATGCACAAAAAACATTGTTTTTCTTGATTATTTATATTTCAATATCGAAATTTTTATGTTTTTTCAATGCAAATCAACGCAGATCAATGTTTTTCATCAATTTTCGAAGAAAATTATTGGAAAACATTGTTTTTCTATAGTTTAACCGTGAATTTTTTGCATTTTTAAGTAAAAACCTTCAAACTAATGAATAAAACTTCGATTTCTAATGATTAATTATTTTAAAACCAACAAAACTATAGAAAACGATCGCAAAAGAAAAATTTCACGCTTTTTGCAAGGTTTTTTGTTGAAACATTTGCATTATTCAACAAATATCAATCAAAGATAAGGAAAAAACATGAGAAATCATTATTTACAAGTGATTGGTGCATTTTCCATCGTTTTTCGGTGGTTTTTACCAGAAAATAGAGAAATAAGTCATAAAATTGACAAAAAATCTAAGTTTGAAGCATTTTTCAACATTTTTCGTGGAAATCTTCATTTTATTAAAAAAATATGAAAAATTTAAAGAAAAACGCAAAAAAAACATAGAAAACAATTCTTCTTCACTTTTTTCTTTACTTTTACTTTTTAATAATAAATTCTTGCAATTTCTGTCCTAGGTGTCTCTGTGCACGTCTCAAACGCAGCCCCAAAGTCTGAAACCCGCGGCGGCGGTGGTTACGGCGGCGGGCCGCGCACAGGTAACCACAGCGGCAGCCGTGGACCCGGCGGGCCCGACGGTCCCGGCATGTACCAGCAGCGCTACAACCCCGGCCCCAATCAAGCGAACTGGGGCAATCAGGGCCATCGCGGCAACATTGACATGCCTAACCTACAAGCACTAGGTAACTACCACACCACACACACACCATCTACTAACATAACCTAACTCCACACATTCTATATTTATTTATTGATATATTTATTATTAGTTAAACTCCTTACTCCGAACTCCTTCCTCAACGTGCCCACCTCGCCGTCCTCCACCGCATCAAAACCAAGCAATTTCAAATGATTTCCATTACTAATTCCCACATGGTAAGTATTCATAGCACACTAATTGTTTCTATGGCTGGTAATACCTGATACCTGATGCACGCTTTGGTGATTAACATGTTTTTATAGTTTATAGGTGTACTTGAGTGTTGTGCAGCCTGCTTGAATTCTCACCCTCCTCATCCAGTCAAGAGCTTTTGTTTGATGTATATTGTTGTTGGTTTTTGGTTGGTTTTTGAGCTAAGAAAGAAAGTCTCGTACAAAGTTTGTTTTGATTTGTTCTGCTTAGTTTTATTATGTTTATGATGATTATTAGATGATTATGATTGGAAAGGTGTGGTTATGGTGAATATTGATGATTGGGTAGGATTGTGGTGCTCGTTGTGACTTTTTGTTTGTTTGTTTAGGTATTACTGGGCAAGGCCAGCAGGGCAATCAGCAGCAGAACTGCAATCCGCTCGGATTGGGCTTGAATTTGAGCGCGCTGCCGATGAATCCGGCGCTGGTGGCCGCCGCGCTCAATCAGGCGAGTTGGGGACTCATGGCGAATATGCAGAATCAGCCGGAGCCGAATTTTAATCAAGGGTTTAATAATCCGCCGAATACTAATAGTGGTGAGTTGAAATTTCAGTTTTTTTGGTATTTAAACAAAGAAAATTGTTGTGAGACATTGTTTTCTATGGTTTTATTGAGGAATTTTCATGTTTTTTTCATTTTCATGTAATTTTTATGTTTTTGGGTAAAAATCATTGGAAATGATAGTAAATGTCGATTTTTGTGGTTTTCTTTGGTTTAATGATGAATTATTCGTGTTTTTCACTAAAACTCAACGTAAAACATTGTTTTCTATGATTTTATTGAAGAATTTTCATGTTTTTGATTGAAAAGTCACGAAAAGTGAAGTAAAACATAGATATGTTTGTGTTTTTGGATGAAAATCATTGGAAACTATAGTAAATCAATTGATTTTCGTTGTTTTCCTTGGTTTAATGACAAAATTTTCGTGTTTTTCACACGACGTGAAACCTTGTTTTTCTTGGTTTTCTTTGGTTTATTGTTGAATTATTTGTGTTTTTGTTTGCTGATCAATTAAAACCATAGCAAAACAGTGTTTCCCACGGTTGCATGAGGTTTAATATTCAAAATTTTGATGATTTTGGACAAAAAATCGTCAAAAATTATAGAAAAACATTGACTTTCCTTGTTTTCTGTTATCTAACCTTGAAATATTCATGGTTTTAACAGAGTTTTATCGCAAAACAATGTTTTTCTTGGTTTTTGAAGTTAAAATATTGAAAATCAAGAACAACAAGCTTAAAACTAGGTTATGTTTGATTTTCTGTGGTTTATAATCGAAATTGTTTGCGTTTTTATCGGTTTTGCACGGTTTAATATTGAAAATATCATGTTTTTCATCGAAAACAGGAAAAACATTGATATTTCTTGGTTTTTATTAGTTTTTCTGCCAAATTTTACCAAAAACATGAGTAAAACATTGTTTTTCTTGATTATCTACGTTTCAATATTAAATATTTCATGTTTTTTCATTGCAAATCAACGCAAAACATAGTTTTTCACCTTATTTCGATGAAAACTATTGCAAAACATTGTTTTTCTATAGTTAAACAGTGAAATTTCAGCAAAATTTCAATGATTTTAACCAAAAATCAACTAAAAAAAACTTTATGACATTGACATTCATCCATTTTGTTATCCCGCAGGCAACACCGGCAATGGCGGCAACCAAGGCGGCGGCAACAGCCAAGGCTTCCTCAACTGGATGAACCAAGTACAACAACAAGACGGCCAATGGCCGCGCCCGCCCCCACAGCAGCAGCAAGACAAGGGCTTCCTCAAGTACGACTAGAGACTGAATAATGCCAAGGGGGCATTAGTTGCACAGGTAAACCGTACACATATTTGACTCTAAAAACAAATCTCTTTCGAAACGTATCGAAACAAAACGAAAACAAAAAACACTTTCATATACATTTACTCACTACTCACTCAAAACAAAAAAAAGTAAAACATGCAAGAATGTGTGTTTTAACATGTCCGTAGATAAAGGAAAAGTAACTCTTAGTCAATACATGAATACATGATCTAGTTGATAGTTGAATTTATGAAAAACTGAACAATGTGTATATTAACGGATTGCGAAGAGAATGTTATGTTGCTACGAACAAAAACTTAGGCTTAGGTTTATGGTATATCACACATAACATATAATCTGAGTGCGCACGCGCGCCTGGTGCGAGTTGTGTTGCCTATTTCTCTTACTACTCCGTACCAACTCTCCGTGGTTTAGTTTATCACACACACACTGCACACACGTTTTGTTGCTGTTTGTTTTTTTTCTCTCATTCGGACGCGTGTGTATCCCTAGCCTAGCTGTAAGAGACTTTATGATTGTATACAAGTGCGCAGGAATGTTTTGTTGGTATATTGATGAGATGTGGATATGATTAAGTGACACGACAAATGAATATATGACACAGATGTACATGTGTGACCAAAAGATATGATCTATTCGATCCGGATTCTTGTTTGGTGTTGGTTGAGACACGTGACTCCAGCGCGGTTCCATTTTTATTTTAGTTTGTTGTTTTTCGTTTGATGTGTAGATTGTTTGAATTTTTGGAGTTTGATCAGTGTAGTGTTTTGTGGTTTATTTTTTGTGTTACATGTAAGTATGTGATGTGTGAATAGTTTTGATGCAGGGGTGACATTCATTTGAGTTTTTGGTTTTTTGGAGATAATTTGATGAGTTATGAGTGGAGTTCAATCATTTTTGGTGAGGATTAATATTAGGTTTTGATTAATTAATTTGGATAGTGTGAGATTGATAGGAGGAATGGTTTTTGAATAATTGAGGAATTTATTGCGGAAAATGGCGGAATTTTGCTTTAAATGTTTATAACTTTTGAATAGGTTGTTATATTTTTATGAAATTTATAGGGATTGCTTATGATAGGTCAGGTTTTATAACAAAAGAAGAAATTGTTGAAAATAATTAGTTTTGTGGGAGTTATGGAAGTTTTTCTACCAAAAATTTAGTTTTTTTCTTATTTTTTTGATAGTTTTTCTGTGATAAAATCAAAAGTTTTCATTGAATTCCAAAATTGTTTATGCAGGCACTCGAGTATTGTAATAATCAATATGTGTACTAAATTTGAAAGTGTTAGGAGTAATAGTTTTCGTTTAATTGGGAAATTTGTTGCTGAAAATATGAAAAATTGCGTTTTTGCCCAAAAATTTACATAAAATTGCTTATAACTTTTGAATGCGTTGTTAAAATTTATTGAAAATCTCAGGAAATATTAACAGTAGTGCATATTATAATCCTAAGAAAGAAAATTTGGTAAATTTTAATTTTATGGAAGTTACAGCTGTTTTACTTGAAAAATTATCGTTTTTAGCCCAATTTTATTACGTTTTTTGTTTATAACTATCATAGTTTTTGATAAAATTTTAAAATTGTTTCAGTAGGTCCTAGATATTTTAATAATTAATATGCATACTAAATTTGACAGTGATAGTTTTGCTTTAATCGGGAAATTTGTTGCTAAAAATATGAAAAATTGCGTTTTGCAAAAAATAATCACAAAAATGCTTGTAACTATTGAACGCATTATTATTATTTAATGAAATTCTGAGGAAAGCTTAAAAATAGTGCATATATTAATCCTCAGAAAAGAAATTCAAAATATTTTCAATTTGTCAAAAGTTATAACAAATTTACCTACAAAATTCCCGTTTTACTCCGATTTCTCTCAGTTTTTCATCAATAACTTTAAAAGTTTTTATTTTAAATCAAAAATTCTTTCTTTTAATGATTGCTAATTTAATAATAGATAAACAAAGCAAATTTCAATTTATTCAAAGCAATAGTTTACCCAAAATAAACAAATTTGCCAACAAAAAAAAAACTAATATTCAACTCAAACTTTTGCAAAAACACTCCCAAAACTACACAACTCACCAAACCAAAATGAATGTCACCCTTTGAATATTTAAACAATCGTTTAAATATCACCACAAATTATCCAAAGCTGTAGTTATGTGTCAAAATGTTATGAGGGGATGATGATGATGATGATGAATATGATCACACTCTGCTGCTGTGAGTAGTCCGTAGACCCACTAGTCCTCACTGTATCGCAAACCTGGTATCTGAGTGCAAGAGAAAGTGAAGAATGGCGCAAACGAGGTGAGACTTTGGCAAATTTTCTGTTTGTTTTGTGAATAATAAATGTGTTGCTGCGTGCGAATTAATTCCAACCAAAACTCAAAACCAAAAAACAAAAACAAATCTAGCGCATCTCTAGCGATTTTTGCGTAAATGTTGGTGGTGTTCACTGCTTGATTGGTAGCCATTTTGATTTTAAGTTTGACTTTCGATCTTGCGTGTGTGTTTTGATGTTTGACGATGTCGGCCCTCCTTTCCTCGTGTAAGTATGCGAAAAAGGTGCCCATGCTGATGAGAGTGATGAGGATGAGATACTGAGATGCAAGAGCAGAAGATTGAGAATTGAGTGCGTGCGCTCATACATTTTATATGTAAGTTGAACCTGTGTGGCTAACAAATCCTCTAAAAATCATCACTAAACACCTTAAAAAAATTGTAATTTAATATTTATTTCCATAGGTTGTGACTACTAACCTCAAACATTGGAAATCAAACTCCACAAGGCTGAAAATGGACACAAAACATAACCAAAGAACCGCAAAAGACTGAATCTGTGATATAATTATTTTATAAATACAATTGTTACACGATATTGTTGTTGATCGATGGTAGGAGTTGATCCGCTGCGAATTTCGGCAGCGTGAAGGCGGCTTTATGCGCGTCGCCATGATAATACCGCAGGGATTTATCTTCGACAAGATGGCGGGCGTGCGTTAAGTCGATTTTATCATTCGTAGCGATTAGCAAACCTATTTGACCGCATGGGTAAGTCGGAACCGACACAAGCGCGTATTTCACATTGGAGAAATATTTACGTGCTGCGTCTACAGTTGCTTTGACTTCTTTTAGCCCCGTCCAGATACATCCGCCTTGCGAGCATATAATCCCACCGGGTCTCAACGCGTTGGATAACAATTTAAAATAGTTTTCCGTGAATAAATTCGCCGCAGGTCCGACCGGGTCCGAGGAATCTGTAATGATAACGTCGAATTTACCACGCTGCTGGTCCATGTACGCGAAGCCATCGCCCACGATGAGGTTTAACTTGGCGTTGTTGAATCCCGACGACATGAACGGCAGGTATTTCTTCGAAGCAGCAATAACGCGATCGTCGATCTCCACTTGTGTCACATGTTGCACCAGAGGATGTTTGACGACTTCACGTGCGACGCCACCATCGCCACCACCGATGATCAACACCTCCGCGGGGGATGTATGCGCGCATAATGGCAGGAATGCAATCATCTCTTGGTATGCAAACTCGTCGAATTCGGTGCATTGAATGATGTTGTCCAATACCAACGCTCGGCCATGTTTTTTTCTAGAAGAAAAGAGAAAGGGTGGCGCGGTTGCTATGGTAACACAACAAGTAACCATGGTAACACTCACGTTTGCAGCACGAGAATCTCCTGATAGGGGGACTTTTCTTTGTGTAGCACGGCGTCGACTTGTAGTGACATACACTGGCCGGGCCAGAGGTCAGGTTGGATTTCGCTGAACCAGCCGTTTCGTAGCGCGTCCATGGTACGTACTGAAATTATCTTTCCTACGCGACGCATAGACTTGTACTGTGTGTTTCACTTTCGAAAACGTCAACAACGAATATTATCACGTTTCGTGCGCGTGGGGTATTGTGTGCGCATGCGCGTCGCAGACGATAAGATTATCTCGGTTAGGTTTGTTTTCATGAATATCAACATCAACGCACGTATTGTAATTGTATACTAATTCTTTTTCAATTTCGCATCGCCTACAAGTTGTTTCAAGTGTTTACTGCGTGTGTCCATTGAAAATGCCTTGTTAATGATGTCTTTCTTCTTTGTGCTCGTTATTCTGGCTTCTTCTAAGTCTACTTGACTTAAAACACTTGTATTTGTGTCTTGGTTGGGTGATGATGGTAATTGTTTGGTTAAATGTTCATTTGTTGTTAATACTTTGACCATTTCGGCGTTGATTGCTTCATCGTACACGATGAATGCTTCTTGATGTTTTCCTGGAATAGATTATTGTGTAATTATGTGTTTAATGTTTGGCTTAAGTTAAGTATAGTGATTACTTTTGTATGCTTCGAGTTTCTTTGTCATTTCTCGATCGATTGCGGTGATATTAGCGAGGCTTGTGGTTGTTTCCTGGGTGAATTCGTTGATGATATTGCTGCCGCTGTTGGGAAATATGTCGTTGAGTAGAGTGAGGTCTGCTGAGCCGTATTTGCAGTCAGGCAAGAGTTCGTGTTGTGATGCGACGAATTCGAAGGCGTTGTCTTGGTAGAGTTTGGTGAAGATGTAGATTGGTTCCAGGGCGTTTTCGGTTTTCATGTTGGAGAGGTAGAGGTGGATTGTGGCGAGTTCGTCTTTTAATATGCGGATTTTTATTAGGTGCCTGGAATGGAATTTTTTGTTGTTTTTGTTTAGTAATTTGTTATATTTTCGAGAACTAAAAAAGTTAGAGGAATAATTCTTTTTGGTTTTTGTTTAGAATTAAATTCTGCATTTAATTGGCTTAAAATCAGGTTCTTAGAATGTTTACATAAAAAGTTATAAGCAAAAAATTAAATGAAAAAATTGAGTTTTTTGTTAATAACTTTTAATACAATTGTTTTATTAAGATGAGATTATTACTGTTAGTGCAGAATTTAATTTCAAACAGATTTTTGAAAGAATCGTCATTGTAGCTTTATTAGTTTTTGAGTTATAAATTATTTTCGGTTAAAAATTAAGGGAATTGTGCCTAATTACTGGTATTTTTTTAGTTTCTTGTTAATTATTCCAGAATGATAGGAGATAGAATGATAATTCATCCTGTTTCTTGTTCAGAATTTAATTCTGCATTTAATTACCCTTAAACTAAATTTCTACGAATTTAACATAAAAAGTTATAAACAAAAAATGAGATTTTACTAAATTTCTTCAAAAAAGTGCTAATTTTGTTTATAACTTTTGATATAATTACTCAATCTATGTGAAATTTTAATCATCTATGCAGAATTAAATCCTTAACAAAATGGTGAAAGAATTATAACAATAACTCCATTAGTTATTGCGTAATTAATTAATAACTACTTAAAACTACCCAATTTCTAAGTTATCCACACTAATTTTCTACTAAACTATTTTAGTTAAGTTAATATCTTAATCCTACAATACTAATACTCATATTTACTTGATTGGTTGTTTGTTGTATATCCCATACAACAAATAAAGTCCTCCTGTTTGAGTAAACTTGCATTCCGGCAGCAGCAAATACTTTTTTGCACAATGCAACAGCATATGAGTGAAATGTCCCAGTTCATATTCTCTGTATTTTCCACTGAAACAATATTTTGAGTTGTATAATCATAGTAATAATATATTACTATTGAAACAGTAATAATTTTTAAGTTAATGCATAGAAAACTTACACAAAAATCAATCCAAACTTTAGTTCCTTCCAGATTTGTGAAAATTGCGTGTAACTGTAGGATGAATTAAGTAAAAAACGCCGCAGAAGCATTTCACAATCCTCTTGAAACGCCTCTTGGCATTCTTTATATCTGGTAATTTTGTATTTTTCTTTCCTCATTGTTTAAATGTTTTGTTCTTGGAGTGAAACAACGAAAACAAACTTTGTTTTGTATATAACCTCAAGAAAATGTGTAAGTTGGGTTGCATACCTCAAAAATTAGTCTTCTATGTTTATTTAAATTTATTTTCTGTTATTTATAAAGAATTAAACACTAAATTAAGTTAAATTTTAATACTAACCAATTATTAGTATTATTATATTGGTATTTATCTAATGAAAACAAATAGAATTTGTTTATTTCATGATAATTTTTACGATTTTGACGTCAAGGTCACTGTCAAAATGTCATACTTCTCACATCTCATTCAAAAATTAGTTTCATAATATCATAAATAAAATTCTTTCGTCACCACGAACATCTTAAATTCATCAGTTGCCGTCGCCGCGTGCCTCCATCCTTACAATAACATCCGAGAGTGATACTTCAACCTCCTAATTTAATGAAATAATAATTTTTTACACAACTAACCATCAAATACAAACCATCAAGTCAAACATGAAGATGTTACAAAAACTACACTTGAATCTGCTAAAAGCACCAATTTCCAACTACATAAAAGCCGTACCATGCCAGTGGCTACAAATGAAGGCACCCGACACCATTCCGCCAATAGTACCCATCAAAATGGCTTATAATTCATACCAAACAGCTGGAATTGATGCAGGCCAACCACCGTTGATAATAATGCATGGATTGTTTGGCTCCAAAGGCAATTGGAACAGTTTGTGCAAAGCGTATCAAAAGACACTCAATTGTATAGTGTATTCAGTGGATGCAAGAAATCATGGTGACAGTCCACACTCACCAAATCACTCGTATCAACACCTTGCTGCTGATTTAATGGAATTTATGAGAGATTTTAAGATTAAGAAGGCGAAACTTATTGGACATTCAATGGGAGGACGTGCTGTCATGTATTTAACACTTAAACATGTAAATATTACAAAATTTTCATAGTTTTTTATGTTTTTTTTTTGATTTTTTGATGTTTTTTTATGAAAATTTATATTTTTTTATTGTTCTAGCCTGAATTAGTTGAAAAACTCGTCGTGGTAGACATTTCTCCACATGTAAGCTCACCCAGTCTCGATGCAATGCCTCCTTTATTTGAATTCATGGCGAAAGTTCACATGCCGAGAACAGGAACAATGGCGGAGGCTAGGCAACAAGTCGAACGACAATTATCGACGAAAATCACCGATCGCGCGTTACGATCGTTCCTGGTCACCAATCTAGTGCAGAAATCCGATGGTACACATGCATGGCGTATTAATCTAAGCGCGTTATTAACGAATTATCGTAAGAATATCGCGATGTTTCCTCATATACCGGATGCTGTGTACAACGGGCCGACATTATTCATCGGAGGTGAAAAGAGTGATCATATACCGTGAGTATGCAACCAAGTATACACATTTTTATTCCATATGGTTATATTAGTTCTTATTTTATCCGATAGGTTATATTAGTTCTAATTTTAGCCGTTTTAATGTTTTGTTTATAGTAAGAATAGTTTACCGACTCTTAAGAAACAATTCACCGCGGCAGAAGTTAAGTATATACCTGGTGCGGGGCATTGGGTGCACAGCGAGAAGTCGCATGAGTTTCTGAAGATCACTGCGGATTTTTTGAAGGAAAACGTCGCGCTGCAGGCGCAGGCCGGGGCTGAGGCGGCGGCCAAAGTACAACCACATCATAAATAAATAATTTCGCATAATTAACTTGTTTAATTGAGGTTAACACACATAAGGTAGGTAGGTATTAGTAAATTATATATTTTTATTACTTAAATAGGTAAAGGAAACGTGTTTATGTGATATTATGAGGTTATAAATTAAGTTTAGTCATGAAAATGGGACATAACCTAAAATTTTGATGGTTTTTGTTGATTGTTGCGTAAAGTAGAGCTTTAAACAGGTTAAAACTCATAATAATTGTTTATAAATTAGGTATTTGTTGTTAAAACATAGTAATTTTGTTTGAAATTAACAAATTTACACGAAATTATCATAAAAATTAATTTTATATTGTTTTTTGGCAGTTTTAAGTCATAAAATGACAAATTTCTACGAATTTATTGAATTAATTTAGCTTTGGCACAGTTTGCAATGTTAAAATGATGTGGAAAACATATTTTGGTGATATTATGAGGTTATAAATTAAGTCAAGTCATGAAAATTGCCCATAACCTCTAATTTTAATTGTTTTTCAAGGTTTTTGTCATAAAAACAACTTCAAACAGGTGAAAACTTTAAATAATTGCTTATAATTTCAATATTTGATGTAAAATCACAACAAGTTTGTTAAAAATTAACAAATTTATGTTTAAAATGAGTTTTTACAATGTTTTACACAAATTTAAGCCATAAAACGTTAAATAATTGTTACATAACCTAAAATTTTAATGGTTTATGTTGATTTTTGCCATAAAAACAACTTTAAACAAGTAAAAACTTAAAATAATTGCTTAGAATTTAAATATTTGTTGTTAAAACTTAATAATTTTGTTTAAATTCAACAAATTGCCACAAATATCGACTAAAAACTAATTTTTAGAATGTTTTAATCAATTTTAAACCATAAAACGACAAATAATTCAAATATTTTATGTAAAACATAATATTTCTCTTAAAAATCAACAAATTCATCCAAAATTCCATAAAAAATTAATTTTAAACAGATTTTTGGCATTTTAAACTCATAAAACATCAAATTTCCACTCATTTATTGCATTAATTTACTTTTGGCACACTTCACAATGCAGCTCCCATGTGCATCACACCGATTACATCATTCACAAACATAAACCCGCACTAGTTACACACACAACACAAAAATTGATCGCGTGTTGGCTTCATTTCCCCTCGGAGTAAAAATCAGTCGTTATTCACCCTTGCAATAATCAACACTACTCACACATCACGAATCAGTCGTGATATCACATCGGCGTAAACAAATATTTAACTGCAAGTTTTATCATTTTTAGCTCCGCTATGATTCGCTGGAGTTTAAGTGCGCGCCGAGTCGAAGGTCGCGCAATCACCAACGCGCTCCACGCCGCTTTCCTTTCGCCGGCAGGACATGTCGGCATCATCCACCATGGAATATACGCTCCAACGCGCGCCGAACAACGTCAGTACGCAACGCGGACGCGTGCGCGACACGCAACCAACGCGACGTTTACTTCACGCAACGTGCACACTAAGTTGCAGCAAACCACGAGTAGTACACAATCACAGTACATATTTTCATTTGGTTGTTTTTTGAGGCATTACCACACTGTTCTGTTATCTACGCGTTGCGAGAGGTTGGATTTATTGGACAAGATGGGTTGTTCCACGTCGAAAGTTTCTTCTGAGGAGAATTCAAGTAAATGTAAGTTATTTTTTTAAATTTTCTGGTTGTTTTTGTTTGTTTTGAAGGTTTTTTTATTTCATTGAATGAGTCATAGTGTCATATGAATGTGACTTAAGTATGGTATTGGTATTAATATGTTGTGTGTAGTAATTAACATTGTTTAACATTTTTTATTATTGATTTAATGCAATGCACGAATTTGCGACGTGCAGTACACATTAAATATGGGTTTAGAGATACTCGTAAATTGTTTATTGTAACAATGCAAGTATAGCGAATGTTATGCTATGTGGAGGTATTTAGTTTATTGTTTTTATGGTTAGTTTCGTGCCAAGGACGCTGAACTAATCGGAGAATTATAGCGCGGGCATTCTTTGCGTTTTTCACATGTTTTATGCAATTATCAAGCGAAATTTGTTGTTTGAAGAGGTTTAAATTGGTGAAAATTAAGTTTTTGAGTTTAAATCAGTTTTTTTTAAAGTTTTTGTTGGTTTTTATAGCTATTTTAGTTTTTGAAGTAGTTGAGGAATATGTGTCATGGCTAAAACAATTTCTATGGAGTAAGATAAAAGCGTTGAAGTAATTTCCGGTCGTAAAATGTGTCATTTATCATTATTGGAAAAGTATGTGTCATGTTTGGCATGTTTAACATGATAAACGCGAATAATAAGATGGAGCGATCATTCTTTTCTTAAAATTTGCGTGATTAGTATGAATATTAAGTTGAGATGTTTGAGAAAATAGTAAATTAGTGATGAAATTTTGGTTTTTGGTGCATTTAGAGTTAAAATCGTCAAAAGTTTGGTAAAATCGTTATAACTTTTTAAATTTTTAATATTTTTTTATTAAATTTATTCCAGAGGTACATTATTATATGTACTTTAAGATACATTAGTGAAAATTAGTACAATATTGTCGAATTAGCAACAAAAACAAAAGAATTACTAAACAGGAATTAAAAAAATGTTCCAGAAATATCATTTTTGTTTTAAAAATGCGGTAAATTTTAGAAAATCTGCTATTTTTAAAATATTTTTATTGCAAATGTCAGATAATTTACTTATTAATAAGGGCTGAAAGTTTCAATTCGATCGGAGTTGTGGTTTTTGCACAGTCGGCAATTATTTATCGAAAATCAATAAGAAAAACAAAAAGTAGTATATTTTCGCGAAAAAAACGTTATAATTTATTCATTTTAATATGTTTTTGGCATGAAATCATATTGCACAAGTACATTATCACCTGTACTTTTATTTTTCCTACAAAAAACACTGAATTGGTAAAGAGAATAACAAAAAACATTAAAATTAGCAACCTACGAATATTCACACCTTACATACGTATATTGTGCAGTACTCATTCATTCATTCATTCAACTTGATGCTTTATTGTTGATTCAAGTCTGTCTCAAGGTGACAACACGCAAAACACAAACCGCAAACCAAAACCAAATATTCATCATCATCAGAAACGCACCTTGCATGCAAATAACACTTTACTTAACTAATTTCAAGTGTGTGAGTATGCAACCAAAACTACATCTAACCTAAAACTAAACATACTCATCTAATGACAACACATAAAATCCCTACTAATATTATAAATGCGAAAGTTCTGATGTTTGTTACACTTTCACGCAAAAACTACTTAACCGATCATCATGAAAATTTGTACACATATTCTTAGTGGTCCCCGAATGGTTATAGGCTACTTTTTATTTAATAAAAAAAATTATTTTTTAAATAAAATAAAGAAATAGTTTAGCCAATAATACCTCTGCATCTGGCTATTTGACTACTTTAACGCCATCTAGCATTCCAGCAATGAAGCTCAAACCTAAGTACTATAGTACCATCACACTGTAATATCACATTGTATTACCGACAGCTACGTCAACATCAAATCCAATTGACTACACTATGGAGACTGTACACTATACTTCCATAGACTATACTTTCAGCCATTTTAAACTTCCCGCCATTCTACTTCATTCTTACTTCTTCTGTGACTACAGACGCGTACGGAAGCAACTTCATTATTTTAGATATTCGGGAGCGAAGCCAAAGGGTTAAAGCTAGTGTCAAATAAATACGTAAGACAGTGTTAACAGTGAAAACAAAAAGAAAGCAATACAAATTAAAAAAAATAAATAAATAAAAGCGTAAACTGCACCAATTACACGTCACGTTGTCATAGCAACAAGTAAACAACTTGCATTTTTGCCGACTCACTACCAACAGTGAGTAGTGAGTGCATCACTACACAAACACACACTTTTATTTCATTACGTACATCCTACATGCTACGAGTACATAATATTTATACAGACATGTTTGGTATGTTTTACTTCTTTTTAATAGCAAATAAGTAAATTCAACATACAAAATTATTAACTCATACTAATACTAATACTCATACTCGACCTACTCCAAACCAACAACACACTTGAGACACGATAAACTACACATGGCATAATCTATCACAAATCAAATATTAACCATTACAAGCTGCACCACACCGCTTTTCCCAGATGTTTATTTGATACACGTGACAGCCGGCACGTAACAATTATTTTTATCAATAGAAATATTATCACATCATAACATATTATCAAAAGTATAACATTTATGATTATGATTATATTTTTTAAATATTTGGATAAAAACTGATGAATTTATTGCCCACAGGTGTGTTTATTACACATATCTATATTCTTTGAGTAATAAACCTAGAAATTCATGCATTTTATTCATGAAACTGCGAAAAAATGTTTGAAGAGTAATAAAATGCCGGGTTTTACAAGCTGTGAATGCGAATGGCAGTGAATGACAGTGATACAGAGTTGAAAATGCAATGGAAATGTGTTTCGCCTTGCATTTTTTACAATGCAATGTAATGTATGTAATGTAATGTAATGTAATGAAAATAACAACATAAACTTTATCTTGGCGGCGTTTGTTTGTGTGCTGGGTGCGTTGAGTGTTTATTGCAAAAACAGTAAACACCTAATGGAATACCAGTGTAAGGAGGTTTTTATTGTTTTCTTGAATCAATAGTCAATACTTCTATGGAATACATTATGATACATTACATTTTTATTCTATTGAAAATACTCGTAATAGGGAAATATTGTGATATTTGTGATATTTTTAGTTTTTATTGGGTTTATTGAGGTTTTGTGGGATTTGTGGGGTTTTAATGAAGTTTACTTGATAGGTTATTAGTAGGTTTATTATTTAGGGGAATAATTGATTGATTATAAAGTTTAGTTTTGGAGTTTTAAAGGTTTTAAAGTTTGATTTTGTAAAATTGCAATGTTTTGAATTTTTACGACATTGCGATAGATTGCGATTATCTCAAAAATTAAATACGATAGAAAGAAACGGATTGAAGATTCTTAATCTACGGGAAATTCTCTATAACGTAAATTAATATAATAATTAAAATATTTGGGGGTAAACCTTCCAAAATTGTGTTTAGAAGTGCAGAAAAACAGCGCATTTTCAATTTTTTTAGAGTTTTTTTTCTTTTGATTGCGCACTGGTATATCTCGTAAACTAAAAGCGATACATACGAACGGATTGAAAATTCTTAATCTACGGGAAATTCTCTATAATATAAAATGATAAAATAATAAAATTTTTTTGGGTATATGTTTAAAAATCGTGTTTAAAAGTGTAGAAAAAGAGCACATTTTTAATTTTTTTAGTTTTTTTTTTCTTTCGGTTGCATATATCTCGTAAACTAAAAGCGATGGAGACGAACGGATTGAAGATTCTTAATCTACGAGAAATTCTCTATCAGACAAAGTATAAAAAATAATTAATATAAAATTGATTATAACGAAAATAACGCAAAGAAGAGTTGAACACCGAAAAACTTGCGCAAAGAGACAAGAATGGCAATGTTTTACTTTTTACATTACTGAATAAAAACTAATAAATGCATGAATACGTCCTTTGGCACGTTGATAGAGAAATAAATTGTCTTTTAAATGATACTTTAATCAATAATCTACGATTTTTATTACCTGAGATACAACGCTCCGAAATTAGGCAACTTTTTACACATTACTCTCACAAATTTTTATAATTTTTATCATTTTTATCAAATTACGAATAAATGACAATATATAACAATGATTCATACACCACTTCATATAGCTCTAGACTAGATCTAACATCTCACGTAAAAATCATTTTCCTATCTATAATAGTTTCCGAGTTACAATGATTTTAATCTTGATAATTTATAAATTACTTATTAAACATTGACAGGTGTTTATATTTTCCTTTATAACATGCAAACTATCAAACGCACGAAATCACTTCTCTTCATAATAAATTCTCTATTAAATTGTCTTTAAATTGATAGTTCAATCAATACTCTAGCACATTAATTACCCGAGTTATATAGCAACAAAAAAGAGTTTCACTTTTCGTCGAGCGAGTCGAAGTCTAGACTACGAGTACAAATAACCAAACATTTTTTTATTATGAAATAATAATTATGCAATTGTAAAAAGCTAAAATATAGACTACATACACAACATTTTAATATTCCACATAAAAAATAAACTTAATTAACTTCACCTTCAATACCTTGAACACATTGTATATAAACATACTACCAAAATACTTTCAATTCTCGTACTTTCGATTTTTGTTAGTCTAACAACGTACGCACTCCATAAAAACGCAAGGAGTGAATGAACTACCAAAAACTCAATTAAACACACACAAAAAAGACGTAAATGTATACTAGAAGGTCGATCGATACAAAACGTGTCGAAACTTTTGATTCTTTTGACAATTACACGTTTCTATCAATAGAATCAATAGAATCAATCAAAACGCAATCAAATGTATCGTTTCCCGGCGAAATAAACGGATATTAATCATTTTAATGTCAAGAAACTGTCAATGCGCACCAAAATCTTGTAAATTATTCATAACCAAAGAAATGTCTGAAAGTGCATCCGAAGAATCAATCGGTATGTACCTAAAAACATGTATAACTGGTTGCCTAACTATATCTGTATCTTGGGTTGGTACTTCATACTTCAATTTTGGATTGTTTTATACGCATGCGCGCAAAAGTGACGTATTTTATCCTGCTGCATATACACATAACCTTCACAACAGTAATCTTGATGTGTAATGTGTAAGTTGTAAGTTTTTCATTGTGCAGTGTCATCATGCAAACCTTTAAACAAAACATTAAAGATAAACGAAATAAACACCCGCAGTATATAATTAAACTATACATTGTAGTTATGAAGTATGAAATAGTGTGTTATTGCTTCAATCGGTATGTAAAATATCTAAAAATATCATTCGTATTCATTCGTAAATCTTCGCATTGACAGTTCCCATTTGAATGTTTCTGCACGCATGCGCACCTTGCAACCATCTGTTTTGCAGTTTCATCTAACCTTAACCTTGTTACGCAAGGTTTTCGCTGTGCGTGTCTAAATTTAAAACGAAAATGTAATCGTTATTAAAGAAGGGGAAGTAATGGTTGGAGTAGTGAATTACATATTTCGGTGTTCCATACACTACAAAAATTCATTTCTTAGTTGAATTGTGGATGGTGAACGGGTAACAACTGCGCAGACGCGTAAACACCGTCAATCTAAAAATATTCCAATTGCAAAAATTGATTTTAGTTCAGTTTAAACTCCAAACTCACAGAAAACGCAAGAAAACCAAAGACATCCAAAGAACTCGAAGAGAATAACCTTGTACTAAATAACAATAAGTGCACAACTTGTTATTATCATCGTAATTATCGATTAAATCCCACTGCGGTGCAAAACTACGTCATCTTAACCAACAACAACATCAACACACGCAAAATCACTACGTATTTTCCATTTCCACACCGCAGTGGTGATTGTGTGATTGTGGAATATATATACAATGGGCGCGATGGTCTCGCGATTCATTCTCGCGCCGGCAATACGCGCGTATAGATTCCTAAGCATGAGTGTAACAAAAAGCATTGGTTTTCCAGCCGCCGGCGGTGGCCGCAACGATGATTACATCGAGGGGGTGGTGTGCAAGGATGCGGACATCGGCGAGAATGAGATGAAGGCGTTCCAGATGGGCGAAGTCGGCAAGGTGCTGGTGGTGAGGCAGAATGGAGTGCTGACGGCGCTGGGGAGTAAATGCACGCATTATGGGGCGCCGCTGGAGACGGGCGCGTTGGGCGATGGAAGGGTGAGGTGTCCATGGCATGGGGCTTGTTTTAATCTGAAGACGGGGGATATTGAGGATTTTCCAGGTGAGTTTTATTGAAGTTTTTTATTATTTTTTTTTTAGTGTTTTTGAGAGTTTTTGCGCGTTTTTTGTTTATAAATTTTTATTTATTGATGGTATTGATAGTTTTTTTGGTGGTTTTGATGTGGAATTTAATTTGGGGTCTGATTGTGAAGGAATTATTGGTTTATCTTGTTTAGTTTTTGAGTTATAAATTAAAAACTAAAATGGCGCATAGTGTTGACGTGTGTTGTTTTTGTTCGGTTTTTTTATTAATTATTTAAAAAAGTAATCAAGTTAGAATACTTTTGTTTGCATATATTTATTCAGAATTAAATTTGGCTTCTAATAATATAAATATTTTATTGATAATAGATTTTTATAAGAAGTTATAAACAATTAAAGTTCAAATTTAGGAAGTTTTGTAGAAAAACTTACAATTTTTTGTCTGTAACTTTTGATTTAATACTAAATTCAAAGAATTTTTTACATATTATTTAATATGGAAGCAGATTCTGAAAGAATTATTGGTTTATCTTGTTTAGTTTTTGAATTATTTATTAAAAACCAACTTGGCGCACAGTGTCGCACTGTGTATCCGCAATATTTTAGCTTTTAATTAATTATTTAGCATTGAAGCAAGGTAAAATAATTATTCTTGCATATAATGATTAAGAATTAACTTCTGCTTCTACGAAAATACCAATTTTATTAATAGTACATTTTAATAAAAAGTTATAAACAATTTAAATTCAATTTTGTGATTTTTTCCATTAATTTGTTTATAACTTTTTATTTAATAACGAAATAAAAATACTTTTTGCATATTTAGATGCAGAATTTTACAGAGAATCAATTATTGAAAGAATTATCATTTTATCTTTACTGGTTTCCGAGTTATTTATAAAAAACCAGACTCGTGCGCAAAATTCGAACTTTGCTCTTTTTATGACTTTTTAATTAATTTTAAGAAAACGCATAAAGTTACAGTAATTATTTTTACACCCATTTATTCTACATTTAATTCCACATCTATTAATATAAACAATTTAGTTATATCTCTTTTTAATAACAATTTACAGACATTTAAACAAAAATTACATTTTTTCTCATTTTTTTCTAAATTTTTGTTTATAACTTTTTATTCAACATCAATATATAAACAAAAATCACACATTTTGATAAAGAATTTAACGCATAATCAAACCCAAAAAGAATTAACATTCTACATTTATTATTTTACGAGTTATTCATAAATAACTCAACAAAAACATAACAAATTTTCATTCAATGTAATTCTTATCATTCAAATGTTTTCTTACGATATTTCGTGGTTTTGTTTTGATATCCGCTGAGTATTCGCATATTTCCTGCAAACTTTACAAGTACCAGAACTAAAAATAGATTTTTTATTGAAAACTGCGCTCGCTACATGCACTTACACTTACACTCACACTCAGACAAGCGGCAACTTTGTCATTGAAACGACCTCATAAAATTTTCACATTCTAGCGTCACAGCAGGTCAGTTTTCCGCAATTAGATTCGTCCTCTGAGTTAAACCAAACATCATTCTATATAATTACAAGTTATAATAAACTTACAAACCAAAAAGTAATCATATTAAATATAGGCAACTTTATTTACAGTTTTACTCATTTAGAAAGTATATAGACAACTATAGATACATCTTTACAACCAAAAAAATAATAATATTTAATATAGGCAACCTAATTTACACCAATATTAATTTTTTTAAATTAATTTTTTAGGAGTGGATTCATTGCCATGCTTCAAAGTGCAAGTAAACTCAGAAAACAACGTCGTTGTTCGCGCGAAACGCTCCGAATTGAAATCCTCCAAACGCGTCAAAGAAATGACCCCGTTGAATGAATCCGAGCGCGCACACATCGTCATCGTCGGCGGCGGACCATCGGGCAACTCATGCGCAGAAACCCTCCGACAAAATGGCTACGCCGGCAAAATCACCATGCTGTGCAAGGAGAAATTCCTGCCGTATGATCGCGTCAAGATCTCCAAGATCCTCGACGCGCAAATCGAGCAGATTCAGATGCGTAGCGATGAGTTTTACAAACAGAATCACATTGAAGTGTGTCGTGATTCACCAGCGACATCTTTGGACACTGCTAATAAGAAGATCATACTTAAAGATGGCACCTGTGTGCCGTATTCGAAACTTTACGTGGCTACAGGTTCGACTGCGCTGCGGCCAAAGATTCCCGGCGTGGATTTGCGGAATATTTTCACGCTGAGGGATTACGAGGATGCGCAGAAGGTGCATGCGCTGTTGGATGCGGAGAAGGAGGTGGTGGTGTTGGGTGCGAGTTTTATTGCGATGGAAGCCGCGGCGTATTGTCAGGGTAAAGTGAAAAAAGTCACTGTTGTTGGGAGAGATACGTATCCGTTCCAGAAGTTACTAGGAGAGGAAATTGGCGCGGCGGTTAAGTGTCTTTTTGAGGGTAAAGGCGTTAATTTCATTATGAATTCAGGCATTTCGGAGTTTCAGGGACCAGATATGGTGCAGAAAGCTAAATTGACAACTGGTAAGATATAGGCAACCATATATACACATAAAACTGTCAAATTTTATCGTTAAACATAAAAATTTACTGAAATCATGTTTTTTCACGGTTTAAAAGAGTTTTAACAACTATAATTTATTTTTTTAGGTTTAAAACATTAAATTAAACAATTAATTATTGTTTAATTTAAGTTTTTAACGTTTTTAAATGATTTTACGTTGTAAAATGTTTATATATTTCAGTAGGCAACCCAAAATACACCAAACTAACAATTTTCTTATTTTTAGGTGAAACAATAAAAGCAGATATTGTCATCCTCGGTACAGGATCAACTTTAAACACGGAATTCATGAAGGATTCCGGCGTTGCGATGAATTCCCACGGTGCTGTCGAAGTCGACGAATTCCTGCAAACAAACGTGCCTAATATCTACGCTGGCGGTGACATTGCCAACGCGCCTGTCTTCTCCTGGGACAACCGGAAGTCCGCCATTGGTCACTATGGCCTCGCACAATACCACGGCCGTATTGCCGGGCTTAATTTAGCCGGCAAACAAACCTGTCAGGAAACTGTACCGTTCTTCTGGACGATGTTATTCGGGCACGGTATTAGATACTGCGGACATGGCGCGTTTGATGAGATTTTGTACTCTGGCGATGTTAAAGGCTTAAAATACGCGGCGTATTTCTTGAAAGATGGAACTGTTACCGCTGTGAGCACTTGTGTTGCTCCTGGCGCTGCTGAATTTGCTAATAGACTTGCGTCTGGTAAGAAATTGTACAGGCAGGATTTAGGAGCGAATTATTCAGCGTGGATGAATAAGGAAAAGACTTCGCTTTGAGTATTTGACTTGTTAAGAGAGGAAAACTTTCAAAAAATCGACAAAAAGCAATAATTTAAGAGTATTCATGATGTTGTTAAGTTTGATGTAAAGTTATGAGAGTTTTAATGACGTTAACTGCGAGTTTTTTGAAAGTTTTCAGAGGATGGACCAAATGGAAAACTAGTTTTGATATTTGTATGTTTGTTATATATTTTAAAATGTATTATTTTATTACAAGCTATTTAAAAATGATGAGAAAACGTTAATTGTGCATTTATTCATTGTTATTTATTAATTATTTCGCTCAAAATACCTTTAAAAGCCGAAAATTTGTGGAAAACTAAGAAAAAAGTTAAATTTTTTACTTTTGACAGCATTTGCCCCTTAAAGTTAGGCAACCCAATATACACCATACAAATTATATCAAAATTCAACGATTTTTCTAAGAAAATGTAAGTTTTAACAATGAAAAACATTAAATTATGCACAAAATTAACCTTAATACTAATTTATTCACACTAATACAACAAATTACTAACTTTATTCAACATTTATCATGATTTTAATTAATCCCAGGCTTCCTTGAATCTCAAATGTCCCAACCTGGCTTCAATGGTGACATTATCCTTAAATTGAGTCCTGGCTGCTTTAAGTTCCTCTATCCTGGCAACTGCTTTACCTAAAGCTTTAGAATGGCCATGAGATTGTTCCTAAAATCAAGTTTTTAATACATTTTTAAGCGAATAATTGTAGTGGTTAATACATACTGGTGTTAAATATGAGTGCCTGAGGAGAAACATGTTTTTTTCTTCAATTTCCCATGAGTTTTTAAGCTGTGTGACATCCGCTAACGTAACAGGTTTAACTATACGGTCTTTACCGCGGTAGATATGCCCATTGGGCATGTGTTTACGCCGGAAAAGTGCACAAAACAAACGCATTTTGGAAAGTGTTGCACGGTATAAATATAACCCTAAAGCATGGGAATGTGAATTTAAGTTATGACAGAAAATGTGTAGGTAAAGTTGCCTAGGGTGTAAAATCAAGCAAAGAAAATAAAATTATTTGTTAAATATTATTTAAAAACGTTGAAATCTCATGGTGAGTGAATCATTTTAATCAAAAAAATAATTATTATAGTTATAAATCAAATATCAAACGTATTTTCGTCGATTTTTTAAATATTTTGATTGTTTTTTGACAGATAAATGGGCGGAGCATTCACATTCACATTTTATCGCTAACCTCACAGCGATTCCTTCGCTTGTTGAGGTTGGGGAGCATTTGGGGAGCTAGCGATTCCCAGTGCGTGCGGATCGCACGAAAACCGCCTGCTTTCCACTGCTGCGGCGTTCGGCGTGCTGCGAATACTTTTTTAGAGGTCGTTGTTTCACGTTTCAGTTCGCTTCGCGCATCCTTGTATCTTGGGCGCGTTGCGAGCGCACCGGTGTTTCACGCGTCGCATGAATGTGCGTCTAAACTTCCCTCAAACAACGAGCAAGGCACACACGCGGAGGGCAAGATGTCCAACCGGGGGGCCCACGGGCAGGACTCGTTCGTGATCGAGCGCCGGCTGCGGCCCATTTATGGTAAATCATACAAAATTCAAATCTGCTTTGAATTCTAACCTTAAATTATTGTGGGTTATGATTTTCGTCACTTTTTTATTGATATCTCGTAAATTATCAGAGATATTGACTTAATTCTTTTACAAATCGATTCAGGATTAAATTTTACATCTCTTTAAATTTAAATTTGATGTTTAGAACGTTTATGTAAAAAGTTACAGGCTTGTAAAGTCAAAAATACGAAAATTTTACTAATTTGCTCATAACTCACTCCAAAAACTAGTATGAAACTAAATCAAATGTTTATTTTAAACATAATAATCTATATTTTTAATATATGAAAGAAATTTTATTCTAACTTTCATAGTTTTCGAATAATTCGTTTCAGACCGTTGTCCTTCACTATTAACAATATCCCTTGATTGTAGATTGGCTTGATGCAGGCAGTTACAAGAAGGCAATGCAGGAATGTGACAAAGTATTGAAGAAAAGCAGTAATTTACACAGAGTTAAAGCTTTGAAAGCACTCGCCCTACTCAGAATGGGTAAACTAGATGAGTGTAATCAGATATTGAATGCACTTGCTGCCACTAAACCCACAGAAGAAAATACTTTGCAGGCCATGTCGATGTGTTACCGCGAGTTACAACGGAGTAAGTAAAAAATGATTGTCAATCAAATTGACAAGTATTAAAGATAGGCAACCCAAATAACACCAAAAAATTTGTCAACTGTTAGAATTACACAGTTTTGGGTAATTATTAATTTATTTTTGTAGTGGATAAAGTGTGTAAGTTATACGAAGAGGCCGTGAAGGAAGATCCAACGAATGAAGAACTGCAATCGCATTTATTCATGGCGTATGTGCGAATGTCCAACTACAAGTGCCAGCAGCAAGCTGCTATGACTTTGTACAAGCTGCAACCAAAGAAGCCTTATTACTGCTGGGCTATTATGAGTATAATACTTCAAGGTAACGTTTATATTATTGTTTTTCTAATTTATTAATGTTTATTTCATAGTTTTATTATTTTGGTTAGTTATTTTAACTCTCTTTGACATTTCCCCTAACTTGTCACTAAATGTCACTAAATTTAGGTTGGCACTACTATTTTATTTCAATGGCCGACTTTATTGGTTGTAAAACGTGCATAATTAAATTTAAACATAAAATAACTCTTAGTAAACTAATATTATACTAAATAATTGCTTCCAGCCGAGCGTGGAGAAGGTGCGACCGATGAAAAAAAGCACACATTGCTTTTATCGCTCGCTGAACGCATGATCGACAAGTTGATACAAGAAAACAAAATGGAGGCCGAACCGGTGCAGCTGTACATCATTATCCTCGAAGCGCTCAAAAAGTACGACAAAATCGTCGAAGTCCTCGATGGCCCGCTGGGCGAAAAACTCGCCGGCGTCATGGTTCTCAACCAACTGCCTTACCTAATCAAGCTTGGAAAATGGTCTAGTGTTAATATAACATGCAAAAATATTCTCCTACAAAAGTAAGTTACCCCAACATAACATAACCTTAAAATCAAACATAACCAAATTTTATTTTATTCAAGTATGGATCGTTGGGACATTTGGAAACACTACCTCCAATCCGTTTTCGAATTAAAAGCATCAACTTTCAACGGTAACAAAGACAAAACCACCGAAAAAGACAACCCAGAAGAACCTGACGACACCCCGGAGAAAGCACACGAGTTTATCTGTAAACTCGTCGAAGGTGGCAATGGTTTCTCACTCCGCGGGCCGTACTTAGCCCGATTTGAGCTCGCCAAACTCCTTCAGGCGAATAATCTCCTCATCGACGGGCTTCTCGGCGACGTCGGCGTGTTATTCATCGAATATTTTCGTAAATTCGGGCATAAACCATGCTGTGTAAGCGATTTACGCAATTATCTAAACTTATTACCAACTGGTAAACGATTGGAACTCGCTGGGAAGTTGGTTAAGGAAGTAGGCATCAGCGCGACGAGCGTGCCACAATCCGAGGATCAAATGCAGCGGCATATTTGCGCGCTGCAATTATCCCGATTGTGTGGTAGTCACAAAGAGTTGCAGTATGAGCATGCAATGGCGCTGGTAACGGCGTTTGCGTTCCACTATCAGCATGGCTTCCAAAGTTTTGGAAAAGATATGCTGCAGACGGAGCAGGGGCCCAGTGATGCGTATATTTTATTAGCGGCGCATTTATTGTACGATTTGTTTGTCAAAAGTGATTCCACGCGGCCGTTGCTGCTAGCGTTGATGTTGCTCAAGAATGCCATTCGGAATAGTCCGAGTAATTTTCATATCAAGTTGTTGATGTTACGTATATATCATGTTTTAGGTAAGTATTAGTTGTAAATTGTTTGTATTTTCATGTTTTTTCTGCTTCCGTCTTTAAAGTGTCACTTTTTTCACGGTTTTGAGGCATGAAAAGTGGCACTTTAATCGCAGACGTGAATAAAAGTAAGTGAAGTGCGCTAAACCACACTTTACTCACTTTTAACAAGTACGCATGCGCAGATTCCATCCCGTGACTAAAGGAGTTTGCACATGCGCATTGGTTAAAAGTTGTTAAACTGCGTTTAGCGCACTTGATACTTAATATTCTACATTAATTTTTAATTGATGATTTTAGGGTGTTATAATGAGGCCCATAGTGTTTATGAAACACTAGACATCAAACATTTGCAGTTGGATTCGATGTGTCATGTGCACTGTGCGCATTTAGCGATGTCGGGGCATTATAGCGTCGCGGCGACGTTGTTTGATGCTACTTTGAAGTTTTTCAGCTCGAATTATAAGGATGTAAGTTATTTTTGTCAATTTTTGTATGTTTTGTTAATAATTCATGTGTTTTTTAATCTTTAGAGCTCGGAACATATGACGTTTTCGTACAAATTCGGCTCGTTTTTGAAACTGACCGAATTCATGGACTTCCGCGAGCGTATGAATAACAGTTTTCATTATACGAGCACCGCAGTGGATCGCATGTTCTTTTTTCTGGAGCAATGCGCCACGACTGACGCGCTTTTCCAACTGGATATTATGCCTAGGGATGATCCAGTCTCATGGGATTTAATCAGGTAATTTAATATAGGCAACCAACATTACACATTTTTATAAAAAATTATTATTGTTTGGTTATAAATTATAATGTTTGTATTTTTATTAGGAATAATAGTGATTTGAGCGTTTACGTCTCCTGGGATCCCGAAAGAACGGAAACAGCGCTCGAAGACTGGCCGGAAAATCAAAACATCTACAAACAAGATGTGCACCTATTAAAAATGCGCGTCGCCATTTTGTATTGCGCCAACTGTGCGCTGCAGCTGGTAAAAAGCGAAAACAAACAATCATCGGAAACCATTCGAGTGCAACTCGAGCAGGAAATTTCTAATGCTGAAAGTTTACAGAAAGAAGTTGATAGTAAACAATACACATCTATTAAACAAGTAAGTATTGTGAATAAATAATAAATATAAGTAAGTAATATTGATTTTTTTATTATATTTGCGCAGAGATCGTTGAGTATAACACAGCCATCGCGTTTAGATGTGTATCAAAAGTCGTCGTATCATAAAATTGTCCTCAACGGTTTCAAACTGATTGTTTCACTGGAAAAAGACGAAACCGATGCATGTCAAGCGGCCATTGATGTCACAAAACAATCTTTCGATGCGCATGCGTCACAAATCGTTCAAATGCTTGAAGGGAACGGCACTAATGGCAAAACAGACCCGTATCTTCACAATCGTAGCGATATCCAAACATTGTGCAATTTTGTCGAGGTAATTTTTATACTTTTTAATCATTTATTAATAATTTATATGTTTTTTTGTATTATTTTATGTTTAGATGTCTTCAGTGATTGTTTTGACACTTTTGGTCTCACTGGAGCTGACACGTGTCGCCGCGCACGGTAGAAAAAAGAAACAAGACACAAAATGGCGGGACGCAGTGCTCGGTCTAGTCACGGCGGCGCGCGATGCCGTCCGGCGGGTTGACACCGCCCTCAAAGAGCACCCTTGTATCAAATCCACTTCCACTTTCACTCCCCCAGCGGCCGAAACAGACTCCACGACGGAATCAGCACTTAAAGAAATCATCGAGAAACTCGCCACGTTAAACATCACTTCAGCGGATGAAGACGCCATTGTTGCGGCGATTACAAAGTCCAATGAGACTGCCGTGCAGGGAATACGCGCCATTTTGAAGAACAAGATGAAGCTGTTGACCATCAACAGCTAGTAGTCACTTTAATCTACAGAAAAGAACATGAAATGACTCTAAACAACCAAAAATGTTTCTAAAACTATTAATCATAAGCTGTGCGCCATGATTTACTACACGCGCATCGAACGCCCGGATGTATTTGGTGCCATTTCGTCAGGTTTTGACTTTGAAATCCATTAAAACACGGTCCTAAAATGATGAAATTGCATGGTGGCAGCCAATATTATCCCCTTAACTATTTTATTATATGCAACTAATATTACATCCCAGCAGGAATACTTCGTGTGGGTTCGGTTGTGTTCGGCTTCCACGTCAGGTGGCTGTCAAATGACAGAATTGAAACATGCGAATGTGAGGTTAAACACCACTCATCAACAGATGTTCTCAGATTAATTTCACAAAAAAAAAGTTTAAACAATGGTAGATGAAGGCACGCGGAAGACTTTAAGTAGTATACCACTGCTACAAACAAAGGCAGGACCACGTGAGAAGGAATTATGGGTGAAACGACTCAAAGAAGAGTATCAATCACTTATCAAAGTACACATCAATGATTTTTCGATGAAAAAATTATTAATTTTTTGTTTTTATTAATATTCTAGTATGTTCAGAATAATAAAGCCGCGGATAACGATTGGTTTCGTCTGGAGTCCAATAAGGAAGGCACGAAATGGTTTGGGAAATGTTGGTATATCCATGATCTGCTAAAATATGAATTTGATGTTGAGTTTGATGTAAGTCGCAACAAAATCAACTCAATAATTGTTTTATATTATATCTGTATGCATTTATAGATACCTATAACTTATCCAATGACATCTCCGGAGATTGCCCTGCCTGAATTGGACGGTAAAACAGCTAAAATGTATCGCGGTGGAAAAATCTGCCTCAGTGATCATTTTAAACCATTGTGGGCAAGAAATGTGCCCAAGTTTGGTATAAGTCATGCAATGGCACTTGGAGTAAGAATAATAACCTAAATTTAAATGAGTAAAACTAAAAATTTATGTATTTTTTTAGTTAGGACCATGGTTAGCAGTGGAAATACCTGATTTAATAGCAAAAGGTGTTGTAACTTACAAAGAAAAGCATGAGGAGGGCGCAAGTTCATCATAAAATTAATCTTTTATCGAGTATTTTGGAAATATTGAAAGAGGTAAAGGTATAATCCGTTTTTTTACATTAATTATTGAATTTTTGCATTTATTAAAAGAAATATTTATGTATTATAAGAGGAAATCATGTTTAAATGCTACAAATAATGTATTTACAAAGAACATTTGCTATTCTATCGACTTGTAGTTGTACCTGAGGTAATATTCCTGTTTTTGTTTGTTTTTGTGAAGATTTACGTGTTATTTGTAAGATTTATGTGTTAAAGGTCATCTTACACATGATAATCACACTGGATTGATGTTTGTTTATATGTTATTTTAGTTTAGTTTTAGTTCAGTCGATATTTACAACTCGTGTAAGACGGATGTGTTTATAAGCGTTGTTCTGTTATGTGTTTTGTGCATTTAGACTATAAATTATGCAAAAGATTCGTCGACCGTGACAGGACTCGAACCTGCAATCTTCGGATCCGAAGTCCGACGCCTTATCCATTAGGCCACACGGTCTTTGCTGGGGGTACAACGCCACCAGAGTTTATAACGCACAAAACAACCCTTAACCTAAATTCACAGGGGTTGCAACGTTTAAGTAAAGATGTCGCAGTGAAACATGTTTATTACAAGTAAAAAAAAGGTAAAATTTAATGTTTATCGTAAATAAGGGTAGTTTTTAATGAGTTTTAGTAATATTTATGTTTATTTATTGTAAATGTTTAAGATTTTTGTTATTTATTGTGTTTTGTAATGTTTACGGTAGATGTCGCGCATATCACGATAGTTTCCCGCCGTTGCCGCCCCCATTGTAAGTTTTCCGTGTGGTGAACACGGTGCACACTCACAACTCAGTCTCGGCCCGCCGTCGCCGACGATGGCAACGACCTAACACAAAAACCGCCCACCGCCGGCGTGTCACATATTACTATCTTACTTAAACAACACTAAAACATCTGTTCTTCTAAAAAAAAACGCTAAAATTGTTTATTTGTGTACGTTTATTGTGATCATACTAATATTAACATTTGTTGTGTAATATTACACTAGTGTTAAACAATGAGAAATGTCAAAAATGTCGCCGTCATCCTGTTGACACTAACACAAGTGATTTCCGGCATGGAAGTGTTATAATTTTATAATATTTAAACAAAAACAAAGGGTGAGAATCGCATTTCATGTTATTTATAACAATTTATTGTGTTTTTGAGCGTAAAAATGATTGTATTGTAAATTCTATTGAATTGCGTGAATATTTAACGAGATTTTGTGTAAAGAAGCAATCCCTGGGGTGCAATTGCGTGTGGCGCCATAAAAAAGGGCTTGAATCATTCCCCCCTGCGATTTTCATGTGAAAAACCACGTCTGGGAGACACAAATTGTACTTTATGCAATTTGTGACTCAAAAGGGGTGAAATAATTGCTATAATCGACGTTAAACGTACAATTACAATGAGTTTGGTTGATTGGGTTGATTTTATATAAAAAAAAAACTAAAATGGCGACATTTTGACATCCAAATGTCGAAATCCATTTTTGATACATTTTTGCATCGACATTCACGGCTAAAAACCCCAAACGGGAAATGTAAATGTCAAGCGAGGCACCCAGGTCGTACTTGACGTCGGACCAACCGCGGGGGGCGGCGGTGGCGGCGGCAACAAGGAAACTTGTGGGGTGTTGCATGCACACAGCACTCTCTCTATCGCACTCGCAGTTAATATTGAAAGTGTGTCTGTGTGTCTTTTATCGATCGTCACCACCGCCACCGCCACCCTCTGCCGCCTCTCGCATCGCAATCAACCCTTCTAACAACGCGACCATTGTCACATTGTCATATTTCCCTCCGAACCTCTGAAAAAACACGATTAATCCACTTAAAACAATGTAAATACACAAATAACACTATAATCTTACAAAACTGTCATGGCGGACGGTAAAATATAAAACTAATAGTTATATTTGTTCACAGGTGAAATATTTATCACAATGGAGGCGAGATATTGTTACCGACGATTGTTTATTGTTAATATTGCGAAACCGCTGCTTATTCATAGAGTTTAGTGGGTGTAGAGGATGTAGCACCGTAGCACGCTGTGATAACGTTGATAAAATGGCAATTTCTCACGATAATCAAGACTTGACGCATCCAACAGGCACACACCATCGACTACAAGCGATAATCAACAATAGTTATAGGTACAAATATCATACACGCTAGTGAGATAAGTTTTAACTCTTAACATAACCTAAAACACCACAAAATGGAAAAACTCGATGGATCCAAGTTGTATTGGAGTCAGTTGAAGGCTACGTTAGTCAAGAATGTTTTATTAAAGAAGAGGGAACAACGCAGAACAATCGCAGTGAGTATTCACTCAATCCGCCATTTTATTTTTTAAATTTCAATGAAAAACACATTTTAGGAAGTATTATTACCGTTGTATTCACTGGGAGTGTTGATATTAATCAAATTATGGATCCCAAATCCGAATTTTCCCCCGATGGAGACCCCAACACAACGCCACGCGTCCCTATTCAAAGACTTCCGGTTATGGATCAACCACACCATCGCCATTGTTCCAAACACAACAGAAGTGCAACAATTCCTTGAAAACGTTGATGTATTATGGAATAACTACCAAGAACAACATCAGCATCAAGATACACACGCAGGGGAACACTACATAACCTCACCGGAAGTCACCGATAACCTAAAACAACATAATCAGCATCATAATCATAATCACGTGCATCTGCACGCAGAGAAACATAATCATAAACATAGATCGCTTAAAACCAACCCACACGAACGTTACAAACGTAATTATTCACAATTATTGAATAACACACACAACGAAGAACATAACCTGCTAAAAATCAAACCTATAAAGTGGATAGGTTTCGATACAAAGGAAAATATGTTGAAAGCATACTGGAAAAACCCATCACAGTTCCCAATTGCTGTGTTATTCGATGAATATGAAGGACCAATCAATGGTCCGTTAAAATACGAAATCAGGACGAATCCAACCATTGCAGAAACACCATCAACGACGAGTTTATACAGTTCACCTGCAAACTGTAGATATACAACAACATTATTGATTAATCAACAGATTTCGGAATTATTCCCAATGGAATTGGGTGATACCTGTCCGGTGAATCAATATTACTACTCAGGATTCGTCGCTTTGCAATCCCTGTTTGATTATACAAAGATCAGCATAGATACAGGGATGAAAAACATTACAATACCAAACATCCAGTTGTTGATGTTCCCTAAAGAGGCGTACACATCACGATGGATTGTCGCATTCAGAATGATAATACCTCTATACATGGTTATGTCCGTGTCACAATTCATAACCTATCTTTTGATGTTGATCATCGGTGAAAAAGAAAACAAAATCAAAGAAGGTATGAAAATCATGGGACTTAAAGACTCAGTATTCTGGTTGTCTTGGTTTATTATCTACGCGGTGTTTGTCCTGTGGTTGTCAGCGACATGTTGTTTGTTGATTTATCTGCTGAATGTGTTTCAACATACGAATATGTTCCTGATATTTATTCTGACATTCTTATATGCGTTGACGGTGATTATGTTTGCGTTTATGATCACGCCGTTCTTTGACAAGTCACGGACAGCTGGGATTCTGGGTAATTTCGCTGTGAATATCATGAGCATCTTTTATTTCCTGCAAATCTTCCTCGGAGACTCGAATTCTATTGCGTTTTGGATTATTTCATTGGTTAGTAGTTCAGGATATGCTCTGGCGATGGATAAAGCACTGGTTTTGGACTTGAAAGGTGAAGGTATTACATTTGGGAATATCTGGAGTACAGATCCGCAAGGTGGGATGCCGTTTGCAGGGAGTATGATTATGATGGGTGTGGATATTGTACTCTATGGTACACTGGCGTATTACTTCGATAGTGTTATACCCAGTGAGCATGGAATCAAACGATCGCCGATATTTTGTTTTAAGCCTTCGTATTGGTGTGCGAAGAGTCAAAGTCAAGGTCAAACGAGTCAAAATAATAAGAGTGTCAGTATGGATACTCTAAAACGTAATCAAAAAGGTTCTTTACGGGAAAGAGAAGATACTAAGTTGATAAATGGTAATTCCATGGTGTCTGTCAATGGGAATGGGTCTAATGTCAATGGTGGGGGTGCGGATTGTAACAATGGCGATGCAGGTAGTTCTGTTGAAGCTTCCGAAGATGTGGAGCCTGTTGCCAGGGAAATGAAAGGTCGGGAAGCTATTAAAATAGTTGATCTTTGTAAATCATTCAAAGTAAGTGTAACATAACCTCTAAAAACATAATATTTCATGTTTTTGTTAATAAATTATGTGATTTTAGAAAGGAAAACAGAAAGCTGTCAATGGAATTGATTTGACAATCTACGAAGGTCAAATCACCGCCATCTTGGGACACAATGGCGCTGGTAAAACCACGTTATTCAACATGTTGACAGGTTTAACCAAACCAACATCCGGTACAGCTTATATTTTTGGTTATGATATTCGTGATCCCAATGACATGGACCGTGTAAGGGCTATTACAGGCGTCTGTCCTCAACACGACATCTTGTTTGATTGTCTAACTGCCCGAGAACACCTACATTTCTTTGCTGCTGTCAAGGTATTACACATTCCTTATTTTTACAAACAAAAACATAAAAATTTTAATGTTTAAAGGGTATACATCCTGATATAAGAAACCAGGAAGTCAATAAAACCCTAAAAGATGTGGATTTGACAGCTAGTGCAGATGTACCATCAAGATACCTCTCCGGAGGACAAAAAAGAAAACTCTCTGTCGGTATAGCAGTAATCGGAGATCCAAAAATCATCATCCTGGATGAACCCACCGCTGGCGTTGATCCGTATTCAAGGAGACACATGTGGTCTGTGTTGCAGAATCGCCGCCATGGTAAGGTTATACTTCTAACCACACATTTCATGGATGAAGCTGACATCCTCGCTGATCGTAAAGCTGTGGTATCCAAAGGTAAAGTCCGATGTTGTGGAAGTTCGCTATTCTTGAAAAACAAATTCGGGATTGGGTACCATTTGACCTTGGTCCTTGAAGGATCATGTCGGGAGCATGCTATTACAAGATTAGTAACATCACATGTTGCTAAAGCGGAAAAAGCACGTAGACATGGCCGTGAGCTGTCATTTATCCTCCCGCATAACGCCGTGGATCATTTCGCGACGTTATTCTCCGCAATAGAAGCAGAAATCGCGTCAAGGACAAGTAGGTTAGGTATAAGTTGTTATGGTGTATCCATGACAACTTTAGAAGAAGTTTTCCTGCATTTGGAGCGTGATGCAGAGGATACAGCTGATGGTGATGACAGTGTGGAAGCCACCGTTGAGAATGTGGATAATCTGTCAAAGAAAATGGTGAGGAATCGCGCGCTGTCAAGGTCATTGAGTTTACAAAGTAAAAGCACAAGTTATCATTCGCTACAAAACGAAACACTTGCGAATGGTGATAAAGAAGATGATGTAGAAGTGAAAGAAGTGAAAGATAAGCGGAAATTAACCCCGAGTGGTGATTGTAATGGTCTGGATTCGATAATTGAAGATAAAACACCGCCGACGCCGGGTTTCAACAACGCATTCATGAATATGAAGTGTAATCCTAACTCATTTGAGATATTCTTCGCTTTGATCAAGTTAAGATGTCTCAGACTCATTAGGGATATTCAGAAATTATACCTGATGGTTTTTTTACCGCTTGGGTTGGCAGCACTGTCATTATATGGAAATAGTATACAAACGTCAATGGAACCCAAGCAGAAATCTTCTATTATGCTAGATACAACTTTATATGAAAATCAAAGTACTCTAGTGATACATAACCAAACAATGGTAGATCTAAACCCATTTTTAGATCAATTTGAGATTATGGGTGTGAATCGACTTGAAAACTACAACGGAAACTATTCAACACTGTTAATACTCAAACCGAACATGGGAGCGATTAATGTACGCTCGTTTCCTAACCTGACAAACCTTGGAGATGAAAACAACGGTAAACAGATGGCGTTCACGTTGATCTACAACGATACCTACACACACTCATTGCCTATATTGATAAATCTCATGAATAACGCAGTGTATCGCTGGTTGAGTGATGATAGACTCACGAGAGGTACTTGGGCACCTATAGAGACATCTGTACGGCAGTTACCACAAACAAGGCAACCGGAAGGTTTTAACTTGGGCGTTGTATCAACCGCTTTGTTCATGGGGATGATATTCGTGCTTGTCCCGGGTAATTTAGCCATTGATATGGTGTACGATCGGCAGATACGTGCGAAGAATCAATTGCGAGTCAACGGACTGGGTTTTGGTTTGTATTTCTTCAGTTATTTCACGGTTTTATCCACGTTGGTGCTGTTAATCATGGCGGCGCTGCTTGGAATCGTCATACTCTTTGACATTCCGGCTTTGAGGGAAACTCCAGCACTGATTGTGCTCTGTGGGTTGGTTATCATCTACTGCCCGGCTAGTATCTTGTACAACACATGTCTGAGTTACATGTTTGACCGGATGGATTCCGCACAAGCATTACTACCGCATATTGGGACGAGTGTTGGATGCGTACCGTTCTTTTTGGTTGTGTTTCTTGACATGCTGCGTATTGGAGGCAAAGCACCTTTTATCTTACATGTTATTTTATCTATACTCAACCCAATGTATGTTCCATACGCGATCATCTACTACGTGCAGCGTGTGTATCTCATGTGCACCATCAATAGTGCTTGCGTTGTGTTGACCTTGAAGGATTACATGACTGATGAGATTATTGTGATGATTGTCGGCACTTGTCTCAATATTCCAATACTGTCATTATTATTGATGCTGTTGGACACGTTGTGTTCAAGCGGTAATGTTGAAGAAGCCCTAAAAATGTTTAAATTGCGTAAGAGTAGGAAATCTGAACAAGTTGAGGATCATGTAGATCTTGGTGAGCATGAGGATATGGATGTGAAGTGTGAGCGGCAGAAAGTCGCTGCGATGTTGAAGGATAACTCACAGACGCCACCTGTCGTCATGGTGCAGAACTTACATAAAGAGTATTCTGGTAAGACGTGCTGGTCGAGAGTTTCGTCGTGTTGTGAGACTGAAGCGATGCGTCCGACGAAAGTGTCAATCAAATCACTCTCATTGGCTGTTGATGCCGGTGAAGTTTTCGGATTGTTGGGACACAATGGTGCTGGTAAAACTACTACGATGAAGATTATCACTGCGGAAGAAGCTCCTACGCGTGGAAGAGTACAGATTGGTGGACATAGTATCACTTCTAACCTCTCGGATGCTTTTAAGGTTATGGGTTATTGTCCGCAGCATGACGCGCTGTGGAAAAACATCACTGTCAGGGAACACTTGGAGTGTTATGCAACCATCCGAGGCGTACCACGCAAACACCACAAGCAAGTCATCGAGAGTTATTTAAATGGTCTACAAATCAAGGAACACGCTGATAAACACGCTGGGCAATGCTCTGGAGGCACAAGAAGGAAGTTATCTTTTGCTTTGGCGAGTATAGGCAACCCAAAAGTCGTTTTGATGGATGAACCATCCACAGGGATGGATCCAAGGAGTAAAAGGTTCCTCTGGGATACAATCCTAGCTAGTTTTCAGGTAATTATATGTTTTAACCTCAAAAAAACGTTTTTAACCTTTTTTTTACTTTCAGGGATCACGTGGGGCTATTTTAACAACGCATTCAATGGAGGAAGCAGACGCCCTCTGTTCCCGAGTAGGAATAATGGTCCAAGGTGAGCTGCGTTGTCTCGGATCAACGCAACATTTGAAAAACCTCTACGGAGCAGGTTATACCCTCGAAGTAAAACATGGCGGCGGTGATCGGACGCCATCCGAAGCCGTTTCATCCGAATCTGTCACACCGTCATTATCAGGCACGTCTTCTCTGGATCCACATGAAGATCTCAAGAGATTCGTCGATGAATTATTCCCGGAATCCAAGCTGGTTGAGAGTTTCGCCGATCGCTTTGTATTCAGTGTTCCGCAACACAGCGTACCCTCGCTGGCGTCGTGTTTTTCGAGGTTAGAACGCGCGAAGCAAGAGCTGGATATTGTTGAGTATAGTTTCAGCCAGACGACGCTCGAGCAGGTGTTTTTGAAGTTTCTCAGCGAAGAGGAGCAGCATAATAGTAATGCGCCACGCAGTGAACACGAGCAGTAAGGTTATATAAACGTAATTTTAACACGTTGAGGACGGCGTGTACCACCGGTGGTACACACGCGTCTGGTCTGTGGGACGGCGTGTACCACCGGTGGTACACGGCTCATTTGAAACGAGACTTATTCATTTTTGACTACGCCACTGGTTAGGTTATATATTCTCCTCGTTGCACCTATACAATCAGGGCCTTGCATCTTTGTCATCAAATGTGTGACTCAGATTACATATTATAATAAATAGTGACCGACCAAAGTTTCAGTTTTGGCTTCATATTTGGTTTCGGCTAAAAATTGGCTGAAACTTTGGCAGAACCGAAACTCAGTGTTCGTAAATTATCGTGCGTCGTTCGGCTAACTCGCGGTTAAGTCGTGGTCGTCACTTGCCATCTCAGTTCGCACATAGTTTCGGTCGGACTCTAAAGATAAAGGCATTCATTACAAAGAAAATAAATAAATGGCGACGCAACTGCAAAAACAATCGCTTTTTGATACAGCAATGCATAACCACCAGTGGCGCACAGCTAAATTAATTAGACGGAGTTGAAAATGCTCAAACGCCGCCCGATGCGACAGACACCCAAAAACCGCGCCGTCCTCAACGTGTTAACTGAAAACACAGCTTGAATACATTTAGGTTAAGTTTAAAGGTTATCTATTACTGCGCGTGGAGGTTAGTAGATTGTTTTGTACATATACGACAAGGAAAAGACAACAAAACATAAACCGATGGATAATAATTAGTTTTAACGTACGGATATTTATTGTAATGGTAATTGTAAGCGAAATAGTTGCAGGTTTTTGACGCGTTGAGATGTTGAGAGTGAGGTTAGGTTACGGCGCAATTAATAAGAAAAGAAGCAAAATGTGATTCGTATTACGCTCTCTTGCCTATAATATCTTGTAATGCAGGACTAACGCAAAGGACCTCAGTCAATATTAACAACAATTATTAACTATTTACGGAGACATGCCTAACAGTTACTTTTGTTGTGCTTTTTTTATATTAAAGCATCGTGCAAAGTACTTATACTTGGGATATTATTATGTACAAACAAAAATAGGTTAAAAAGAAGCATAACCCGCAAATTGTGGTGGGGGTAACACGTAGTTTCTGTTGATATAAGAGTGGGGGAAGTTTGTATTTTATAGGCAGGTGTGTTTGACAGCTGTTATTAAGTTTTTTGAATCAAGTTGCATGCGTTGTGGTTTTGTTGTGTGCATAAAACAAAAGCGTTTGTTTATGCAGCTTGGCAATTCAGTTCTCGTTTGGTGCCCGCACGTGCCCATGTTCTCGCCGTGCGATTTTAAAGTTTTGCAACGTTTTGGTGTTGTTCGCGTTTGATTTCGCGATTTTTGCCGTTTGATTTTCGATTTGCATTTTCATTTACCAAAACTAACGTACTTTTATACTGCGTGTGTACCATTTTGTACACTTTTTCAATTGTATTTAAATGGTTTGTTTATTTTAATTTTTATTTTTATTTGAATTTATAACCTTATTTTGTTTTTAATTTTTTTGTTTTTGTTTTTTAGAGAAGATACTAATCGCAATCATCATATAAGGGGGAGGAATACTTCCGAGTACTGTTAACAAAGTGGGGGCAAGGAGTTATTGTTTAGTAAGTCTTTTATTTATTTATTTTATTTATTTTTAGTGAAATTTAGTGTTTTCATTGGTTAGGCATATTATAGGGACCCTAAAACGTGTACCAATCGCTTTTTATAGATTTTGACTGGTTAGGGACCCTAGCAGGGTTAAACTAGTGTTAAAATATGTCACATTTCATCGAGTACTCGTTCTTTTTAACAAATTTTATTTATTTTATTACTTTTTAATAATATTTAATCAATTATAAACATTCAGAAACGTAGAAATATTCAATATTTCGTATATTTTCATTGGTTAGGAATAATCTAGAGACCCTAAAACTCATACCAATCGTTTTCAATAATTCAACCAGTCTAGGGTCCCCAACAGGGTAAACCCTAGTGTAAAATCTCTGGCACCCTGTATGCAGCTCTCAGCTGGTGCTCGTTCGTCTTCGATTGGTTCGATTCCCGTTTAGCGGTGCGCGCAAGTGCCGCTAGCCAGTGTCTTGCCAGCGTTGGGCCGCGTCGTTTCGTCTCGTGTCGGGCGACAACGCTAGCTAACGATCAATTTCCACATTGAATTAAAAACTAGTAGACGCGCATCAATATAACATCACAACGTGCACCGATACATAATTAAACAACCCCATAACATCCAATATATAATATAATAATATATATATAAAAGATGTGTGTATAGATAGTGTGCAAGTTTTTTTTTCCGCTGGACACACACAGCACACACACACTCACACGCACGCGCAGCAATAAAGAGCAGATGCATCGTGATCGCAACGACGACGGTTGCACACCTCTTCCCCGACGCACGACAACGACAACGACGACGGCGGCAGTGTGAAAAACTCGCACAACAACAAATTGCAACGCTGGCTGTGCGCGCACACTGCGATATCAATCGGGGGGATGTGTGATGTGTGAACAACTGAAATAAATGTAAGTAACACATTACTAAACTAAACTAAACTAAAACACTGGTGGATTATTTGTCTATTTGCATATGTTGTATGTGTGCGCATGTGCGAATGTGTTGGATTTGAATTAAAAATAAACAACAGCTCTTAATGTGAGCGCGTTTTGGTTTTGTTTCTGGTGTTTGCGGTATTAATAGACGCATTTGCCTCACGGCAGACCCTGGAAGACATTGTAATCACGTTTTTTTTATGAAAAATTTAGTTTATAATTTGAAAATCAATAGTTTTTCATGTGTAAATGGCGTAAAAGTTGTGTTTAGGTGGTTTTAGTTGAGCGTAGTAAGTTTGTACATTGATTAATTTTAAATTCGCGCACACCTTTGTCTTTGAATGAAATTTCATTGACAAAAAGCGTGAGGGGTGGTGTAGGGGGCGGTTATCGATTGTCTCATTTGATATCTTGACGCTTTGAAATCGAAAGTGTTTGGTATTTGCATTTTCAATGTGTCATTGTGCACAAAATGGCGAATACCGGTATTGAAATTTTGAAGAAAAAAAATAACCGGTATTTTTTTAATCAATTTTTATTTATTTGTAAGTTAAAATTAATATAATTTAATTTTTTTAATTTTTTTATAAAATACCGGTTTTTAAATTTTAATGTTTTTGTAATATCGGTTTTTTTCGGTGTTGAATTTTTGGTAAATGTGAATCCTGCTGGATGCTTTGTGTGCATTGTAGTGTTGTTTCCGTGTGTGGGTTGCCTGCGGTGCGGTGCTGCTGCACACGCTGGTCGGAAAGTAGGTCACGGCGTCCGATTTAGGGACATTTCTCCTCCGCCGCCCGGCCCTGGGAAAAGCAGTGCACGTTTACGCTCTGTGTGTGTGTATGTGTGTTTGGACGCTTTTCATTTCACTTTTCACATTACACATTCAATAACACACACGCGTACCAACTGTGAATGTAGTAGTAGTACGAGGGATGTTTTTAGTGTGCGAGTTGAAGTGGGGGTAATCCTGGCACGTTTTCCCCCATTCCCCTGCTTTGTGCTTGGTATCCTTGAATTCATTTTCACGTTTTCACTTTTCACGACTTAAATTTAACCGAATTTCGCTGAAACTTTAGTAATACGTCTAAATATTTAAGATTTTATTTGTTTATTTATTAATTTATCATTATTTATCATAAAAATTATTATTTTTATTCTGAAAATATTTTGAAACACTTGGTTTTTGTAACTAGATGTGTATCGGTTGGCAGCCCTGCGCGCCGTCTGTTTCGCACGGCTTTTGTTTGTTTGCTTGCCCGCCGGTGGGGGGAGCGCGAGTCCGCCGAGTGTGGTGCGCCAAGCTATTTTCAAGAGCTCCGCCGCGAACGGCCGCCTGAGCCGCGACCGACCAGCAGCATACAACACACCACTAACTCGCGCGCGTGCCGCCTGTGCGAAGCAGCGCACACATCTCACGCCGGTCTAGTGGTGTAGTGTGTATTCGTTGATGCGATTCAAAGGGTGAGCGCGCTCTTTATCGCGAGAGCAACCCCCCGATTGGCGTGCGCGTGTGTGTATGTATATGCAGTGTGTCGGTGTGCGCGCGCGGTTCTCCGGCTGCCCGGCTGTGTACTCTCTGTGTGAGCGCCGTTATCGATTTGCCTTCGGCCTGGCGCTTTCTCGCAGGAATCTGCTGCTGCTCATGTCGTCGCCGACGCGTCGCCAATAAACTGCGCTAACAGGTAACGCGCTTTGTATTGTGTATCTTTTCGGTGTGTTGGGGGTTAACGCAAAAAATTTTGCACAAAAATATTTAGTGTGTTGGTGGTGTGTGCGATTGGCACCCCTGCACGCGCAGCGCGCTGCATTATCTTTATCATCGTGTGGTGAAATCCCCTTGTTCGTTGGTTTTCGGCACGCAAAACGTAATTATTTTAACGAGTGCAAGTGCATGCTGTAATTGTTGCACAGGCGGTTATCAGGTGCATTAGTCATCCATGCACTTGTGGGGAAATTTGCTTGCGCAGATAACGCACATAAAAATGTTGTGTATTCTAACCTTAGTTTTGATTTTTTTATATTTCTTTTGTGTGTTTGTTGCACTTGCAGTTTGTTGAGAGCGTGAGCAAGGACCGACGTCAAGCTGAACGCGTACATTTGGCAGTCGGCGGCGCCGCGCGAGATGTCGACGCAGATGGGCGGCAAGAAGTCGGGCGGCAGCAGCAATAGCTCGATGGTGATTACGCCTGCGAGCACGCCGGTCAACACGATGGCGAATGGGCAGCAGGCGAGCCCACCGCCGAACAACGCACCGAAATACGGTAATTATCCTCTAAAAATCATCAAAATCTTATATTAAAACATAAATATGGTATTTTTTAGGTACATTGGTCCCTAACAGGATATTCGTCGGCGGCATCTCGGCAAACACCACCGAAACTGAGCTGCTGCAGCTGTTCAGCAACTATGGCACAGTGAAAGCTGCGAAAATCATCCAGGACCGCGCCGGTGTCTCCAAAGGCTATGGATTCATCACGTTTGAGAGCGAGGATGACGCTAAACGCCTCCAGCGCGATCAGGATAACATTGTCCTGCGTGAGAGGAAGTTAAACATTGCGCCTGCCATCAAAAAACAGGTATTAATAACATTTTACTAGATTTATTTGTGTGTTTAACTAATTTGTTCTTGTTTTTTTTTTGTATTTAAGTTGGGGGTGTTTCAGCCGTTTAGTCGAGCCTTTGACGGGTCTAGCCCGCCGGCGGTGGCGCCGGGCTTTGCGCCCAACTTTTTCCCGCCGGGATCGATGCCGTTCTTCCAGGGCGGGCTGGCGTACTATCCGCAACCGCCCACGGGACCTGCTGATCCCGCCACGCAACCTCCGGCTGTTTTTCAAAGTAAGTTTTTTTTTCTTCAAAATTTTTATAATTTTATAATAAAATATATTTTAGCTCCCTCCGTGTACCCGCCGCAGTCTGCCCCACCGCAAGCCAGCCCCTATCAGCAGGTGATGTACCCGCCGCAGCCGATCTACGTGCCACAGCAATACCCGATGCCGATGCCGGTAAGTCCCACATTTAATCTGTTGTTTATTTCGATTCAAAAAACACGTGGATATCTCTAATAATATTAATCAACGAACGCAAGCAAGGCGTGTTTGTTCTGTGGCGCTGTGTTGATCGTCTTTTCTCTCCCCTCTGCAACATACAAATTGTTGTTGTTGTTGATCATATAATATGATGTCTGGTGATGGGATTTAAACAAAGTGTTTTCTTTTCTGGACGCGCAGTCCAGCAACTACATATCGGAGGGACTGTACCCGGTGTCTCAGCCAGCGTACGTGTTGCTGGACGGCCTGCAGTACTGAGGGCTGCCCCCGACCCTCCGCTCGACCCCCCACTTAAGGTTAACCGCCGCACGCACAATGTTGTTAGCTCTCTGTGTATATTTATACATATATATCTCTATGATTTATTTATTCGCGATTTTGCACGCATATTTATTTAAGTTTTTGGTGTGTTTTGTGTCATTTAATCGATTAATTTGATTAATTTAATTTGTCGTGTCGCTGCATTTTCACAACATAACATGTTTGGCATGATGTTTTTATTCAACAATTCAACGCGATCATGCTTACGTTTTTATTGTTTGTGTGTGTTTTGTTAGGTTATGTGGTAATTTTGAGTGGTGTTTCAGTGTGACTTCAGTTATTTTGGTAATGGTGGCGCTGGTCCGTACATTGGCGGTAATGGCGGTGGACAAAATGGCGGCGCGCAGCAGCAGGCGATCACTCAAGCCGGGCAAATGCCACCCGCACGGGCTAACAGCCCACCGCGTCAGCATTGCTATGCTCAACCGATGCCCAATTCGGCCGCTGGCGCTGCCTATCCATCGCAGGATATCTATTATAACCTGCCGATGTATCAGGTGGATACTATCTATGCTGCTGACCAGGCTGCGTTTGAGGCTATGGCGATCGCAAGCGGCGTTGTACAAGACGTAAGATTTTTTGTTAATTTTTTTTTTAGTTTTAAACACGTTAGAAACATACAAATTTTAGGATTATCCACAACACCAACATCAACCACCACCGCAGGATGATTTTAACACATCACAACAGTCTAAAGGTGGCGCTGGCGGTGGTGGCGGTGTCGTGATGCGCGCACAGCACCCACCACGACCGTCGTCGCAGCCGCCAACGCCGCAGAGCGGCGGTGAACGGCAAACGTCGACGCCGGTCGTTTCGCTGCTCTCGCTCGACCACCAGCAGGAGAAAGACTTGCTGTCGATGCAGAGCGGCCGACGGCGTAAGCCACCGCCATCTACACCGCCCGCTGTTCAAGTGCACCATCATCCCGCGTACGGCATGCCACCACCACCACAACTCGCACAGGTGCAACATCATCAGCCGCACACGCACACGAATGGCTACGCGCCAGCGTACGCACCCGAGTATCACTACGCGCAGATACTAGCGCCGCCTGTGTACAACAGTCATAGTCATCCAGCAGCAGCGCCCTCTACACAAAAAGCCGCCATGACTAATGGCTGGTCACTGGACGCGAATGCAAACACAACCAACACATCATCGACTAGAAGAGGCGGAAGCGGTTGGAATAGTTATCCGCTTGCGTCGGGGCATTCATCACCGCGCACGGATCTCTATACGCCGGTGGATGACTCGCGAGCGAATGTAAGTGTTGATGATAAGCGTCGGTATTCTCAGCCGAATCTATTACCGCGTCACCAGTACACCACGCACCGGCCCAACTACAACTATAATCACAATAGTCACGCTGCGGCGGCGTATGGTGGTGGTGGTAATGCAATGCACCGGCGGCGCGTGTTTATCCCAAGCGGCAAGACGCAGTATCGCAATTCGAATCGCCCGCAGCAGCAGCAGCAGCAGCACTATGATAATAATAATGTAAACACACACACAAATGGCACGCCGCCGCCACCACCTCCACCACCACCACTGCTCAACCACAATAATAATAACATCAACAACAATACAGCGGATAGTAAAACGACGGCGGCGCGTTCAACTCCCTCACCGGGTGCTTTCGTTTCACAGATGCAGGCGATTCCGCAGCACTTCGTGGCGCCGGCGCGTCACCGCACTCGTCGGACGGTGCGACGTGGCGGTGGGATTGGCGAATGCGGCGCCGGGGATGCGCCGTTGACGAACAACGCGGATGGTGGTGTCGTGGATGCCTGCCACAAGATGGATAGTCTCAAGCTGTAATTCATCACTACTCCGACAGGTGGCGTTGGTGCGGCGACGTTGAATATAATAATTAAGTTACAAGCGAGAAATGAAAAAAAAAAACAAACACTAAAATGACTGACTGACTGATGCTGGACAACAAGACGAACATGAACTAAATATATGTAAGACTGGTGTACGATTGGTGTTGTTGAAAGCGATACTTAAGCGCGCATGGGGGCTGCGGAACACACATATTTACACACAAAACATACATAACCTAGAAACACACTACTACACTACACTAGAGAGAAAGTAATATATTTATTAACTTATATACACTTACACGATGATTTCGAGTGTGCAGAGGATGCGGAGCAACTGTGTTTTTTAGTTGATGCGAAGCAAATGGTGGCGAAAAAAAGTATTATATCGATTGTTGACGATGTAAAGAAAATGTTTTAAGTTTTTTGTTTATTTTTTCTTCATTTTTTTAATGACTTGTTAAACACGGTTGGTGTGTAGTTAGCTCAACCGCGCCGGACGATACATACACATATACACACAAACACACAGAGATGTTAATATTTAGGATTTTTGGCAATAAGTTGCGCGCGCAATTGACAATATTCGTTGATGAAACATTTGAGTGACTTGTACGCCGCGTTGTACGATAGATGTCCCCACAAAGATTATAATGCGATGAAAATTTATTTACACATACATACATACACACACACAAGACACACACGAAAAAATATTGTTACATTTGTTTATATTATATTATATGCGATAGTGATATATACACATAACTATATTGATATATATATTGTTAAGTATTAGGTTAAGTTTAGGCGTAAGTAGATTTGTAAGTGAGTCTGTCTGCACTCTGAAAGAGTGCGCGAGCGCATGCGCGTCGATGGCGGACGCTCGGAGAGTACCTTAACACTTAGAGCGGATAAGCAGAAGAAACAATATTTATTGTTAACTATTGTATAAGGCTATTATTATTATTATTATTATTAGTTGTAACGATTACTATTTTGAAGATGATTTAACGAGGCGCCGCACGCTGACATATTGTAAAAAGCGCGTGCGGCCGTTGTACAGGAGGAATATACACAATTCACACTGATGGATTGGCGCAGGCGTATTGGACTCGATGTGTGTGTGCGAGATGGAAAAACCCCTCTGATCTGTTTTTTGATTGTATTCGATATGCCGTATGGTACAAATCGTAGTGCTCTGTAGCTGTAAGATGTATTAACACACTAACCTAACCTAGAGAGGACGCCAAAGTATCGAGTAGAACAACGAAGACACGCGAATCGCGAAGAAACCGGCCTATTACTTCACTAAAACTAAAATTATGACTAAAACTACATTAATATTATACTAATATTCTATAAGTGAGTACACGACGCATGCGCGACTTGAGGTGTGTGGAGTTTCCGATTGGTTCTTGTTTTTGCTCAGAGCTGCCATTTATTTGTAATTACGATTAAGTTTCTACTGGTTTATGTGTCGAAATTGAACTCGAATCTAGAATCTCTCGGAGAGTGGAGAATGTAGGCTGTGACAAAACACACAGTTGTATTGTTTCATGAGTAGTTTCATCCGAATAACATCCAAAGATATTTTAGTGCGGATTGTAATTAATACAATATATATATATATATATATCGAAGAGTAAGAGTATAAATATATATATAGAAATAAATTCTAGATAGGACACGACACACAAACAAATATGAAGTAACTAACGTACCTAAGTACCTAATAATTACCGTCTAGGGCAATAAGTTGATGAAAATTTAAAAAAACAGTAAAATACATTGATGATGATGATGCACTCAAAAGCAAGCAATACGTTTACGAATCGCGATATGATTAAAATTTGGTCAATTGTCGTCAATTGTTTTAGCATATGTACACGAAATGGTTGTGCAAACAGCGTTGTAAAACATTTTATTCGATTTACACACAAGATGGCGGATTGTATTGTGTATGATATGCGATTGTAGACGAAGCCAAATTGTTTTGTGATAGCCATCCCTTCAAAATGATGATTGATTATATTATATTACACTGCAAAAGTAAGAAGAAGATGAGAAAAACATTAAAAAAAAAAACAGTGAATCAAATTGTTATGTAGGTTTTATAGTGTCGGAAGTGCAAACAAAACGATAAACATAAAGAGAAGGAGGTTATTATTGCTAGTTGTAAGACTATATTATACATATATACACGAGATAATATATTAATATATATATACAAGTTAGATAGTTAGAGTGATACAAAGCGAGAACAAATTGAAGTTTTGAGGTTACGGTTGTGTGTTACGGTTGCGAAAATCAAAAACATTTCTTACTGATTTACCATGATGATGATTATAAAACAAAAACATAACGAAGCTGTGAAAGCAAGTGAGTAAATGTGTTCAAAACTCGCAAGATGATCGCAAATGAAATACAATAATATAATAACACAAGAAAACAAGAAAAAACAACAAAAATGTTTGGGTTTTTGCGTTTTATTATTCGCATACAACTAAGAAGGTACCTAATGCATAACATAAGTCACTAAACTATTTAAACAAAGTATGAAAGTATATAAAAACAATAATCACATAAAATAAGCGAATCTAGAAGTAACTTCAGCATCAAGACAAGATGTAAATACATACATAGTAAGCAATATGCAAGAACAATGACATCCGCAACCCAATCTACTTGTTTGTTGAGTTGAGTTTGTTAGGTTAAAACAAGGCGAACAAAAAAAACTCGAAGAAAATGACAAAGGTTGTGACTTTTTGCTTAATCTTATAAAGACACGTACACAGTACACACACACCACACACGTTTTATACTTTACTTTACAAGTTTACAACAACAACGGAAACAAGAAACACGAAAAAAGACAAAAACGACAGCAATTCTATATTATTGCTCTAAACTCTAAAATATTGCAAGAAACAGTGAGAAAGTATTATATAACTGTAATAATATTAATTATAACGTCGTCACAGACCGTAAAGAAGTACATAATTTAAAACTAAATTACTAAATATGATAAGATAAGAAGATAAAGCGTAACATACACGAAATTGCAACAAGGAATCTAATTGAGAATAATCTAATAACATTTAAACTGATATATTGTACAAACAAGGAAACAACAAACAAAGAAAACTAACGAAAAATAACAAATTATGAAATAAAAAGGAGCAAAACATAACCACGTTTCTTTGGAGCGTAGAAATTCTAACCTCTTTGTGTGTTTATGTTTGAATTTAATTTGCTTTTTTATACTTTCATACCGTTTTTTGTTTGATGTTATATTTTGTATCAATTTCAATGCGAATGTTTGGTTTATTAGATAATAGTCTGCGTGTTTGTGCAGTTCGGAGGCGGCTAAAAATACCACGCCGAGATTTGTCACGCCACGCAGTGTATTTATACACTCACGATGGTATTTCTACAGTAGAACTCTAAATTTTTATAATTTCGTAGGTAAAAACCGAAAAACAAAAAAAGAAACAATTGTGTGTGCTGTTACATTGTGACAGTTTAGTATTGTCACTTTTTTCATACTGCGCATGTCCGTTGGAAAATCACACATTCCGCCAGCCATTTTGTATTTGGATTACGTAACATTTCAAAATAATTCCGTGCAGTTAAAAGTTGAATTTGAAGGTGGTATTGGTATTTTTTAATTGTATTGTTTGTAATTTTACTATGTATTTTGTTTAATAAGCATAGACCTGGTCTATTGGTGTGTTGCTGCGTTGTGTGTGAATATAAAAAAAGGGGGAACAATCGAGAGCGCACACGCGAAAATCAGCACCGCGCAGCTCCGCCGGTGTGCAACTCTTGCGGCGCGCGCCAGTCCGCTGCTGTCGTCCGCGACGAAAAGTGGGTCGTGGCCGGTCGTCGTCTCGCCCATCAACCGAGTTTCAGTTTCCGCTGCCGGGAATAACAAACCGTACCAACCAACTCACCTGATTCTCGCGAGAGAACTCACACTACCACAACAACAAGAACAACAAAAAGTGTGCTGTGAATTATTCAGGAGGATAATATCATAATCAACACACAGGAACGGTTTAGACAGCGCGTATACACACACGAAAATGTTATCGATCTGCAAGCAGAGCTTCGCTGCGGCGAACGCAAGGTAAAAAATCATTTTACTATTCATCAAATTAAAAAATCTCACAAGTGAAAGTATTGAATGATTAGTCCAATGGCGGTTTTGGTGTATATTGAGTAATCTATCTTCTATAATCTAAAACTAAAACATGGCGGAAAAAAATTAAAAATTAATCGGATTACATCATTTTTCAACGTTAAATATTGATAAATTCATTGTTATTTGATAGGAATAAACGCTCAAGGATATCCAATCACAGTTATAACTTGGTATTTTTGTGTTCTAGGCTAGGACAAAGATTTGTGTGGAAATTTCCACTCTGAAATCAATTTTCTTTACATAAATCATTATTTTTACACATTAACACCTTCAACAACTTTCTTTTAGAGTGTTATTTGTATTTATAATAAGATTTTGGTTGATTTTCTCTAATTTTATTTTTGTTTGAGGTGCGTGGTGACCGAGGATTACATAACACATTTTTAGTCTCGACGAAGCGTTACTAAACAGGGACATTAACTGAAAACACAGAAATATTACACTGATATAAATAATTATGCATTATCAGCACATCAGGTAATAATATCTAAAGGAAAATTAAAAACGAAAAGTTTCCGGCGGTAATTATCAGATTATCAATTAGTCATCATTTACGCGTTTAATTGCGTCTATTTTTATCTTTTAGGAAGTTTAATTGATTAGAATCAATTAGTCTGCATGTTTATATTTGTTTTGGTGTGTTACTGTCACAAATGTGATATTTTAAGTAAATTTACTTAAATTTAAGCGTATTTAGCAGCATTTCTCTTTTGATTTACACTCAGCTGTTTTCAAGCGTGTGTGCCATGTGTGCGGTGTAGTTTTACTGAATTATCTGCATGAATATGCAGTGAATGTTTCTTTTCAACTGTGTTATACCTGCCTGGTTGTGTGCGCTGTGTGTTAATAACGTTAATATAATGAATACCGGCGGTGTCGTTGCGTCGCCGAGACCTTGAGCGGTTTCCTCGTTGCTCACATCGACGGCATTAACATTTAAAGCACGTTTTAACAACAATCTACACTCTAGCCATGCAAAACTATAAACTATGCTAAAATTTACTTAATTTTCGCTTGAATATTTTATATTAGAATATCAAAATTTGTGTCAGCAAACCAAACCAACAAAACATTATATAAACACATTGTATGTTTGTATGTGTGTTAAGTCGACTTGAAACAATTGAACGCGACGTGCTGGCATGATGCGATCGTATGATCTTGTCTCTATTGTATGGATAAATTGAAATTGATTGTAATTTGTCTGCCTGTGGATGAGTGTGAAATGTGTTTCGATTAGGCGATGTTTTTCCATGCGGAATAATACGCGCACGATTTGCGGAAAATCAATGCCGGGGAGTCGCGCGCGCAAGAGGCAACATCTGCTCACACTGACTACCCGTGTATTACGGAAGTGGTCGATGGCTAACCAAAATACAGCATGTTTTAAATGCATTTAAATTTAAATTTATTTTCATTTAAAACTAGACGTGAAATTAGAAATTTAATCGCCGTGCGTGTTTAACTTTAGTAATATACTTGATTACACAACGTTTTTTTTTGTCTATGGCGCGGTTTATTGCTCTACCTGCGTTTATTTTGTGTCAGACTAGTTTTGCGCTGGAAAATTTAAGTTTTACGTGATGATATAATCATTATATAATTTATTGGCAATGTTTGGCTTTGATTGATGGTTGTATTTTTATATTTATAGGCTGACGGTGCGATGCCTGGCGTCCATTGTGCCCGAAGCCAAGATTCCCGACTTCGGGGTCAAGAACGAGCCTGTCCTCGAGTACCTGAAGGGATCCCGTGAGCGCACTGAACTCGAAGCGGCCCTTAAAGCCACTGCAGGTAAATGTGAAGACGTCCCGATTGTCATTGGTGATAAGGAATTCAAAACGGATAATGTACAATATCAGGTAAACACATTTTTATCTTTAAACTTAAACAAAAATTTTAATTTTTTATTAAATAAATATTTTAAAGGTTATGCCACACAATCACAAGAAACAAATCGCTAAATTCTACTATGCTGATGCCAAGCTCGTCCAGAAAGCGATTGATAACGCCGTGGAGACACAAAAGAAGTGGGATAAAGTCCCGATTGCGCAGCGGTTGAACATCTGGGAGAAGGCCGCGCAGTTGATGGCCGGAGAATATCGCGCCAAGCTTAACGCGGCGACCATGCTGGGTCAAGCTAAGACCACGGTGCAGGCGGAGATTGATTCCGCCGCGGAGTTGATTGATTTCTTCAGGTTGAACGCGTTCTTCTTGAAGGAGGCGCATAAGTATCAGCCGATTTCGGAGAATCCGAAAGTCACCAAGAACTCGATGCGTTATCGTGGTATCGATGGGTTTATCGCGGCGGTGTCACCGTTTAATTTCACTGCCATCGGTGGGAACTTGGCGTATACACCTGCATTGATTGTAAGCAGACATTTTTTTTTAATTTTGAGGTTAATTTAATCCAAAATAATTAAAAATGAGTAAAAATGTTTTTTTACATAAGGTTATGTTTATTTTTAACTTATAATAAATAATTTAATTATTTTAGGGTAATGCTGTGCTATGGAAACCTAGTGACACAGCGCTGCTCTCCAACTGGTTGATCTTCAAGATTTGCCGTGAAGCTGGCGTGCCACCAGGTGTGGTAAACTTTGTTCCTGCTGATGGACCAGTATTCGGTGATACTATCACAGCGTCTCCGCATCTTGCTGGTATTAATTTCACCGGTTCAGTTCCGTAAGTGTTAACTTTAACTGCAACATAACCTTATTTTAATTCTATTTTTATTTATTTTTGTTTATAGTACATTCACACGATTGTGGACGCAAGTTGGTAAGAATATCAACAACTACAAAAACTTCCCGCGGTTGATTGGTGAGTGCGGTGGTAAAAACTACCACTTTGTGCATCCATCCGCGGATGTGACCAGTGTTGTCAACGGTACGATACGCAGCTCGTTTGAGTTCTGCGGGCAGAAGTGTTCGGCGTGCAGTCGTATGTATTGCCCAGAATCTCTATGGCCTAAGGTAATTAAATTATTATAAAAAAATATTTTTTTCTTTTTTAAATTAATATTATTATTATATTATTACTTAGGTTAAAGAAGGTTTGGTCTCATTACGCGCCACATTGAAAATCGGCGACCCCACCGAATACGACACCTTTACTTCGGCTGTCATCGACGATAAAGCCTACAAACGTATCAAGGGATACATTGACCATGCCAAGAAGAGCAAAGATCTCGAAGTGGTCGCTGGTGGTAAGTGCGACGACAGCACCGGTTACTTCATCGAGCCGACCATCGTGCAGTCGAAGAACCCCAAGGATAAGATCATGGTCGAGGAGATCTTTGGCCCTGTTTTGAGTGTTTATGTTTATCCGGATAACAAACTGGATGAGACTATGGATCTGGTGGGAAATTCCACGGCTTTCGCTTTGACTGGTGCTGTATTTGCTCAAGATCAGTAAGTATTAATTAAATAATAAAAATTTTTAAGTTTAGATATTAAATTTGGTTTTTAATGTTTAGAGCATTCTTGAAACGTGCTTTGGAGGAGTTGAAAATGACTGCTGGTAACTTCTACATCAATGATAAGTCAACTGGAAGTGTTGTTGGTCAACAACCTTTTGGTGGTGCCAGACTTTCAGGTAAATTATATTTTTTATTGTTTTATATCCTTTGTAATGTCTTTGAGAATATTTGTACAAAATTTCAGGATGATAGATTGAGTAGTTTTTGGGTTAAAGCGTAACAAACAAACAATTTACAATTTTTTGAGGTTAAAAAATACTTTCTGTCACACCTTAACCTCAAATCACACTTTTACATGTATAATATCAATATACAAATTATTTTTAACAATTTTTTTAATTTCCAGGAACAAACGACAAGGCTGGTGGTCCCCACTATGTCCTCCGATGGGGTAACCCCCAAGCGGTGAAGGAAACCTTCGTCCCACTCACCGAAATCAACTACCCGTACATGAGCCAGGTGTAATTCCCTCTTGCCCAGCCATAAACACACTCGCCACACACACACCGACACAATATCATCAAAAACACAAACAAACAAAAATATCAAAAACCTAACTAATAAGGGTAGACAAATGGGGTTAGGTGCTGAGGATGGTAAACAACGGCAATTCTCGTTTATAATTTGAACAAAAACCAAACCAAACGCTTTATTACAATTATTACAAAGTGAAAGTAAAGTAAAAAAAAAAAGAGAAGTAAATTAAATCCTTGTGTGATGTGATGTGATTCAATCACCACGACGCCCTCCAAGGGCACGATATTTATTGTTGGAAATCATTACATTACGTCGATGGTTGCCCTCGAATCTATATTATTATAAATATTGTATTATTTAATTTAAATATTTTATTGAATTCTGTTACAAATTGTATAGGAATAATACGATGAAGGAAGCCAAAGTGATTTCGTTTCTCATTGCTTTCTTATTAATATTATTAACATGATTAATACACATTTAATGCTGCTGGAGGGTTGAATGAGTTTGTAGACGTGTGCTGATGATAGTACGACACAATGTGACAATATTACCAGAATTAGTCTAATGTTTAACGAAACCGAATAATATTTAACGAAAGCAACGTGTTGAAAGTAGAATGTAATCTGTGCGAATGTTCTCTCAATGTGTACTTTCTCGACGTGAACAAAAAAAAAAACAAACAAACGAATCTTTCATCTGAAGATCCATGATCAATGTGTATTATACTTAAACATTTAAACATTACCGTAAATGAATTAAATGAATACGAATAAGATGTGTATGTACATGTTGATGGAGGGGAAGCAGTCACGTAGGCGACTGTTTGTTATGTAATGATGTTAATTAATTGCGATTGTAATGTAGCAGGTGCAGTTACGGCAAACGTTATATCAGTTTTGTAAGTGTACATTTGCTTTGTGCATAAAGCGCAGGTGAAAATAGAGGAAATGTAATAATTTATGTTTTTGAATGTTGTTTGTGTGATTGGGTGAGTAGGGGGCGCTGGTGGTGTTGCGGCAGGTTTTAATTTAGTGCGCTGCGCATGCACTGGTCAGTGGTCAGTGTTGCGCCGGCTGTCGGTGGGTCCGCACGCGTTTTCTGCGCGGTTTTAGTTCGGTAAATCGCGTTAGATTTTATTGAAACAGTTTTTGGTAATAATAGAAGTGTTAGCTGTTTTGTTGGTGGTTTATTGCGTGTAGAATGTTTGTAAACGCGAATTTAGTGATTAGTTTACGTATTTTGAGTGTTGGCGATGGATTAAGTAATTTTTTTGCGTTTTTAAGTGATTATTCCTAAACGGAACGTCGTAGTGACTTCAGCTGAGTGTCTAGAGGTGTAGAATTGAATTCCCCGTCGGACTGTAGAAGAATTTTGCTGGAAAACACCTGTAAACCTGGTAAAGTTGAAAAATTTTGATTTTGTTCGGTTTTGTACGACGGTGTTTTTTTAAAAGATTGCGCGCAATCGAATAGTCTTAGTAATATCGGCGATGTGTTTAAAGATGCCTAATTAAATTCCGCGTTTCGTTTTATTTGAATTTGTCCCTAAATTTTGCTGAAATGCAAGCAAAAATCAGTTTAATTCTAACGTTCTTTATCGGTAACTGTTTGTTTACGTTTTGTTTTGAATTGTGCCGGTTTCATACATTAATAACATGGATAGTGTATTTCAGCAAAGAAAGTGAGATAGCAATATTTCTTGTATAATTGCTATATGAGTTGTTAGAGCGGGAGGGGTATAGAAGTTGTATGTTCACTATCCATTTTGTGTATATGATCCGGGCTAGTAAAAAATCTATTCAGGTCATTTTGTTTATTAGAGTGACATGAAGAGAATGGAACTTTCGTGAGTTAGAGTGAGACAACGAAATTGCTTCACAATCAATGTAGTTTATATGATCCTGCTGGATTTTCGGCTCGACCTTGCTCGGTTCAAGTTTTCAGTGAGTGCCGGTCCGCGAGCGGTTCCTGCGCGTCGCCATGTTTGTTGCGATTTTAGTTTCGTAAAATGTGTTGTGTTTCGCAGTGCCGTCGATTGACTATGAGTTAACTTGTTGTGCGGAATAATGGTCTCGACACACGTTCTTAGGGGTATTAATTCGCGGTAGATTCGATTGGATTTAAGCAATTTTGGGTCTTATCGCGAATAGTTGCGTGCTGACGCGGCGTGCTCGGCTTACGCGGTGCGCTTAGTTTTGCGCCGGCCATTGCTCGAGTCGGAAATGTTTCTCGCGGCTGCAATCGTTTTCGTTTTGTGTTTGTAATTCGGTAAATCGCGTTGGGAATCGCGTTTTATTTTCTTAAATTGTGCTTTGTGTTTCTTCACCGCCGATATTTAGAGATATTTAGTAATTTTTCGTTTTCGTGTGTGAGTGAATCCGTCGGCTCTTGCCGTAGTGGCATTTTTGTTCCAGGAACGCCGGCCATCATGTTCTTGTTCCAAGGAATTGGAAACCGAGAAAGAATCGTAAGTACAAGTTTTCCTCATTTTCCTTTGCTGAAATGGTTGTCTCTGTTTAACTCATTTGTTCGCGCATGCATCGTTCTAGAAGTTTTATTCCTACGCGAACACGCCGTGTTAGAACGATAAGAGATAAGATTTGTTGTTGTTATTGTATTGTGAACATTCTTATCTACTTGCATGCGGTGATTCTATCTCAAACCTGTGTTACTTTGTGCAGTATTATTATATTTAAATAAGATTTATTTTAATTTTAGTTCTTGGTGAATTCTGCGCGAAATATGTGGCCGAGGATCGTTTTCTAATCGACGGAATTGTGGAACAGTGATTTGGCTGCGGGTTGTGACCGTCATCATGACTATGTTCCAGTTATCTTCAAGCACGCCGGAAAAAGGTATAGTGCTGTTTTTCATTATTTTCCTTTTATGTAATTGCTATTTATATGCAATTACATTTTGTTCATATGCGCAGTTAGCTTGGTGTAACATATCTTGTTGTTACAATAGCAAATTTAGATTTTTGTCCACTTCTATTATGATTAATTTTAATTTAATTTTAGTTTTTATGTCGGAGGTCTCCCGCGTCTCGAGTATGGTTTGCCGTTCGACAAAATTGCAGCTCATCGAACTTCCTACGACATCTACGAAAGAGAAGTCTACCGGCGGGTGAAGACCTTGGTGAAGAGCAACTGCCCTACGACGGATTTCTCGGACCGCTGATGATACAAAAATACCTGCGCCCTTTTTTGCGTATCTTGCAATAACTTTTTGCGCCTATTATTTAAAAGCGAACAGGTGACAGACGCATTATTTTTCAAACCAGTTCAATTAATGCGCACATGGGAGAACAAAAAAAACTTTTAAACCACGAACGCATTCTCTAAGTTCACTTATAATTAGAATTGTATATATTTAGGGACCTTTAACCATTAATTTGATGAATCCTAGTGGAGTAACATGCAGTGTAAACTCTTTATAACGATGGTCAATTGTTGTGTAATTAGTTTTTACTTCAATTTGCTCATTAGTTCATTTAAAGACATATTGTAAAGTTATCAAGAGTTTATATTGTAATGCCAATTTTGTCGCGTCACGACTTGAACTGAAAACTGGTAGTGCTGTCTCTGAATCGCTATTACTTGTAATCATGTACTTTGTTGTCTGCGCTTTATTTGTTAGATGTAATACGGATATGGGTATTGGGTAACTGTCGCACTGTTGTCTAGCTTTAGCTCGTGAGGGGGGCGCCTTAGAATTTTCAAGGAATTTAACTTGCGGGGTGAAATTGCTACTTTTTCGGTAAAGCTCGCGAGAAGAATGTTTGCTTCAATTATTAGCGGGCTCTAGAGATATCCAATTAGATTCGTGTTGTATTAGTTTGTTGTAAAAGTAGTTGCAACATGTTCAAATTTGAAAATCGGGTGGTTCAGTGGGATTTTCACTTCAAGTATGAAATTGTTTTAGTATTTTTGTTATAGCTCGCGAATGGGGCGGCTCAGAATTTTCAGCGCGGTCTCTAGAGTCGAATTAGATTCTTCGCGTTGTTGTATTAGTTTGTTGCTGAAGTTGCATCTGCAACATATGTAAATTTAAAAATTAAGCGGTTCAGTTAGATTTTTAGCCACAGGATAAAATTGTAGACGTTTTTTCTATATAGCTTGCGAGGGGGGCGGCTCAGAATTTTTAGCGCGATTTCTAGAGACATAGAATTAAATTGTCCGCGTGGACAATAGGGTGGTAAATTCGAAATTAGGGTGCTTTAATGGGATTTAAACCTGATGGGGTTGAAAATGTTGGGTTTTTCGGTGTATCTCGCGAGAAGGGCGGTAATTTCTGCGCGGTGAAATTGTTGGGTTTTTTTCGGTATAGCTCGTGAAGCTTAGAATTCTCAGCGCGGTCTTTAGAGAAGTTTAATTAGATTCTCGGCGCGGTTGTCATTGTTTGTTATAAAAGCTTCGGCAGCAGTGTGCGCAGTGGTAGATTATGTTTAGCGTGTCCTCCTGTCTTCCGCATTTCTTATCTTTTGTGTAATTTGTGTTGTCCATGTAGAACTTGAGATCTTGTTTTGTGTGTATGACTTGTGTTGTCTTTCCTATGTACTAATGTGTAGCTTCCTTTGTTAAAATCTAAAAATTGTTATATGTAGATGTTTTGTATTAATTTGTTCATGTAAGTGTATAGAATAGCTACTTTGTACAGTAGTTGTTTGTGTTTTAATGTTTGTTAGCACCTTGTGTTGTGTGTTTTAATATGTCTCTTGTTGTGTGTAAATTAATAATTGTCTATTGTGTAGTATCTAGAAAGTGTTAGTTTGTAAATAAATTGTGTTGTCCGCGTCTTGTAAATGTAAACATGTTATTTGTTATCTATGTTGAGTAGTTGTGTTGCGTCGTGGTTGCCTTGTGCTAGGTGTGCGACATGTACTTGTGATGTCTGCTGTGTAGCACTAGTTGTAACTTGTAACTTGTTGTTATATCAATTGTGTTATCGTTGCAGGTATAGGAACCAGTATTGCAACAGCAATACTTGTAACATGTATTGCTATAGCAATACTAGTAACACTGTGTTGCATAGGCAACACAGGTAGTATGGTATTGCTATGGCAGTACAAGTAACATGTTCTATTGTTGCAATACAGTATGTATAGGTATCAATAAAGAAGTCTTTTAATATATTGTTTAAAATATTTATTTATTATCCTTATTTCCCCACCACAAGGACTGTCCCCACTAAGAATATTGTTGATGTGGCTAAGAAACCCGGGGATGAAGCGTGAGACATCGCAGCTGTAGGTTGTGGGGCCGGTAATTATATTTCTTTAGTTAACGCACTGTAAGTGTTTAACTGTCTTATTGAACGTTCTCGAAGTGGTTCGTCGATAAGTTCGACTACAAGACCGACACGTTAAAATCCAAATGAAAATTACGAATTTTTCTATAAAATTTTGTAAAGTTTCGACTTGTAAAATTGAAATCCGGTGTCATAAAAAAGATATTGTTAGTTTATATTTTCAAGTTGGCAATTGTACCATAAATTAATTGGTGTGATAAACATTCCGCGCTGAAAACATCTATTTGCCCCAAAGAACAAAAATACCAAATAAATACACAATTTACGAAGTTACGCGCGTTACAGAATTTAGTTCCTGTTCTTCTGAAAACAAAAATTACCAACATATTAACACGAGGGAGAAAACAACATTTAAATATCGTGTTTTCGACTCTACTCGCGTTCAAGGTGAGTCCTGCAACGCATACAACCCCACGGAAAATTTAATTCTACATCCCTGGACAACGCGCACCCCGTCCGCGAACAAAAACAACAATTTCGGACAAGAGCAACAAAACTAGTTAAATAATGCAGACGTTTTTACTGTCATAGCAACTCGATGGAGAATTTAAATTTAAGAAACAAAACATACTATAAAACTGCTCTGCGTATTGTAGAATATGATTACTACCTTCTAATATTCTAATAAATGCGGCTAGAGAACTTGTTTATACACAAACAAATACTGATAAGCGATAGTAAAACTCCGCGTGCAAAACCGCATTAAAGTCTCAAAACAATCGAACATCACTACGCGATTATATCTGTCCTCTTCTAGCACAATAAAAATTTTAATCCATCTAATCCATCTATCACGCTTCCACGCAAGGAGGCAACTCCTTCACTATTCGAATGCTTTAAACTAAAGTCAAATTTGGTAAAATAGGTATTGTCAAATTGCATATTGAACCTATATGACAAATTGCGACAGTACTAAATGCATGCAAATGAAATGCATGAAATACCATAAGTATTGTCACATACGCCTATTGAAAGTATATGACCATGTGCCACAGTACGAATTATATGTAAATAATATAATAAAGGGTTCCCGAGATATGGCCGGTTTTCCACCGCGTGTTTTAAAAAATGCAAGAAAAGGGCAAACTTTGGCGGCCATTTTAAGGCAGTTACGACCGAATTTCGCGGGAGTTCTAGGGTGCATCTGAAAGATGCACTCTTTTTCTATCATAAAATACAGCGAACACGAAAATACGAAGGGTTCCCGAGATATGGTTGAGCCCCGCGTGTTTTGAAAAACACACGAAAAGAGCAAACTTGGCGGCCATTTTCAGGCAAAGTTACGACCGAATTTCGCGGGAGGTTCTAGGCGCATCTTAAAAAGATGCACCTTTTCATCATAAAATACAGCGAACACGAAAATATCATGAAGGGTTCCCGAGATATGGCCGGTTTTCCACCGCGTGCTTTGAAAAAATGCAAGAAAAGGGCAAACTTTGGCGGCCATTTTAAGGCAGTTACGACCGAATTTCGCGGGAGTTCTAGGGTGCATCTGAAAGATGCACTCTTTTTCTATCATAAAATACAGCGAACACGAAAATATCACGAAGGGTTCCCGAGATATGGCCGGTTTTCCACCGCGTGTTTTGAAAAACGCACGAAAGCGCGTAAAACTTTGGCGGCAATTTTCAGGCAGTTACGACCGCATTGCGGAGGTTCTAGAGCGCATCTGAAAAGATGCACTCTTTCTATCATAACATACAGCGAACAATGAAAATATCACGAAGGGTCTCGAGATATTGCCGAAAGCTTCCACCGCGTGTTTTGAAAAAAACGCACAAAAGGGGAAGGGCAAACTTTGGCGGCGCGTGATTTTCAGGTAAAGCTACGACCAAATTCTCAGTGTTCTAGGCATTCCGGCAAGATGCACTCTTTTTCTATCATAAAATACAGCGAACACGAAAATATCACGAAGCGGGTTCCCGTGAGATATTGCTGAGTTTCCACCGCGTGTTTTGAAAAAACACACGAAAAGAGCAAACTTTGCGCCAGCTTCTTGAGGCAGTTACGACCGAATTTCGCGGGAAATTTAGGCGCATCTAAAGATGCACCTTTTTCTATCATAAAATACAGCGAACACGAAAAATATCACGAAGGGTTCCCGAGATATGGCCTGTTTTCCACCGCTTGTTTTGAAAACGCACGAAAGTGCTGGCAAAACTTATTTTCAGGCAGTTACGACCGAATTTGCGGGATTTAGGCATCCGGCGATGCACTTTTCTATCATATAAAAATACAGCGAACCCGAAAATATCACGAAGGGTTCCTGATATGGCTCCGTTTTCCACCGCGTGTTTTGAAAACGCAACGGTAAAGGCAAACTTTGGCGGCCATTTTCAGGCAGTTACGACCGAATACCCCTGCGGGTTCTAGGGCGCATCTAAAAGATGCACTCTTTTTCTATCATAACATACAGCGAACACGAAAATATCACGAAGGGTTCCCGAGATATTGCCGGTTTTCCACCGCGTGTTTTGAAAAACGCACAAAAAGGGAAGGGCAAACTTTGGCGGCCATTTTCAGGTAGTTACGACCAAATTTCGCGGGAGTTCTAGGGTGCATCTAAAAGATGCACTCTTTTTCTATCATAAAATACAGCGAACACGAAAATATCACGAAGGGTTCCCGAGATATTGCCGGTTTTCCACCGCGTGTTTTGAAAAACGCACGAAAAGGGCAAACTTTGGCGGCCATTTTAAGGCAGTTACGACCGAATTTCGCGGGAGTTCTAGGGTGCATCTTAAAGATGCACTCTTTTCCTATCATAAAATACAGCGAACACGAAAATATCACGAAGGGTTCTCGAGAGATCGCCTGTTTTCCACCTCGTGTTTTGAAAAATGCATGAAAAAGTACAAACATTTTCATTCCCTTCGTTTTCTATATCACCCGCAAGTAAAATTGACATGGCACCCGAAGGCTATAGCAACACGCAAGTGAAAGGTCGTAACATGAAATAATATAATTTATTTATAAACTCACCAATTCAGCGCTCATTGGATTGCACGAGGATGGCAAGCTCTGCAATTAAAAGAAAACATAAGTTAAAACAAAACCATTTCATTCAATATAATAAAATTATATTCACATATCAGAGAAAACATATATGTGCTGAGTATTGCAATAGTCAGATAAACGTTACCTACTCAAGCAAGAGGAATCTCCTAATGACGGGGAGCAACATGGCAGTAATATGTGTCCGATTAATCTAGCAACCGACAGCGTTAACAACAATCGTCAATAAAACACAGACTTCTTGTAATTTCGAATATAAGCATAAAACGCGAGCGGAATTTAGAAAGCAGAAGCCCGAATAAACGATTTGAATCGCGAGAAATACGTCGAGATACGCCAGTGACCGGCACAAAACCGGCTGCAATGCGCAAGCAACGATGCGACAGTTCACAGTAAGACTTGTTGCACTTGCTGCATGAACCGCGCACGTACACGTAAAAGCGCGTCGATCCAACGCCACATTGTGCACGAATTGCAATAGACACGAAACCTGCGATCAAAACTAAGCTAAGTTATGACAACGGCGTGAGGGGATGGCAACAACAACACACGGGAATGCGACAAGAAAGTGTAAATTGTGTTCAAAACTAACACAATTCTAGTATCGAACGCCTACGTTTGCCGATAAATATTGAAATAAACAATACAATTCTACTTTAGTGATTTTTAGCTCATGCTAATGCAACCTCTGAATCGAATTTACGATGCGACAATTCACAATAGGACTCTGTGCCTGCTGCATGAACCCCGCAGGTAAAAGCAATAGATGCGCAAAGCCTGCGCGTCGATTCCACGCGACCTTGTACGCGAATTGCAATAGATGCGCAAAGCCAGTAGTGCGTTGACGGCACGCGACTTTGTGCGCGAATTGCAATACGAGTAGATGCGCAAACCCGGCGGCGCGTCGACAGCACGCGACCTTATGCGCGAATTGCATTTGGCACTTTACCTGGGATCAAAACTAAACTAAGATACAGCAACATGCGGCGTGAGGTGCAGGCAACGCACACGGCAATGCGATAAGAAAGTGTATATTATGTTCAAGCAAACACAATTCTTTATTTTACAATTTTTAGTACATGCTATTGCCATCTATAAGTGATACAGTAGTTTTGAAATTTTGATTAGTAATGGTAATAAAAAATTAAAATTCGATTTGCGTAATTCGGTTTGCTTATGCTGACAGATTGCCAGATTTTGCATTAAATATTTAAGTGATATTTAATTTAAACATGCATCGTTTCTCGCCTAAGCCAGGTAACACATTATCCGTAATCGCCTGCTGATAATAAAATGTATTAGAATTAATATAAAATTGTTAGTTATATTCTTTGAAAGAATTGAAGAATATTTGCTTATTTACGATGCAAATATAATAAACAGCAACGGTGTGTTTTGACTCCACGAAATAAAGATTCGATACTGCAGATAAACAAACTTATCTCTTGCGCGAAATCGCGTGTTCCACACGGACACGGTGTGCACTCACTACCACCAACAAGCAATATTTAATGCAATACCGTACATCGTAGCGCCATCTAACCTTGGTGCGCTGATGACTGGAACTTCAAAACACATTTATCAAATGTGCAACAAAACTATGCAACAAAGTCAATACATATCTGGAAATGAGGTAAATAAGTGCAGTACGCGGTTGAAACTGGGAAAAAACCAATTCCTAGCGTAATGAATATTACGACGCGCACACACAACTTTCAATATAACCTCGTGTTTACGGAATCCTTCTGACGTAATAAAAGTTCACCAGGCGATACAGAATAAATTCCCGCGCATCAGGAACATACTCGAATTGACCGTGACACCGCGTTCGCGCGTTATAATAATAAAACTACAATTCCTAGCGCAATGAGTACTACGACGCGCACACACAACTTTCAATATAACTCGCGTTACGGAATTTTCTGGCAATAAAGTTTAATACAGGGTGATACAGAAATAAATTCTGCATCAGGGAACATAATTTCGAATTAACTGTGACACTGCGTTCGCGCGCAATAATAAAACTACAATTCCTAGCGCAATGAGTATTACGACGCGCACACACAACTTTCAATATAACTCGCGTTACGGAATTTCCTGGCAATAAAGTTTAATACAGGGTGATACAGAAATAAATCTCCTGCATCAGGGAACATACTTCGAATTAATCCGTGACACTGGCAATTCGGCGCGTTATAATAATAAAACTACACCCTAGCGCAATGAGTATTACGACGCGCACACACAACTTTCAATATAACTCTCTCGCGTTACGGAATTTTCTGGCAATAAAGTTTAATACCAGGGTGATACACAGAAATAAAATTTCCTGCATCAGGGAACATAATTTCGAATTAATCCGTGACACCGCGTTCGCGCGCTATAATAATAAAACTACAATTCCTAGCGCAAAGAGTATCAGACGCGCACACACAACTTTCAATATAACTCGCGGTTACGGAATTTTCTTGGCAAATAAAGTTTATCACAGGGTGATACAGAAATAAATTCGCATCAGGAACATAATTTCGAATTAACCAGACACCGCGTCTGCGCGTTAAGTAATAATAAACTACAATTCCTTAGCGCAATGAGTATTACGACGCGCACACACAACTTTCAATATAACTCGCGTTACGGAATTCTGACAAAAGTTCAATACAGGGTGATACAGGAACAAATTCCCTGCATCAGGAACATAATTTCGAATTAACTGTGACACCGCGTTCGCGCGTTATAATAATAAACCACACCCTAGCGCAATGAGTACGCGCACACAACTCTCAATATAACCTCGCGTTACGGAATTTTCTGGCATAAAGTTTAATACAGGGTGATACAGAAATAAATTCTGCATCAGGGAACATAATTTCGAATTAACTGTGACACCGCGTTCGCGCGTTATAATAATAAAACTACAATTCCTAGCGCAATGAGTATTACGACGCGCACACACAACTTTCAATATAACTCGCGTTACGGAATTTTCTGGCAATAAAGTTTAATACAGGGTGATACAGAAATAAATTCTGCATCAGGGAACATAATTTCGAATTAACTGTGACACCGCGTTCGCAAGGTTATAATATCAAAACTACAATTCCCAGCGCAATGAGTATTACGACGCCAGCACAACTTACAATATAACCTCGCGTTACGGAATTTCTGGCACAAATAAAGTTTATCGACATATGGGTGATAAAGAAAATAAATTCTGCATCAGGGAACATAATTTCGAATTAACTGTGACACCGCGTTCGCGCGTTATAATAATAAAACTACAATTCCTAGCGCAATGAGTATTACGACGCGCACACACAACTTTCAATATAACTCGCGTTACGGAATTTTCTGACAATAAAGTTTAATACAGTAAGGATACGTGAATAAATTCTGCATCAGGAACATAATTTCGAATTAACTGTGACACGCGTTCGCGCGTTATGGTTAATAAACCACAATTCCTAGCGCAATGAGTACATGACGCGCACACACAACTTTCAATATAACTCGCGTTACGGAATTTTCTGGCAATAAAGTTTAATACAGGGTGATACAGAAATAAATTCTGCATCAGGGAACATAATTTCGAATTAACTGTGACACCGCGTTCGCGCGTTATAATAATAAAACTACAATTCCTGGGCGCAAATGAGTAAGTAATACGACGCGCACACACAACTTTCAATATAACCTCGCGCTACGGAACTTTCAGCAATAAAGTTTACCACAGGATACAGAAATAAATTCTGCATCATCAGGGAACATAATTTCGAATTTACTGTGACACCGCGTTCGCGCGTTATAATAATAAAACTACAATTCCTAGCGCAATGAGTACTACGACGCGCACACACAACTTTCAATATAACTCGCGTTACGGAATTTTCTGACAATAAAGTTCAATACAGGGTGATACAGGAATAAATTCTGCATCAGGGAACATAATTTCGAATTAACTGTGACACCGCGTTCGCGCGTTATAATAATAAAACTACAATTCCTAGCGCAATGAGTATTACGACGCGCAATAATAATAACTCAACATAACCTTCGCGTTACGGAATTCCTTTCTGACAATAAAGTTCACCAGGGTGATACAGGAATAAATTCTGCATCAGGGAACATAATTTCGAATTAACTGTGACACCGCGTTCGCGCGTTATAATAATAAAACTACAATTCCTAGCGCAATGAGTACTACGACGCGCACACACAACTTTCAATATAACTCGCGTTACGGAATTTTCTGACAATAAAGTTCAATACAGGGTGATACAGGAATAAATTCTGCATCAGGGAACATAATTTCGAATTAACTGTGACACTGCGTTCGCAAAGGTTATAATAATAAAACTACCATTCCTAGCGCAATGAGTACTACGACGCGCACACACAACTTTCAAAATAACTCGCGTTACGGAATTTTCTGACAATAAAGTTCAATACAGGGTGATACAGGAATAACACCCCTGCATCAGGGAACATAATTTCGAATTAATCCAGACACCGCGTTCGCGCTGCGTTATAATAATAAAACTACACCCTAGCGCAATGAGTATTACGACGCGCACACAACTTTCAATATAACCTCGCGTTACGGAACTTTCTGACAATAAAGTCTGAATAGCCAGGTGATTCACAGGAATAAATTCCCGCATCAGGAACATACTCGAATTAATCCGTGACACCGCGTTCGCGCGTTATAATAATAAAACTACAATTCCTAGCGCAATGAGTACCGATGACGCGCGCAACACACAACTTTCTAACATAACCGCGCCGCCGGAATTTTCTGACAATAAAGTTCAATACAGGGTGATACAGGAATAAATTCTTGCATCAGAACATAATTTCGAATTAATCCGTGACACCGCGTTCGCGCGTTATAATACAATAAAACTACAATTCCCTAGCGCAATGAGATGACGCGCACACACAACTTTCAATATAACCTCGCGTTACGGAATTTTCTCTGACAATAAAAGTTCAATACAGGGTGATACAGGAATAAATCGCATCAAACATAATTTCGGAATTAATCCAGGACACCGCGTTCGCGCGTTATAATAATAAACTACAATTCCTAGCGCAATGAGTATTACGACGCGCACACAATAACTTTCAATATAACCTGCGTTACGAATTTCTGACAATAAAGTTCAATACAGGGTGATACAGGAATAAAATTCCCGCATCAGGAACATACTTCGAATTGACCGTGACACCGCGTTCGCGCTGTTATAATAATAAACTACAATTCCTGAAGCAATGAGTATTACGACGCGCACAATAATAAACCTCAATATAACTCGCGTTACGGAATTTTCGACAAAGTTCAATAAGAGGGTGATACAGGAATAAATTTGCATCAGGGAAACATAATTCTGAATTGACTGTGACACCGGGTTCGCGCGTTATAATAATAAAACTACAATTCCTAGCGCAATGAGTATTACGACGCGCACACACAACTTTCAATATAACTCGCGTTACGGAATTTTCTGACAATAAAGTTCAATACAGGGTGATACAGGAATAAATTCTGCATCAGGGAACATAATTTCGAATTAACTGTGACACCGCGTTCGCGCGTTATAATAATAAAACTACAATTCCTAGCGCAATGAAAGTATTACGACGCGCACAATAACTTTCAATATAACCTGCGTTACGGAATTCTTCTGACAATAAAGTTCAATACAGGGTGATACAGGAATAAATTCCTGCATCAGGGAACATAATTGAATTAATCCGTGACACTGCGTTCGCGCGTTATAATAATAAACTACAATTCCTAAAGTGCAATGAGTACGACGCGCACACACAACTTTCAATATAACTCGCGTTACGGAATTTTCTGACAATGTGTTCAATACAGATACAGGAATAAATTCTGCATCAGGGAACATAATTTCGAATTAATCAGACACCGCGTTCGCGCGTTATAATAATAAACTACCATTCCTAGCGCAATGAGTACTACGACGCGCAATAATAACTTTCAAAATAACCGCGTTACGGAATTTTCTGACACACCAATACAGGGTGATACAGGAATAAATTCTTGCATCAGGGAACATAATTTCTGAATTTACTGTGACACCGCGTTTCCGCGCGTTATAATAATAAAACTACCATTCCTAGCGCAATGAGTACTACGACGCGCACACACAACTTTCAAAATAACCCGCGTTACGGAATTTTCTGACAATAAAGTTCTCAATACAGGGTGATACAGGAATAAATTCCCCTGCATCAGGAACATAATTTCGAATTAACTGTGACACCGCGTTCAAGGGCAAGAAAACCAATAATAAAAACTACAATTCCTAGCGCAACAGTATTACGACGCGCACACACAACTTTCAATATAACTTGCGTTACGGTCTTCTGGCAATAAAAGTTGAATACAGGTGATACAGAAATAAATTCTGCATCAGGGAATATAATTTCGAATTTACTGTGACACCGCGTTCGCGCGTTATAACAATAAAACTACTATTCCTAGCGCAATGAGTACTACGGCGCACACACACAACTTTCAATATAACTCGCGTTACGGAATTTTCTGGCAATAAATTTTATTACAGGGTGATACAGAACATATGATAAAGGGTTCCCGAGATACTTCCTGTTTTCCACCGCGTGTTTTGAAAAACGCGAAAAAATTGCCAATATTTTCGTTTCCTTCAATTTATATCCTATTACCCGCAAGTACAATTGACATGGCACCCTTAATTCGCGGGCTATTGCAACACGCAGGTATGAGGTAATAAAACATGTGACGTAATAATATAATTTAATTATAAACTTACCAATTCAGCGCTCATCGGATTGCGCGGGTACGGCAAGCACTGTAATTAAAAGAAAACATAAGTTAAAATAAAATCATTGCATACAATATAATAATATTATATTCACACATCGGAGAAAACAAACATTCTGTGCTGAGTATTGCAATGGTCAGATAAAAGTAACTTACTCAAGCACGAAGGGACGGAAAGCAACATCGCAGGAATATGTTGCCGATTTATCCAGCGACCGACAACGACACACAATAACCGACAATAAAACCGTAGCATTCTTGTAATTTGGAATATAAATATCAAACGAGAGCAAAAAAAACATTTATGGACATTAAACGCGCAAATAATTATTAACAGGTTACTATTGCCGCTAGTTGCAACTGGCAGAAACGCATCTTAACGACGAACCGGAGACCGACACGAAACTGGCTACGATAGCACGAACCCCGAAGCCAAACAAGCAACGACGCGGCAGTTCACGATAAGCGCTACTCGTATATGCCTGCGGCATGCGACCTTGTGCAGGTAAAAGCAATAGATGCGCAAAGCCGGTGCGTCAATGACACGCGACGGATTGCAATAGGCATAATACCTGCGATCTAACTAAACTGAATATGCTGCATGCGGGGTGAGGGGATTGCAACGACGACACTGAAATCTCATGCGCTGCATTCCGCGCGGCGACTTAGCGATAAGAAAGTGTGAATTGTGTTCAAAACAAACACAATTCTCGTGCCGAATATTCACGTTTGCTGATAAAAATAGAAATAAACAAAACAATTCTATTTTATGATTTTTCGTTCATGCTAGTGACATCTCTGAATGATGCAGATAGTAGTCCGGCAATTAAGATTATTAAAACTAATGAAATATTAAAAATTAATTTGTGAAATTCTAATTTCATATGATGAAAAATTGCCAGATTTTTTGCATCATTTTTTTTCTATAATTTTCGGTTGCAAATATCTTCTAAAAGAGATAGCGGCTAGCGGAATAAATATTACAAAAGATTGAAAAATTCTCTATTAGACAAGAACATAAAATAATTAAATATTGCGAGGTGAAAGGTCTAAAAATCAGACTGAAAGTGCTAAAAATTGAAATTTATCAATTCAGGACTAAAAGATAAGAATTAAAAATAATTAATATTCGTTCAATTGGGAATATATATAAGCGGTAAAAAGAGACTGATTGAAAATTATTAATTTATGTGATATTCTCTATAAGACAAAATATTGAAATACTACATGCGGTACCTCAGACAAGCAAACACGATCGCAACAATTCATGATAAGACTACCTGTTGCCCAAATGCGCAAAGCGCGTCGATGACACGCGACCTTATACGCGAATTGCAATAATAGATGCGCAAAGCCATATTGCGCGATGGCACGCGACCTTGTGTGCGACTTGCAATAGATACACAAAGCCGGTGCGTCGATGACACACGACGGATTGCAATAGGCACAATACCTGCGATCTAACTAAACTAGAATATGCGGCATGCGGGGTGAGGGGATTGTAACGACGATACTCTGAAATCTCATGCGCTGCATTCCGCGCGGCGACTAAGCGATAAGAAAGAGTGAATTGTGTTCAAAACAAACACAATTCTCGTGCCGAATATCCACGTTTGCTGATAAAAATAGAAATAAACAAAACAATTCTATTTTATGATTTTTAGTTCATGCTAGTGACATCTCGGAATGATGCAGATAGTGGTCCGGCAATTAAGATTATTAAAACTAATGAAATATTAAAATTTAATTTGTAAAATTCTAATTTCTTATGATGAAACATTGCCAGATTTTCTGCATCATTTTTGATATAATTTTCGGTTGCAAATATCTTCTAAACTAAAAGAGATATCGGCTAGTGGAATGACTACCTATTATAAAAGATTGGAAAATTCTCTAAGAACATAAAATAAATTTTGCGGGGTGAAAGGGCAAAAAACGTGACTGAAAGTGCTAAAAATCGAAATTTATTAATTCAGGACTATAAGATAAGAATTGAAAATAATAAAATTTCGTAGGGTTCAATTGGGAATATATATTCTATAAGCGGTAAAAAGGAACTGATTGAAAATTATTAATTTATGAGATATTCTCTATAAGACAAAGTATTGAAATATTACATATGGTACCTCAGCCAAGCAAACACGATCGCAACAATTCATGATAAGACTACCTGTTGCCCAAACGCGCATAGCGCGTCGATGACACGCGATCTAATGCGCGAATTGCAATAGGCAGAATACATGCGATCTATCCTAAACTAGAATATGCTGCATGCAGCAAGTTGATGCAGCGTGAAGACTCGGCGCGCGGGACACATGCGATAAAAATGTTGTTTATATCGAATCCCCGATAACAGCATTGTATACAAAACTATTGTCGTGGCCACGATTGTCAATAAATATAAAAATAAGCCATATTACTCGAATGAATGCTACAAATAGAAGTCCCGGACTTTTAAATTATGAAATTAATAACACAATAAAATTTAATATCCATTCTCTAATTGCAGGAAAACAGTAAAACCGGAAAACAGATACTATGAATGATGTAAAATTTACTTACCAGTGTATCGAACACCGCAAATCATATGCGAGTAGATACTGAAATAAACAAGAAACAAAATATTAGTTACACCATTTCAGATGATGTTGAAATTAGTTCCGGCGGAACCCAAAGTCTGCCATAAATATCGTCTTATTCATCATAATTATTTAAATAATAATATTTACCAGGTACAACAGTTGCCCATCGAATTCTGCTGAAGACACAAATGGCTCGCACAAGTCCAAAATATTATTTACAATCACACAACATGGCCGGCCGGCGTCCGACGGCAACCGATCCCGAATAAACGCGAAAATGTAATAAACACACAAAATAACGAGTCCCGGAGATTACACACGCGATAAATATTTAGCGAAGAACCACACACGACAATTAACACCAAATTCAATCAAATATAACGCGATACACCGAATTCACAACACGAGAAACGCGAATACTCATTTAAGTAATATTACTTATCGCACGAAGTTAGAATTGCGTGCCGGCTACACAACAACTGCACGCCGACTTTCACTCGCAGGAATATGTTTAGTTAAAACATGCATCGTTGCGCCATCTGAAGATTCTTTATTGTACCTCAAGAAACTACAAAGTGTTACAAAAAGTTTGGCGTGCATATGAGGCAGTGAGCGATTGCATATGAGTCAGTGAATTGTCACGCACTTAAATGGTCGTGTCCGTGTGTCACACGTACACAAAACTGCGCATGCACCACCCAATCTAAATGAATAGCAATTTTTACAAACAACTCAGAAACTTCAACGTAGATGCCGCTGCAATGCACTTTTCTGAAATAAATAACTTTAAAACATTTATGTAAATATTTACAATAAAATCCAATATTTGCATTATAAATTTAATGCAAATATAAAATAAAACGGATCTAAGTGCACAATTAAACCAGCTATAATAAAATTTGACACCTTAAATCTGAAAATGTTGAATTTTTCTACAAAAAATAACCATATACATATAAAACCAATTTATATTATCATTTCTATAATTATTTACACAATCTGGAATGAATATTGTACTCGTTTATACTTACAAATATATTTATGTACATTTTTGGCATCTCGTATAAAAAAATACTCCACTAGACGCTATCAACAGTCAAGTTCGTTCGATTACAAACCAAAATCGAAAGAAAATGCGTGGAAAACATGATGAAAACAGTGAACGAGGCACAAACACACAAAACGCACACAACACACGCAATAAATACATCTCAGTGGGGTGACGTGTGGAGGAAGGGACAAACAAAACGAGACTAAAACAAACAATATCACAAATATTAACAAAAACAAAACAAAACAAACACAAAATACAAAAAATATATAAATTTGCAATAAATAATATCAAAACATATGTACAACTACTTACAATAGACCATTCTTACTGTTTTTCCATGTTTCCACCAACATTTCCTTCGATATGGTTCGTTTTAACACATTTAAACAATTCCTAAGTTACCAGACTTGGTCTGCATCTTGCCTTCACCTTCCGAGAGGGCTTTAAATAACTCTTTACGGGCTTTTGACCCGACTATCCATATCAACGACGCACCCATTACCAACTAAAACATAAATATTAATAAAAATCACACAGAAATTTAAGTTTAGTGATAAAATACTTGTACTAATAAAAGAACATAAGCTCCTGTTGAAATACTCCTATTCTCTATGACATCCTGCATGGATCTCACTGTTGTCCCCACATAAACAGCCAACAACTGTGCTGGCAACAATCCAAAGAATGAAGCAATGTGATATATCTTCGTATTCACATTACTCAGCTAAAAATCAAGCAAAATATTAAATTTATCCTAAATTACAATAAAATATATCAAATTTACACTCACAGCAAATATTGTATTCTGTAACCCAAAAGGAATAGGTGTAAGTCTTGCACACAGAACAATTTTGAAACACAATGGGCCTGAGATGACTCTCATGATGGCTTTAGTAGTTTCATTCTCTCGGATGTGTGCAATTGAATGGTGATGTGACACCAACTTGAGAATGTTATGCGCAATACATAAACCAGTATTAGCTCCAATAATACTCAACATAAGTCCATTAAACATCCCAAAGAGGTAACCATCAGCCATCACTAAAATAATATACCCAACTGTGATGGGTAAGGAAACCAGTGTGAAGAGTATGATTATCGTAAGACTAATCACAGTGGAGTCCTGGTTTTCCAACCAGTAGAGAACACTGCGGATGTATGTTTTGCAGAGATAAACAGCGCAGACAACGAAGCTCAACAGGATGATTATTGTTAGCGTGTTGATTAAGGAGAGTCTGCAGAGTGCGTTGCGAAGGCGGACGCATGTTGCGCGTTTGGAGGCGGCTTCACTATTGCTGGCGGTGGTTTTATCTTCAACTTGTATGGAAATCTGCATGTTTTTACGTGTGGTTTATTTTATCACAGATTGGTTTTGATTGATTCTGGGAGCGTTGGGCGTTTACCAGCGCGAGCGCGATAATGATTAACGGCATGTATTTAACTGTTTGTTTGTTTGGTTCGTGCCGCGAGGAAATGATTAGCGTTCAGCGTACGGAGTCATACTGAATAAACAGCGAGTCAGGAGTCAGCTGTGTGATAAAATAAAAGTCAATGTGAAGGCTAACAGGATGTAAGTGAATGGTGAGCGATTACAGCGCCATGATGCGGCAAATTTACACTCAAAACAAACCAAAAATTTTTTGAATTTTTTGATTTTTAGAGTCATTCTAAGCTAAATTTTAAGAATAAAAACATCCTAGATGATTAAACAACTTCTTTTGAGTCTAATCCTAAAGAAAACATTAAAATCGCTTGTATAATGCCCGACTTATGACGTTTTTGCTATCGCATGATAATAAAACCCACACAAAATAAAACATATAAATATTGTATGTAATAAAACATAACAAAGGTAAAATAAAATCAAATTAAACGGTCGATTTTGTTTCATTTCAGCTTGACAACGAAATAATCTTACCTTGTACGGCTCCATCTTTAAACTGTTACGTTTTTTTACTCTTGTATCTTTAAAACATGCAATTTTCTTTAATATTTTATATGATTAACTCTTCTCTTCATTATTTTCATTATTTATCGCAAAGCGCAGCCACGCCTGGTAGGACTTTGCCTTCTAGAAGTTCCAAAGACGCACCACCGCCAGTGGAAACATGTGAGACTTTATCTTCTGTGCCCCATTTCGCAGCGCAGGTGGCTGTATCACCACCGCCAATGATGGTGACTGCTCCACGAGTTGTAGCCTCCACGACGCCGTCCATCAGACATTTTGTGCCTTGGGCAAAGTTTTCAAACTCAAAGACACCAGCAGGTCTATAAATATAATAAAATTTAATAAAATAATGAAATATAGTAATAAAAGTGTTTACCCATTCCAAACAATGACTTTAGCCCTGTTAATCGGCTCGAGGAACAGTTGCCTAGTCTTGGGCCCAATGTCCAAACCCATGGTACCATCCGGAATGCCACTATCAACATCAGCAGCGCCTACTTTGGCATTAGCGTCGAATTTATCAGCGGTGACAAAATCCACAGGCAGATGAATCTTCACCTTCTTAGCCTCAGCTTTCTCAAGTAACTGGCAGACAATTTCAGCGCCTTTCGGGTCAAATAACGAATCACCAATCTAAACAATATAAACACACATGAAAATCAAGTTATCCTTAAAACACTGACATTGATTTAGATATTTGGCACGTGTTATTAGAAAAAAAACGTCAAAATTTATTTGCAAAATCGAGCACAGAAAAACCTACCACGAAATATTCCAAAACACCATATACACTGAATATTAAATAATTTACTCAATACCAAACACAAAGTTCTCGAATGAAATGATCCAAAGTGAATAAAACCAAAGAGAAAAATGTCTGCGGAACCAGAACAACGGCGTAACAACTCCGCCGAAAGCAATCACAATCATCACACACAAAATACAACAAAAGTGAATGAAGAAGGTGATGCACCGCAAAATGTCGTCGTTTCCAAGAAAGATGTTGTCTCAATACAACAAGAGAATGAAACACCTTTCAATAAACAACGCTTGGGGGCGTATAAACACTTTGCACGCACTGCAAACCGCACACTGACCACATTCACCAACGAAATGAGTGAAATCCTAAGACAAAGCATTGAAAGATTGGATACAATCAGCATGAAAGTGCGTGGATGTGTGTATGAAATCGAACGACAACGAGTTGCAATGCCGCAGTTGCCTGGTATTGTCGAAATCAACGAAAACGAGAATGCCATTGCAGAACCACGTCCAGATGAGAACTATTGGGATAAACAGGAAGAAGAACCAGCAGCCATGACGGTAAACACGTGTTTAATTAGTGATATCAATGATATCGCTGCCAAATGCACGAAGACACCTTCAAATGAACGAATTGCGATTGTCACGATTGAGAATGAAGACAAAAACAAACAAAACACATTATTACCTGATGTAAAAGAGGAGGAAGTAAAAGAGTTAACACAAGATGATAAAGTTGATGTAAATTTACCAAAAAACACTAAAAAATGGGCAAAAACAAACCAAAAACTTACAAAAACATCATCAAGGACAACTTCGAAAAGAAACACAGATGCTACTTCAAGGTAAATATAAAAATCAAATAAAATTTAAACAAAAAAAACTAAATATTAAATAATTTAGCAGTAATAACGATGAAAAGGAAGTGATGCATCGTATAAATAAACAACATAAACGCCTAAAACGACGTGTGCATACAACAAAATCAAACGCATCCAAAGATGGATCAACAATGTCTCCATCACCATCCCCACGTGAAACCAATAAACAATCAAAGAATCTCCAATCAAAACGTCGAGTTGTACGCAAATGTGACGCAGCCACCGCTGTGAAATCAGTATCACCACTACAAAAACGCGCAAAACAAACGAAAAAAGTCAATGAATCCTTCACAAAAGAAAACTTTAGTGATGCAGCGTGGTTTGGACCCAGTAATGTATCCCCAACATCACCAGGTGCTAAATCACTAAAATCAAGTAAAAGTAAAAGTAAAAATATGCGTCAAGCACAATCAAAAGCATCAACAACTGCATCAGGTTTAAGAATGGAGAATAAAAACACAAAATTATCGCGAAAATTCGCAAGTTCCAATTTTCATGAAGTGCAACAAACGACAAAAGTTGAAAGTTACACTGGTGGGCACGTTGTAAGACTTACCAGTGATAGTAAACAGGATTGGAGTGTGATAATGCACACACAAAAATCACCTACAAGATATGAGTTAAGGCAAAGTTCACCACTGCCAGCGAATAACATCCTGGATGAAATTACACTCAAAGATTTAGAACCGTTGAAAGCTGAATATCCACGACGTGATCATTTAGTTGGTAGTAATCAACGCCTGGAAGACACATTACTCTATAAACTAGTAAATGGTAATCCTACTTCGATAGAAACCCTGGTGAATGTCACCAGTAGCATCGTCAGAGCCTTCGAGGATAAAGACAAAGAGAAACGTGTGCCGTCCGCTGCACAATTTGTCACATCGCCGAAAACCATGTATAATATGATGCCCGGGGCAGCACCGCTGTATGTCTCACAACTTACAACTAAAACACCTAAAGTAGTACCCAATACACCAGCACCAGTGAAGAATCAAGCGAAAGGTGATGGTTCCACACGTGCAGGAATCTATCGCAGTCAAGGGGAACAACGTGGACATCCACGGAAACCTCCAAGTGCAAAAGAAGCCATCTTAGCACATTCCAAACGCATAGCGATTAAACTCTCAGAGATAAAACCGGCGAAACAAGAGCAGCAGTTTTATAAACAAGCGAGTACCAAAGATGCAAGGAGAAGATTGAAGAAATATATTGCGGATCCGAATAAAACCCATCAGAAGTACATGGTTATGATGGTACATACTGTGGTATATGATAATTATAAATACCAATCCGAAAATGGTGGATTTGAGGTTAAAACTCACCAGGAAAAAAGTCCAGAAGATATTTTATCTAAATATATCTATCTAGATATTGATGATTGTTCAAGATGTAAATATAAACCTGTGAGGGAGTATACAGTGGCGATTATGACTACTCCAAGTAATATACAGAATAAAAAGAGTGGAGCTAATCAGTTGAGGCCAACAAATGATAGGGAGTCTGAGTTAAGAGTAAACCGGTCTTTAGGTTATGGTGGTAGTGGTGGGGGGGGTAATACTCATCAGAGACGTGGTGTTACACCGACAATGTCCACTCCTACAACGCCTAAACAAAATATGGGTGAAACAACGTGGAAGAATGTGATTCGGACTTGTTACCAGCCGCCATTAGCGCCGCAATTAAAACGCGTGCAAATGGATGGGACACAAGTAGGAAATAAAGTGATAGATCCTTTGGAGGTTAAGAGTATCATCTCAAGAATGGAATTGGAGTTGAAACAAGTCGTAGAGGATCCTAAAGTAAGGTTAAATTAATATTTTATGTAGAATTAGTAAGATTATGTATCAGGTGCGCTAAATGACTCTTTAATCATGCGCAGACGTAAGTTTCACCCTGTGATTAAAGTACTTTAGTCACGACTGTTATTAATGTGTCTAAAAACCGTGAAAAAAGTAATTTTGTTATTGTTTTAGATTGAAAATAAAGAAATGGTTATCAAAGGATTGCAAGAACAAATGGAATGGATTTTATCGACGCTAGAAGGTCAAACAACAGCGATAAAAAAGCGCAGAGAACTGAATCAAAAGAATTCAAAGTTATCGAATCAAAACAAAAAACCTACCGAAAAATCCCTCCGTGAACCAATTTTAAAACCCGTAGATGTTTCCAACTCTAAACCATCAAAACTTACTCTCACTATACCTCCAATTTTAATCGAAAAAGAACAACCTTCCCTAAACATCCTCGGTAGTGAATTAAAAAAGACCCAAGCAACAACAACAATCCTACCACCGCCATTACCAAGTGAATGTGACCGTGAATGTCAAGCGTCTGCAGTTTCAGATGAAATGCAAGCGCAGTTGATGTGCAAATGGCAAGCACTGGAACATCCCTCAGGAGAATCCCTAGAAATCGCCAGTCTTAAAGACCTTAGTGTACCATCCACACATTCAGGAGAAGTTACAACACCTGTAGTTGTATTGGAACCGAAAAAGGTGATAAGTCGACCGGAAACACGCCGTGAAGGCAGAACATACTTAGGATGTACTAAAAAAAGTAATTCAACACTTGGCAGCAGCCAGGAAAGATTCCAAACTGTGCATGAAGGATCCCTGAATAGAGATGGCAGGAAAAGTTTTTCGAATACAGAGAAAATGATGGGTGAAATACTTGCAAAGATACAATTACAAGAAAATGAAGATAAAAACGAAGATGATGTTGATGTTGCAAGTGTGTATAATTCATGTGCAGAATCTGGGATAGATAATCTAGAACCTCCTGTCAAAGAAAATATACAATCAAAACTAACACCTGAAGAAATAATTCAATACCAAGAAAACATTAAACTCTTAGAATCCCAGCTGGGTGAAGAAACACAGCGTTTTGTCGATGAAATGGACGAAGTTATTAAACAAATCGAGAGTCAAACAAACGCGCCGGGTGTTTCTTCAAATGATATACTCACACCTTTCATGGATGCAGTTAAAGAATATCAAAATGAAGAAGAATTATACACAACAGAACCGCTGTTATCCATAGAATACGCCCGAAGTGTTGAGTGTGTTTTGGAAACACATTCAGGCGTAAAACACGTTGCAACAACAACCAATTCAATCCAAATCAACAAGATGGATCAACAATGTCTCCATCACCATCCCCACGTGAAACCAATAAACAATCAAAGAATCTTCAATCAAAACGTCGAGTTGTACGCAAATGTGACGCAGCCACCGCTGTGAAATCAGTATCACCTCTACAAAAACGCGCAAAACAAACGAAAAAAGTCAATGAATCCTTCACAAAAGAAAACTTTAGTGATGCAGCGTGGTTTGGACCAAGTAATGTATCTCCAACATCACCAGGTGCTAAATCACTAAGATCTAGTAAAAGTAAAAGTAAAAATATGCGTCAAGCACAATCAAAAGCATCCACAACTGCATCCGGATTAAGAATGGAGAATAAAAATACAAAATTATCGCGAAAATTCGCAAGTTCCAATTTTCATGAAGTGCAACAAACGACAAAAGTGGAAAGTTACACTGGTGGGCACGTTGTAAGACTTACCAGTGATAGTAAACAGGATTGGAGTGTGATAATGCACACACAAAAATCACCTACACGATATGAATTGCGTCAAAGTTCACCACTGCCAGCGAATAACATCCTGGATGAAATCACACTCAAAGATTTAGAACCGTTGAAAGCTGAATATCCACGACGTGATCATCTAGTCGGTAGTAATCAACGCCTGGAAGACACATTACTCTATAAACTAGTAAATGGTAATCCTACATCAATAGAAACCCTGGTGAATGTCACCAGTAGCATCGTCAGAGCCTTCGAGGATAAAGACAAAGAGAAACGTGTGCCGTCCGCTGCACAATTTGTCACATCGCCGAAAACCATGTATAATATGATGCCGGGTGCAGCACCGCTGTATGTCTCACAACTTACAACTAAAACACCTAAAGTAGTACCCAATACACCAGCACCAGTGAAAAATCAAGCAAAAGGTGATGGTTCTACACGTGCAGGAATCTATCGCAGTCAGGGAGAACAACGTGGACATCCAAGGAAACCTCCAAGTGCAAAGGAAGCTATTTTAGCGCATTCGAAACGCATAGCGATTAAACTCTCAGAGATAAAACCAGCGAAACAAGAGCAGCAGTTTTATAAACAAGCGAGTACCAAGGATGCAAGGCGAAGATTGAAGAAATATATTGCGGATCCGAATAAAACCCATCAGAAGTACATGGTTATGATGGTACATACTGTGGTTTATGATAATTATAAATTCCAACCAGAAAATGGTGGATTTGAGGTTAAAAGTCACCAGGAAAAGAGTCCAGAGGATATTTTATCTAAATATATCTATCTTGATATTGATGATGGTTCAAGATGTAAATATAAACCTGTGAGGGAGTATACAGTGGCGATTATGACTACTCCAAGTAATATACAGAATAAAAAGAGTGGAACTAATCAGTTGAGACCAACAAATGATAGGGAGTCAGATTTACGAGTAAATCGATCTTTAGGTTATGGTGGTGGTAGTGGTGGGGGTAATACTCATCAGAGACGTGGTGTTACACCGACAATGTCTACACCTACAACACCTAAACAAAATATGGGTGAAACAACTTGGAAGAATGTGATTCGGACTTGTTACCAGCCGCCATTGGCGCCGCAATCAAAACGCGTGCAAATGGATGGGACACAAGTTGGGAATAAGGTGATTGATCCTTTGGAGGTTAAGAGTATCATCTCAAGGATGGAATTGGAGTTGAAACAAGTTGTAGAGGATCCTAAAGTAAGGTTAAATTAATTTTTTTATAGAAACAGTAGAATTAAGTGTTAAATGAGCTAAATGACACTTTAATCATGCGCGGACGCAAGTTTCACCCTGTAACTAAAGTATTTTAGTCACGACCATGATTAAAGTGTCACTTTCCATAGAAAAGGAAGGAAAATGTTAATTTTTTATTGTTTTAGATTGAAAATAAAGAAATGGTAATCAAAGGATTACAAGAACAAATGGAATGGATTTTATCCACGCTGGAAGGCCAAACAACAGCAATAAAAAAGCGCAGGGAATTGAATCAAAAGAATTCAAAACTATCAAATCAAAACAAAAAACCTATCGAAAAATCCCTCCGTGAACCAATTTTAAAACCCGTAGAAGTTTCCAACTCTAAACCATCAAAACTTACTCTTACTTTACCTCCAGTTTTAATAGAAAAAGAAAAAGAACAACCTTCACTAAATATCCTCGGTAGTGAATTAAAAAAGACCCAAGCAACAACAACAATCCTACCACCGCCATTACCAAGTGAATGTGACCGGGAATGTCAAGCATCCGCAGTTTCCGATGAAATGCAAGCGCAGTTGATGTGCAAATGGCAAGCATTGGAACATCCCTCAGGAGAATCTTTAGAAATCGCCAGTCTTAAAGACCTTAGTGTACCATCCACACATTCAGGAGAAGTTACAACACCTGTAGTTGTATTAGAACCGAAAAAGGTGATAAGTCGACCGGAAACACGCCGTGAAGGAAGAGCATACTTAGGAAATACTAAAAAGAGTAATTCTACACTTGGCAGCAGTCAAGAAAGATTCCAAACTGTGCATGAAGGATCCCTCAATAGAGATGGCAGGAAAAGCTTTTCGAATACAGAGAAAATGATGGGTGAAATACTTGCAAAGATACAATTACAAGAAAATGAAGATAAAAACGAAGATGATGTTGATGTTGCAAGTGTGTATAATTCATGCGCAGAATCTGGAATAGATAATCTAGAACCACCAGTAAAAGAAAATATACAATCAAAACTAACACCTGAAGAAATAATCCAATACCAAGAAAACATCAAACTATTAGAATCACAGCTGGGTGAAGAAACACAGCGTTTTGTCGATGAAATGGACGAAGTTATCAAACAAATCGAGAGCCAAACAAACGCGCCGGGCGTTTCATCAAATGATATACTCACACCTTTCATGGATGCAGTTAAAGAATATCAAAATGAAGAAGAATTATACACAACAGAACCGCTGTTATCCATAGAATACGCCCGAGGTGTTGAGTGTGTTTTGGAAACACATTCAGGCGTAAAACACGTTGCAACAACAACCAATTCAATACAAATCAACGAACCGATCAAAATCCAAATAATACCAGTGAGTGAAAAACAATCAGAGCTGGATATTGAGGTTATGGACCAAGCAACTGATTCACATCCCAAACCGATATTACCTATGACTTCCAAAGAGATTTCATTCACGTTGAGTCATGAAATGCGGAAGAATATTAAAACTATCAATGATAATAAGATAAAGTTGAAGAATAGTCCAAGAGATTATGATTTACAGTTGCCTAAAGCTAAGGATTCACCGATGATACAAGATATACGCCGGTCATTGTTCAAAATGAACACTGAATCAAGAATATCATCGCTACAGAGTAAACATTGGCATCAAAAACATTCTGAGATGTCTGATAAGTCCACAACAACTGTATCCATGACGAATTTACAAGATCTACAAGATTTCCAAGAACATACCAATAAAATAGGTCCGCGTAAAAGTAAATCTGAAATAACTTTGATAAAACAAACGATTTCACCCGGTTCAAGCCTCAAACGCACTGTGGAATTAGTCGAGAGTGCAATCAGTGCTAAAATGAAGAAGTTCTTCAATGAGTCTGGTTTATCAGCGGTGAGTGACAGTGTTGATTCGATTGTGTCCGCTGCACTAGCCGCAACACTCACAAGACAACAAAAAGAAAATCTTGAGGAAGAAAATGGCGGCGGTGAATGTAAACCGCGTGATTTCGGTCGATTATTGACGTTTGTCTACAGCGTCATGTTCACGATTATGTGTCTAGGGTTGAATTGGTGTCCTACGTGCATTTCGTCTTGAACAAAACTGAACTTGACTTGACAAGAGTGGAAATAATGTTTGTGAAATTTTCCAATTTGCCAATGATAAATTAAATAAATTAACCAAAGTGATATTCAAATTGAAATTCAAATTGAAATTAAAACGTGCACTTACCTTCATTCCTTTGGATTGTTTTAGGAAGGTGTAGGACATGCCGCCGCCAATGATCATCTCGTCTACTTTATCGAGGAGATTCTCGATGAGTTGGATCTTGTCAGCGACTTTAGCGCCGCCTAGGATGGCTAAAAATGGCCGCTGCGGGTTGTCCATTGCTTTCGCAAAGTAGTCGAGTTCTTTTTTCAGGAGGAATCCAGCAGCACGCTCTTCAAAACCATCGCCTGTGATTTAAAAAACATAAATTAAATACTTAAATATATCAATTTAAGGTTATGTACTGACCCATCATACTGGAATGTGCCCTGTGAGCAGTACCAAAAGCGTCGTTAATGTAGACATCCCCCAATGCACGCAAACTTTGCCTGAATTGCTTAACTTTATCAGGATCAGCCTTTATTTTCTCATTGTTTGCACCAACGCCTTTGCCGGTTTCCTCTACGTGAAAACGCAAATTTTCCAAAAGGAAAATGGAGCCTGGTTTGGGATCTTTACAAGCGCTCTCCACTTCCGGTCCGACGCAATCCGGTAAAAACTGCACATCCCTAAATAATAAATATAAATCAATATAAAGTTTAAAAATAATATTTTTTAAATAAAATGAATGTTAATGGATAATTTTGCGGGAAAACGCGTTTAAAGTTCGATACTTTAGTGTGATTATCGCTAAAGTCAGCGGCGTGTCAGCGGGTCACAGCGTGCGTACAAAGTGCGCCAGGTTAAAAGGTTAAACAACAAAGAAAATACAAAGAATATACCAAAACCAAAGCAAAAATTACATCAATAAACAACCAAATCACCAGTATTTTACTGTTTTGTACTTACTTTTGAATTACTACCTTTGTTTTTTTGAATAAAAATGAAATTTTCGATTATTTTTCTGTATAATGTGAGTGGCAAGCACAGTGAGAAAGGACAAAAGCACACAAACCTCTTCTTATACCTCTCTAACAACTTTCCCAGCTCCACAGCAACAGGTTCCATGGTGTACTGCATGTTTCGCTGTCCATCAGGCCTTCCCAGATGGGACATCAGCACAAGTGACTTTGCATCATTTGATAGGACATGTTTAATACTCTCTAAAGCTTTGACGATGCGTTGGTTATTGGTGATTTTACCGTCTTTCATCGGCACGTTGAAATCCACCCTGTTTTTGATACCAACAAATTAATTTTTGATAGAAATTTATAAACAATTAAATAAATACCTCATTAAAACGCGTTTGCCTGCGATTTTGACCATGTCGATGGTCATCTTATTGAACGCCATGGTGAAGAGTTAGTTTTTTTGGAGTTTATTAACAAGAATTTTGATAATTTCGACCTTTTCGAGCCGAGGACGAGTTAAATTTGATTGCAATTTGTTTGATTTGTCCGTAGAGATCACTGGAAGGTTAAAAGTTAAAGTTACTAAGTTGTTACAAAACTAAAGACAAATTAACAGAAAAACACTAGAAACAAACACGATTTGAATGTTTAAATAAACACAACGCGTTATAAACTTATAAAACTAAAGAAAAACGTGTTTCTGAAGAGTTTCAAAGAGTTTTGAAAGAATTTAGTGGCAACCAGATTTGAAAACAGTTAAATCCCAATCTGGTGACCAGCACAAGTGACTTTGCATCATTTGATAGGACATGTTTAATACTCTCTAAAGCTTTAACGATGCGTTGGTTATTGGTGATTTTACCGTCTTTCATCGGCACGTTGAAATCCACCCTGTTTTTGATACCAACAAATTAATTTTGATAGAAATTTATAAACAATTAAATAAATACCTCATTAAAACGCGTTTGCCTGCGATTTTGACCATGTCAATGGTCATCTTATTGAACGCCATGGTGAAGAGTTAGTTTTTTGGAGTTTAACAAGAATTTAGATAATTTCGACCTTTTCGAGCCGAGGACGAGTTGAATTTGATTGCAATTTGTTTGATTTGTCCGTAGAGATCACTGGAAGGTTAAAAGTTAAAGTTACTAAGTTGTTACAAAACAAAAGACAAATTAACAGAAAAGCAGTAGAAACAAACACGATTTGAATGTTTAAATAAACACAACGCGGTAAAAACTTATAATAATAAAGAAAAACGTGTTTCTGGAAAGTTTCAAAGAGTTTTGAAAGAATTTAGTGGCAACCAGATTTGAAAACAGTTAAATCCCAATCTGGTGACAAAACAAAATCCACTAGAACTAAAATTTTGAATAAATCAAAATACACTATGAACTATGAATGAAATAAAATATCAAATTGGTTTACAAACAGATGAAAAACTCGCAAATTATTATAGAAACACGTTCTCTTGTTTCGGTTCATTTCGCATGTACAAAACACATTAAATGTGCGACAATAACAAGCGCGAAACTTTGGTAATAAAATTCGCATCGCGCCGCATCGTTTCAAAATGCATATTACACAAATAAAACTAATCAGCTGCAACAGCCCGCGCAGTAGACACCACCATTTGACCACGTAAATATACAAACACAAATAGTCAACAATATAATTTCAAGCAAACAACCGCCCAATGTTAATTATAATTTACGCCGGTCAAAACGCAGCCCATTTTAGAGCAGAGCTGCCATCTTGTCGTCATTGGTCCGCAAAGTCGTATGTAATCGAAGAAACACTTTGTGGCCCTTAATATACCCAAATATTGATGCATCACGTTTACCTAATAAATAAATAAACATTATAAAGAGTTGCAAATCAAGGTTATGTACAAAAACTAACCTATAACTAATATTTTGACACACATAATTAAACTATGCAGCATTGCTCCGGATTGCCAGCCTGATCAAAAGGTACCGTAGGCCCAGCGTCAGCGACAATATCAGTTGGTGGTTGGCCATGATCCTGCAGTGTTTGCATGAGGGCCAACACCTTGTCAAAGCGTTCTTTCTTCACCTCAGCGGAATCCTCATCTTTTTCACCCTCCAACTCTTCGCAGACTTTCTGCATGAGCTCCTGTTGCTTAATATACCGTTCTTTATCCTCTGCGGATAACGTAGCTTCGTTATTCTTCAACCAATCAGGATATTTGCTTAAGATATCCTTTAGACTAGGATACAGCACTTCTTTACTGAGCAGACTCTGCATCATGCCTTGCATGAACGGTAAAACGCGTTTTGTTCACCCTGTCCGCCCAAATTCCCAAACATATTCATAATATCCGCTTCGTTGAACGGATTCTGCAGATTTTCCGCGCCCTGAGATAAACCCTGAATTGTCTGTGAAATGGTTGAGGCGAATTCATTGCTCTGTGGGTTTTCGATGCCTGGATTCGTGAGCGCCGCCTGTGCGGCTTCCGCCATGCGCTGGAAACTCGCCTGGACTTGCTCCGGCGTTAATGCGTCCTCGCCCGCATCGCCGCCGGTGCCGCTCAGGAGTGCAGCGATGTTTGATTCAAACTGTTGCGCTGCCTGTCGGATGAAATCATCCGACCATTCTTCGCCTTCGCCGGTAACGGGCACAACGGCATCTTCTTTTTTGGTGTCGTTTGTGTCGGGTTTCGGTGCGTCCCCGGATGCGGTGGAGAAATCGGCCAATGTGCCTTGAAAATAAAAATAAAATTAAAAATTACATAACAGTTTCATTGCGAGATTTTTTTATGACGAATATTAAAATAATCAATTGAAATTACTGCTGAGTAAATCGGCTAGGTCGCCGTCAGTGGTGTCTTTCACTTCCTTCTCACTCATTCTGAATTTAAGGGCGCTCAAAGTTACAATTTACAGATATTAAAATAAATAATTTTCGAGCGGAACTGCGACGAATTTGACGTGAAACTTTTAGGTTATGTCGTGGTCACTCAACTTATAAAGCCTGTCACACACTGTGATATTGTTCAAGGCTTCAATCATCCATCAATACAATAGCCATAAGAATAACATTGTTACATGTACAAACAAAATGATTGAACGCGTGTGATACAACTTTAAACGTCAAATATACGAAACAAGACGTAAATAAACGAAATGAATGACGTTTTTCAGCGAAAATTTATAACATTCAAGCTTTAAATACCTACAAATTGTATTTATTAGCCATCCGTTATCATTATCAGTGTGTATAAGTACGAAACAACGTCGATTACATAGTTTCAACAGCGAATATTGTTCATGTTCATGTGTCCACATATAATTTTACTTTTACTTTACTGCTTTTGTTTACGTTTAAAATATTTGGTTATTTAGGGCATTTAGATCATTTTTACGTCTATTATATGGATATAAATTGGTCCTGGAGAATGTGTGGTGGTTTTTCCGCTTAAATTTCGCCACAAAACTTTAACCATCAACTATGCAGTACATAAACAAGCGCGCATTGTTCTAAAATTATCCCTAAAACAATTCGTGTCTAAAATTGGCTAAACTAAAATTATGACTAGACTCGTTCCACTTGTTTCTGACTAGAAGAGAAAAGGAACTTTGCTTCCATTCGCTTACATTACAGCATCAAAATACCCGTAAAACTTCAACATAACCTCAAAACTGAGCCGTTAACGCATGAAAATATTGCACATGTTGAGATTCTTAATAATACTTCAGCAAAATGTAAATTAGGCCATGAATATTTGGTTCAAAACGCAAAATTACCTCGTTGGGAAGACATTGGGGCATTTTGTAATGATATCAATGGATGGGGTGGATGTGATACGTTGCGTGTGTGAGAGAAAAAAGATTCTCCGCCGCTTAGGCCGGCCATCATCTGCTTGGCGAAGCGATTTTATAAATGGCGTCGTATACAACTTCCTGCTCCAGCTTCATCTTGCGCTTCATCTCGTTGTTGTACGGATCGAAATTCAGCACGCGTTTCTTCCGACGATAAATACCTTCCTGACGTGATATGGCGCACTCAAACTGCTTCTTATCAATGGGGAATTCAAGGAAATCTAAAATAGTCCGTAGAGTGTGTTCTGGGTCTTCCACCAGCTGTTCGTAGAAGATGACGTGCGTCGGCCCGCTGAAGTTCTTCAACCAATCCATGTTGGTTTTCTTCCATGCGGCGAGTTTATTCGTCACGAATTGCTGCCAATCTAAATATTAATATTGACAATCATATTGATGTATTTATTATGAGAGGTTATAATATATAAATATTCAGAACATACATTTACCCTTGGTGCGTCTATACCTATCCGGCGACGCAAAACCAACATGGCCGCCGGATTGCCGATTGAATTCCGCTTGAATGGCAGCAGATGGCGCGCGTACAAGCAAAACAGCTTTCTTGAACGGCCGGCGTGCAATCGGGCCCCATTCGTGTGTTTTTACCACCAATACAGAGCCATTGGAGACACTCTCAGCCGGAAAACCATTTTTCATCAAACCGTAATCTTTGTAAACGCTACCGGTTAGAACACCTGCAAAAACAATTTATTATTCACAAAACAAAAAAAACAAACAAATTATTTAAATATACAGGGTGTTGATTAAATTACCTGTGGCTTGTTGCAGTAAATACCTCAACCACGTGTTGCCACTGCCCGGAAACGACGCCAACGCCACCGACTCCTCACTCGGTGGTTGCATATACTTCAATTCCGAACACCATTGAATGCGATTCCTGCGGAATGCCCCGCCGCCCACGCGTTTATTCACCGTCTGATCAAACGGCAGCCGATTGTACATGAGTATTTTCTGCTCCAGCCCACGGCCGATTTTCGGACCCTCATGATGCCTCGCCGCCCCTGGCGTGCCAGTGATGCCCACACCGCCGGTAGTGAGGCGGAACGCAGGTTCATGCAGCGTCAGCGCCGAGAGGAACAGCACCCCGGCGAGATAGAGCGCCGCCAGCACGCCGAGCAGCCAGAAGCGCGGACGCGTCAGCTGCATTGAGGCCCGCCAACGCCGCCTCCGCCAGCCGGCATTCTTCTACGCGTACATTTATACCCTTAACACATTCTTAAATCATAATATTTTATTATTTCACTGTGATATTATGATAAAAACAAAAGTTTTTGTGTTTAATTATTAATTGTACTCACGTGGTGCGTGTTTCCTCTGCAAACTTTGCAGGATTGGAGGAGAAGTGGAAAAGTATTCAAAACTTATGATTTTTCATGTTTATTGTGATATTTTGTGGGTTTTTCCAGGGAGGAACGCAGGATTAAGCTCGAGGCGTAGCGTGTAAATGTAGGATGGCGTGTTTGACGTCTGGGAGAGCGCCCAGCAGGCGGGCAGGCGTCGCGACGCATGGCACATTGCGTCCCAGGCACATTTACTCCCACCAGAGCGCGCACATGCGTGTAGCCTACCTAGAAACACACAAAAAACAAGTCAAACAAAAGAAACTCAGCAGGAATTTTACAAAATCACTATTTTTACCCATAAATTAATGAAGATATCAATAAAATCACTAATAATTATTCACAAATGCAATAATTAATGATTTTCTAAACGATTAAACAAGCATATGTTGTGTATATACTGTGTATGTTATGCGGTTATGTCCACCGTATGCGACAATCAGCTGTTGTTGTTGGCGAACCGCTGTGCATTTCGTGCGTGCGTTCGCTGGCGATTCGCGATAATGTTGACCTAGATAAATGTCAAGCGCAGACAACGCGTGTGTTCATTCGCACATCGCATCTCTGGTCAACACAACGTGATAAACGTGTTCAAACCTCCAACACTGTCGTGCACATGTACATATGTGTACATTCCTGCGATTAGCTGCTTAATCATCACCCACCACACGCGTAATTGTTTTGTTTTGTTTGTTTGTGCTGTGCGAGAGTAACGCCCCCACGTGGTCAAGCTGGAGCCGGAAACGGCGACATCCCGGGAGGCGGGGCAACCGCGCCGCAAGAAGATGGCCGTCCTGCCGCCGGACCCGCTCTTCCGCTTCAAATCCGATTATGGACATTTACACACGCTGTGTTTTATGGAACCTGAGTGTGATGCTGAAGATAAAGATGAGATTGATAGTAAACTACAGAAGTTATCTGTGATTGACGGTGCGGTGGCAGAGCAACCTAAAAAGACGTTGTTATTAGCAGCAGGAGAGAATGGAATGGTGTATTTTTTTGATCTAGAGGTAAGATTAATAAAAATTAATAGAGAAAAAGATTGTCAGAAGTGGGATTCGAACCCACGCCCACAGAAGTGGACTGCGACCTGAACGCAGCGCCTTAGACCACTCGGCCATCCTGACCATACACCCTACCGCCATCTTGTTTTCTAATCTCCGTGTCTTATTATTTCCAGAGTAACAGACTGATTTATAAACAAGGAATGGGTGTTTCCATCCAGGCTGTGCACACTTATCAAGAGGCAGTGATAATCCAGGAAAAACAAGGCCTAGTCTCAATCTTCAAACGCTCAAGTGACTTAACCTACGAGAAGACAACAACGCTGCCATGCGCTTCCGGTTTCTGCAAAACCCTTCGCTCTAATCACAAACTTATCATACCGCAGGAAAACGCCGCCGTTGACATATACGACCTCAAAACTCACTCACAACTTCAACGTTTACAAATCCAATCATCGCATGGATGTAAAGACATCCCGACATGTCTGCACGACGCAATAAACCCTCAACAATTAGGACAATTAATGTGTTTGGAGGTAGGCATGCTTTTCACACGCACATCACAACTGCACCAAGACTACGAAGAGTTAATATTCGCCGGGTTTGAAACCGGCGATGTATTTCTCTGGAATCTCACCTCGGGTGTTCTCGTCGCACACGCGAAATTCAACGAATGTATCATTTCAATCACCTATGATTCCATTGCGGGTAAAGGTGTGGTAGGTGGCGCTGGTGGAGTATTGCAAGTCTTCGGCGTGGAGAGAAGCACGATGACTATGAAACCGCTGTGTGAATTGACGCTGACCAATGAGGGTTGTCAGGTGGTACGCGTGCGTAAAGACAGGAAGATATTGGTGTGTGGTGGATTCGACGGACGCACACGAATCTACTCGTGGAAGACTCTGAGGTTACTCGCTGCGCTCACTGAGAACCACGCATGCGTGACGGATATTCAGTTCTCTGAACAAGTGGTGCCGCAATGGGGGAGTCAAATCATGGCGGTGAGTGGCGCGGATGGTATTATCACCATTTGGAATTTGTATAAGTAACAAATTGACGAATTTTTAAATAAATTGACTGCCGAATTAAGCGTTTTACCTTTTATTGTGTTAGCATTCAGCATATTTCCCTCTCACGATGACTTTGACCTTGGTTGTGACCTTGATCTTGACAGTCTGCTATCTTCTCGTTGATTAATTCTATATTATCCAAACCTTTCGCGCGGTCACCAAGCGAATCCTCAATCATCTTACAGCTGATTTTCCAGAGTTTCACAGCCATGACATCGGATTGTCCCGATTGTGATTCTTGACACCGGTAACAATTATTAAAATACACACCGGTTGTGCCTTGTAGTTCGACTGCGGTTGCGCAGAATACAGTTGTACTCGCTGCTTGTTGCATGCTTTTAGTGAAAGGCCGCACCAGGAAGAATGCAATGCGGTACAACCACCAATTCCGTGCGAGTCCAGACGATACCATGTTGCCTGGATGCAGTGAAAACACAGATATACCTTTATCTTGTAGATTTTTCGCGAGTTGACGCGCGAATAACACGTTGCAGAGTTTTGAATTATTGTAGGCTGTCATGTGCCAATACTGCGATGATTCCACTGAGAGTGTGGAGGGATTTAAAGTATCCGCTGTTAAATTAGCAAATCTAAAATTAAAATATTTCAATAAATCAAAATGGAAGGTGTTTGGTGTATGTTGGGTTGCCTACCTATGACTCTCCGAACTGAGCACAACAACACGACTGCCAACCTTAAGCAAAGGTTTTAAAAGCAGCGTTAAATAAAAATGACCTAAATGATTAACGGCGAATGTTTTCTCATAACCATCATCGGATTTTTCAAACGGAAGACCAAAAACTCCAGCGTTTAGAATAAGCATATCGATGCTTCTATTAGTAGGGAGTAGTCTACGATGAATTTCCTCCCCGCAGTTTGACACAGAAGTGAGTGACGCGAGATCCAATTGGACGACGTCACACTTTGCGTCTGGTTTACACCCTCGGATGTCTTCCAGCGCCATTTGCCCTGCTTCCATGTTCCTGCAAGCTATTATAACATGACAGCCATGTCGACAGAGACTTTTGGCTGTTTCAAGACCAATTCCGCAGTTGCCACCTGTGATTACACACAGTTTATTGTTGAGATCTCTTCCGTGAAGCACCTATTGAATTTAATTTAAGTAAAATTAAAAAAGTGTTGAGGTGTTAATATGGTTGCCTATGTTATAATTGTGTTTACCTGTAATGCGGTGCTTGACGCATCGAACCTCTGCCGGTAATCGTTGACATGATCTTTCTCTTCGATTGCGAACGCAAGCCGTGGGTCTGTATATGTTGTCCGTTTGTTTTCGTGGTCTACGTAGATGACTTTACCGGTGTTTTTGTCCACGCAGCGCTCCCAGCCGAAGGGCAGCTCGCCATTGACGACTTTTTTGATGCCGGTGCGTGGGTGCGTCCATTGCGTCGCCTTTGTTAAATGATTCGCGTAGAATACATTACCGTCGACTGTGACGCGCTCCTCCCAACCAGGGGGGAGTTCATCTTCGGAGTCACTATCTGGCACGTTCATTACTAACTGAAATTTTTGGATTAAATTTAATTTAAAAACAGCTGATGATGTGGGTGATTATTGATTTGTGGTGTATGTTGTGTTGTCTATAGTGATGTGAATCGATGTGTGGGTGACATCTAGTGGTGTATAGTTAAAGTGTGTGATTGGTGCGGCGCTGGGATGTTCTTCTGCTTCTGCTCTTCGAGTCCGCTCGCCGCCGTCGCCGCTCCGCGTCCCTCCGGGTGTGTGTGCAGGTTGCGCGTCGCGTGCGCGTCTCTACGTCGCGACCCCAGCGTGCGCGTCGTCGAGCGCCGCCCCGTGCCGCTCTCTCTCCGCCGTGCGCGCTGCGCCGCGCCGACCGGTCCGGCCCGACAGCGGCTTCGGGCGCTCGGCGCACTCATGCCTCGTTGAGTCAGTCCCGGCCGCACCGTCGCAGCGTCGTAGCGTGCGCGTCGTCCGAACACCCGGTGAGCGAAAGATGGTGGCCGCCTGAAGCGCTCGCCATATTTTCGCAACGCAGAACGCCGCCCGCTGACCTTCACCCGAATAACCGCATTCATACGCAGTCTTCTGGAAGCAGCAGCAGCTAAACAGCAACTTGAGGAAGAGGTGTGCGTGCGCAGTGTGCGGGTGTACGCAAATAAAAAAAATCATCCATCGCCGCTGGTGTGTGTGAGTGGCATCGAGCATCGGCGCGGATGCGGGCCTCCTAGGAGAGACCCACTCGTTCTGCGCGCGCGTCATGGAGCCGCAGCCGGAGGTAGCGAGCAGCGGCGCGAGGCGCGAGGTGGAGCGCCTCTGTCGGCTGTGCGCCACCATCACAACGCACCCCAATCAGCGCGTCGACATCTTCGCCGTCGACGGGCTGCGGAGCAAGATCGAAACTTGTTTGCCCGTGCAGGTACGACATCATTCAACATGCGCTGCAAACACACACATACAATACACACACGTTGCGTTGCTATGACAACCATTTGACAATAATAAACAAAAAAAAATTAAAAACAGAATAATTACACACAAGATTTTCGAAACACTGTGTCGAATAAGTTGCCTATCTAACACAATTTGTTTTCCTGCTGTTTTCTAGGTGATGAAAGAATCACTACTGCCGGACACGCTGTGCACGTCGTGCAATGAAAAAATCTGCGCGTTCTTCGCGTTTCGCAAGCGATCACTCGAAACGTTGAAAATCCTCGAAGAGAATTTCCACATCACCGAATCCTGCTTCAGTTTAACCTCTACAACATCAACAAAAAAAATCATTTTGTGAAAAATCCACAACCACTGAGAATTTACTCGCTGAATGCACGCAGTTTGAAACATGGCGGTGTAAAAAACTCGCCACGTTCCACTACGAAGGCGAAGACTTTGCATCCAAGCAAGAAAACCGGCGTAAATTGCTCACCTGCGCGCTGGAGATTGAAAAAGCGAACGAAATCCTGGCGGCGCGTCAACACGACAAACTCGTCGAGTACGACTCATCAGATGCAGAAGAAAAAGATGAAGACCGCGCGAATAATTCCGATTACCTGATGAGTATGACCAAAACATCCATCAGGAATAAATTATACTTTGATGATAAAGTAAATGATATAATAAATGAAATCCAGGAGAGGAAAAGTACAAAACGGAAACTGGAAGCGTTGTTTGGCGATAATGGCGGCGATGGGCGTAACGCAAAAATGTTTAAACCTAGTTTAAACCTAAATGAATTATTCCCGGGTGAAAATGGTGCGAATCGTCGTAAAAAACGTCCGCCGGCACGTAGACAACCAGTTGTACAAGCAACGCATGCGCAGATTACTCCCAATGTGCAGCACGCGCAAGTTTTCCCATTGGCCACGCCTATGACCGGGCGGATACAGACAAACATGGCGCCGGTGATTGTGAATAAGCAGCTGGAACAATTACCGCAGGTCTGCCTGCTGTGCGACCAGCAGTTTCCGAAAGGCACGTTGCTGGCGAAGCACGTGTTCGACACGCATGGTATTGACATGGCGCAGGTGCTGAGCAGCGAGCCGATACCCGAAGGCATGACGCGTACACTGCATGCCAACCTGCAGAATCTCCAAGCGAGTATGCAACCCAACATACATATTCAACCGGAATTTAATTCTGATGTGAATGTGTTGTTGGAGGAGAAATCACCGGAGAGTCCGAAGACTGCCAGCGCGGAGAAGAAGAAAAAGTTACCGGAATTAGTCAAGATAACCGACTTGAAAACAAAACGTGAAAGTATTGGTAAGTGGATATTAATAATATCTTTAAATTTAAATTTAAAAATTATGAATTAATTTTTTGATTTGCAGAAATGAAAGTTCCTGAAAACGATGCCCCGCCTACCCTGACAGCCAGTTACGTCTGCCCGCTATGCCCCGCCTCACTCACGAACAAAACCGATCTCTACGCGCATCTGCGCGTACGCCATGCGCAACACGCGAAACTCACATGCGGATTATGCCTGCATATAGGCACCTCATTACACACGCTACAAGAACATCTTGAATCCTGCATGAAATCACACAGCATCATCGGATATTTCGTGTGTCAAGTATGCAAATACGCCGAGGACAACCAAAAATCCTCGAAAATCACATCCTGGTACATGATTTCCTCTTGGCTGACTGTAAAAAAGACGGGAAGATATTCGACCCGTCTGATTTCATGGACACAAATGAATCCTGCGAGCCTAAATTTTACAGCTGCACTGAATGCGGATCTTCACTCCAAAGTTTCAAAGAATACAGCAGTCACAAACGCTCGGAACACTCAATATTCCACTGCGATTTATGCAATAAAAGCTATGGAAGAAACTCACATTTATGGAAACATGTGAATCGGGTACATAAAGGTCACCCGAGTGTAACATGTCAGTTTTGTTACAAGACATCAGCATCAAAGTATCACCTCCTGCAGCATTTCAACAAAATCCACACGCAGAAAGCCGGAAGTATTAGTTTGGGCAGTGCTATGACTTCATCATCTTCATCTAGTGCTACACCAAAGATCAAAAACGGTGAAGTGTTATCCGAGTTTGAAGAGGATGATTTCATGATGAAGAAATTCGATCCGTTTGACTTTCAATCAGTACGGCAGAGTTTCATGCGTGCTGAGATGGAAGCAAAGAAGACTACTCTTCAACAACAACCAATGCATGACACGGATATTCCTAAAAATAAATCTAGGAATACAGAAATGCGTGATTTATCCTCCCTGAAGATGCCGACTGTTCCCCCGAAGGAACTGGACTCATCCTCGACGATTTATACAAATATCATCACGAATTACACGCCGCCAACTAATGACGGTGAATATAAATGCCCCAAATGTTCCAAAGCGTTCCACAAACGCACACTACTCAAGAAACACAAGAAAAACTGTCGGCCAAGACTACAAAAAGATTTACTAACAAGATGTAAGTCTTGTTCGAGGATTTTCAAAGACCGGCAATCACTGGCGAAGCATTTAGTGAATTATCACTCCGAATATTCATGCGAGATGTGCGATGAGAAGGTGCAATCAAAATGCGAGATTGTCTCACATATAAGATTCACACATCCAGGGAGTCATCTGAACTGTCAACATTGTGGTAATGTTTTAAGAAATAACGATCTTTTAAGGGCGCATTTACAAGACCACGCGAATTCATTCGTGTGTCAATTCTGCGGGGATATTTTACCATCAAAAATCAAACTAAAGATGCATATTTTGTCTTTACATAGGAAGATATTATCCCTGAGTTGTGGTGTGTGTTTAAAACTGTTTGAAAGCCAGCATATTCTGCGGGATCACGTGAGGATGGTGCATAGAGAAGCGCTGCAACCACTGACTAGTTGTACTGTTTGTGGGAAGAACTATGGATCAAAATGGAAGACGTATGATCACTTGAATAAATCCCATGGGCGAGTATTTCGTGCTTGTAAAGTCTGTCTGGAAGTGTTTAATAACGAACAGGAGTTGCAGACGCATGTGGATATGCATCACTCGAAAGGTATGAAGAAATACACACCGACTGAGAGTTTGCCTCAGTTTAAACAAGAAGAACAAGTGCACAGGAGTGATATTGAGGATGAATCGGAGGTGGATGATGATGATGGGGGGATTAAAGATGAGTATGAAGGGAAGTCTATACTTGAGAAGCATCTAGTCGGCGCGTATGTACACAAGAGCAATAATAATTCAAATAGTAATGCAAATACGAATTCACAAACGAAACAAAATGGCCTCTCTATGTCTCCCATGACGCCGAAGAGTCAAGGTAATAAGCATGCGCATAGTGAAGAGTTGATTAATTCCAGTAAACGCACGGTTTATGTGAACTCAAACGATCCATCCGTGTGTGATATCTGTCACAAGAACTGGCCGGCGAAGAAACACCTCTGGCAGCATTATATAAGGTGTCACAAACAAGTCGCCGCGACTGTGTGTGGGATTTGTTTGTCTACGAATAAAAGCTATGCGGATCTACAGCGACATTTGAATAGTGAGCATCCTACTCTACTGCATGGAAAAGGGTTTGGGTCGAATTTTATTTGTAGGATTTGTGGGAGGTATCATAATGCGAGTTCGAAGTTGAAGCTACACATGGCGATTCATATTAAATTCGATTGGTCGTTGTTGGACAACCCGCCGAACACGCAGAGTATGAATATGAATATGAATATTAAACAGGAACAAGTTCAAGGGAATGATTATGAAGATGAAGAAGATGAGGAGCAGGATGATTTGCCTGAAGAGAAGATTAAGTTTAAAGTGAAGATTAAACCGCCGGTGAAGAATGAAGTTGAGATGAATGATAATAATGAAGATGTGAATTTTGAGAGTATGATTGAACAGGTGGAATGCAGCACGAATTCGTCGAGTAGTTCGGAGAGTGAGGGTGAAGGTGAAGAAGTTGAAGAGGCTGAAGATGATGGTGATGGTGAGGAGGGTGAAGATGTTGAAGATGATGATGAGGATGATGAAGATGAAGGTGAAGTTGAAGAAGATGAAGAGCAGAATGTTTCACAGGCGGAGGAAGAAGAGCAGATTGATGATGAGCAGGAAGTTGAAGAAATGTCGGATGATGATGAGGATGACGATGATGACGAAGGTGAAGATGATGAAGATATGGAGGAAGTACCAGAGGCTGCACAGGAGATAAAATCCGAGGTGGAGATTTTCGAAGAAGAAATTGAAGAAGATGAAGTATTAACTGAAGAAACAGAAAATGATCATGATAATGATAATGAAAACATCCAAGAGCAGGATATGCAAGAGCAAGAACAAGAACAATTCGAAGAGCAAGAAGAAGATGAAGAAGAATACGAAGAAGTTGTTGAAGAAGTAGTCCATCAGGACGACCTCACAATATACGAACAAGAAGAAATCATCGAAGATTCCTACATTGAATCAAACGAAGACGGACAAATCGTCATCAAACACATTGTACACCATGACGTAGAGGAAATAGACGAAGATGACGACGAAGAAGAAGAAGACGATGATGAAGATGAAGAAGGCACAAGTTCACTATCACAAGAGATAATCTACGAGCAGGATCAAGTGACTTACGTGCAAGATGGCGTCGACTCAGCGGTGCAATCCATCTGTTATGAAGAAGACGACAGCTGTCATGATGGCACCGTCGCTGAAGAGTACGAAGTCCAATCCACAAACGCACCGGGGATGAATAACCAGCATGAGATCCAGAGTGCAGTCGATAGTATCCTCTAAAAGACTAACAGACAAGAATACTCATTATACTAATGCATAGTGATATATGACAACATAACCTAAGATATTGTAAGCAGAGGGCGCTGGCAGACACGGCGGAGATTCATATTTTAACACATTCCATATGTTTTTGCTTTTTGATTTTCGATTTTTTTCTCTAGGATAAAGTTTGAGTTCGACAAACAAGAGTTGCCATATATATTTAAATATAGTGTGTACACGTAAGGATGATATATTTAAACAACCTACATACATATTATTAACGATAGCGATTATTTTTCTACGTACCGTTTAAGCGCACGACTTTAATATTGGATACTGTATTCAACTCTAACCTACAAGTTTAAGTTAGGTGTAAGTAAGATGCGTTACCAACTAAGTTTAAATTATGTGTATGATGATGATCAGATGAATATTGTGACATTCCCGTGGAGGTTAGTATTCATGAAGAATAACGTATTTGCAACACAGTCATTACGTGAATAAATATTTTCTAGATAAAATGGCGGCGTGTTGGGTTTTTATGTATTTGGGTAATTATTACTCGTACGCATCGATAATCAAGGTCACCTGCTTATGATTTCTATTTTTTTTCTGTATGTGTATTATTAATAATAGGTTTTATACCGGTTTTGGTTTGATACACTCTGTATATTTATGTTTTTCTGCGTGTGTGTGTGTGTGTTGTAGGTGTGGAAAGCAATCGCAGCAGAAACATGGCGACGGCCGTCGTCTTGTGACGTTTGCACGAATTATTATTATTCGGCCATCGGGACCGCGCGCCGCCTGCCACCGCCGCCGCCGCCGTGTAGTCGTGTTAGTGACGTGCGTGACTCGCCCCCGGCGGCGATTGTGTAACATTTTCGCCCCGCGGCCGAAAATGGTGCGCACCAAGTGCCTAAATATGGAATGAGGTGGATGAATACACACTACCTCCACGGGAAGCGCGATGCTTTCGTTTGGTTCTCTTCGGTTTCCATCCAGAAATGATTTTATTTTAGACACATATCACAATAGAAATTGATGCATTCAAGAAGCATGAAGAAGCAATAAACCAGCTGTGATCTGTTTTGTAATTATTTTTATATATACACATCGAAGGGAAGAAGAGAAGAGAAGAGAAGAGACAATGGAAGCAATGCAATATGAGCAAGCGAGGAACATGACCCTGCTGTTCTTCTTTGAGAGACTGCTGGATAAAGGCGAGCCGCGTACATTGCACGACCTCAGCTGCCAGTTCGGCTCCAAGGGCTTCACCAAGGAGATGCGACAGATTGCTGGCGGGTCACAGAGTGGCCTCAAGAAATTCCTAGCGCAATATCCTTCGCTGTTTGCCATTGAGGGCGACTATGTGAATGTCAGCGATGTTGACTTGGACAATAATAAAGAATCTTCCGGTAATTATCCTATCAACTCAATAATCTAACCAAAAAAAAAACTAAAATTTAATATTTTAGGGTCTAAAGACTATGCGAAACAAGCCGTGGATTATTTCTCCGAGAAACTCTCACAATACGGCGACTCCACCGAGGTGCCAATCCGCAGCCTCCTTGGGCATCGTTCACAAGCCAGCCCAGAGGTGCGGCATGTCTCCGGGCAGCACTTCCACGAGTTCCGCGAGTTCCTCCTCAAGAACCCTGAGAGTTTCCTGGTTAATGATGAGAATGAAACAGTGGTATTGAAGAATTTCGCAACATTCGCGCCGAAAACCAACACGCATCTGAATTTCGACGTGAAAGTCGATGTGGATCCACAACAAACACAATCCCTGTTAGATTTCTTCGCGCAGTGCATTGATGTAAAAGGACCCATACTGGTCGAACAACTGTTTCAGGTTGTCAGTTGTACACTACCAGAGGAACGCTGGTCGAATCTATTCAACACTCCGCAGCATCTCACGAGTTTCCTGCGTTTGTTCGCGGATAGTTTTCATATACAAGCGAATTTAGTCACGTTATTACAACATCCAAAGGTGACTACTCCTGAGAAACCCGCTGAGAAGGTAGAGAAACCAGTTGAAAAAGTTGAAAAAGTGGTCCCGGTTGTAGATGACATCGTAAATCAAACAGATGATGATAAAACCAAGCAATATCACAGTGTGAGTCCAACGGTTTCCGGGAATAACTCACCGGCGACGTCACCACTTCCGTCTTTAACACCCAGCTCACCAGCGAAGATGTCTATAAGTGACAGGCTCAAACAACCGAAGATTCAAGCAGCTGAGCAGGAGAAACAACAACAAGAGTTGGAAAAAATCAAAGAACAGAAAAAGAAAGAAGAAGAGAATAAACTAAAAGAAAAACCTAAGGAAACTAAAGAAAAAGAACCGCTTGTGCCAAAGTTTAAACTCGGCTCACCACCAACAGAAGAATCCAAACCCTTGGAAAAACAATCACTCAAGCAACGCATCAATAATCTTGTACTTAAAACCCTCCAGGAGAACACCGGCCGTGATCAGAAGCAGTTACTCAATCAACAGCTCAATAACATCAATCAAACACTGACAAATCAACCAATATCATCAACACCAACCACAACTGGAATAATCAACAACACTCCAGGTGTAGTTGATAAAGAAACATGGAAGAATAAAATCTTCCAGAGCACCAGAGTCATCTGCAATGAAAAAGAATGTCTATTGGTGATTAACGACATCATGAAACCTAAAAAACCCATAAAAAACAAAATTAATAAACCACCAGAAGAAATCTTCGCGTTTGATGAAGATAAAACCGTCGTAGCGTTTGATTGTGAAGGGATAAACCTCGGTGTGAAGGGCCAAATCACCCTGATGCAGATCGCGACCTTCCAGAGACAAAGCTACATCTTTGACTTGATCAGTTGTCCAGCTATGATCAATCAAGGACTGAAGAGACTCTTAGAAAGCCCGGATGTGGTGAAAATCATTCATGACTGCCGGAATGATTCAGTCAACCTAAATCAACAATTCGGGATTAATTTAAGTTGTGTTTTTGACACGCAAGCCGCGCATGCGGTGTTGACATATCAGGAGACACGCAAACCCGTCTACAAAGCGAAATCTGTTGCATTGAATGCTTTATGTCAACAGTATGGAGCATTCGTGAATCCTATGAAGGAACAATTGAAGAATGTCTATCGTAGAGATCAGAAATACTGGAGTAGGAGACCTTTGTCAAGAGAAATGATACTGTATGCATCTGCGGATGTATTGAGTTTGATTCATGAGAATCTCTATCCGGCGATGATCAAAGAAATCAGCGACAATAACAGGAAGTTACTCCTGGAGTTATGCGATGAGCAAATCTTCCTACATATAAATCCAGAGAATGTCAAACTGAGGAAGAGACAAAGAAAAACCGAAACAGAAGTCGCAGAATTACGCTCCAAGTTGAGTCAATCATCAAAATCAGTTGTATTATCAAATCGTGAGGTCCGACTGTTGAGATACATTGAATTAACTGAAGAAGAGAAAGAAAAATTAAAATCCTCCGCAAAAGTAGCGAAAAAACTCGAGAAATTAGAAAGTTTAGGTAAAGAAGACGACTCATCATCAGAGGATGATAATGATTATCCTTCCATAGAGTCGGATAACACAACATCCCCACGTAATTCCGAACCTACTTCTCTTACTGAAAGCATGCAGATGGTGGACACGATTCTAAGCGATAATAAAATCGACCGTATGGATAAAATTGACAAACTCGAAGCGATTTTATCCGCGGCGTCGTTATTACCAGGGGCACAGGAAGAGAAATGTTGCAGTTGTAATTGTCACATGAATGGCACAGCGACAAATGAGAAGATTATTGAGGCACGTGCAGGTTTCCAATCAATTCCAGGCGAGGAAATTCCCCAGGAGGGTAAAACATCAATGGAAACACAAACTTTAAGCACAGGGGATATTGTCATCACCAAGATCTACTTCAATGAGAATGAGAATGTTGAATGACGAAGGTGAACGTGATTAGTTCTTACTTATACTTAGCTCAATTGAAATTTAAGTCAATATGCTCACAATCAAAATTTAGATTTAGCTCTGGATGGAAATTTTACGTACTTATTGCATTAATTTCAATTTCTTTCTCATCATCCCAAATTTATATTTATATTTTATACGAATTGGTGCTTTTAACTTGTTGCAAGACTAGTAATAGTGATAGTGATTAAATTATTAACGCTTAGGGTTAGTCTAGACTCGAAAATTGTTGTTTTATGGGAGTTTTCTTTGGATTTATATGATGCCATTGGAGTAATCATAGTTTAGTTGAATGTTTTTTTAGCCCAAACACGTTTATATCGATAAGAATCCGATAATTGTCCAATACAATGGCCTTAATATCTTAAACTTATATTTATTTCTAGAAAATTTGATGATTTCGCCGGAAATTGCACGAATTTCCCGGTTGAAGTCACGTTATACGTCGCGGGTGGATGTCTAGGGCAATTTTTATGTATGATATACATTAATTTCATTGCTAATGTTTTTTTTAATGAATTAATCGAAAGTAAAAACGACTCACCAATTGTATGGAGATATTTTTCCATTTCAAATCGATTCAATCATCGGAAATGATTGAATATGTTATTACGATGTTAAAAATAAAGAAGTTATTAACAGCACGTGATTGATTTATTTATTTATTTATTATTTGCGTTATGGTTACGCGAATAATCACAACTGTTTGTGTGCTTGACAGAAGTTTGATGTGGTATCAGTCGTGAGTTCGCCGCGCATGCGTCACTGGCTCACGATCCACGCGACTTTTCAACGCGCATTTCAAATCACAAACGGTTTTCCACGAATTCAAAACACACACATCCCTCATAACACTAATAAATATTATTAATTAAAATTAAAAAAGATTTGTGAGTGAATTCCTAGCAATTCGGTGAGTATTTCGCGTTTTTTTCTGATTTTCCACAGTTTGTTTTCGTATCTAACCTCAAACCTCACTTGTATCCATGATTATTTCCAAATTTATACAAAATTTATCACTGGGTGTTTGTCAGTAGATAAAACTCATGTCTTTCGGTGATATTTTTGATTATTTATTTATCATTTTGTGTTTTGTGGCGTATTCCGTTGGCGGTGCGTTTGTAACTGATGCATTTATGATCTAACACTTGCAGAATCCAATCATGAATCAGAATCAGCCCGAAATGAATGAGAAGTTGAGCCAGGAGAATGGCTCAGGGATTATAATGGAGAATATGACAAGACTAATTTGATTATTAATTACCTGCCGCAATCGGCGACGGTTTACGACATGATGATGCTCTTCAAGCTGGCTGGTGAGCTGGAGTCGGTGAAGATTATGAAGCACCCGAGGACTGGGTATAGCTATGGGTATGGATTTGTGAAGTACATCAGTGAGGAGAGCGCGGCGAAGGCGATTGAGTTATTCAATCGCTTGCAGTATAGGAATAAAATACTGAAGGTGTCTTATTCACGACCATCGAGTCAGGTGACGAAGAACGCTAATTTGTATATTAGTAACCTGCCGAAGTTCTTCAATGGCGAACAGTTGATTGGACTGTTTGGGCAGTATGGGGAGATAATTCAACATCGTTTGCTGCGTGATAAAACCACTGGATTGCCGCGTGGCGTTGCTTTCGTGCGGTAGGTGTTTTTATTTTTAGTTTTATATTGATTTATTTTATTAATTTTGTTTTTTTTTAGTTATGCACGTGCTGAATTTGCGCAATCAGCCATCAATCACCTGAACGGTATGAAACTGGCAAACTGTCAGTATCCACTGCGCGTGCGTATCGCGGATGATTACTCACAGCAGAGAGCTAATCTGTTTTATGATATGTCGCATGGTGATCCACGTGGTATGTTTTAACCTGATTTATGTGCTATTATAACCTCTAACCGCGTTTTTATTATAGGTTTACCGCAGTATTTAAATCGCACGTTCGCGCAGATGTCGCTGCGTAATAATTCACCGCACTACCATAGATTCTTTGGCGGCGGCGCTGGCGATTTTGATATTCCATTCCTCAAAGGTCCATGGTAAAAACATCTACGCTATCATGTGTCAAAGACTATCAAAGAAGTTATCGAAGTTTTTTGTTTTCACTTTCATATTTCACATTTCATCTCGATTTGTTTTCTGTTAGTTTGAATTTTATTTTATGACCGCCTTTCTTCCCCAAAGAGGCGTGATATATGACGCTGGTCGTCTGCTTCCCATTTACCAAAATGGCCGCCTGATGTCTTTGAAAAGCAGAGGGTTTCGGTTTCTATTGCGTTTGATTTTTCGAATTTTCATTTACTTTTTTCGCTTTTGATTGAGACCATGGCTGGTGCGTAAATGGGGAATATACAAGCCTTATTTATTTTTTATATTTTTATTGCGTATATTTTTACTCATTGACGAAGAATGCCAGCAAGCGCGCCAAATTCTCATCAATCACTCGCATCTCTCACCGCTCACGCTCATGTAGTTATGTTTTATCGCCCAAGATGCATTGGAATGTGCAATATGTTGTTTATTTATTGTGTTTTATATTGATATTGAATATATTTGTTGAATATACATGGGATTTATTTCTTAAAATGAATTTTTCACGAATTCACGATATTTCACTTTAATCACGGTCATGACTAAAGTACTTTAGTCACGGCTGAGCGCTAAATCATGTTTAAATCGAAGAAATTTTCGTAAAAATTACAAAAACTTTTCTTATTCATTCATAAAAGTATACTACAGCGCCATCTTGACGTAAAACATATGAATAACAATTTTTCCTGGGAAAATCCACAAATTACTGACAACTAATCTCACAGTTTCTCACCAGATGGCGCATCAAGTAACTTTGTTCAACTAAAAACTAAAAAACCGAAAACTGCAAATTCTCATATCAAATGCAAGCAAAACTTTATCAAAACCAACAGTCCACTTCATTTTTCACCACATTATCTAATCTCAACCAAATTAATTCCCTCACCCATCCGCACAAACATTATTTACCCAACCATTTATCTCAACTCACTGTGTGTATGCTTTTCCTCTGAAAATTATCACTCGCTAAATTAATCCCCAAACAAGCATTTCCACATGCGTACGAAAATCTATTTCCACACAATCAAATCTCCCACTTGCCTAGCAACATTCAAGTCACCTTTTTGTTTACATATTCAAATGGCGTAGTGTGCGACCGCAGTCTGTTGCACACTCCGCGCATTTGCAATGCCGCCCTTCATTCGCATCTCACTCGTGGCCTTCACATTGTGTTTCCTACCCTTTGGAGACCTTCGCCGTACACAAGGTTAGTCTGCTGCAGGACACACCCTGTCCTCGTCTATTTTTAGCCTACTGTTTACTTTGCTCCAGAAGGCGTAAAACATGCGCGTCCGAAGCTGCAAATCTCGCGCGTCGTCAACGGCGCCAACATCCCACATCCGGAATTATTTCTATACGCACAAGCCGGTGAGAACCTCACCCTGAGTTGTGACCTATCCAGCGCTGATACAACCATCACGGATGCCAATCTGACATGGAGTAATAACACTCGTAAACATCCACCGGTGATAAAACAAGAAATCAACCGGGCGGTGATTAGTTTCGGGTCGGTGAGGCACGACGACGATTGGGATATTTATTCGTGCGTTAGCCAGAAATACAACTTAAGCGATCTTGTCCTGCTCCAAATCCGCAAGGAATCATACACCAGCGTGTCAAAACGCAAATTTACGTATGTAAACCTAACCTTATTTCATCACTACTTTAACATAACCACAACTTAAAACTTCCAGGTGTATGTTTGGCGAACGTATAAGTTCGGAATACGTCTGTGATGGGATCAAGGACTGTATCGATGGATCCGATGAGAGTTTCACAACCTGCGAACGCCTGGATGTATGCACATTCAAACGCAAATGTAACAATGGTCGATGCATACCAAACGAATGGTGTTGCAATCATTTCCTCGAGGATACTTCCTGTAAAGCCCGTGAGCAGCCCTCATGTTGCACGGAAATATATGATTCCTGGTTGAAAAATTTCAAAATACCCGAGTATGAAGTACCCAAGAGACCGCGGCCAAGTTATGAAATCACCACTTACACCACACGACGGGAAGTCAGCTGGACGAAAATCAGCCTGTCGTTTTTCATTGTGATGATGGCGATTTTAAAGTGCGTTTTCATTGCACATCGCAGTGGTCGCGCTGAGTCTAGACCTGCGCTTTTGGAGGAAGTACCCGAATGTACACCGGTTGTGATTATCACAGCTGTGGCACGTCCCGTAGTAGAGACCGTGGTGAATGAACGTCAACAAGATAGTATGCGTGAGCATTTACTTGATGAAGACAAGGCGGATGCGCCGCCGGATTACAAGGATGTGGTGCATGAGGAACCACCGCCGAGTTATGCCAATCTACAGGATGTACCGAAACGAAACTAAGAGATATTTATATTTATATTCGATGTGTTTATATTTATCTAGCTTATGTGTGTATGTGTATGTGTATGAATTAATAAACTTATGCAGCAATGTTTGAATTTTTATTTTTGAATTTCGCGCGGTTGTAATGACGAGTTAAGTAAGCAGCGCATGCGTGTTGTGAGTTGATATCTCTTGGGAGCTTACAGCTTACACCCGCGGATCTGGTTAAGAAAAATGGCGTCGGGCGACGCGAATGAAAGGCTTTGTGATGGTTTTATTAAGATGTAGATGAACGAAGAGAAAATGCACGCACGAATAGAAATACATCACTGACGAAAGTCTCAAACCGCACGAAATCATGAGGAGGGTGTCTGTTTCTGTTCTTATACTAAGCATATTACACATTAGTTATAATCATGCTCAAAGTAAGTCTAAATATGAATATTAACATTTTAATGATTTTTATAAAATGTGGTTTTGTAGGCGACAGGAATAAATTGCAAATCTCACGCGTCATCGACGAGTCCTACTCGCAGATACACTCCGGCGTGCAGGAACAAGCCGGGCAGAATCTTACTCTGAGCTGTGACCTCTTCAGTGCTGATAATACAGCCTACGATGAACAGATTGCATGGGGCAAAGCCACACAGAGCTTCAAGTAATATAAAAACATAAAACCACACAAAAAACAAAATTTACTTTGAAGTTACTTAATTTTTGTTTAAGGTTTAAGAATGAAAGTGATTTGGAGACTTTAGCTAAGAAGAAGTCAAGTCAAATGTTTGCATATTTCAATAATGCACTGCCAGCCACACAGGAAGTGAATAGAGCTGTTAAAACATTCGCGCCGCTTCGAGAGGAAGACGCCGGCACGTATTTCTGCGGCAGCATGAAGTACATGATCTTTGAGATTGTCTATGTTGTGGTCAAACCAAAATTGGCAATCAAGAGTGAAGCCGGGAGTAATTGGTATGCGGGACGTAAGAGGACCAATTTATACTGCAATGAGTTAATGTTTAAGTAAGTTGCAATTTGAAGTTTTATATATTTATCGCGATATAAACGACTTTTTGAGGTTTTTGTTTATAACTTTTGAACGGGGTGTGAAATATTTTGAAAATTTATATTAAAACATAGCTAATAGAATGATTTATCATAGGAAACTTTAAATGTTGATGAAATTTTATGAGAAAATTGTGAAAAATTAATTTTTCTGAAGTTTTGCAGTCAAAATTATAAGTTTTTTTGGATTTTTTATCGAAATTTGCGTGAAAAGCTGTCAAAATTGATCAAATTTGTATCAAAATATAGCTAATAGATTGATTTATCACAGGGAGCTTCAAAGTTTAATGAAATTTAATGAGAAAATTGGGAAAATTTACTTTTTTAGTTAGTTTTGCGGATTTTGCTATCGAAAAATCACATTTTTAGATTTTTGATCGTAATTAGTGTGTAAAGTTGTCAAATATTGATGAAATTTATATCAAAACATACCTCAAGAGAAGTTCTATGCCGGGAACCATTAATTTCTAATGAAAATGTGTGAAAACGTTGCGAAAATAGACTTTTCCGGGAAGTATACGGTGTTTTCGGTCAAATCACCAACTTTACAAGTTTTTTGCTCGTAACTTTTGAACCAGTCGTCAGAAATGCATCAAAAGTACATCAAAATGTAGCTAAATAAAAGATTAATCACTTGCAGCTTAGAATATTGATAAAATTTTGTGATAAAGTCATGAAAATTCAATTTTCCAGTCAAAATAATAATTTTCTTAAATTTCTAATCGTAATTTATGAAATATTGAACAAATTTACACCTAAAAATTAATATTTTTCAAGGTGTAAATCTGGAGGAGCATGCATAAGTCCCCATTACGTCTGCGACAAAAAACCCGACTGCAGTGATGGTTCCGATGAAAGCCTCGAAACCTGCAAAGGCGACCCATGCGTCGATAAACTCCAATGCGACAACGGCCGCTGCATACCAACCGCGTGGTGCTGCGACCGCCACCTGGACTTAAACTGCAGCGTCTCCTACCCGCCGCCATGTTGTCAAATCCTCTCCGATGGCTACGAAGAACCAGAAAGCTACGTGCCTTACAATATGACTCAACCCGTTCGCCAAAACGGCAGCCGCTACATTTTCATCACTCTCTGCATACTAGCCACGTTCTTTTCGATGCTATTACTACTGCTGATACTCAGTAAAATATTCATGATGGCGAAGAAAGCGCGGTGTAGAGAAGCGCGCATTGAACAATTATATCTCGACGATTGTAATCATCGCATTCAATGCCGGAGTCACGCGTCCATCGTGCGGAATTATAACTATCGCGCGAGGATTGTGTGTCAGGTGGATACGACGGAGGTGAATGATGCGCTGCTGGTGCTGAGCGATGATATCTTAAGGCGTGGCAGTGAGCAGAACGCGAATACGAATACAGCAAGAGATAGGGAGAGGGATGAGTGTCCGCCGAGTTATACGGACGTGATGAGTCTCGAGCCGCCGCCGCCGTACACGAGCCAAGACTGTCTGAATCGCAATTGATGTACTTGAATAAGTTCTGACTTATATTGACTTATAAGTATACTTAACTTTAGTTGTAAGTGTATTGAAATGAATTGAAATCCCTACGTACTAAATTTCCAGTATTATATGGATTTTATTAATAAAACATTAGTTTTAAATCATTTTTATTGTTTTATTATGCTCGTGCTGAATTTGCGCAATCAGGCATCAATCATCTGAATGGTTTGAAAGTGGAAAATTGTCAGTATTTACTGCGCATGCGTATTGCAGATGATTACTCACAGCAAAGACCTAATCTGTTTTATGATATGTCGCATGGTGATCCACGTGGTATGTTTTAACCTGATTTATGTGCTATTATAACCTCTAAACCGCGTTTTTTATTATAGGTGTACCGCAGTATTTAAATCGCACGTTCGCGCAGATGTCGCTGCGTAACAATTCACCGCACTACCATAGATTCTTTGGAGGCGGCGCTGGCGATTTTGATATTCCATTCCTCAAAGGTCCATGGTAAAACATCTACCCTATCATGTGTCAAAGACTATCAAAGAAGTTATCGAAGTTTTTTGTTTTTCACTTTCATATTTCACATTTCATCTCGATTTGTTTTCTGTTAGTTTGAATTTTATTTTATGACCGCCTTTCTTCCGCAAGAGGCGTGATATATGACGCTGGTCGTCTGCTTCCCATTTACCAAAATGGCCGCCTGATGTCTTTGAAAAGCAGAGGGTTTCGGTTTCTATTGCGTTTGATTTTTCGAATTTTCATTTACTTTTTTCGCTTTTGATTGAGACCATGGCTGGTGCGTAAATGGGGAATATACAAGACTTATTTATTTTTTATATTTTTATTGCGTATATTTTTACTCATTGACGAAGAATGCCAGCAAGCGCGCCAAATTCTCATCAATCACTCGCATCTCTCACCGCTCACGCTCATGTAGTTATGTTTTATCGCCCAAGATGCATTGGAATGTGCAATATGTTGTTTATTTATTGTGTTTTATATTACTTAAATTGTTTTTTACTTCCACTTTTAAGAAGGCACAAAAATTGCACTTTAAACACGGTCACAACTAAAGTACTTTAGTCACCGGAGCTAAATTATGTTTATATTGCCGAATTTTTAGGAAAAAATGCAAAATTCTCCTTTTTTCTTATTTATTTATAAAAGTGCCTAGCGCCATCTTATCACTAATAAAAAACAATAATTTTCATTATAATTTCCTAATTTTTTATTCTTTTTATTGCATAAATGTTTACTCATTAACGAAGAATGCATACAAATGTGCAAAATCCCCATCATCACTCGAATTGACTTGAAATCCTTAAGTATTCCATCAATAAACCATTAGTATTCATAAATTCCAATAAAATCAATTACAGACCAACGTGGAACATTGCTTTCGCAATGGTACCTTTCTTCAAATCCTCAATGGCTTTCTCAAACTCCGAGAGTTTGAACACTTTGATGCCTAGTTTCTCATAAACCAAAAACTGATCGCAAAGCGATTGCATCAGACCCAGCGCTTTGGGGAACGTAAACGGATTGATTTTCACACCCATAATAGTCAACTCTTTCGCAAACAACTCATAAGGTGCAATGCTACCGAAAAGAATCAATTAAAAATTAATAAAATAATTTAAAATTAATTTTCAATTAATATTTTACCTAATACGAGTTTCGGGACTTGCAACACCAAAAATACACATGGTACCTCCAGTTTTCAACACACTGACACCCTGCTCGATGGCCTTCCCATTCCCAGAACAATCAATAACCAAATCAAAGGACTCTTCATTATCAACACGCTTCAACAATTGATCCGGTGTGACACATTCAACACCACTGAAATACTTCTGAATGTGATCCAGGCGGCTTTTGTTAACCTCCGACATGGTAATCTTGCGATGGCCTTGACCTTGCAGGATGGAAATCCATAGGTTTCCGATAATACCAGCGCCTAGGATCAATATTTTTTTACCCACAGGAATAGGTTGCAGTTTATCCCATCCGTGGACAATACAGGATAAAGGTTCGGTGAGTGCGCCTTGCATAAGGGATAATTCCGAAGGGAGTTTGTGGACTTGTACGTCGGGGACGACGACAAATTGCGCGAAGCCGCCATTGCGATAGATGCCCACTGTGTTGTTAAGGCCGCCATCACGACAGTAGTGTACGTTGCCATAACGACAATCACCACAGACCATACAACCTCTTGAAATTTATTTTTTTGGGTGAAAATTTGTAGAAAATGATGAATATTAATGGGAAAATGTGACTTACTGATTGGGATCTACTGAAACTTGATCGCCGACTTTAACGTTTGTGACTTGTGCGCCGATTGCAACAACCCGGCCGGAAAATTCATGGCCCAGGACAACGTCACCGTCCGGTTTGCAAGGAAAATGACCCTGAGATATTTTTTATGCAATTATTACCATATTTTGGGTGAGAAAAAAATTAAATTTTTGTATTATTACTTCCATGATGTGTAGATCAGTCCCACACACGCCGGCGTAGGCGACTTGGATCAAGACGTCGTCGGGGTTTTGAATTTGCGCTTTGGGGAAGTCGGCATTATAACGCAGCTTGCCCTTATGTTGTTTCAGATTGAAAGTTAAAGCCTCCATTTTAATATTTTGAGTGATCAGGTGTTGATGTTACTTATTTGACGCTTTGAGCCGGACTGGTGTTTGGTGTGATAATTTCAGGCGTTATGTTAACATTTGTTGTGTTTTGTTTTGCTCGTGTAACTCATAATATGAGTTATGCAATACTTGACGTAATCTACTTTAATCGCAGAATTATAGTGTTTAATGGTGTTTTGCGCTTGTGGCAGAAGGTCAAATGTTAAAATATTGAGCGGAGCGTAAGAGATAAGGTGATCATTCAGTAAATATTGAATGCTGCGTGATATTATTTTTATATTGTTGTTATTGTTAGTGTTATGAGTGGATTTGCGAAAGAAAGCGGATTTGTGTATTTCACGCTTGTAATGCGTGTTTTTCGTGTTATAAATGTTTATATTGTTAAAAATATTGTGAAGCAGCTGTTGCCGGCGATTTCGTCCCGGTAGTGTTTAATAAAAATGAAATTCATTTTACTCTCTTGTTCTAGACAAAGTATGTGTCAATTCTATCAATAAGATTTGCAATTTTATTTTAAAGAAATTAATTATATTAAGAATTGCTAATAATGCACTTCCGCGCGCCATCTCGGATTCAACTATTTAACTATAACTATGATTCGATCTCAATGCCAACTTTTATCCTATAGAAAAGGGCAGTTTTTAGGGTTTTCCCAGCATTTATTCAAAATTTACTCGCCGTAATAACAATCTTTGGACATTTTAAAGAAATAATTGGCCAAATTGGTCTAGGCGTTATTGGGTTATGCGCTTACCAACAGATTTTGCGATTTATTTTTAAATTATAGAAGATATGCGTCAAAAACGTTGAAAATTGTAAGAATTTATTTAAAAACTCACCAAAAATTGTTGTAAACTTAATTTACACCACAGGAATTGTGATTCAAGATGGCCGACTGGATGACTAACCAACTAAACCACCTATCAACATAAAAAAAAACACAAAATAAATAAATGATGATTAAACAAATAAATATTCTTTGCATATTAATAAATATATACATACATTTTTATTTCATGTTTAAAATCATATTTACTAATTTTCCTAACTTTTAATTTTAATATAATTAAATTTACTACCAACATAAACTCCACCAAAACAGAATACACCAACAATTCGACATCAGCCGACCTCTATCCGACTTCAAACGATAAGAAAATCTATGTTCATGCAACATAACCCAACAAAATCAAACGATGAACATTTTGAAAAACTTCAAAAAACAATGTCGCAACTCCTCCTAAGTCAACTCCTAGCCGAAAAAGTACCTCTAGACCAAATTCTACGATGGATTTCATTAACAGTAAGCACCCAGCATTAAAACCCATCGAATACCAAGTTAATTTAATTCAAAACTTTTAGGAGGCAAAGCATAAACATGAATTTTCCTGCTCACGCGGCGAGTTTATCTCACATCTATTGAATTTTATCCATGACGAAGCCCTTTGGTATGTTTTCTTTGTTTTTAAAACAATTTTATATAAATAATTAATTTTTATGTGAAAAAAGCTTTGAAAAGTATCGAGAGACACCAAAAAAGGTGCAAACACCAAAATCCATCAGAAAATTAGAAATATCAACCAAACCACGCCGTAGACCAGCATTATTCAATCAAAACGAGTCAAAAAATGACTGCAGAATTGAAGAGAAGAAACAAATTCATCCATTATCACCTGTCTCACCACTCTACACCAGATTAAACACACAATCAGTGGAGAATTCACCTGGAGGTGCAACTCCCAAGTCAAAAAACTTCTGTCTGGGTGATTTTATCTCACCAAATCGAAAATCAACCACAATAACACCCACAGGAAGAGATAAAAAACCATCTACACCTTCTGCTGGTGATTCAAAGAGGACAAGACGCATTAATCCGACGAATGTAGCGCAGAGAAAGAGTTTAAACACTGAGAATAGTTTTGATTTCAAAAATGACAGTACACCGAATGTGAAACAAGTAAAAGAAACGAAAACCATCGTACCGAAAGCCCCACAGAAAGAAATCCCGCCGGATTTAACAAAGACAACATCCAAAACACAATTAAATATATTAATCACACTTTACGTGGAGTTAATTGATAGCAATAAAGTGCTAAATGTGACCAGTGAATTATATTTCATTATAACTCTATTGTTATGTAAGCAATTCGATGCGGATTACTTCCCATCGCCGATTTTCGCGTCGATACACAATGTTGTGTACTTCGCGTTGAATTGTCTACGGAAAATCGCTGATTTTACCGATAATAAACTCTTGAACTTGTTGGATAAGTCCACGTTGAGGTTACTCACGAGTAACGAGCGTGTAAAGTCACTGGATGCGTGTTTAATGGAAAAAATTGTTAGTTTGAGTGAAGATTTGAAAGAATCACCCAGAAAATCAGTGGAAATTGATGATATGTTCGAGAAACACGTGTGTTTTGATTTCGAGACTGATAACAGGGAGAATTTCCCGTCGGATGCGTCATTTCATGCGTTCAGGAAGCAGCGGGATATGTTTTACGAGATTCTCAATGCTTGGGAGACGAATCACACGGCGGACGGGTGGAATTTCGCTGCTGGATTGGGTGGGAAAGTGCGTAGTTTGATGGGGATGCATTCAGACCCGGCGAATTTTCGACATTTGAGTCGATTGGTGAAAGCACAGCTGTTGATAACATGCACGAAGATACAGGTAATGATAAATTATTTCATTTCCAGCCTTAAAACGGTTTAAAACACGAAAAATACACTTTAGTCATGGGTGTGACTAAAGTACTAAAAACCTATTTTCCGCGTTTTAACCTTTATACAACCCGCAAAAAGTGGTGGGGGTATAAAAAAACCTAATATTTTTTGTTTTTAGAGTGAATCTCTACCAGAAAACCACCTCTCCTTCCTCACAACGCTCCCGAACGTCAACGCAGAGAAACTCAACCGTCTAAAAACCCGCCTAGTTGCCAAAGACCAATCCCCTGGGATAAATGCACCGCCCACCTTCCCCGGACACCAAGAATTCTACAAAGAGTTAATAATACAAGCGCAGACACACGTTTTCTGCACACATCTACGCAATGTACTCATTCAAGATCTACTACAACTCAATGATACAACTTTCGAGACTGACGCAGGCATGTTTGACCAATCCACCAGATCAAACTACTGCCTAGTGGTGAAATCACTGCAATTACTAGCAAAATTCATCAGTTTGATTGAAAGCATGCCCTATACATCATGTACGATGATTGTCAACGATAAAATCACCCTGGAGGAAGTCGAATCTCGCTCGTGGATGGCGCCACCTATTGATTTATATCAGAAGTTGACCATTGCGATGGATAACGGCCATCTTGTGCTCCTGATTCCATGGCTAGTGGAGTATTTAGCCATGTTGGATGGGACTTCGTTGAGACTGCCGTATTTCGAGAGGATTTTTGAGAAGTTGTTTGAGATATTCCTGAATTGTCCGCATTATTATAACTACCAGTTGATACGGTGTTGTCTTGGATGGTTATTTGAGCAGAGTCACTTCCCCAGTGAGAATTATTTTCATTTTTTGAATTTTAAACACAGAGGGATTAAGTGGAGGGGAGGGATGAGTAAAGATTGTGTGGATTCAGTGCGTATGGTTGATTTGAATATGATGTATAGGATTTGTCCGTTCCTGAAGGAGTTTAAGAAACTGTTGCAGTATAATTGTAATAGGAATGGGAGTATTACGTCGAAGCATATTACGCCGGTGACGGCGATTGAGACGATTAGTAGTGAGATGAATGAGAGGAGGATGAAGCTGCAGCTGCAGGAGGCTTTTTTGAATTCCAGGCCGAGTTCGTTGAGGAAGACGTTGGAGTTTGTTAGTGAGAGGATTGCGAGTTGTATTGTGAAGACGATTTGTAATAATATTGTGCCGGATGTGAAGGCGAGGGTTACGCATGAGAGGAAGAAGTTGTTTGTGAGGTACGCGCAGGTTGATACGACGGATGGTGTTGTTAAGGTGAGTTACGAACTTTGTAACTTATTTAACTTATTACTAATTGTGAAGATAATTAATTGACGAGTCCGAATTTATGTTTGAAATTATTTGAAGGCGATTTTGTTGTGAAATACGTGTGTAACAAATTGTACCGTGGAGTTATTATTAGTTTACTTACCGATTTTTTCGTTGAAAAACACGTGAAGTGAAACTTGGAAAAACTCGCGACTGCAAAAGATAAAAACAAAAGTTGTTAGTGACAAGTCAAGCTGCCAACCTAATAGGGGACGCTGCTGAGTGACTAGCAGAGGAAACTAGTAACTAGTTTTACTATTTTATGTTTTAATAGATTTTATGATAATTTCGGCCGATCTACGCGTAAATTATATCAAACAAGTTCGCGGAATGGTTGAAGTTAACTTTTCTCACCGATATTTGATGATTTTCTGCCGAAAAACACGAAAAAACTTGAAATTACTCGCGAGCGCGACGCAACGAACAAAGTACAAAAGTTACTAGTGACAAGTTCTGTTACCAACTTAACTGGGGTCTATGCTAGGTTACTAGCAGAGGAAACTAGTAACTAGTTTTACTATTTTATGTTTTAATAGATTAAACGTTAATTTGGACCGATCCACGCGTAAATTATATCAAACAAGTTTGCGGAATGGCTAAAGTTAAGTTTTCTCACCGATATTTGTTGATTTTCTGCCGAAAAACACGAAAAACTTAGAAAACTCACGAGCGCGACGCAACGAACAAAGTACAAAAGTTACCAATGACAAGTACTGCTACCAACCTAACTAAGGTCACTGCTGGGTGACTAGCAGAGGAAACTAGTTACTAGTTTTACTATTTTATGTTTTAATAGATAAAAGGCAAATTTGGACCGATCCACGCGTAAATTATATCAAACAAGTTAGCGCATTGGCTAAAGTTAAGTTTTCTCACCGATATTTGTTGATTTTCTGCCGAAAAACACGAAAAACTTAGAAAACTCACGAGCGCGACGCAACGAACAAAGTACAAAAGTTACCAATGACAAGTACTGCTACCAACCCAACAGGGGAACGCGAAGTGACTAGCAGAGGAAACTAGTAACTAGTTTTACTTATTAGTTTTACTATTTTATGTTTTAAGAGATTAAACGCTAATTTGGACCGATCCGCGCGTAAATTATATCAAACAAGGTCGCGGAATAGCTAAAGTTTAGTTTTCTCACCGATATTTGATGATTTTCTGCCGAAAAACACGAAAAAACTTAAGAAAACTTGCGAGCACGACGCAACGAACAAAGTACAAAAGTTACTAATGACAAGTACTGCTACCAACCTAACTAGAGTCACTGCTGGGTGACTAGCAGAGGAAACTAGTTACTAGTTTTACTATTTTATGTTTTGATTGATTTTGCCTTAATTTTGGCCGATCTACACGTAAATTACATCAAACAAGTTCACAGACTGGCTATAATTTAATATTCTCACCTATATTTGATGATTTTCTTCCGAAAAACACGAAAAAACTCGAAAAAATCGCAACTACGACACACCGCGCAAACCTTCGAAGTACTTTATATGACACACACTACTACCAACCTCACCACACAAAAAATTCCACCTTCAAAACTTTCCTCTAACGGAATTTAAAATGTTTCAGATGGAAATCAAACAAAAACTAACAAAAATCATCGAAAACCACCTCGAGGAACTAAAAAACGACTGCGAAAACACCCTCACAACTCAAATAGACACCAAAATCCATCCTGCAGTACTCTCACTGGTCTGCAGCGATGAATTACAAGAAACAGTCGACGTCTGCACACAAATCACAAGCAGATTATGTGAAGAACGCGTCCGACAATGGATTAACACACGAATTAACACCAGTAAGTCACATATTCACCAATAACTAATAAAAAAACATACAATATTATGTTACTCCACAGGTGTTTTCAAAGAATTCGACATGGATATCGAACGCATTGACAAATTCCTAACAAAAGAACGCGAGGAAAGCACAAAACAAAAGTTTATCACTTTACCCACACAAGGACGCAGCAATATACAACATATTGACAGTGACGACGAAGAAGACTCTTCAGAATGTGCAATTAATCCGTCTAAACTATTAACACAACTTCAACGAACAAATTCTAAACTTTTACATGAAAAAATTACAGGAAACTGTAAAATAACGGTGAAAAACGCGGTGGATTTGCTTCAAAACGCGAGAAAATGTCATCAACAACGTAGTGATCTTAGTGATATCGCCTGGCATCAGATTAATCAACTTATAGTTGATTATTTTATACTTTTATGTAAGTTTTACAAAAAAAATTAATTTTTTTTAGGTTATGTTGCTATTTTACTAAATTTTCATGTTTTTATAGGTAAATCATGTCCGGAAGTTACATCTTCACCACTTCTTGATGAGTTTATATCCTTCTGGAGTGATTGCAACGAAATTTACCTCAAGGACATCTTCATCGGCATAATCTCCATCAGAAATATAGTTATTTTAATGCATGCGCCTCAAAATGCATGGAAAACTTACTCTAATCTCCTATCACGTCTACTCAAACATAATATTTTATCTTTGGATGATTTTGAGACGCAATGCTTGGCTGTGTTTCGTACTAACTGGGAATCTGATACACTTGGAAGAATCTGTGAGTGTTTTCAGGTTGTTGTTGATCAACACGATGGTAAAGATCAATTTACTTTCCTGTTGGGCTTCCTGGCTGATTATTGTTCTGATCTGGACTTTTAGATGATGTGCAAAGCTGTAATATGACAAATAAGATATTTTTTATTATTAAAAATAGGTTATGTATATATTTCTGTTGGGTTTTTGTTGTATTGTTGGGGTTTGGGGTGTTTATGAGCAGATTTCGTCGCTTTTGTCGGTGCAATCGAAGACGCCGTCGCAGAACTGTGAGGAGTGATAGCAACCGGTTGAATTTGAGCAGGAAATTTGTCCTGTGGGGCAGGAATTTAGTGGTAGACAGTTGTGTTCGTCGGAGTTGTCCCAGCAGTCGGGTTTTCCATCGCAGCGTTTCCAGTTTGGTAAGCAGGATGTGTTTTTACCGCAGTGGAAGTTCAAAGATAAGTCACAAGCTAAAAAATATAAAATTTTAGGTTATAAAGTGGAAAAATGGTGTTTTAAAGGTTAAAAATGTTGTTTTTAGGTCAAAAAACATGTTTTTCATCAGATTTAACCTTAAAATTATTAAAAACATACGATTTTCTATTGTTTTATGTTATTGTTAGGTTAAAAACTATGTTTTTCTTAATTTTTAACCTAAAAACAATTAAAACACCCAATTTTCACTAAGTTTTCACAAATTTTAAGCTAAAAACTATGTTTTTTGTTGTTTCTAACCTTAAAATGACTAAAAACCCACAATTTACACTTGTTTTCATGATAATAACTATGTTTTTATTGCTTTTAACCTTAAAATCATTAAAAACACACAATTTTCTATTGTTTTATGTTATTTTTATGTTAAAAACTATGTTTTTCTTAATTTTTAACCTAAAAACAACTAAAACACACAATTTTCTACTAGTTCTCGCCAATTTTAAGCTAAAAACTATGTTTTTTGTTGTTCCTAACCTTAAAGTGACTAAAAACACATCATTTTCACTTGTTTTTTGACTACAAATTATGTTTTCATTACTTTTAACCTTAAAATCATTACAAACACTCAATTTTACATTGTTTTATATTATTTTTAAGTTAAAAATAGCGTTTTCCTTAATTTTTAACCTAAAAACAACTGAAACACCCACTTTTCACTAAATTTTCACTAATTTTATGCATAAAACTATGTTTTTAATTGTTTTTAACTTTAAAATTACTAAAAACCCACAATTTACACTTGTTTTCAGGCTAAAAACTATGTTTTCATTACTTTTAACCTTAAAATCATTAAAAACACACCATTTTCTATTGTTTTACATTATTTTTAAGTTAAAAACTAAAGTTTTCATAAATTTTATCATAAAAACAACTAAAACACGCAGTTTTCTACTGTTTTTCACTAATTTTAAGTTAAAAACTACATTTTACATAATTTTTAACCTTAAAATCACTAAAAACACTCAATTTCCTACAATTTCTAGGTTAAAATGAAAAAATCAACTTACCACAATCAATTTCATCACTCAAATCCCCACAATCAACCCTCCCATTGCATTTATTATCAACATGCAGACATAAACTATCCGCACAGTTGAAATACCCCAGCGGACAGTGCAACCCGCCGCCATTTTGCACACATTCATACACCATCAACTTTCTGTCCAACAATCGGCAGTGTTCGGTGTTCACCGCGCATAAACCTGAACATCCGCTTGGATCACGTCCATCTCTACCTTTCACACACTTAGGCAACCCGTCTTTCTGTCTTAAACAAACTTCATTCGTTTCACAGACACAAACAGTCATTTTTATATCATTATGCGGTGTTTTACTAACGCCATCTTGCGAATGTAAATTCATCTTGTGTAAAACTTTCTCAACGCTGATCTCTGCATGATCAAACACTAATATTCGACTTGTATTGTGGTTATTAGGGATTTTCAGATTGTTTTGTTGGTTATGTTGGTTATGTTTATGGATATTACACATGTAAATCACTAAAACATGAAAAAAAAGATTTTTAAGGTTATATTAAGAGTTTTTATGTTATTTTCTTACCTGTAACAATGGCTGCTGACAAAATAAGCGCAAAAATCACACAGGATGTTACAATAACCGGTAATAATTTCCCAGATTTATTCTTTGGCTTTTTAAACTCATTTTTAGGTTGGACATTGAACGTCCATGACTTCTGCCCGAAAATATTACGTTTTATATTGATATTTATCTTATTGTCGATGGTTTCGCACATTTCGGCCGCCCCCGGATGTGTTATTCGGTTGCGATGCTTCCGGAAGCTCTCGTAGTAATGCACTTTGGTTAATTCAACATTCATTGGACTTAAAATCATTGTTTTTAGTGTTACAATATTAAATTTTGCTGCTTTTGTGTGCAATATGTGTTATTGAACACGCTTTTCGGCGTTTTCTGTTGATGAATGGTTGAAATCATCGACGTGCACACCGCAAACACCGGTACCGGCGGCGTCGTCATAGCAACGCGCCAAACAACCGTAACTACCGACAAATACCAGCGCAATGTTGGAAGCATTTGAAGTTGCATACGTTTTTATGCTTCAGGGGTATGCTTGGGTATGAAAATCAGCGAAGCGTACGAATTTGAGCAGATGTTGAGCGTTAGAGTCTCATGAACAGATGTTTTTCACGTTTTACACTTGATTGCGTTGCTGGTAATTAAAAAACACATGATAATTAATCTTTCAGCATCGAATTACTTGATTTACAGTGTAATTTTTAGGAAAAATAAAGTTTTAGAGTTTTTTAATTGATAGATGGCAGTAAGATGCAAAAATTGTGGAAAATATTGAGCAAAATAATTGAAGACATGATTGTAGCATATTTTAAGGTTATTTTTGATGTTTTGTGATGGAAAACATTGGTTTATAGGTTAAAATAGGAGAAATTGTTTATAAAACTTTGTTAAACACTAGTTTTTGAAGTTTTTATGGTTAAATTTGTTGTTTTTAACCTAAAAATCACTTTTTTAGTGATATTTTGTTGATAAATGTCAGTAAAATGTAAAAATGTCAAATAATATTGAATCAAATGATTGAAGTCATGATTGATATACATTTTTATGCCATTTTTTTGTTTTATGATAAAAATCACTGTTTTTAAGGTTAAATTTGCAATATTTGTGTATAAAACGTTGTTAAACACTAATTTCTTATGTTTTTAAGATTAAATTTGTTGTTTTTAATCTAAAAATCACTTTTTTAAAGATTTTTTGTTGGTAAATGTCAGTAAGATGTCAAAATGTCAAATAATATTGCATCAACTGATTGAAGTTATGATTGACAATCATTTTTATGACATTTTTAATGTTTTATGATAAAAATCATTGTTTTTAAGGTTAAATTAGCAATATTAGCTTATAAAACGTTGTAAAACACTATTTTTTAAAGTTTTCCGGACTAAATTTTTGTTTTTCACTGAAAAAACTCTATATTTTAGGTTAAACTTAATTTTACTCCAAATACTTCATCTAACAACCGCTAGATGGCCACACACTCCACATTTAAAGGTATAAATGATGTCAAAATCATTTTAATCATCATACGCCTTTATTATTTCTTAATACTGGTGTGAAAGTCGAACCAAAGTGTTAGAATACGTCGTGTAAGTAATAGGTTATGTGAGAATGTAACTCTAATCGCAGTAACTTGCATCGACGGTCGATATGTCGTCATTGTGTAGGTAAAAGTGTGGTTAGAACGGTGCAACGCGTCGAAAATTCATTAGTGTGTCGCATATGTGTCGCGTTAAACGTCCTACCATATCAGTTTGCATCGTTTATATGAGTAATAATCGTTGTTGAATATATGCAGACAAACGAAAGTGATAAAAAATTTCGAAAAACACACTACATTCTCGTTTTTTCTCTTCCTCCAACGTCTCAACATCATCATTACTTACAAATATTACGTGTAGATATTGTATTATTATCGCTTTCGGTTAGAATATTGAATGCGTTCCGAGTGTTTGAGCAACAAGTCTTGCGTCCAGTCAAAAAACACACACAACAAAAACATCAAGCAGCCGAGTATCAGGTACGTTTTGTGCTCGCAAGTGTTTGAAAAATTTTGATTCGTCGCTAAAACATCAATATAGAAACATGTAATATATATTATATTAACATACGTAAAATTTTGCAGATTCCTATCAAAAATTTGCCACACACTTTCCATGGATCACAAGGTTGAATCATTGAACATGCAAACGTAGGCAACCAACACAACACCACACACACACAGCATGCTCGAAAATGTTTACGGTTATGTTCAACGTGCAGTTTACACACAACAATACAACAAAAAAAAAACAAGGGAATGTAGTGGATTGATTCCACGTTTGCTTGGAATATCTCCTCACGTGAATTTGAAATCAAATCGGTTGACTCATCTCTGCACTCGTGTTTAGTCACAGTCAACACATCATCATCATAAAAGCTTTGCAAACCTTCGTCTAGATATCTCATGTGAGTATAATGTGTGTGGATGACTTTTTGATGACATTGAATGAGATGTGAATGATCTGTGTGTCTCTCAGTGAAATAATATGAAAACTTTTGCAGCTCTGCGCAACGCAACAGAAATCATCTAAGTAGAAATATAGATATAGATATAAATTCAACCAAAAGAGGTCGTTGCCGGCACGAGTCGCCGAGTGTGCGGCAGGTGAGACTATGGTAGTATAACTTATCTTCTCTGTTTGATTCTTTTTGGATCTAAAAATGTCGAAATCGTTTCTCTAGCGGAACTTCCGGCACATCCATCAGGAGATTCGGGACTGGTGCTTGCATAGCCGGTACAGGCATATGCTCCTTGCTCAAATAAGCACCGAAACCTCCGTCGTCATTCAAACTCAGGTCAGATACGCAATTCACGTGTTGAATGTGTTGAAATTGATGGGATTGATCCAAGCTGGAGGCGATTGATGAACCCAGCGAGACTTCCGGTGCTTGTGATTGGATCTTTTCCTTGAGATGCGCGAATTTACTCTGCATTACGCGGATTTGTAGCTGGAGTGAGCTGCTGAGTTGACGTTGCAGGTCTTGTACTTCGGAGATTTCTTTGCGGAGGTTTTGATAGTTGCTGCGCACTTCACTCACTGATTGGAGTAGTTGGCCGACTTCAACGTCGCCGTTCTCGTCGATGGTCATGTTTTTTTGGATGTCGCCCACTTGCAGGGCGAGTTCATCCATTCGTGCGTCGGTTTGATGCATCTAAAATTTGTGTTATTATTATTATTATTATTATATTGATTGTTTTTGTTTGTTGATGATGGTTTGTTGTTTAACCTGTTTTTCCAGATGCTCCACGACGGCTTGATTCATCCTGGGCGGTGAGTGGTGATTGGAATCACATAAAATTCAATGCGGAAAGCGGGAAATGATGAAGATGTCGAGTGTGCCGGGTGGCGAGGGAATTGATTGGTGGCGACGCCTCAAACTAACTGTGTGTCTGGAAAATTCGAGGGAGGTTGAGGGAAAGTTGGTGAGAAGGACATCTAGTGGTGGAAAATTGATGTTTTTATTTAAAACATATAAAATTTGTTTGTTGTTAAGGATTTTAAGGAAGAAAAGTGAGTATTTTAGGTGTTAAAAGTTTAAAATTTAGGTTAAATATATTTTAAAGGTTAGAAAATGTGTTTTTGAGTTGTTTTTGAAGTTTTAAGCTAAAGAAACTAAAAATTTAAAAGAAAAAATACAAATTTTATGAAATATACCTTAAAATTTATAAGAATAATAATTTTTGTTTTTATTTTATGTTAATTTTGTATACTTTTAGGAGTTTTTTGTTGTTTGTAGTGTATTCTTGGTGAAAACAACAAAATGGCGTATTTGTTTCGTCTATACACATCCAGATGGCACTACCATGTCGTTTGGAACAATTTATTATCACAAAAACATGAAATTAGTGAGTATTTCAATACTAAAAGACCAAAACGTATTTTAATTATGTTTTAAGGTTAGAAAAAGATGTTTTTAACCTATTTAAAGCTAAAAACACATAATTTTAAACCAAAAAAACAAAAAAATCAATAATTTACCAATTATTACTTTAAAATATATAAAAACATTAATTTTATTGTTTTTTTACGTTAATTTTAGACATTTTTAACCTTTTTTCTATGTTTTTAGTTCATTTTCCGTAAAAATACACAAAATGGCGTATTTTACTTCATTTTTACTCCGCCAGATGGCAGAACGATGTCCATTAGAACAATTTCCCATCGTGTAATCCCGTGGTATTCGTACACTCTCGTCGGTAAATTCCCGTTCGCAGTAAATCGAGGCTACCGCCAGACGAGCAGCCACGATAGGCGCACGATTGTATAAACCGGTCTCTGCGCATCAGCTCGCATCAGTTTGGATCGAAACGTCTCGGCGTCCGGCACGTAACGTGATACTGATACAAATACAAGTTTATATACAAATCGCACGTATATAATATAAAAAATCAATATTACTATTTTATGCGTACAAAAACATTTTATGCAAAATAATTTCCACAAATTGTTTAAACTATTAATTAAATTATTAGATTTATCGTAACAGATCGTAAAGATTCTGTCCACCTTGCGCGTATTTGTGTTCTTGTGCGTGTTGGGCAGAGGGCGCTGCTTGTCCCATCAAAAAAATCAAATTTAAGAAGCGTGAAGAAACATGAGTATTATGACCAATAAAAAGGTAAGATTTTTTGTTTTTAATTTTTAATTATAAATTTATTGGTGTGAATGTGTGTTTTGAGTGTAAATGCGTCGAAATTCAATTCGTTGTTTGCACAGCGTCTGATTATGCGCGTGTAATTCAAACAATTCAGTTTATTGTACTTTGCGCTCGCGGCTTATCTGCCCGGCTTGGAATTGTTGACGTCTAGGAAGTCACAATACCATTATTGTTATTATAAACGCAAGTTTTACTTCATTTTGTGATAAACAAAGCAATTAAACTACGCATCGTAGTAAAATTCTTAGATTATTCAAGTTTTTTGAGTTAAAATTAATATTTTTCAATATTTTGACTCAAAATTTAAGTTTTTAAATGCCTTATTACCCCCACCTAACAATAATAATATTATTGTTATTATTAATTCAAGTTTTACTTTATTTATTGTTGTATAAAGTCGTTAAACTACGAATTATGGCAAATTTTATAAAATAATTCGCATTTTTGAATATTTTCACTTAAAATCACAAATCTTACGTTTTTTTTGACTCAAAATTTAAGATTTTAATGTTTTATTTCTTCTATATCACCATTATTGTTATTAATAACTCAAATTTTACATCATTTATTAATAAACAAAGTCGCTAAACAACGAATTGTAACAAATTTTATGAAATTATTCACAATTTTTGAAAATTTTCTCTACAAATCTAAAATTTTACGTTTTTTACCTCAAAATTTAATATGTTTATGTCTTATTACACCCACCATACCATTATTGTTATGATAAATTCAAATTTTATTTAATTTATTGATAAACAAAGCAAATTATTAAAATAATTCACATTTTTTGACTTAAACCCACATTTTAAATCATTTTAAATCAAATCTTTCAATATTTACCCCCACTATTATTTCCGGATCGATTCCGCAACATCCCTTGCGCCACGTTGCGTCAGTTTGACTCTGAACGCGTGAGAAACGTCACTGTCGCCTTAAAAAAAACACTCTGCGTGTTGAAATCATTAAATCACCCATAATATCATAACTATCCGCGTAATACGTTTGTAAATTCCGTTTCGGTTGTGTTTTTAATCCTGGATTCATTAAACCAAGGCAAGATTCGGCATTTAAAGGCAATGGGCGCGCGCGGCCGGTGTATTTTCGGCCGGTCGCCGCTGACACGACCCTTGAAACACACCAATATGAAACTAGCGGGTGTACGCAGTGGCAGCACGCTTATCACGAGTGATAATACAAATAGTATATCATCGTCTTCGTCGTCTTCTACGTCTTCTATAGATAATGCTGCGAGTAATAAGAATAAGAGTAATAGCAATCATTATGCGAGATTGGTAAATATCTATTTTTTGTATTTTTATGTTTTTTTTGTTTTTATGAAGGTTTTGAGGGTTGTGTTTGTGATATGATTATTTCAAGGTTATTCATTTCTGCAACCCACTACAGAATCGATTTTTTAATGCGTTATGTATTTGTGTGTTGTATTATTGTGTATTTGTGTGTTTTAACCTTGATAGAACATAGAAATATGAGGTGTTTTACTTGGTTTATTAAAGTTTGAGGTTTTTATCTAGTTTTGTGTCGGTATTTTTTTAAGGTTTTAAAGGTTGAGCACGTAGCTGGTAAATAATTGAATAAATAATTAGTGCACGTCGGGCGTGTGACGTGTGACTGGTGGCGTTCGGTGTTCGGCGTTTGTGCAATCACTATCAGTGAGTTGTTGGTTGTTGACTATTATTAGAATTTTTTTGACGTGTAAAACTCGTGGAAAAATCGATATTTTATATTTTATTTAAAAATTGTTGGGTTGTTGAGGAAATTGAGTGAAAATAGAGTGGAAATTGTTTAATTGAGGTGTTAAATTGTTGATATTTATAAGTGTTAGTTGTTTTTAGTATTTATGAGTTCATTTGTAGGTGTTTTTATTGTTTGTTTGTAAGTTATTTAAGAAAAATGATTTTTTTGGTTTTGTTTAAAATTATGAATTTTCAAGTTTGAGGTTAATTTATAATCATTTATGAAATTTTCTATAATTTGTATTATATGTCATTTCGAGAGTAATTTAATATACTCTTAAATAGTTTTTAAATAATTTATCTAATGAGTATATTTTAAAAGTTATGATAGAAAAACTAAAGGTAAAGCAACACCAATTTTCGACTTTTATGTAAAATTTCAGTTTTGAGGTTAATTTAGGGCTATTTGTGGTATTTTTTATAATTTGTGTTATATATCATTTTAAAGGTAATTTAATATATTATCAATTAGTTGTTAAATAATTTATGTAACTTTTATACTTTAAAAGTTATATCCAAAAAACTATCAAAAACCCTAAAAAATTTTACTTCATTAAAAAATTAATTTCAAACCTAATTTATGTTCATATTTAATTTATTATATATCCATTATTATATATCATTTCGTAAATAATTTAATATTCTACCAATATCATCCAAAATATTTTATATACCTCTAATAATTCAAAAGTTACCTGCGATAAACTAAACAAAAATTAAACTGAATAAGTAACAGCAATGAATACGAGCGTAATTTACGTGAATTACTCGTATGTTATCAGTGCCAGGTCATCAGCTACGCGGCTTATCGGTATACTCGTACTTACAACACTTTATGACATTGACAATCACAATCGCAATCACACGCCCACATATTAAAAATTGCAATCATATGATTCACTTGCGATTTTAATCGCCAGCTACAATATTATTATACGTGCATTAAAAATTGCATCACAATTCATATCAAATCAGAATCAAATTATTTCAATCAAAATAATTAATAATTAGTAGTATTTTTGCGTATTAGTATATAAAAACACATTTTTTAGCATTTTAACCTTAATATTTTGATTTTCTTTTAAATTTTATCTTTAAAAGTAAATTTTTAGAAGTGTAATACTTTGTTAAAGGCGTTAATCTAGTTCAAACACACAACATTCGTGAAATAACTTGCCATTTAACACTTTAACACACTTTAAATCTTCTATCTGCTATCTTCTCTCTGTTCCGTCAGTAATCCGCTATGATTCTATGAATTAATGAATTATGCAGATAACAAACCGCCAAGCGTAATAATTACGTCGTAAACCGCCATCTTACCATAACCAGCAAAAAACAAACCAATACAAAATACCTACAATGTTGCCATTTAACCAAAAACAATCATTTTGAGGTTAATTCTATAAAAATCCCGAACTTTTGCAATTTTTTAAATGTTTCTTCATAAAAAAATCAATAAACATTGAAATTTTCACTGAAAATAAATATAAATTTCCAATTTGTTTATCCAAATCCTCATTTTACTATCATCAAAACGTTAGACAGTCTTATCACCCGCCCGCGCATGCAATTTGCATACGAAACATCAAATGACAAAAATGTAAACACAGATAACTACGACACTTTGTAAAACACAATGTTTTCAAGGATTTCTTCTTGTTTAAACAAAATTTACTTGTAATATTCGGTGCTAACCTGTTTCACTGTTTCATGTATTCCAGATGCATTCGGATCACGCCGAAATGAAAGAGCTGGCGACACGAATCTGCCGCGATTATCTCAACGGCGCGTGGAAGGACGTGACACCACAAACAATCGGCTTCAAACACATCAGGTAAGACGTGTTGCTGCCTTAATCTATTTACTATTCAGGTGATTACTCACAGACTGCTTAAATATGAGTATACGAGGTAAAAGAACAAAGTTCAAGGTTATGTCTCTATGAGTATATAACTACTAGTTTTGCCTGCGATTTCGTCCTGGTAGTGTTTAATAAAAATGTAATTCGTTTTTATTTCTTGTTTTAGAGAGAGTATGTGTTAATTCTATCAATAAGATTCGCAATTTTATTTTAAAGAAATTAATTATATGAAGAATTGCTAATAATGCACTTCAGCGCGCCATCTCGGATTCAACTATTTAACTATAACTATGATTGAATCTCAATGCCAACATTTATCCTATAGAAAAGGGGTGTCTTTAGGGTTTTCCCGGGAATTATTCGAAATTTTCTCGCTGTAAAAACCATCCTTGGACTTTAACAAACATTTTAAAAAAAGAATTGGACAAATTTGTTTAGGCGTTGTTGAGTTATGCGCGTACCAACACATTTTCGATTCATTTTTATATAAGATAATAGTGTTTTTATTTTAATTATGGTTAGTTACTAGCGCCATCTTTATGTCTATGTTGGAATTTTTGTTAAATTAGCACGCGTTATCGCTTATCTCTTATGATTTATCATTTATCTGTGAACTTTTAGATGTTTTGCGTCATTCGACACATTGTAGTAATTATTCTCTCCTTTGCTCTCTGTAAATGTTTGTTTATTGTATCTAGGTCGCTTGTAAACATCTTGTTTATGTTTATGTGTGTGTTCATATGACTAGGAGTAGTTTTTTTTTCTTTGGCGAAAACAGGAAGTCATTTGAGATTTGATTTTTTTGTTTTATTGTTTTTTGGAGGATTTTAGACGTAAACAAATTAAATATGATACATTTTGATGTGTAAATAATTGTTGCTACTTGGATTTAAGTATGTGTCATTTGATATCATCAGGAATGAGTTTGACAACGCGTAATTCGTAAATAATTGCCGCCTAATCAACAAAAAATATGTATTCGCAAAAATTGCTAACAGTCAAGTGGAATACTCGACATTTTTGCTTTGAAATATTTTCGGTTTGATGTTTATCTGTGTTTCTAGCGGTATGTTTTTTGATTGTGATTAATTTCTATGGATTTTTATTTTGGTGTAGTTGAATTTTGTGATGTGTTGTGTTTGATAAGTTATTAGCAAAAAATTAAAAGTTGTGGATCGAAACAGGTTTTATATGAAAATTTGAATTTGATGTTTAATATTTATATGTTATAAACAATTTTGAGAATAAATTTATAGTTTGTATTGTAGGGAATTTAATTGCCTACTAACATAAGAAGAAATAATCATAATATCTTTGTTTATTTAAAAGTTATAAACAAAAAACTAAATTTTCTTGTTTAAAAAATAGATTTTGCGGAATTTTGGCTTTGTAAGCAATTATTTATAACTTTTTAATATTTTTAATGCAATATTATCATCTCATATGATGAATAATTTGAATATCTATCATTATAAGCAAAAACAATTACGATATCTAAAATTATTTAAAAGTTATTAACAAAAAACCCAAAAGTACCTTTTAAAACAGATTTTGTATGAAAATTTGATTAAATATTTATAATTTATAAACAATTTTATGAATAATCATTTGTGCTATATTATAAAGAATTTAATTATCAAGTAATGCATGAAAAAATATTCATTCTAGCTCTATATATTTAAAAGTTATAAACAAAAAACGAAATTTTCTTTCTTCAAATTCATTTTTTTGAAATTTTGACTTTGTATTCAATTATTAATAACATTTAACTAATTCTAGCACCTAATTAACATCTCACATGACTGATAATTTAATTATTTACCACTATTATGGAATATTTTTAATTATCCTAACTAATCTTATTATTCCACGAATTTTAATTTCGTTTTAATTAAATTTTGCACGTGTGAGTGAGTAGTGTGTGATGTTTAATGTGAGCGAAATCCTAAATCAAGTTTTGCACGCTGCGCCTATTTATAACTCGGATGTGGCGTGTTGCAAGACGTAATCGTTGCAAGCAGGAGTTGAAACAGAAATTAGAGCCGCTATCGAAGATGTGTTTGCGTTTGCTCTGCGCGACGTCTTTGCTTTCACTACGACGCGCAGTTCTTACAAGCATCCATGCTTACGAGTACTTAAAAATAGATATATGTTGTAGAAATGTATAGAATATAGTATACTGTGTGTAGACCTTTGCATTTTACGTTCTAGTGTGTTTATTACATGGTGTATGAGTATTTTAGCCAAAATTTACGCTCAAGGTGAAAGAAACTATAAAAAACATTGGAAATATTACGTTGTAATGCGAAAATAATTAATATGTGTCCTAAATTTAGCAGGTTTTGCTTTACGATGGGTTTACTGTTAGTTTTTGTTTAGTTGTCTATTGAGTAATGCAAAAATAATTTGTTTATAATAATTTTTAAACAAATTATAAACAAAAAATTGAATTAAAGTGATTTTATCGTATTTTTGATGAAATTTTGATTTTGAGTTTAATTATTTATAACTTTTAAACATTTTTTGAAGAAAATTAATATTTTATATTATAGACAATTTAATTATCTATAGATTAACGCAAAAATTATCACGTTGTGTCAAATAATTAAAAAGTTATTAAGAAAAAATCAAAAATTATTTATCAAAACATGTTTTCTATGAAGATTTGACTTTGAGCTTAAATATTTATAACTTATAAACAATTTTGAGACAAAATTTATGTCTTATATTATAAATAATTTAATTTAATTTAATTAAACTAAATTATTCTCTTTAAAAGTGAATTTTTGCGGAATTTTTACTTTGCAACCAATTATTTATAACTTTTAAATACTTTTAACGCTAAATTAACACCTCACGTGGTAGATAATTAAATTATCTACATTTATAAGCAAAAATAATTACTTTATCTCCAATATTTAAAGTTATAAACAAAAAACCAAAATCACTTTTAAATCAACATTCATTTAGAAAGTTTCACTTTGACCTCAATTTTTACCAACTTTCAAACACTTTTTCAACCAAATAAACATTACATCTCATAAACAATTTAATCACCTCCCAAAATCCATTTAAACAATCACTCTACCTTTAATACTTTAAAACTTATAAACAAAAAAACTAAACAAATCAATTTCTCTCTCCCTTAGCGGTGGTTTATCCAACTTATTATACCACATCTCCCTGCCAGAGGACGCAATCGGCGGCGAGAAATACCGCGGCGAACCAAAAGAGGTCCTCATCCGTGTCTATGGCCAAACCCACGGCGACGCCGACCAGGCCCTCGCCTGCCTCATCACCGAAAGCGTCGTGTTTACCCTGCTAAGCGAACGTGGCTTAGGCCCTAAACTACACGGCATCTTCCCCGGCGGACGCATTGAGGAATACATCAATGCGCGCACGCTACAGACGCACGACCTGCATGATCCGCTCTATTCGCGCCTCATCGCCGAAAAAATGGCGATGATACACCAAATGGAGGTGAGATAAAAATATTTGAAATAATTTCACATTTAGAGATAGATTTATATTCGCGGTGAGAGAGAAATTTGCTTCCCCAGTATTTTATTTATTACTTTTCCAGATCATTTGGTGAGAATCATACAATTTATTTCTATAATGATCACAAAGTCAATTGATATTCAAGCATTAATCAAATTAGTTTTGAAGTTATAAGTGAAGAAGTGAATTTACTTCTTTTAAGTTTTTTTGTTGTTGAAATTTTGATTTTGTGGCTAATTATTTATAACTATTACGGAGTTTAAACAACAAATTAACATCTTAATAGGTAGATAATTAAATAATCTACCATTTTCAGTTAAAATAATTTCGAAATCTCTAATAATTCATAAGTTATAAACAAAAAACTAAATTTTTACTTGAAACTCTAGTTTTCCATCATTAGTTTGACTTTATGGCTAATTATTTATAACTTTTAAGTAATTTTAACACCAAGTTAATATCATTATTGATAGATAATTAAATAAACTACCGTTTCCAGTAAAAATAATTACGAAATCTCAAATAATTCGAAAGTTATTAACAAAAAACTCAAAAGTAACTTTTAAAACTGATTTTCTATGATACTTTGACTTTGGGCTTAGATATTTATAACTTATAAACAATTTTACGAATAATATTATGAGCCATTTTATAGAGAATTTAATTATCTACCAATTTATGAAAAAATAATCATTCTCTTATAAATAATTTAAAAGTTATAAACAAAAAACTAAATTTTTCTTTAAAACCTAGTTTTTCTTCCTAATTTCGACTTTATTGCTAATTATTTATAACTTTTAAGATATTTTAACACCAAATTAATATCTTAATTGGTAGATAATTAAATAATCTACCATTTTCAATAAAAATAATTACAATATCTCAAATAATTTAAAAGTTATAAACAAAAAAATAAATTTTTCCTTTAAAACCTAGTTTTCTTCATAATTTCGACTTTATGGCTAATTATTTATAACTTTTAAGCAATTTTAACACTAAATTAACATCTCTCATAATAAATAATTTAATTCTCTACCAAAATAAGTAAAAATAAATTTGATATCTCAAATAATTCAAAAGTTATAAACAAAAAACTAAAAACTCACAAAAGTAAGTTCAATCACTTGTAATTGCTATTGTGTAATTAATGATAATTTGATTATTGCTTGAATTGTTCATTGTTCAACCAAAGAGACTGAAATTAAGTTGGCGTCGCGCGCGTTTGTCGAGTGTACCCAGAATGCTTAGGAAATTTACGCGCCGGCGTGAATAGAGCGCGATAAACTGTTGTTATGACATGCATAGTTGCATGCCATGGCGACAATCTAAATAAACAAGTTTAAAACGTACTTGGAGTAGGTTTCCATTGATAAACATCGGAAAACTAGACGGATAGATATAACTACTCGTATATTATATTGATTTAGTAAATGTTGTTCTAGAGCGCTTGACTTTTTAACCTTAAATATTTTATTAAATTACTTGCTTTCAAGTGTTTTTGATTGTTTAGAGGAAATGTTAGTATTAATTGTGATGGGGAATTTAATTATTGAGTTGGTTTTGAAGAGATGAGTGATTTATGAGGATTAATTAAGAAGTTATTAAGTAAAATGTGAGGGAATTATGAGGTTTTTGGTTTTTTCTTAGAAATATTGTTATTTAAGTAGTGTAAATGTTGTTAAAAATTGTTTTGTGGTATACCACATGAAAGAGAATTAATTAATCTGTTAGAAATGCTTTAAATAAATAATATCTGACTCATAGTTAATAAATTACAATGGAAAAACCTAAAAATGTCAACTAGTTTAGCTTTTTTATGTTTTTTTTTCAACTTTGTTAAATATTTAAGTATACTTAAAACAATTTAAGTAACTTAAGTTGGGTATCAAATTAAAGATAATTTAAATATCTACAAAGAACTGCAAAAATAATTCAAAAATAATTACTAGTTCAGAAGTTATCACGGAAAAACTAAAAAAAACAACACTAACACTCATTTTAAGTGAAAAATCGATTTCTAACTCAATTAAAAAATACTTTAAACTATTTAAAAACAAAAATCAAGCTCTAATCTTATAAAAAATTCAATTATCTACCAATATATCAACAAATAATCAACCTACCCAAAATATTTCAAGAATTATAACCTAAAAACTAGAAAATTTCTAGAAAACACGTTTTAAACGCTGAAAAAAACGATTTTTAACCTAAAACCCTCAAACATAACTTAAACCTCCACGTATTAAACTTGTTTATTCAAATATTTTGTGTGCACTCGAATTGCGCGTCTTATCTAACCTGACCCTTCATTCCAATAATCTAGCTCTAGCTCTAATTAGATCTGTGTACTTGTGCCATTTCGTCATCCACACATATGGGGTTTGTTTTTGTTTTTGTTCCATGTTTTAGCCGAGAACCGGGGGCGAGCTCACGCCATAAAAGCGCTTGGGGGGCGGCCAAGCGCAAAACGAAACGAAAGAGAAAATGCCGAGCAATGCCGGAAATCGTAGGAATCTCCAATGTACCTTATTCAATCAATCAATCAATCAATCATAAAACAAATTCATAACAATCATTACAAAACAAAACATTACCAAAATTTAAAAAAACTCAATCAAAGAATCAAAAAATAAAAAAAAAAACATCAAAATTTTTTATCAAAAAATCAACAAAATTCGCTTCAACTTACTAAAATCAAATGAATTTACAGGTGCCTTTACACAAGGAACCCACATGGCTCTGGCAGACCCTACACAGGTGGCTCAACACCTGGAAAGACATGAGCGCGACCAAATTACCACCGGATGCACAACCCCTACAAGAATGTGATTTACACGCAGAAGCTCGCTGGATTCGTCAAACCGTCGACGAATTACACTGCCCAGTCGCTTTCTGTCACAATGACATGCAAGAAGGGAATATCCTAAGCGTCCAGGACGAGAATGAGAACAACTATGGTGAACCACGGCTTGTAATCATCGACTTCGAGTACTGCTCGTACAACTATCGCTCATTTGACCTGGCGAATCATTTCCTCGAATGGGTTTATGATTACACGCACAAATCAGCGCCGTATTACAAAGCCACCATGGAGAATTACCCAAGTGAAGCTCAACGCCTGCATTTTATCCATGCTTATCTCAAAGAGCAGGACTCCGATGAAGATCCACAGGTGTTAATGCATGAAGTTAGGGTCTTCACGTTGGTTAGTCATCTGTTCTGGACTCTGTGGTCGATTGTCAATGCTGAAACGTCAAAAATTCCATTTGGTTACTGGGTATTTATTTCATGACCTAAAATTTTATACTTTTAACCTCAAAATATTATTTTTTACCTGTTATAGGATTATGGTATTTGTCGTATGAGGTCTTACCAGAAAGCCAAGGCAGAACTCCAGCAGTATCACAAAACTCACAAGAGAAAAGCTGATTCACCGTGAATTCGCAATGTTTCACATCCTTATAGCTTAGACCATGCAGAAAAATGTTTCGATTACATATCATGATGATACGCAACCCGCCTCACACATGATTGTGTGAGGTGATGAAAATGCGGACGACTGGCGAGAGACAAGGTTACTTAACGGTCTGTGATCTTAAGCTATGTAGATACACATTTAAACAAGCCACACTCAACTATTCAGTATAAGAGCACCGCGTTATATACTTACTATACCTTCTTATTCACACTAAGCGTAGTTATGAATACTTAAATGATGTAAGTGAGAAATGTATGAAGCACTGATTTTAGCGATGTGTAAAATGGCGGCCGTAATGGTTAGGATAACGTAAGATACGATTTGAATTTTTGTACATACCATTTTGTAGCAGTGTTTGTGTTGACTTGTAGGTCTTATTACTTACTGATTACTTAGTTTAGGTTATTTATACGACAATTATGTTATTAATATGAATAAAGAATTAAATTTTATTACCACGAGATGTTTCACTGAGTTTCACAACCGTTGTCGTCAGCCATTGGGGTTGATGTCATATTTGTTGTGTTTTTCTGCCGAGAGGGCGCGCTGCGTGTGTGAGTACTACCAACATAAATATTTAATTTTAAGAAAAAAGTATTAATTTATTAAGTATATCATAAAATAATATATAAATTCATTATGAAATAATTTTTAAATGAATTATTTATATGTTTACTAGTTGATTTGGTAATATTTTGGTTTAAAATATAAATTTTGAAATAAATTCTTGGCGTGTCTCTGCATTGTGCTGCCCTCTGCGTCAATAATATAAACTAACAAATAAAATTTATATTTTAAACTAAAAATGCGTAAATTCATGACATTTTTAGTAATAAAACATTAAAAACACTTTAAATAATTCAAACAAACCATTACCTGCATATAATTCTTGTTTTTAAACATATTATTCTGAGTTTTTTAAAATATATGTATACTGGGTTGCCGTCATCTAGGTGCATGTTTGTCTTCCGCATCCAGCATGACGAATAGTCGATTCTGCCCATCGCGACCCGAACAAAACTCGATTTTAAAACGTAACAAGCAATATTAAACCCACAATGGATCAATCAAAAGATGCAGGTAATATCCCTACACATTTTCCACACAAATTCAATCACATTTTGTGCGTTTACATCGATTTTATCACTGATTTCCGCTCATCGTTACGATGTGCGTGGGATGTTTGCATTTGTTACTTGTTTTCATGATAATTAACATCCTGCAAGTTCTGGGATAGATTAAACTATTTAAATATAATGTTTTTGGTGTAAATTTCAGATGAGGCAGAGGCGGCATGCGCTGGATGCCTCAATTCAGTCCATGACAATGAATCCATCTCAGCATTGGGCCAAGACTGGCATGTCGAGTGCTTCAGGTGCACAGTTTGCGATGCATTGCTCTCAAATTGGTATTTTGAGAAGGACGGGCTGTTATTCTGTAAGAATGACTACTGGAATCGCTTTGGTGAGAGCTGCCAACAGTGTGCGCAGGTAAAAACCTAAAAAAATCAAAAAAATCAAAAAATTTATAAAAAAAAACACAAAATTCTTAATTTTTAGATAATCACAGGCCCTGTGATGGTAGCAGGTGAACACAAGTTCCATCCCGAGTGCTTCTGTTGCACACTGTGTTCAATTTTCATTGGTGATGGAGATTCATATGCCTTGGTCGAGAGATCCAAGCTGTATTGTGGTGTTTGTTACAAACAACAAATGCAACCACTGCAGAAAACAACGCGGTATCCTTTTATAACAAAACCACATTCAATTCGCTTGGTTGAACTGCCCACAGGTCCCAAAGGCATCAAATTGACTTCAGATCCAATCGCACAAAGCCATTTGACTATATCACAGTAAGTATTTAGTGATTATTGATTACTTTCAGCTTTTTTTTGATTAATAAACTACTATTTTAACTTGCTTTCATCTTTTTGTTAACCTTTTAATGTTTCCACAACGTTTTTAACCTCTAAAACATTCAATTTTAATATTTTTAAGATTTTTGTTTAAAAAAAGCATAAAAACATAGTTTTAACCTCTAAATATTCATCTTTTGATATTAATTTAGTGTTATTCCTAGTATTTATTGATTTACCTCCACAGAACAAAAAGAAGCCATTATTAATCCACCGGAAGTGAATTCCAATACTTCCATTGATACAGAAGTAAAAGAAAGGTTATTTAAACGTCGAGATGAAACCGGTTGTTGCACCGCACGTTCCAGACAGTTATTACGACGTAAACATAACCTAGAAACACGCCCGTCATTGGATAAAGAACGCAGCAGTTCCATGAGTCGTTTATTGGATGATTTACCCAATAATAAACGTCCGAATGAACTGTCAAGAGCATATTCATTCTTGGAGTCTAAACCACAACAACGCAGCGTCGGATTTGGTTAAGGGAGAGTTATTAGGACAGGGATTCTTTGGACAAGTGTTTAAGGTTACAACGAGGGACACTGAAGAGGTTATGGTGTTGAAGGAGTTGTATAGAGTCGATGAGGAAGCACAGAAGAATTTCTTAAAAGAGGTAGGTTATGTTTTGTATATAATAACCTTAAAAATTGTTTAAAATGACTAAAATTGAGGTTATGTTTGTTCAGGTGGCTGTTTTGAGGAGTTTACATCATAATAACGTGCTGAGATTCATCGGGGTGTTGTATAAAGAGCGCAAGTTGCATTTGGTGACTGAATACATCGCCGGCGGGACGCTAACCGAACTTTTACACGATGACAAGCAGATTTTGGCGTGGCAACAGCGCGTGTCATTCGCCAGGGACATTGCGGCTGGTATGGCGTATCTACATTCGATGAATATTATACATCGTGACTTGAATTCGCATAATTGTTTGGTTAGAGAGGTTAGTTTTACTTATAACCTATAAAAATTTACTTTTTAGTTAAAATAACCTAAAATACTTGTTTTTATGCAGGATAAGACTGTGATTGTTGCGGATTTTGGTCTTGCACGTATAATATCACAGAATACTGATAGTATACGACGCTCACCGAATCACAAGTGTAATAATCAACAGAAACGTAATGAAAGGAAGAAACGTTACACAGTTGTGGGTAATCCATACTGGATGGCACCGGAAATGATGAAGGGGAATAAATATGATGAGAAAGTTGATATATTTAGCTTTGGCATTGTTTGCTGTGAGATTATTGGTAGGGTACAGGCCGATCCAGATTTTTTACCCAGGAGTAACGATTTCGGGCTGAATCAGAGCGATTTCCGGGAGAAATTCTGCGCTAGTTGCCCGGAACCTTTCTTTCAAGTGGCTTTCCTTAGTACGGATCTTAATCCGGATAAACGGTGAGTGTTTATGGCATACATAACCTTAAAACCTTAAATTTGTGATTTTGAGGTTAATTTTTTCCCCTAGGCCGCCTTTTGAGGTTATAGAAGTGTGGTTAGAATCACTTGCAATTCACCTGTCGGTTGGATGTCCGTTACCAGCGGATTTATTGTTTGATATACAACATTTCAAAGGTATAAGTCCTGCTTCCAGTGGCAGTAATACTCCGGAAGGTGGCGCTGGCGCTGGTGGGCATCGTAGTCCAGTCGCACTGCAACCAATCACCGAAGGTAAACTCATCGTGGATAACATTTCAAAGTCACGCAGCTCGGATTGTATCAAACCGCTGGATTCCAACCTCAAAAAGAAACCGAAGACGATTTTGAAGCGTGCGTTGGCTACGCATGCGCATACACCCTGCGCCATGTTGGGCACGCTGTCAAAAAGCGTGGAGAATTGTTCTCTGCATTCATCCACGAATGATTTCGATGAATTCTGCACGAAATCATGCGATGATTTTAGTAATACTTTAGTTATTGATAAAACAATGACGAATCAAGAGTTTCCGAATTATGAAAACATAGATTTTTTAAAGAACGACGCTGCGTATCTAAACGAATCGGATAAAACCCACAAACAGAGTTTATGTCCCGTAAAATTAAAAAAACCGGTTCAAGTACAACCTGTTGAGAATAACCTCAAAGATATCAAGGATCATCGTCAGTCACTACGAAAAGTCCCCAAGAATTTCACGCGGAATCGGTTTTTAAAGACGCAGCACTTGGATAGGTTAGAAGAAGGTTGTGTCAAGGACAAACTGTCAACTTGTGGTAAACGCAGTACTTTAGAGGTTACAAAACCTCAAAAACAGAAAAACACAGGGATTCTTTGGACAAGTGTTTAAGGTTACAACGAGGGACACTGAAGAGGTTATGGTGTTGAAGGAGTTGTATAGAGTCGATGAGGAAGCACAGAAGAACTTTTTAAAAGAGGTAGGTTATGTTTTGTGTATAATAACCTTAAAAATTTATAAAAATTGACTAAAATTGAGGTTATGTTTGGTTAGGTGGCTGTTTTGAGGAGTTTACATCATAATAACGTGCTGAGATTCATCGGGGTGTTGTATAAAGAGCGCAAGTTGCATTTGGTGACTGAATACATCGCCGGCGGGACGCTAACCGAACTTTTACACGATGACAAGCAGATTTTGGCGTGGCAACAGCGCGTGTCATTCGCCAGGGACATTGCGGCTGGTATGGCGTATCTACATTCGATGAATATTATACATCGTGACTTGAATTCGCATAATTGTTTGGTTAGAGAGGTTTGTACATCACATAACCTATAAAAAATTACTTTTTAGTTAAAATAACCTTAAAATGTTTGTTTTTATGCAGGATAAGACTGTGATTGTTGCTGATTTTGGTCTGGCACGTATAATATCACAGAATACCGATAGTATACGACGTTCACCGAATCACAAGTGTAATAATCAACAGAAACGCAATGAGAGGAAGAAACGTTACACAGTTGTGGGTAATCCATACTGGATGGCACCGGAAATGATGAAGGGGAATAAATATGATGAAAAGTTTGATATATTTAGCTTCGGTATTGTTTGCTGTGAGATTATTGGTAGGGTACAAGCGGATCCGGATTTTTTACCCAGGAGTAATGATTTCGGGCTGAATCAGAGTGATTTCCGGGAAAAGTTCTGTGCTAGTTGTCCGGAACCTTTCTTTCAAGTCGCCTTCCTCAGTACGGATCTTAATCCGGATAAACGGTGAGTTTTTATGCCATACATAACCTTAAAACTTAATTTTGAGGTTATTTTTCTCCTAGGCCGCCTTTTGAGGTTATAGAAGTGTGGTTAGAATCACTTGCAATTCACCTGTCAGTTGGATGTCCGTTACCAGCGGATTTATTGTTTGATATACAACATTTCAAAGGTATAAGTCCTGCTTCCAGTGGCAGTAATACTCCGGAAGGTGGCGCTGGCGCTGGTACTGGTGGGCATCGTAGTCCAGTCGCTCTGCAACCAATCACCGAAGGTAAACTCATCGTGGATAACATTTCCAAGTCACGCAGCTCGGATTGTATCAAACCGCTGGATTCCAACCTCAAAAAGAAGCCGAAGACGATTTTGAAGCGTGCGTTGGCTACGCATGCGCATACACCCTGCGCCATGTTGGGCACGCTGTCAAAAAGCGTGGAAAATTGTTCTCTGCATTCATCCACGAATGATTTCGATGAATTCTGTACGAAATCATGCGATGATTTTAGTAATACTTTAGTTATTGATAAAACAATGACTAATCAAGAGTTTCCTAATTATGAAAACATAGATTTTTTAAAGAACGACGCTGCGTATGTAAACGAATCGGATAAAACCCACAAACAGAGTTTATGCCCTGTAAAACTTAAAAAACAAGCAATTGTACAACCTGTTGAGAATAACCTCAAAGATATCAAGGATCATCGTCAGTCACTACGAAAAGTCCCCAAGAATTTCACGCGGAATCGATTTTTAAAGACGCAGCACCTCGATAGGTTAGAAGAAGGTTGTGTCAAGGACAAACTGTCAACTTGTGGTAAACGCAGTACTTTAGAGGTTACAAAACCTCAAAAACAGAAAAAACCACAAACTATACAGCCGTTAACTAAAGTACAAAACAAAGTATCATCCAATACGCTGAATAAGAACATATTTAAGCAAAACGACGCGAATACAATGACATCTCAACAGATTGAGGTTATAGAAGAGGAGCCATTGCTGCGCAGTTTACGGAAATCACCGAAAATGTTGGATTTGACAGGCACACCACGGTTTCTACAACGAAAAGCATTCACACCGGTATTACCACGACGGTTTTTCGATACTTTTAAAGATATTAACGCGAAAGATGTAAATCTAACCTCAAAAAACGATAAAAAAGAAAGTTTGGGTTGTACAGGCACTGCAGGTCATTCAATTGTCAAAAATTTAGTCGAGAGTTTCAATCGGAAGGAAGCTAGTTATGATTTCATGCGCGGGCCGAAATATGGTAGGGGTAGTTTAAAGATGGCGGCGAAAAACAGCGAATTCTCGCAGTTGTAAATCATTACCGGGGTGGAAATCATTAAACATTCAATACTGTGATGTGTCAAAGCATTCCAAATTGTGATTTGTTCATTACTCGTTTAACAATTGTTTATTATTAATTAATTAGGCGTACATTTAATGCGTAATATAAATTGTAAGCGTTGGACTAATAATTCTGTGATATTTTGCCCTGTATAATGATGTATCTAATACACTTTGTAGATTTTTAGGTTATTAATACGTTTCGGTTAGCTTAGAGCAGGTTTTTGTACAGTTTTGTATAGAAAATCAATAGACGTAGACATTTTTGACATTAACAAATGCAATAAACTGATTCCGGAATATTTTGCGGATGTTTTAGTGAAAACAGAAGTGATTTTTGGTAATTAACAAGCAAGTTATGGATGTTTTAAGTTTTGTAGTGATATTCGGCGGGTTTTAAACCTGTAGGCAATGGGCGGAGCATGTTTTACTTTAAATGCGTATAACTTTTAAACTAATAGAGATAATTTGTTCATTTTTTCATGATTAGTTTTAATTTTCTAGATATTTTGTTAAAACGTGTCAGACGTGTCATACGTGCTGTTTTTTTGTCAATGATAAAGCACAGAATCATTTTTATGACTTATAAGTTATTTATAAATGGCGACACGACAATATTTTATTCATTAGTCTTTTTAAAATCTTTTTAAAACTCACAACAGAATAATTTCCATACAAAATGTCATATTTTATGTTACTTATACTGATTTGCATCAATTTGTGCTATGCAACCAAACCTACACTACGTAAGTTTCAACATATAACCTTCTAAACACTCAAAAAAACAATAATCATAAATATTTTTGTTTAGGAATGCCGCAGTGTAAGTACACAGACGAATCATGCCTCAAATCAGCCGCCATGTTGGGTTTACAATCACTACGTGAACCTAACCTTCAATTAGATTTACCATCAATAGATCCGTTCGTGATTGAACGTATTCACGTGCGTGCTAACACAACATCTAAAGTGTGTTTCACACAAGAATACTACGACTTTAAATTCATTGGTATGTCAATGGCTAACGTCACGAATTTTGAGGTTAAAATCAGTCCTGCACATGTTTACCTCAACTTTTCTTTGGAGATGAAAGTTTTTGACATGGTTGGCTACTTCAAGTGGAACGGAACTGTCATGGGGCACGTCATAGACGGATATGGACTGTGTAACATAACCTCAGGTAACGCAAAAGTGGGCGGAGCATAAAAAACTTAAAACTTGAATAATTTTGATCTATTGTAGATATTTTAATGATTTTTTGTTTTGTTCACAGTGAATGTCACGCATGTCCATAAGTTAACCTTAAAACGTAATATCAAAAATGACAAGTTACGTTTGATAGGTTATGACGTCGATTTACAACCCACGTCATTATTGTTTTCATTACCTAACCTCGTACGTGGTAATCCAACGGCTTCCAAAGAAACCGAGCGGTTTTTCAACCAGAATGGCATGCAAATATTTTTCGAGGTTAAAGACGACTACGATCGAATCTTCGGGAAGATATTTTACCCATACGCATGCGCATTCTTCAAAAAACTATTCCTACATGATTTATTTTACATATAACACAATATAACAAAAAAATTAAGGTTAAAATCAATAATATTATGAATAATGTGAAATGGCGGCGTAGATAAAATCCAGCATGGCCGCCGTCCGTGCGAATCCACTCGGTGCACCGCGCGTACAACCAATTGAACTTGTAAAGCTAACTATACCCACATGCGTCCATCTTTGATTTATATATTGTACAAGACAACCTCCGCTATCATCTTGTAAACATCCAGTGAAAATTTGAGGTTATTCTATCGAATGGTTTAGAAGTTATACGCGTTTTAAGTTGTGTAGTAACAAACGGCGGGTTGTGAACCACGCGGCACTGGGCGGAGCACGTTTTACTTTCACTTCGTATAACTTCTGAACTATGAGAGATATTTGAAAAATTCTTTCGGCGTTGGTACTCACTTGACATGGCGATTCTATGGTGCGACCCACACAACACACAACGTTGTTTGAGATATTACTGGATGTGAAATATTTATTGCAATCATGATTGCTGATTGTTTTTAGGTTGACAAAGTATAAATACGAAGAAATTGGGTTTTCTAAAGGTGATAAAATATTAAATTAAACATAAAATTTTTTTAGGTTAAGTTTAAGTAGACTTACCATATTGAGTTGTGCCTCACCCACTAACCCATACATCTTCATTACTTTTAAGATAATTATTGTGTTTAGGTAGTGCTATGGGTTGAATAAAATACGAGAAACTCACACGTCTGATAAGTTGTATCATGGCGACGTCATTCTCGTATGTAGACGTGTTATACAGTGGATGCAAGACGGCCATTTTGATTTTCGTCAATATTTTACCATATTGTCGTCTATACGCATGCGTACCACCCAAAAACACATCAAAACTTTGTGAACTGCAATAAAATGAGGTTAATTTTGTTTTTTGGATTTTTTTTGATATTTTGAGGTTATATACTTGTAAACACAGTGCGCAGCTGTTAGTACCCATTGGTTACTGATGAGGGCGCCACCGCAGAAGTGTGTAACACCACTGGAGTTGTAATAGATGCCTACCTGCCATTTTATTTGCCCTGGCGCAGCGGGATAACCTTTAATTAACTTACGGTTTGTTTCTTTTGCTTCTGGATAACCTAAAAATATAACCTAACATAACCTATGTAATAATATAACCTTAATACTTACTTCTACATCCGCCATTTTGTTTATATGAAGATGTTATGATGATTACACACAGAATAATGATTATTTTCATTGTTTGGTGTTATAATGTTGCTGTTGTTGTTAACAACAACATGAATATGGTGTTTTTGTTAAATTTGGTGTTTTATACCGTGCGACACCGATAAATTAATGTAATTTTCTCCGTCATTAATTTGGGACAATGGGATTAGTGGTAATGTGACTGATAGTGTGGTTTTTATTGATTTTGTTAACAATATTACATTGTTGTTTTACTTTTTTCTTGCGTAAACATGATTTATGAAAATTTTTGATTTTGCAATTATTTGGAATGTTTTCAATGTAGACGATTATGTTTATCGCTGGGAATAATAATAATTGTATTGTAATTATGATAGTGGAAACAGAACGTGATTATTTTAAATAGTTTAGGAGTTATGTGAGTTTTAAGTTTTGTAGTGATATTCGGCGGGTTGTAAGTCTGTAAGCAGTGGGCGGAGCATATTTTACTTTCACTTCGTATATCTTCTAAACTAATAGAGATAATTGGAAAATTTTTTTGACATTTTGATTTATATAACCTAAAATATTACTTTCAACTTAAATTATAATAATTTGAAAAATAATTTTAGTTAAATTTTTAGGTTATTAATAATTTTAATTTAAAAAGTGTTTTGTACAATTTTGTGATAAAAACAATATTATACAACTCACCACTTAATATGCTAAGTATACTTAACCTTAAAATATTTTTTTATGTTTATTATAATATTTTCACCTTTAAAACCTGATTTCTTTGAATTTATACTTTGTCAACCTAAAAACAATCAGCAATCATGATTGCAATAAATATTTCTCATACAGTAATATCTCAAACAATGTTGTGTGCTGTGTGGGTCGCACCATAGAATCACCATGTCAAGTGAATACCAACGCCGAAAGAATTTTTCAAATATCTCTCATAGTTTAGAAGTTATACGAAGTGAAAGTAAAACGTGCTCCGCCCAGTGCCGCGTGGATTACAACCCGCCGTTTGTTACTACTCAACTAAAAACGCGTATAACTTCTAAACCACTGAATCGAATAACCTCAAATTTTCACTGGATATTTACAGGGTGATAGCGGAGGTTGTCTTGTGCAGTATATAAATCAAAGATGAACACATGTGGGTATAATTAGTTAGTTACAAGTTTTGAATAATAAGAAATATAATAAACTGTTTCAGGAATATTTTGCGAATGCTTTAGTAAAAACAGAACTTAATTTGGGTAATTAACAACAAAGTTATTCACGTTTAAAGTTTTATAGTGTTATTCGGTTGATTTTAAACCATGTATCAATGGGCGGAGCACGTTTTACTTTCACTTCGTATATCTTCTAAACCAATTGAGATAATTAAAATATTCTTTCAACATTTTGTTCAATAACAACATATTTATTTATTTATATTTTAACATTTGGTAATTATTGACGAGAAATGCCTGTGTTGGTGTAGATAAAGTCCAGAACGGAAGCAGTACGTATGAATCCACTTGGATAACCCACAGCGCATCCCCTAGTGCTCACAAAACTCACAATACCCACATGGGTCCAGACGCCATTGATTTCTTGAATGAGTGGACCACCACTATCACCCTGTATATAAAACAAAACATAAACATTTTTATAAAAATATAAAATATAAAAATTAGAAGTTAAAATATCCATTAATTCAAAAGTTATAAGCAATCAAAGTCTCAGCTATTAATGGGCGGAGCTTAAAAAACTTCAAACGCTTATATCTCCTAAACCATAAGAGATATCTCGATGAAATTTTCAACACTTACATTACAAGTGGATTGGATTTGTCTGCCATCACAACAAACAACATTATCCAAGATTAAATTAGAGTTGAAATAATTTTTGCATTCTTGGTTAGAAATGGTTCTCAATTGGACGTAATTCAAAATATTAGTAATCTGCGACTGTTCTATACTCAACAAAAACAAACAAATATTAATAAATAATAAAAATAATAAAAATAATAAAAATAATAAAAGTTAAGGTTATGTCCACTTACGATCACTAGTCTTTCCCCATCCACTGACCCAGACATAATTATTAGGTTGAAGGTAATCCGATGACTTAGGCAACCTAATTGGCTGAATGTAGTTGCTGTATTGCACGGGCGAGATGAGTTTAATCACAGCCACGTCATTGTTGAGGTTATTGGGATTGTAACGTGGATGATACAGTGCCTTTTCGATCTTCATTGTTATTTTACCGTTTTGATTGTCGTAAGCACGAGTTGCGCCCAAGATAACCTCAAAAGTATTGGCACTACAAGTATTAAAGAAGGAGATAAAACGTTAAGTTAGAAATTTAAACATTTAGAGGTTATGATGTATTACTTGTATACGCAGTGTCCAGCTGTCAAAACCCATTGGTTGTTGAGCAGTGCGCCGCCGCAGAATTGTCGGTTGCCGTTGATTGTGTGGAAAATGCCGACTTGCCATGGAAATTGACCACGTGCCGCTTCGATTCCGTTGATTATTCTCCCCTCGGAGCTGGAGTCTATGAAAGTATGTATTAGTAACATGTAGAGGGTTTTTAACCTAACTTTTCAAAAGGCGGAGCATAATTTTCTTTAAACTCAAATATCTCCTAAACTATTAGAGATAATTAAAAAATTCTTTTTGCGTTTTGTGTAATAAAACATACTCTTTAGATATATTTATAAGTATTAATCAAAAGATTTTAATTTAACCTCTAAAACATTAAAAAAGAAAATGTTAGCTGTACAGGCACTGTCGGTCATTCAATTATCAAAAATTTAGTCAAATGTTTCAATCGAAAGGAAGCTAGTTATGATTTCATGCGCAGGGTGAAATATGTCAGGGGTAGTTTAAAGATGGCGGCGAAAAACAGCGAATTCTCGCAGTTGTAAATCATTACCGGGGTGGAAATAATTAAACATTCAATACTGTGATGTGTCAAAGCATTCCAAATTGTGATTTGTTCATTACTCGTTTAACAATTGTTTATTATTAATTAATTAGGCGTACATTTAATGCGTAATATAAATTGTAAGCGTTGGACTAATAATTCTGTGATATTTTGCCCTGTATAATGATGTATCTAATACACTTTGTAGATTTTTAGGTTATTAATACGTTTTGGTTAGCTTAGAGCAGGTTTTTGTACAGTTTTGTATAGAAAAACAATAGACGTAGACATTTTTGACATAAACAAATGCAATAAACTGATTCCGGAATATTTTGCGGATGTTTTAGTAAAAACAGAAGTGATTTTGAGTAATTAACAAGCGAGTTATGGAAGTTTTAAGTTTTGTAGTGATATTCAGCGGGTTCTAAACCTGTAGACACTGGGCGGAGCACGTTTTACTTTCACTTCGTATAACTTCTAAACTAATAGAGATAATTTGTTTGTTTTTCATATTATTCATTGATTATTCAACCCTCAACACAATAATTCATAAAATATACATTAATAACCCAAAAATCTAACCTATTTTTTACAAAAAAAATTTAAACTTAAATATCTCTTAAACTAATAAAGATAATCAAAAAATTCTTTCACCTATATAACCTACAAACTATAAACTTACTATTTGGTGCATTGTTGACCACAACGCCGCCATCTTGCCCAGCGTAGACAAGCGCAAAACTGCACAATAAAATAAACACTTTCATGTTGACTTCTATTTTATTACTTCTCTATTATTACTTGCAGTGTGTGAATTGTGTGTCAAGAACACTCGAACACTGATTGTCTGCACCAATGGCGGCGTATTTATACGCGATCTGAGTGATTTCGCATCGCCGGCGACAACACTTCAAGTGTCACACAAAAATAAATGAATTTCAGCCACTTATCGATAAGGATATTAGACTTATTTGTTTGTTGAAATTTATTGCAAACGGTAAACTATTTAAATAATTTACCGCTACATGTATTATTATTAGTTTTGTAAAAATTTCAGTGTTTTGTTATTCATGACGTCATTGGTAATTACCACAACATTATTGAAATGAAAACATCTTTAGAATTGTTGTGATTTCAAAATGAATGAAACGACACTAAAAAGAGACAAACATATTCGTTTGTATGGTTTAGCCTGTGAGAGAATAAGAGAACAAAATGTACAGGGTGTTTGCTATTATCTTCGTCTCCTCTTTGTGCGATGCTTCGTAGCTTGCCACAAGCCACTTGATTCGGAATATTTTCTGAATCCCCAGTAATATTATAAATGCGAAAGTCCTGATGTTTGTTACACTTTCACGCAAAAACTACTTAACCGATCATCATGACAATTTGTACACATATTCTTAGTGGTCCCCGAATGGTTATAGGCTACTTTTTATTTAATAAAAATAATTATTTTTTAAGTAAAATAAAGAAATTATTTAGTCAATAATACTTCTGCATCTGGGTATTTGACTACTTTAACGCTATCTTACATTCCAGCAATGAAGCTCAAACCTAAGTACTATAGTACCATCACACTGTATTATCACACTGTATTACCAACAGCTACGTCAACATCAAATTCAATTGACTACACTATGGAGACTGTACACTATACTTCCATAGACTATACTTTCAGCCATTTTAAACTTCCCGCCATTCTACTTCATTGTTACTTCTTCTGTGACTACAGACGCGTACGGAAGCAACTTCATTATTTTAGATATTCGCGAGCGAAGCCGCTAGTATTAGATAATTTTACACTTGATTCCAATATTATAATAAATAAACCCCTTAATTATCCCCACTCCTGATACTATTTCGTCTTATTCTCTTGCAATGCAGTGTTCTGAAGGTTTCAAGGATACATGATTTTTTTCTCTTTTTTTTCTGTGCGTTAATGTGTTTTCTATTGTTTATTATTTCTTATCAATTTAGTAACAGTGTAAAGTTACCGTTTTTGGTGTGAGTAAGTTGTTGTTGAGGAATTACCGGTTGTCATGATTTTTTTTTGTGTGTTGAGTGTGTGCAAACAGTTGAACACACTCATAAATTCATGGAGAGATAAGCGCTTGAAGGATTTTTGATATTTGTGGTTGGTGATTTAAAGTAATTGGAAATTTGACGTTTTGAGGACGGGTAATGTTCAAGTGATAATATAATTAATAATTCTATAAATATCTACACGTGTTGTTGTTAACAAAGTATTTTTTGTGGTGAATTTCTATGTAGAGTGATGTAGTAGCATGCGGCGGGTTCTAAACCAAGGGAGCAATTTAATTATTTTTGTTGTATATTGTTAAGTAGTATTTTGCTTATTTATTTTATAAAATTTGTTTTGATCCAGACGCCATTGATTTTTAATTTTGTGGATTTTTGCATCACCCTGTATATAAAATAAAATATAAACACATATAAACATAAATGTAAAAATTTATGTTGAAATATCAAGCGCACCTCCCAAATCAGCCTGCATCAAAAAACAAACAAATATAATAAAAAATCACAAATTAATCCACTAAAAATTATAAATACATGCAGCACAAGTCGATTGAATAATTTGCCCCTGCGCACACACAACATTTTATTAATACGTTTTGGTTTGCGTAGAGCAGGTTTTTGTACAGTTTTGTAGAGAAAAACAATAGACGTAGACATATTTGATATAAACAAATGCAATAAACTGATTCCGTAATATTTTGCGGATGTTTTGGTGAAAACAGAAGTGAATTTGAGTAATTAACAACAGAGTTATGAAAGATTTAAGTTTTGTAGTGATATTCGGCGGATTATGAACCTGTAGACAATGAGCGGAGCACGTTTTACTTTCAGTTCGTATAACTACTAAACTAACAAAGATAATTTTTTTGTTTTTTCATGTTCAGCATTAATTTTGTAGAAATCTTTTTAAAATCTCTTATTTATTTAGTAAGTATGATTAAACAATCAATTGTATATAAAACAATATTTTTACAATGGTCCTGTTGTATCATAAATAAAATCCAAAATGGATGCTGTCCGAATGGATGTACCCATAGTACAATTCGCATTATTGACAACTCCTACATGAGTCCATTTCCCATCAATATATTGTACAAGCGCAGCACCTACATCATACCACTAAGAAAATAAACAAAAAATCATATTATTCCCCAAAATATTGAAGTGACTTAAGTAAATCCACTTACTCCACATATGCCTTCGCCATTTAGACCACTAGCGCAAACAACTTCATCAGTGACATAAAGCGGACGTATTTCTTTACATTTTTCATTGGTTATCGTTGTCAATTGAACAAAATTAAGAACTTCACTTTCCTCTCCATCTGAAACATTCAAAAGTGTAAATTGTGTCAAAATAATCACTCAAATAGTATATCAAGTATGAAGTGTGCTAAGCGGCACTTTAATCACGCCTAGTAAAGTTTTTTTTTTGTAATTTTTCTACTGTCACCTTATTTCAACGTTTAGTTGAGTATTTGAACTTTTTGTGCTGCACCGTAGGCAAATTCATAGACAAAGGCTTCACCCCGTGGCTAAAACCAGTGACTAAAGTACTTTTTGTATTTTTAGGCTGTCTGTGTTTAAATTACAACTTTTGGTGTCTCAAAACAGTAAAAGAAGAAAAACATTATTATTATACAATTACCTGGATCTGTTTGGCCCCATCCACTAACCCAAACATGTTTTGCACTCTGCAAAAAATTTGTGGCGTCCGGTAAGCGAATTGATCCAATGTAGTCATTATATTGTACAGGAGAACTAAGTTCTAATAACCCTACGTTGTATCTGACATTTCCAGTGTACAAAGGGTGAGTGACAGCGCGTTTGACAGTCATGGTGAGCTTTCCAACTTGCTCCTCTGTACGGTGGGTTGCTCCAAGGATAACTTGAATAGTACTTAATTGTATACTGCCAAAATAAATAAATACAGCGTTATTTTATTATTATTATTGAAGTGAAAACTTGTTTAGAATCGTTGTTATTTCAAAATGAATGAAACGACACTAAAAAAAGAAAAACGTTAAGCCTACGAGAGAATAAGAGAACAAAAATATACAGAGTGTTTCCTATTATCTTCGTCTCCTTTTTTTGCGATGCTTCGTAGCTTGCCACAAGCCACTTGATTCGGAAGATTTTCTGTATCCCTACTAATATTACAAATGCGAAAGTCCTGATGTTTGTTACACTTTCACGCAAGAACTACTTAACCGATCATCTTGAAAATTTGTACACATATTCTTAGTGGTCCCCGAATGGTTATAGGCTACCTTTTATTGAATAATAAAATTATTTTTTAAATAAAATAAAGAAATTGTTTAGTCAATAATACCTCTGCATCTGGCTATTTGACTAGTTTAACGCCATCTAGCATTCCAGCAATGAAGCTCAAACCTAAGTACTATAGTACCATCACACTGTATTATCACACTGTATTACCGACAGCTACGTCAACATCAAATCCAATTGACTACACTATGGAGACTGTACACTATACTTCCATAGACTATACTTTCAGCCATTTTAAACTTCCCGCCATTCTACTTCATTGTTACTTCTTCTGTGACTACAGACGCGTACGGAAGCAACTTCATTATTTTACATATTCGCGAGCGAAGCCGTGTTCTGAAGGTTTCACTTCTACCGCGTGTGAACTGCACACATGATTATTATTTTATTATTATTAGTATTATTGTGGTTATGTTGTTATTACTTTGATGTTACGTAAGCTCTAGTTAACACCCAGTGTGGACTGATGAGGGCGCCACTTGCAAAATCATATTGGCCGACGTGGGTGAATTTAATGCCAACGTGCCACTTGTATTGACCTTGAACAGCTTCAGAACCACTAATGATTCTTTCATTGGTCTTATTTAAGTCTAAAAATGTTTAAATAGCAATAAATCTTGGTTTTATTACTTAGTAAACTTACTTAATGCATGTTTGGTGTTTATGTGGTTGCTTATAGTACCAGCTGAAGCAAACACTGCACAACACAATAGAATAACCGTTTGGATCGTCGCCATTTTGTGTTCTGAATCACAGTCGCACAATTATCATGAATTTATAGCTGAATTTTATCTTTCAAATAAGATGATGACATTCACGTGGTAGCGTGATGGGTTCTTCCATTACACTTAAGTATATTGATAATAATCATGATAAACAATTGCAATTTAACTAAATATTGCGCCATATATTGAATAAAACTATTTTAATAAAGAAATTTTGACTTAAATAAAAAATATTGAATTTATTTTATTTTACAAAATGATTGAACAATATGTTGAACAATATTTTAAGAATAATTTTTACAATGGACCTGTTGTATCTATATATATAAAAGAAAGTCGTGTTGGTTAACTCCATTATAACTAAAGAACGGCTAATCCAATTTAGCTAAAAATTGGTGGAGAGGTAGCTTAGGGCCAGGAGAAGGTAATAGGATACTTTTTGAAGTGAAAACTTCTTTGGAAGATACTAAACGAGTTTTCTCCGTCTCTGCTTTGTGCGATGCTTCGTAGCTTCCCCACTCAACATGCGGCGACCAAAACGATCAAATCTTATCCGACAAAACCGTAATGCAACTAGGATTCGAAGGATTGCGAATGAAAGGACTGAAGAAGAATAAAAAATTGCACGTGAAAAGCGCCGTGTTAGTATGACTCGACTTCGTGCTTCTCAATCACAAGAGCAAAGCGAGGCGGAACAAAGTTTGCCGGGTCAGCTAGTATTATAATAATGCAGTGTTCTGAAGGTTTCAAGGACACATGATTTTTTTTCTTTTTTTTTCTGTGCGTCAATGTGTTTTCTATTGTTTATTATTGCTTATCAATTTAGTAACAATGTAAAGTTACCGTTTTTGGTGTGAGTAAGTTGTGGTTGAGGAATTCCCAGTTGTCATGATTTTTTTTTGAGTTTTGAGTGTGTGCTGTGATTTAAAGTGATTGGAAATTTAACGTTTTGAGTACGGGTAATGTTCAAGTGATAATACAATTAATAATTCTATAAATATCTACACATGTTGATGTTAACAAAGTTGGTTTTTTGGAGTGAATTTGTATGTGAAGTGTTGTAGTAGCATGCGGCGGGTTCTAAACCAAGGGAGCATGGGCGGAGCACAAAAAACTTTCACTTTGAATAACTTCTAAACTAATGGAGATAATTTAATTTTTTTTTGTTGTATATTGTTAAGGAGTATTTTGTTTATTTATTTTATAAAATTTGTTTAAATCCAGACGCCATTGATTTTTAATTTTGTGGATTTTTTGTATCACCCTGTATATAAAATAAAATATAAACACATATAAACATAAATGTAAAAAATTTATGTTGAAATATCTATTTGTTTCAGAGTTATAAGCAATCAAACTTTGAGCTATTAATGGGCGGAGCTTAAAAAACTTTAAACGCTCATATCTCCTAAACCATTAGACACCAAAACACCATTTTTTTATTAATAAAAATACCTAATTGCCACTCATCTAATTGTTGAAATTGTTGAAATTTTTAATTTTTTTGGTTTATTAATCAATATTATTATAAATAAAATCAAGAATCATTGAAGTCCTCACATAACCACTAGGAGCACCATGTGAACAATACGAATCATCATAGAAACTAGCCACGCCTACATGCACCCACTGATTGTCAATATATTGTACAAGCGCACCTCCCAAATCAGCCTGCATCAAAAAACAAACAAATTTAATAAAAAATCACAAATTACTCCACTAAAAATTATAAATACATACAGCACAAGTCGATTGAATAATATCCCCCTGCGCACAGACAACATTTTCCAAAATCCTTTCCTTATCATAATACTCCACACATTTTTCATTTGTGATTGTGTTCAATTCAACAAAATTCAACTTTTCACTATCGCCAGGCACTTAAAACACACAGAAAATAGGTTATGTATACAATATCAACATTTAGGTTATGTGAGGTTAACTTACATCCACCCGTCCATCCCCATCCACTAACCTGCACCACACTATCATCTTCCAGATAATCCGTAGCCAAAGGTAAACCAATCGCTTGAATAAACTCATTAAACTCAACCGGGGTATTCATCTTCAATAATCCGACATTATATTGACTGGATGCTTCATATTGCGGGTGATAGAGGGCTTTAATTCCACGCCGTGTTATTTTACCTTCTTGTGGTTCCGTACGAAGGGTTGCACCTAAGATAACCTCAAAAGCATAACCGCTAAACAAAAAAAAAACAAAAAATTTTTATTTGAGTTATTTGAGTTATTTGAGGTTATGTTTAATTTTTGTGTTTTTTGACATCTTACTATTTGCATGTGTATGCTCGTGTTAATACCCATTGGTTACTGATGAGGGCGCCACCGTCAAAACGATTCTTGTTGTCTTCGTGATAGTTTATGCCTACTTGCCATTTGAATTGACCTTGAACTGCTTCGGAACCATTGATAATCTTTCCATGACCTTGAATGTTATGTTTTTGTTAGTGTATGTGAATAGTGTGGAAATGTAACTTTAAAATTTACTTGTTGTTGATGGTTGGTTGATTGATGGTCCGCCATTTTGTGTTAACGCGAATGTAAACACAATGCAGGTTAGGAAAGTGATTGATTTCAGTGTGGACATGTTGCTTGTTGTTGTGAATAGTTTCGGATGGTGGTTGGGTTGTTATATATGTGGTATTATCAATGAATCTGGATGTGATTGATGTGGTGATTGATTAATAATTGAATGTCATTGTGTATGAGGTAATTAAGTCATTGAGTGATAGAATCTTTGCAAATCATTATAATTTTGATGGTAATAAGTTTATAGTCATGATAGACATTGTATATGATTGCACAATATATTGCACAATAATTTTTAATAAAGGTTAGTGTTTTATTGTAAAATAAAATGTTAATATTCAGTGTATAAGTTATTGCTTTTATTAATTTTGGATGTTTGATTGAGCAATATATTGAACAATCATTTTACAGTGGTCCTGCTGTATTAGAAGTAAAATATCATACATAAGATGTAAATCTAACCTTTAAAACACAAAAATAAAAATATTGATTGTACAAGCACTGGCAGTCATTCAATTGTCAAAAATTTAGTCGAAAGTTTCAATCGGAAGGAAGCTAATTATGATTTCATGCACGGGCCGAAATATGGTAGGGGTAGTTTAAAGATGGCGGCGAGAAACAGCGAATTCTCGCAGTTATAAATTATTACCGGGAGGAATTAATTAAACATTCAATACTGTGATGTGTCAAAGCATTCCAAATTGAGATTTATTCATTACTCGTTTAACAATTGTTTATTATTAATTAATTAGGCGTACATTTAATGCGTAATATAAATTGTAAGCGTTGGACTAATAATTCTGTGATATTTTGCTCTGTTTAATGATGTATCTAATACACTTTGTAGATTTTTAGGTTATTAATACGTTTTGTTTAGCTTAGAGCAGGTTTTTGTACAGTTTTGTATAGAAAAACAATAGACGTTGACATATTTGATATAAACAAATGCAATTAACTGTTTCCGGAATATTTGGCGGATGTTTTGGTGAAAACAGAAGTGATTTTGGGTAATTAACAAGCGAGTTATTGAAGTTTTAAGTTTTGTAGTGGTATTTGGCAGGTTTTAAACCTGTAGACATTGGGCGGAGCATGTTTTACTTTCACTTCGTATAACTACTAAACTAACAGAGATAATTTTTTTGTTTTTTCATGTTCAGCTTTAATTTTGTAGGAATCTTTTTAAAATCTCTTATTAATTGTATATTAAACAATATTTTTACAATGGTCCTGTTGTATCATAAATAAAATCCAAAATGGATGCAGTACGAATGGATGTACCCATAGTACAATTAGAATTATTGACAACTCCCACGTGAATCCATTTACCATCAATATATTGTACAAGCGCAGCACCTACATCATACAACTAAGAAAACAAACAAAAAATCGTATTATTCCTCAAAATATTGAAGTGACTTAAGTAACTCCACTTACTCCACATATGCCTTCGCCATTTAGACCACTAGCGCAAACAACTTCGTCATAAACATAAGTAGGACGTATTTTTGCACATTCTTCATTTGTTATGGTTGTCAACTGAACAAAATTAAGAATTTCACTTTCCTCTCCATCTAAATCATACAAAAAGTGCAAATTGTATCAAAATAATCATTCAAATAGTATATTAAGTATCAAGTGTGCTAAGCGGCACTTTAACCACGTCTAGGATAGTTTTTTTTTGTAATTTTTTTACTGTCACTTTATTTCAACGATTTGTTTAGTATTTGAAATTTTTGTGCTGCACCGTAGGTAAATTCATAGAGAAAGGCTTCACCCCGTGGCTAAAACCCGTGACTAAAGTCCTTTTTGTATTTTTTGGCTGTCTGTGTTTAAATTACAACTTTTTGGGTCTCAAAACAGTAAAAGAAGAAAAACATTATTATTATACAATTACCTGGATCTGTTTGGCCCCATCCACTAACCCAAACATGTTTATCACTCTGCAAAATATTTGTGGCGTCCGGTAAGCGAATTGATCCAATGTAGTCATTATATTGTACAGGGGAACTAAGTTCTAATAACCCTACGTTGTGTCTGACAGTTCCATTGTACAAAGGGTGTGTGACAGCGCGTTTGACAGTCATGGTGAGCTTTCCAACTTGCTCCTCTGTTCGGTGGGTTGCTCCGAGGATAACTTTAATCGAACTTAATTCTGCACTGCGTAAATAATTTTACAATTACTTTGTTATTATTAATTATTAGTATTATTATGGTTATGTAATTAATACTTGTGTGTTATGTAAGCTCTTGTCAACACCCAGTGTGGACTAATGAGGGCGCCACTTGCAAATGTAGGTTCGTCGTTAAGTACATATTTAACACCCACGTGCCATTTGTATTGACCTTGAACTGCTTCAGAACCACCAATGATTCTTTCATTGGTCTTGTCTAAGTCTAAAAGAGTTTAAATAACAATAAATCTTGGTTTTATTACTTAGTAAACTTACTAAATGCATGTTTGGTGTTTATGTGGTTGCCTATAGTACCAGCAGAAGCAAACACTGCACAGCACAATAGAATCACCGTTTGGATCGTCGCCATTTTGTAGTCTAAATGACAATCGTATAATTGAGATGATTTTATAGCTGAATTTTATCTTTAAAGTAAGATTATGACATTCAAGTGGTGGCGTGATAGAATGAAATAGTTAATCATCATTAATCATTCAATGAATCATTATTTTCAAGTATATTGATGATAATCATGATAGACAATGTTTAACGTTCAACAATTTATTAGTCAATATGTTGAACAGTATTTTGTTTTAATTTAAAAATTAATGTATTTAATTATTTTTAGTTTCTAGGATCATATGATTGAACAATATATTGAACAATCATTTTAAATAAAATATAGTATTTTATTACAAAGAAAATGTAAATATTCAGTGACAAAGATATCGTTTTTATTAATTTTGATCATAATGATTGAACAGTATATTGAGCAATATATTGAAGACACATGTTTTATTCTAAATTAAATATAACTTTTAGGACGTAAGATGAATTAGATTATTTTTACTTTTTTACTATATGATTGAACAATATATTGAACAATATTTTTTACAATGGTCCAGTTGTATCATAAATAAAATCCAAAATGGAAGCTGTCCGAATAAAAGTACTAACTTCACAAGTAACATGATTGGCAACTCCTACATGTATCCATTTTCCATCAATATATTGTACAAGCGCAGCACCTGCATCATACTCCTAACAAGAAAAAAAAAACAAAAAAATCATATCATTCTCCAAAAAATATTGAATTGACTTAAGTAAATACACTTACCCCACATGTAGCTTCGTCATTCTGACCAGCAGCGCACACAACATTGTTATAAACCAAACCAGGACGTAAATCAACACATTCTTCATTTGTCATCGTTGTCAACTGAACAAAATTCAGAACTTCACTGGCATCTCCTTCTAAATAATTAAAACAACATCAAAAGTCAATCAACAAAAATGTCAAAAGTAAACATAACCAAAGTTTATGAATATGAACATTACCAGGGTCTGTTCCACTTGTTGGACCCCATCCACTAACCCAAACATGTTTATCACTCTGTAAAATATTCATAGCGTCTGGTAAACCAATGGATCCAATGTAGTCGTTGTATTGTACAGGGGAACTAAGTTCTAATAATCCCACGTTGTTTTTGACAGTTCCAGTGTACAAAGGATGTGTGACAGCGCGTTTGACAGTCATGGTGAGCTTCCCAACTTGCTCCTCTGTTCGGTGGGTTGCTCCGAGGATAACTTGAATAGTACTCAATTGTATACTGAAAAATAAATAAATAAACCGTTACTTTATTATTATTATTGAAGTGAAAACTTGTTTAGAATCGTTGTGATTTCAAAATTAATGAAACGACACTAAAAAAAGACAAATGTATGCGTTTATATGGTTAAGCCAGCGTGAGAATAAGAGAACAAAATATACAGGGTGTTTGCTATTATCTTCGTCTCCTCTTTGTGCAACGCTTCGTAGCTTGCCACAAGCCACTTGATTCGGAATATTTTCTAAATCAATACTAATATTATAAATGCGAAAGTCCTGATGTTTGTAACACTTTCACGCAAAAACTACTTAACCGATCATCATGAAAATTTGTACACAAATTCTCAGTGGTCCCCGAATGGTTATAGGCTACTTTTTATTTAATAAAAATTTTTTTTTAAAATAAAATAAAGAAATAGTTTAGCCAATAATACCTCTGCATCTGGCTATTTGACTACTTTAACGCCATCTAGCATTCCAGCAATGAAGCTCAAACCTAAGTACTATAGTACCATCACACTGTATTATCACACTGTATTACCGACAGCTACGTCAACATCAAATCCAATTGACTACACTATGGAGACTGTACACTATACTTCCATAGACTATACTTTCAGCCATTTTAAACTTACCGCCATTCTACTTTATTGTTGCTTTTTCTGTGACTACAGACGCGTACGGAAGCAACTTCATTATTTTAGATATTCGCGAGCGAAGCCAATGGTTAAAGCTAGTATTAAATAATTTTCCACTTGATGTCAATATTATAATAAATAAACCCTATGATTATCCTACTCCTGATTCTATTTTTGTCTTATTCTCTCGCCGTGCAGTATTCTGAAGGTTTCACTTTTCGTACTGCGTGTGAACTGCACACATAATGTTTTAATTTTATTTTTAGTAGTATTATTGTGGTTATGTAGTTATTACTTTGATGTTACGTAAGCTCTAGTTAATACCCAGTGTGGACTGATGAGGGCGCCACTTGCAAATCCATATTGGCCGACGTAGGTGTATTTAACGCCAACGTGCCATTTGTATTGACCTTGAACTGCTTCAGAACCACTAATGATTCTTTCATTGGTCTTATTTAAGTCTAAAAATGGTTAAATAATCATAAATCTTGGTTTTATTAATTGGGAAACTTACTAAATGCATGTTTGGTGTTTATGTGGTTGCCTATAGTAGCAGTTGAAGCAAACACTGCACAACACAATAGAATAACAGTTTGGATCGTCGCCATTTTGTGTTCTGAGTCACAATCGCACAATTGCGATGATTTTATAGCTGAATTTTATCTTTCAAATAAGATGATGACTTTCACGTGGTAGCGTGATGGATTCTTCCATTATTATATTACTTAAGTATATTGATAATAATCATGATAAACAATTGCAATTTAAATAAATATTGCGCCATATATTGAATAAAACTATTTTAATAAAGAAATTTTGATTTAAATTAAAAAGTTGTATTTATTTTGTTTTACAGAATGATTGAACAATATATTGAACAATATTTTAAGAATATTTTTACAATGGACCTGTTGTATCATAAATAAAATCCAAAATGGATGCTGTACGAATAAAAGTACTAATTTCACAAGCAACATGATTGACAACTTGTACATGTATACATTTGTCATCAATATATTGTACAAACGCACCACTTACTTTGGTGTTTATGAGGTTGCCTATAGTACCACCTGAAACACTATTCAATACAACAGAATAAACGTTTGCATCGCCGCCATTTTATGCTCTAAATAACATTCTTACAAAATATACAAATACAATGCAGATATTATCTCTACGATAAGATTAAAACACTCAAGTGGTGTCGTGATTGATTCAATCTACGTTACATAGTAATTCTAATCTAAAATTAAACATAAATAACCTTGAATATCTTCCAAACAACTTGAGATAAATCAATAAAACTTTCACTAGACACAATTTATTATCAAATATTACATGATAGATAAGATCAGTATTCCACCAAAAATCGTTTCATGACTTTATTTAACTCCAAAATGTTTAAATACAATAATTATTACCAAATATAACATGTAAACCTACTAAACACATGTTTGATGTTAATGTGGTTGCCTATATCATCATCCAAAGATTAAATAACTCAAAACTAAAATAACCTCCAAATAAATAAAGAAAAATCAACAAAACATTCACTAAACACATTTTATTATCAAATATTACAAATTAGATAGGTCCTGTATGCATATAGATGAAATCCAAGATGGTGGATGTCCGAATGTATCCGCTCGGTGTCCCATTTCCGCATCCTTTGTTATCAAAGAAACTCGCCACGCCTACATGCACCCAATCACTGTCTTTATACTGTACAAGAGCACCTCCAACATCCCCCCTAAATATTCCCATCATTATATTGTCAATATATTGCATTAAACACTAATACACTCACCTGACATATTGATTGTAGGCTTGTGCCATCACAACAAACAACATTATCCAAAATTTTATGACTTTCTGCACATTTTTCATCGGTTATAGTTGTCAATTGGACATAATGAAGGACATTACTAATACTACCATCTAGAGATGTATATTTTAGGTTATGAATTATTAATTATTAATTAATGTAGGTTATAATAACTTACCGTTGGTTGTTTTGCCCCATCCGCTCACCCACACCGGAATATTCGCTTGCAAGAAATCCGAGGCTTTTGGTAACTTGATTGGTTGGATAAAATCGTTGAATTGCACCGAAACATTGAGTTTTATCAACGCCACATTGTTGTTATAAGTTAATGGTTCATATTCTGGATGTAGAACAGTTTTTTCTATTCCTAGAGAGAGTTGGCCTTCTTGTGTTTGGTTGAGGAGAGATGCTCCTAAGATTATTTCCATTGTTGCTGAACTAATTTAAATTATGTTAAATTAGGTTATGTGAGGTTATGTTTGGTTATGTTTGTGTGTTTTGTATTTACATGAATATGGGACGTGCATTTGTTAGTACCCATTGATTACTGATGAGGGCGCCACCGCAGAAATCATGGTTGTTGCCTGTGGAGTAGAAAATGGCGACCTGCCACTTGTATTGGCCTTGAATTGCTTCGGAACCATTGATTATCCTTTCATTTGGAACTGTTTTTGTTGAAAAATTAGTTTATTGTTGTTTTTTTTTGTGGATGGAGATATTGAAACTTACCAGAAATGAGGTTAGGATTGGCAAAAACTGTGGTTATGTAACATAAGCACAAAATATAGGTTATGGAGGTCATGTTTATAAGGTGGTGGTTGATGGACTTAAACAATGTGTGATTTGTATTGGTTTATAAGTAATCTGAAATTGATTTTAGGAAGTTGATAGATGACTTGATATATTTTGTATGTGAAGTGTAAATAAAACACTTGTAATCAACTTGAGTAAATTTCCGTGATAGAATTTAGATAAAATTGGTATTGGTGGGGTTTTGAGGTTATGAATGTTTTTGTATAGTGAGATTATACAATTTGTATCAGTTTATATTTATATTTATGTTTATGGTTATATTTTGGATTTGTACGCAAGTGTAAACTATCATAACCTCAATTTTAAAGTAATAATTTTACCGACATTTTGTGCAGAGATAAACACTGCAGCAAAGCATAATAAAATAAATGTTTTGATGGTCGCCATTTTGTGGTTAGGGTAATACTGACGAAAAACCTTCTATTGTCATAGTTTTATAGTCAATTTTGTTGTAATTTTCATCAGTACACAAGTGTTTTCAACTTGATTTTATGATATTCCTAGAAATTCTATATTGGCTATTATTGAGTGCAATTTCATGCAAGCCAGTTACAAGTAGTTGTGAAATAGGTTGCATACACTTCAAATTAAATAAAATTCAAGATAATTTTAATCAAATGATTCAAAATTAATGAAAATAAAAATATAAATACAAAGATTATATAAATACAGTTTTCTATAAGAAGACAAGGTTCTTAACCTAAATACTCAGTGGCGTAGCAAGTATATCTTTAAACACTTATAACTCATAAACTAATAGAGATAAATAAATGAAACTTTTTTTGGTAACTCAATAAACTCATTGTTTATTTAATGTTTACAATAATGAATGAATCATTAATTGTAGTTGGATATTGGACCAGTATGGGAGTAAATAAAATCAAGAAGATATGTAGTACGTGTGAACATAGCGGGTTCAGTACATCCAATACTGCGAAGAAAACTCAGTGTAGCCATATGAGTCCAAGCGCCATTAATGTACTGCACAAGTGCAGTACCTTCGTCTCCGCCCTTCAATTAAATAAAATAAAATCAATTTCTGTCAGTTTTTTTTTCATATTTTTGTATGTTTTAGCGATACTTACATAATACGGACATTTTTCTTCACTGCCATCTGTACACACGAAATATTCAGGAAGATTACCATTGTTGCAACTATCCGTAATCAAATCAACACACATGAGCTCATTGATATGTTCTTCCTCTAAAACCAAATTACATTCAGATTATACATCTATATATTTAAAGAAAGTCGTGTTGGTTAACTCCATTATAACTAAAGAACGGCTAATCCAATTTAGCTAAAAATTGGTGGAGAGGTAGCTTAGGGCCAGGAGAAGGTAATGGGGTACTTTTTGAAATGAAAACTTTTCTAAAAGTGCACTAAACGACACTAAAAAGAGACAAACATATTTGCGTATATGGATTATCTTGCGGGAGAATAAGAGAACACAAATACAAAGTTTTCAATTATCCCCGTCTCCTCTTTGTGCGATTCGTAGCTTACCCACTCAACATGCAGCGACCAAAACGATCAAATCTTATCCGACAAAACCGTAATGCAACTAGGATTCAATGGATTGTGAATGAAAGGACTGAAGAAGAACAAAGAATTGCACGTGAAAAGCCCCGTGTTAGTATGACTCGATTTCGTGCTTCTCAATCACAAGAGCAAAGCGAGGCGGAACAAAGTTTGCCGGGTCAGCTAGTGAATTATAATATTATTTATAATGAACTTACTATAACTCGTCCAACCCCATCCACTTGTCCACACTGGAGTTCCTGCAGCAAGGAAATCTGTTGATTTTGGTAGTCTGATTGGTCCAAGGTAGTCGGTAAACTGCACTGGTGCAACTAGTTTACCTAAAGCAATCGAATATTCGGAGCTACGTACAATTTTCTGAAATTTAGTTATTATTTTGCCATCTTGGTCATCGTACAGGAGAGTTGCGCCCAAAATAACGTCATACTCGTAATCTGGAGATATCCTAAAACATGCGATATTGCAAGGTCATTCTGATAATTATTATTACTAAACTTACGCTCTGCCATCTGTCAAAACCCATTGTTTGCTAATAAGAGCACCACTGAAAAGGGGAGAGTAAAATCCATCTTCCGTTTTAGATCCTATGGCTACTTGCCATTTGAATTGTCCCCTGTCTGCTTCCACTCCACCCCAAATTCTTTCACCAGCTTTTGCTACATCTATAATTTCTACGTACACAATTATAACCTCAATGTTAAGCTAATAGACTTACCGGCATTTTGTGCAGAAACAAATACTGCTGCGCAACACAATAAAATTAACAAGTTGATTGTCGCCATTTTGTATTTGTGACTTTACTGATGATCAACAATACAGTGTGCTACCTTTATACCCGATTTCATTAGAACTTTGAGTGTTAGATACACGAAAATTATTAATTAATTATACCTGGATATCATCATCACATATCACAGAAATATTAAACAATATACAAAATTTATCATTTGGAGTGCAAATTGATTAACAAACAATTTATTTCCAAGAATTAATTCAAATTTAACATCGATCAATGCTGTCATAGATCAAATCTTGGAAGTAACAGAACGCATGAGTATGATATCCGCTTTTGAAGTATAACCCTAGTACTTAACCTAAATACTTAGTGGCGCAGCATGTTTATTTTTAAACACTTATAATTCATAAACTAAAGGAGACAAATAAATGATACTTTCTTTGTTAAGTCAATAAACACAATGTTTATTTAAAGTTTACAATAATAAATGAATAATTAATTGTAAATAGTTATAGGACCAGTATTGGCGTAAATAAAATCAAGAAGATATGTAGTACGTGTGAATACAGTGGGTTCGCCCATAGGACATCCATTATAGTGAATAAAACTCATCATAGCCATATGAGTCCAAGCGCCATTAATGTACTGCACAATTGCCCCACCATGGTCCCCACCCTTTAATAAAATAAAATAAATTTAATTTCTGTCAACTCTTTTTCGAAGTTTTCTATATTTTAGCAATACTTACCAACCACGGACATTTTCCTTCACTGCCATCGGTGCAAACGTAATAATCAGGGTAATTACCACAGTTGCAATTTTCATTAGAAAGCGTGAACAAATCAACACACCTGAGTTCATTGACATAGTCTGAAGCTAAAACCAAATTACATTTAGATTATAAATTAACTATAATAGAATTTAAAATGAACTTACTTTGATTCACCCAACCCCATCCACTAAACCACACTGAGGTACCTCCAGCAAGGTAATCAGTTGGTTTTGGTAGTTTAATTGGTCCAATGTAGTCGGTAAACTGCACAGGTGCAACTAGTTTACCTAAAGCAACCCAATATTCATATCTATACACAATTTTCTCAAATTTAGTTATTATTTTGCCATCTTGGTCATCATACAAGCGAGTTGCGCCCAAAATAACTACTAAATCTACATTAGAAGTATTGCTAAAACATACAATATTGCAGCATTATTTTGATAACTATTATTACTATTCGTACATGCCGTAATGTGTGAGAACCCATTGTTTCGAAATTAGGGCTCCACTGTAAATTGGTTTGTATTCACCATCTTCTGCTTTATTTCCGATGGCTACATGCCATTTGAATTGTCCCCTGTCTGCTTCCACTCCACCCCAATTTCTTTCACCAGCTTTTGCTACATCTATAACTTATACATACACAATCATAACCTCAATGTTAAGCTAATAGACATACCACTATTTTGTGCACTAACAAACACTGTTACACAACACAATAGAATAAACAAGTTGATTGTCGCCATTTTGTGTTTGTGACTTTACTGATGATCAACAATACAGTGCGCTAGCTTCATATCCGATTTTATTAAAACTTTGAGTGTTAGATACACGAAAACATATCTACTAAATACTCATATGTACTTGTTTCTATTAATTAATTATACCTGGATATCATCATCAAATATCACAGAAATATTAAACAATATACAAAATTTATCATTTGGAGTGCAAATTGATTAACAAATAATTTATTAACAATAATTAATTAAAATTTAACATCAATAAGTGCTGTCACAGATAAAATCATGAAAAAGAATTGACGTATTAGTAGGATATGGGCTTTTGAGATTTAACCTTACTGTTTCATCTAAATACCCAGTGGCGTAGCAAGTATATCTTTAAACACTTATAACTCACAAACTAATAGAGCTAAATTAGTGAAACTTTCTATATTAAGTCAATAAACACAAAGTTTATTTATGTTTACAATAATAAATGAATCATTAATTGTAGTTGGATATCGGACCAGTATTGGCGTAAATAAAATCAAGAAGATATGTTGTACGTGTGAAGGCAGTGGGACCACCCGAAGGACATCCATTATAGTAAAAAGTACTCATCGTAGCCATATGAGTCCAAGCGCCATTAATGTACTGCACAAGTGCCCCACCTTCGTCCCCATACTTTAATAAAATAAAATAAATTTAATTTCTATCAACTCTTTTTTGAAGTTTTCTATATTTTAGCAATACTTACCAACCACGGACATTTTCCTTTACTGCCATCTGTACAAACGTAATGATCAGGCAAATCACCATCGATGCAATTTTCCTGGAAAAGCGTAATCAAATCAACAAACCTGAGTTCATTGACAAATTGTTCACCTAAAACCAAATTATATTCAGATTTTAAATTAACTGTAATATGATTTAAAATTAACTTACCGTTAGAATGCACCCAACCCCATCCACTAAACCACACTGTGGTACCTCCAGCAAGATAATCAGTTGGTTGTGGTAGTTTAATTGGTCCAATGTAATCGGTAAACTGCACTGGTGCAACAAGTTTACCTAAAGCAGTATAACAATATTCGGAATGAAATAGTATTTTCTCGAATTTAGTTATTATTTTGCCATCTTGATCATCGTACAAGTGAGTTGCACCCAAAATAACGTCAAACTCGTAATTAGCAGGATCACTAAAACATGCGATATTGCAAGGTCATTTTGATAATAAATGTTAATAAAGTTACATTTTGGAATTTGTCAGAACCCATTGTTTGGTAATAAGAGCACCACTGAAAAGGGGAGAGTAAAATCCATCTTCCCTTTTAGATCCTATGGCTACTTGCCATTTGAATTGTCCCCTGTCTGCTTCCTCTCCACCAAAAATTCTTTCACTCGGTTTTGCTTCATCTATAATTTATACATACACAATCATAACCTCAATGTTAAGCTAATAGACTTACCAGTATTTTGTGCAGAAACAAACACTGCTGCGCAACACAATAAAATTATCAAGTTGATCGTCGCCATTTTGTATTTGTGGTTATAGTGATTATGAACAATAAAATGCGCGAGCTTTATATGCGATTTTATTAAAACTTTGAGTGTTAGATAAACAGAGAGAAACATACATAATTAGTTATATCTGGATAATATCATCAAATATCATATAAATATAATGTTTTGTAAATTAACAAAATACCCAATTTATCTTTTGAAGTGCAAATTGATTAACAAAGAGTATATTACCAAGAATTAATTAAAATTTAACATTAATTACAGCTGTCATAGATAAAATATTGAAAGTGAAAGGATGCATGAGTATGATATCCGCTTTTGAAGTATAACCTTAAAGTATATCATTAAACACTTACAACTCACCTATAATATAAAATCGAATTGCAAACTGTGTTGATATGCGCATAACTCAACAGCGCCTAGACCAATTTGGCCAATTCTATTGTTTAAATATTTGTTAAAGTCCAAAGATGGTTTTAACGGCAAGAAATTTTAAATATTTGCCTGGAAACCTCAAAAGATAGCCCTTTTCTATAGGACAAATGTTGGCATTGAGATTCAATCATAGTTATAGTTAAATAGTTGAATCCGAGGTGGCGCGCTGAAGTGCATTATTAGCAATTCTTTATATAATTAATTTCTTTAAAATAAAATTGCAAATCTTATTGATACAATTGACACATGCTATGTCAAGAACAAAAGAGTAAAAACGAATTACCTGTTTATTAAACACTACCAGGACATAATCAAAGTCAAAAACTAGTAAACTAATAATAAAAATAAATAAATAAATTGAACTTTCTTTATTAGGTCAATAAACCCATTGTTTATTTAATGTTTACAAAAACCAATGAATAATCAATTTGAATTGTTGATGGGTCCAACAGTAGCGTAAATAAAATCAACCATCGGAGGAGTGCGTGTGTATCGAGTGGGTCCACCTCTAGAACAGTCATCATACTGAGTAGATCTCATCACACCCATATGAGTCCATTCACCATCGACGATCTGTACAAGTGCCCCACCTTCATCACCACCCTTTAATAATAATAAAAAAAAAAAAATTAATTTCTATCAACGTTTCCTCCTAATTTAGTATATTTTAGCGATACTTACCAACGATGGGCACTTTCCATCATTGCCATCAGTGCACACGTAATAATTAGGGATAGGGCTGCATTGTTCCTGATCAAGCGTAGTCAATTCAAGGAACCTGAGTTCATTGACATATTCAGCATCTATAATCAAATTACATTCAGATTATAAATCAACTATAATATAATAAAAAATATAATCAACTTACGGTCAGATACATAACCCCATCCACTGAACCACACAGAAGCTCCTCCTTCAAGGTAATCAGTTGATCTCGGCAGTTTAATCGGTGCAATGTATTGGTTAAACTCAACTGGTGCAACCAGTTTGCCTAACACAATATCATGCTGGAACTCGTAGACAACCTTCTCGAATTTTGTCACTAGTTTGTAATCTTGGTCATCGTACAAGTGAGTTGCTCCCAGAATAACGTCAACATGAATAGAACTACAAAAACATTTTGATGAAGTGAAAACATTTTTAGAATCGTTGTGATTACAAAATGAATGAAACGACACTAAAAAGAGACAAACGTATTCGTTTATATGGTTAAGCCTACGAGAGAATATGAGAATAAAATATACAGGGTGTTTCCCATTCGGGGATCACTAAGAATATGTGTACAAATTTTCATGATGATCGGTTAAGTAGTTTTTGCGTGAAAGTGTAACAAACATCAGGACTTTCGCATTTATAATATTAGTAGGGATGTGACCAGTATTGCACAAATATCGCAAGAATTATTTTGCTGTTTGGAAGGCTAATAAACCAAATCACTTGAAATATAAATGAATGATGAAATTGTGTGATAAAATTAAGATAAAACCAGTATTAATCAGATTTTGAGATTCGGAATTTATTTTTAGAACAATATAATACAATTTGTATCACTGTATGTTTGTATTATGTTTTCATTTGAAATGGTTTATTAAGGAACGGACAAAGCCGTGAGTAAAGTACTTTAGTAACGGGGTGGAATTTGCGCCTGCGACAGCGCATGCGCCGTCAGTCAAACAAATTGCGCAGCATGGCATTTATAACCTTACATTTTGTTGTAGCGCGCAAGCGAATTTTGAAGATTTATAATACAAAAGTATAAATATAAAAATATAAATGTGTTAATAGTGTGAAAGTAAAAAGAATACACTTAGCGCACTTGATACTTAACATACTATTATTACCACCGATTTATTTAGAGTTAAAAATAATCAATATAGGTACATTACCCCTAGAAGGAAAAACATTTAAAAAATGAAAAATTTTATAAAGTGTTAAAATTTATTTGTTTTTATTAATTTACTATATCTGCATATTATCATTAAATATCACATGACATTTATAAATTAACACATATAACACATATAAAATTCATATTTTGCAATGAAAATTGATAAACAAATAGTTTATTAACAACAATTAATAAACATCCAATATCAATCAGTGCTGTCATAATTATTAGTATATTAAGTATCAAGTGGCTAAACGGGGACTTTACTCACGAGATTGATTGAGAGCGCGCGTAGCGTGTGTTTAAGCACTCGAGTGTTTAATAACGTTTAGTCACGAGGTGCTTACGCTATTTTTTCAATTTCCATTCATGTTCCACGTTGAAGTTTTTATATTTCAACTTTATATTTTAAATCATCAAAATTTGCTCATACACTACTACAAAATGTAAGGTTATAAATGTCATTCTGCGCGCCGGGCCTTGTAACACGTCCCATGGTATTTCATATGGTCATGTGCTGCTCTGTAGGCAAAAGCGCAAGCGCAAGCTGCGATCCGTAGAGAATACCCGTAGATAATAGATATTACTCACGGCTTTGCAGTATGTATATAAAGTACCACTTTTTATGTCTAAAAACTGATGCTTTGTAGGTGAATGTAAAAAAATTCATGAATAAGAATAGACGATTTAACGGGATATGCACTTTTGAGACATAACCCTACTGCTTAATCCAAGTACTCAGTGGCGTAGCAAGTTGATCTTTAAACATTTATAACTTATAAACTCATAGAGATAAATAGGTATAACTTTCTTTATTAGGTCAATAAACACAAAGTTTATTTATGTTAACAATAATAAATGAATAATTAATTATAGTTGGATATCGGACCAGTATTAGCGTAAATAAAATCAAGAAGATATGTTGTGCGTGTGAATACAGTGGGTTCACCTTCAGCACATCCAACACTATTATGAATAAAATTCATTATAGCCATATGAGTCCAAGCGCCATTAACGTATTGCACAAGTGCCCCACCTTTGTCTCCGCCCTTTAATGAAATAAATTTTAATCAATTTTTTTTTTAGTTTTGTATTATTTAGTGATATCTACCTCCCATGGACATTTTCCTTCACTGCCATCAGTACACACAAAATAATCCGGGTAATTACCAGAGTAGCAATTTTCCGGGGAGAGCGTAATCAAATCAACACACATGAGTTCATTGACAAATTCTGCACCTAAAACCAAATTACATTTGTATTATAAACTATATTATGATTCATAATTAACTTACCGTTATTATTCATCCAACCCCAACCACTAGCCCACACTGAGGTACCTCCAGTAAGGTAATCAGTTGGTTTTGGTAGTTTAATTGGTCCAATAAAGTTGGTAAACTGCACTGGTGCAACAAGTTTACCTAAAGCAACATAAGAATATTCGGAGCTACGTACAATTTTCTCGAATTTAGTTATTATTTTGCCATCTTGATCATCGTACAAGCGAGTTGCACCCAAAATGACGTCAAAATCGGAACCACTAAAACATGCAATATTGCAAACACTTTTTGATAACTACTATTACTAAACTTACACGGAAGGATGTGTTAGAACCCATTGTTTGGAAATTAGGGCTCCACTGTAAACTGGATAATAAAGTCCATTTTCCATTTTGTTGGCGATGCCTACTTGCCATTTGAATTGTCCTCTTTCTGCTTCCTCTCCACCCCAAATTCTTTCGCCCGCTGTTGCTACATCTATAATTTATACGTACACAATCATAACCTCAATGTTAAGCTAATAGACTTACCAGCATTTTGTGCAGAGACAAATACTGCTGCACAACACAATAAAATAAACAAGTTGATCGTCGCCATTTTGTATTTGTGATTACAGTGATTATCAACAATAAAGTGTGCTAGCTTTATACTCGATTTTATTAGAACTTTGAGTGTTAGATAAACAGAGAGACAGAAAAATTTCTTTTTATTAATTAGTTATATCTAGATATTATCATCAAATATCACAGAATAATAAATTTTATAAATTAACAAAATAAGTGCAAATTGATAACATACACTTTATTATCAACAATTAATAAAAATTTAACATCAATCAATGCTGTCACAGATAGAACCATGAAAAAGAATTGACGTATTTGTAGGATATGCACTTTTGAGACATAACCCTACTGCTTAATCCAAGTACTCAGTGGCGTAACAAGTATATCTTTAAACAAATATAACTCATAAACTAATAGTGATAAATAGGTATAACTTTATTTATCAAGTCAATATACACATATTGTTTATTTTATGCTTACAATAATAAATGTATAATTAAGTGTAATTGATTATTGGATCCATATTGGCGTAAATAAAATCAAGAAGATGAGTAGTACGTGTGTATACAGTGGGTTCACCATTAGCACATCCGTAATTATGACCAAAACTCATTGTAGCCACAAGTATCCATTCGCCATTGACGTTCTGCCCAAGTGCCCCACCTTCGTCCCCACCCTTTAATAAAATAAAATAAAATAAAATCAATCCCTGTCAAATGTTTGTTCTCAGTTTTATATATTTGAACAATACTTACCAACCAAGGACATTTTCCTTCACTGCCATCTGTACACACGTAAAAATCCTGGTATAAACCAGACGCGCAATTTTCCGGGTCAAGCGTAATCAAATCAACACCCCTGAGTTCATTGGTATGGTATGAACCTAAAACCAAATTACATTCAGTTTTAGTTAAACTATAAAAAGATTTAGAAGAAACTTACTGTCATTTACCCAACCCCATCCACTAGCCCATACTGAGGTACCTCCAGCAAGGTAATCAGTTGGTTTGGGTAGTTTAATTGGTCCAATGTAGTCGGTAAACTGCACTGGTGCAACTAGTTTACCTAAAGCAGCATAATATTCGGAATTATGTACAATTATCTCGAATTTTGTTATTATTTTTCCATCTTGATCATCGTACAAGCGAGTTGCGCCCAAAATAACGTCATAGTCGTAATTAGAATAATAACTAAAACATGCAATATTGCAAACACATTTTGATTTCTACTATTACTAAACTTACACGTTGGGATGTGTTAGAACCCATTGTTTGGAAATTAGGGCTCCACTGTAAACTGGATAGTAATATCCAGTTTCAAGTTTATTTGCGATGCCTACTTGCCATTTGAATTGTCCTCTTTCTGCCTCCAATCCACCCCAAATTCTTTCACCAGTTTTTGCTACATCTATAATTTATACATACACAATAATAACCTCAATGTTAAGCTAATAGACTTACCAGCATTTTGTGCAGAAACAAAAACTGCTACATAACACAATAAAATGAACAATTTGATCATTGCCATTTTGTATTTGTGTGTATAGTGATTATCAACAATAAAGTGTGCTAGCTTTATACTCGATTTTATTAGAACTTCAGATTATAAATTAATTGTAATATGATTTAAAATTAACTTACCGTTATTATTCGTCCAACCCCATCCACTAGCCCACACTGGAGTTCCTCCAGCAAGGCAATCAGTTGGTTTTGGTAGTGTAATTGGTCCCAGGTAGTCGGTAAACTGAACTGGTGCAACAAGTTTACCTAAAGCAGCATAATATTTGGAGCTAGTTACAATTTTCTCGAATTTAGTTATTATTTTGCCATCTTGGTCATCGTGCAAGCGAGTTGCACCCAAAATAACGTCATACTCGGTATCACTAAAACATGCAATATTGCAAACACATTTTGATAACTACTATTACTAAACTTACATGCCGGGATATGTCAGAACCCATTGTTCGGTAATTAGGGCTCCACTGTAAACTGGATAGTAATATCCAATTTCAACTTTCTTTCCGATGGCCACATGCCATTTGAATTGACCTCTTTCTGCTTCCACTCCACCCCAAATTCTTTCACCAGCTTTTGCTACATCTATAATTTATACATACACAATCATAACCTCAATGTTAAGCTAATAGACTTACCGGCATTTTGTGCAGAAACAAATACTGCTGCACAACACAATAAAATTAACAAGTTGATTATCGCCATTTTGTATTTGTGATTACAGTGATTATCAACAATAAAGTGTGCTAGTTTTATACTCGATTTTATTAGAACTTGGAGCGTTAGATAAACAGAAAGACAGAAAAATTTCTTTTTATTAATTAGTTATATCTGGATATTATTAGCAAATATTATATAAATATATTGTTTTGTAACTTAACAAAATACAAAATTTATCTTTTGAAGTGCAAATTGAGTAACAAATAGTTTGTTAACAACAATTAATAAAAATTCAACATCAATCACTGCTGTCATAGATAAAATACTAGATAAAAATGAAGACATGAGTAGAATATGCGTTTTGTAGATATTGCCTCAATACTTAACCTATAAACTCAGTGGCGTAGCAAGTTTATCTTTAAACATTCATATCTCTAAACTAATCAAGATAAATCAATATTTTTTGTTTGTTCCTCCGATTCTTTGTGGTATAAAACATCTATGATTATGGGACCAGTATTTGCATAAATTCTATTATCAATAAAATAATAACTAACCACAAATGTGATTCAGATTTAAAACTTGTTGAAAGATATTGAAACTCATATCAGCACGTTACTTAATTACAATCTATCTACTTTTAATAAAATCCAGTAGTAGTATAAGGAAGGATAGAATCCCTACTAATATTATAAATGCGAAAGTCTTGATGTTTGTTACACTTTCACGCAAAAACTACTTAACAGATCATGATGAAAATTTGTACACATATTCTTAGTGGTCCCCGAATGGTTATAGGCTACTTTTTATTTAATAAAAAAATTTATTTTTTAAATAAAATAAAGAAATTGTTTAGCCAATAATACCTCTGCATCTGGCTATTTGACTAGTTTAACGCCATCTAGCATTCCAGCAATGAAGCTCAAACCTAAGTACTATAGTACCATCACACTGTATTATCACACTGTATTACCGACAGCTACGTCAACATCAAATCCAATTGACTACACTATGGAGACTGTACACTATACTTCCATTGACTATACTTTCAGCCATTTTAAACTTCCCGCCCTTCTACTTCATTGTTACTTCTTCTGTGACTACAGACGCATACGGAAGCAACTTCATTATTTTAGATATTCGTGTGCGAAGCCGCTGGTTAATGCTAATCAATAATAAAACTGATATTGGTAATCGTACTTCAAGTCCACCTGGATTTATGCGATTTTTGCAATTCTCCGAATGATTGCCCCAACCAAGTCAGTATTCTTTACATAAAATAATGAAATTAACATCGAATGTTTTTTATTTATAAGAAAAAGAATAGATAATACTTACTTTTGCAGGACACTCATCCAGAAAGCTTTCCACACAAACATAATAACCGCAGCGCAGAATATAAGAAACTTATGGACGGCCTTCATTTTGTGTTTTGTACAACACTGACGGAAAACATTCAATTGTCATAGTTTTATAGTCAATTTTGTTGCAAATTTAATCAGCACACAATTAGATTCTATTTGATTTTAAAATATTCCTAGAAATTCTACTTTAGATAACATTAAGTGCAATTTCGTGGAAGTTAATAACAAGTACTTGATAAATAGGTTGCATACATTACAAATTAAACGAAATTCAAGATAATTTTAATCAAATAATGCAAAATTAATAAAAATAAAAACACAAATACAAAGTTTAATAATATACTTTTAATTTACTTCAAAAATTACAGTTTTCTACTTTGAACACAAAGTTTTTAACCTAAATACCCAGTGGCGTAGCAAGTTTTTCTTTAAACTCTCATATCTCCTAAACTAATCAAGATAAATAAATAATTTTTTTTTATTATAATCATTAATCAATACTTTATTTTATTTCACGCCATAAAACAAACAAAATTGATAATTATTTAAACAATCGTCGAAATAGGACCGGTATGAGTATAAATAAACTCCAAAATGGAAGAAGTGCGAATGTTAGCTGTAGGCTCACCAGCATGACATCCATTATCAATCACATAATTGATAACACCTACATGTGTCCAATCATCATTAATATACTGCACAAGTGCCCCACCCATATCACCACCCTTCAAATAAATTTAAAAAATTAATTTTTTCTTTAAATTTTTTTAATTTTATTTTTTGAGCGATACTTACATACCACGCGCACTTATCTTCACTACCATCCGTACAAACATAATAATCCTCAAGTATATGCCCTGATTGCTTGCATGCATCCCTCGCAGTGACAGTTAAGTCAACATACTTAAGCTCATTATGTCGAATATTACCTTAAAAACACAATTTATTCATTTCTAACCTCATTTTTAGGCTATTCTATAAACTTACTGTCATTTACATAACCCCATCCACTAGCCCACACAATGGCGCCTTCCTCAAGGTCATCAGTAGCTTTCGGTAGTCTAATCGCACCGATATAATCGTTAAACTCCACTGGTGCAACCAGTTTGATTAAACTTAGCATTTTTGGATGATTGTAGACAATCTTATCAATTTTCGTGATTATGCGGCCATTTTGTTCACCGTGGATTTGAGTAGCGCCCAGGATTACATCAATCTTTTCTTTATCAACACTAATTTCAATAAAAAAAACAAAAATAATTTTTAAAAATAAACAATGATTGTTTATAATAATTACAATTCAACTGCATATGAATCAGACAAAACCCATTGTTTTGAAATCAGGGCACCGCCATAGAAGTTCCCGTAGGTTCCATCATCGTTTCTGTGACCTATGCCTACCTGCCATTTGAATTGACCAGGATCCGCTTCAAATCCACCCCAAATTCTTGCCCCAGCTTTATTTAATCCTGGAATTGTTGTTAAAATCAACATAACCTCAATTTTAAGCTATTTTTCTTACCTGCATCTTGTGCAGAACAAAAAACTACAACGCAGCACAATAAAATCAAGGTTTTCAACGTCGCCATTTTGTGTTTTGGTTAATACTGATTGAAAACATGAAATTTCAATGTTTTTATACTCATTTTAAGTGTTATTGATAAACAAATCGATTTATATCAATAGATTCGTTTAGAATTGTGTTTTTGATGATAATGTATTAATATAAATGTAATTATATTAACTGCGTAGAACTCTTCAACTACTACGTGTTATTTTGGTTGCATACACTTCAAATCCCACATGTAGTTCACGTGAATTTTTATCTTTTGATTTAATTATGATAATTTTAAGTGTAAATCAAAGTTTAAGACTATATACTTAATTATTTATATTTTTATAACATTTATAGGTGTTTATAGTAATAATCTGCGGGTTCTTAACCTAAATATTCATGGGCGGAGCATAATATATTTAAATTGTTTATATCTTTTGAACTATTAGAGATAAATCAATTATTTAAACGTTGTTTTATTCTTTATAGTGCATATTATTAATTTATGATAAAGAAAATTATTTTAATTTGTTATTAACAATTTTTTTTGTAAAAATTTAATTAATTTGCCTTATAAATGTTTTCTATGTACAATGGCAATGACAGCAATAACTGCCTACATACTACATACGCATAGAGCAGGTAATTACACAGCGAAAATTTAGCAACAAACAAACGCATTGTTTTGACCAACATTACAACAAAACAAAAATTATACGCATTGAGGAATCACGCTTTCTAAACTTTAAAACTTTTGATTATATTTCATATAAAATTTTTACTTTTTTTATTACCAACATTAATAATAATTAAAAAACAATATAAACAATTATTAATTATTTTTCAGTGTGTAGATATTGAAACACTCTGTATATTTACAAAGTGATTCATCAGAGTGGAAGTTCTAGTTGAATTTGAATGTGAATGTAAATTTTATTTCAATGAATTTACCGTGCTTGCAGTTTCAAGGTGATAATACGATGCGAGACGATTTTAATTAAACAATTTTTTTGCGCTACGCATTGAAATGTGCCAACGTAGCATTGAATGTGTTATTAATGTTATTATTTTCGAATTACGTACGATACATCACGGTGGAAATGAAGACACTATCGGTACATCCGAACAAATTGCTACAAATTGTTATAAACATTATAAATATTATTATAAATAATGTTTTTGTTATTTGTTGTCATTGGTTTTTTTTGCTTTACTTGGAACAAATTAATTTTTGAATATTTCAAGAACTACTTACTCATGCATGAAAAATACGAATAAATAACAAACAAGTCAACGATTTGTGTTTTAAAGTATGGAATTGTTACGTAAAAGTGTGGATAGAATGTGTCATTGTTGATATTTCGTTGCGGAATGAAGGTGATAATTAGTTTTCGTGAGAAAAGTGTCAAAAAACTAAAATTATAAACAAATAGAAACAAAATGATAATTTCATAGATAAATCTTGGATATTTTCACTTTAAACTAATAAAAATGATTAATATGCTGCATATATGTTGATATAACCTTACTTTACATGTTGTAATATAACATAACCTCAATTTTAAGCTATTTTTGTGTTTTTAAGGTTAAAATTGCTTTAAATCAACATATTACATCTTAATTTACATATAAAACTCATAAACTTTTAATATGCAACTCATAATTTATTATATGTCTTCATATTTATACTTAAGTACAGTTTACTTAACCTCACATTTCATATTTCTCATTATAAAGTTCATTTTGGTGTATTTTTATTTATTTATATCTATATCTAGTTGTACAAGTGGAATACGCGTAATACAATTGTATTTCATTGTAGTGATGTTGTTATTGTTGTTATTCATGAACAATATGAACAATAACAATTGGCAATGGCGGTCGTGGGCGCGCGTTGTCGTTCCAGTTTCGCTTCGACTCGCCGCAGTCACGATTCGGAATTGAGTTGAGTTCCAGTTTCCGAAAATGTATTTTAAATCGTTTTAACGGTTAGTTAATTGTGTCGGAAACTGTAAAAATTAATCATACTTAATTTGGGAATCAATCCGCTACAGATTGTTTATTGGGGCAGTCGTTTAAAGTTAAATAAATCATGTTTTACAGTCAAAACAAGAACGAGATGAATTAACCTATGGAATTAAAAATTTGTTTGTTTAGTTTTTTGATGATTACTCTAAAAGTTATTGATATTTTTTAATGAAAATTTGTATGTTTGTAGATTATTAGTTAGTCTATCTATTTGTTTTTAAAGAATTTGTTTATTTATTTAATAACAAAAATTATTTAGTTATAAAGTTAATTTGAGTAAAATAATCTAATACTTTAGTAATTTTGTTATAAAATCTTAGATTTTCAATATTTTGATGCAAAGGTTAATGATATTTATAAACAATTAATGGGACTATTATTTCACGTTTACAGAATATAAATATTTATATTATAACCAAAGTTATTCACCATAAATGTTTGACTATTAAAAAATTGAGATTTAAATGTGCATAATCTTTGTCTTGCAGTAATTCTTTCATAACTTTGTTATTTATAAACATATTTATATAAAATTTTGTATACATATAAATAATTAATTTGGCTATCATTTGCCGTTTACAGAAATTAATTATTCATATTACAACTGAAGATATTCTCTAATAAATAATCATACACTAAAATTTGGTATTTAAAAATAAAATATTGTAATATTTTACAAATTTAAACATAACTCGCTTACTGAATAATATAATTAAATCAAATTTGGCCCAAACATAAACAATTCAATGTACTATCATTTGCCGTTTACAGAAATAAAATATTTATGCTACAACTCAAGATATTCACTAATAAATAATCATAAACTAAAATTATGTATTTAAAAATAAAACATTGTAATATTTTACTAATTTTAACATAACTTGCCTACTAATTAATATTATAAAACCAAATTTGGCCCAAACATAAATAATTAATTATACTATCATCTGACGTTAACATAATTAAATTATCTCAAACGGAGCAAAAGATATTCATTGTTAAACTTGACTATGATATCAAAATGTAAATTTTTCTTAAATTAATCATTTCTGCAGTACAACAACCTTAAAATAAATCCGCTTAGAATTTCAAATGTTATATTATTCCAGTTTTCATTTATTCCAGCAATAAACCGTCGTCTTTTATGGTGCTTCATGCTCGTAATTGACTTCAACCACACAAACACACAGCGCACGAATCAAATTCGAAAGGATTTCGCGTTCGAGTCAAGCACGACTTGTTCCTTTCAAAATAATTAACAATAAACAATAAACAACGACATGCAACGAATGACAACTTTAATTATATTAACGTAATTGTTAAATTGTTAAATGTTTAGTGGATGAAGATTTTTGCGTGAGTTTTTTTTCTTCAACGTTTTCTCTTGTTTCTCGCTCTTCCTCGTTTCGGTGATGGTTACGCTTGGATTCTGCGTTCGGGAGGCGGGATGTCTTCGCGGGGGACGCGGTTATAAATCGCGAGCGCCCGCCGGCGGTCATCTAGTCGGACAGCACACGCCGCGCTTGCTTAACTTCTGCTCTTCGTGAGTCAGTACACTTTTTCAAGTTGGTTTTGATTTTTGCTGCGTCGCAAAATGAAAGCTTTCGTTGTTTTCGCCGTCGTCTGCGTGGCGGCTGTTCTCGCCGAGGAGGCAGCCAAGCCTGCCGCCGCCGAAGAGGCCAAGGGGAAGACCTACAAGAGGCTCATTCCTGCTGATGTACTCAGAGGTAAATTTTTCTTATTTTTAATTAAATTTATGAAAAAAATTGAATTTTGTTTTGAAAAGAGTTGAATGTTGATAGTTTTAGAAGTAGGTCAGAGTAATTACGGGTACGTGTACCTCTAGTATTACTAGTGCTTCATATAAACACGTTTCTGTACTTGTACATCCAGTTTTTTTTTAATGATTTGATGTAAAAAATGAAAAAATTGATTGATTTTTATTCAGAAAATAGAGTAGTCTGTGTTTTTAAAATTTAATTTCGTTGTAACTTTTTTGTTTATTATTATTTTTGCACCAAATTTCATACAGATATAAACAATTAGTTTGTTTATAATTTAACGCCAAATTTATTCAAATATTTTATTAATAACCAAAGATATTACACTTAATTAATTAATAACTTAAAATATGCAACGTATTATTAATTTTGTTATAACTCATTTTTTTATTAATAATTTTAAACAGAATTCAGCAAACATATAAACAATTAAATTATTTATCATATGACGTTTAAATATTTCAAATATTTTATCTACAACAAAAGTTATTTGAGTTTAAAGTTGAAAATGTGTAAAATATGCAAATATTTTATTTTTTTGTTTATAACTTTAGTAATAATAATTATTTAGCAAAAATATTTTGTTCCAACATAAACGATTAATTATACTATAAACTGCCGTTTACGGAAGTTAAAAATTCCGTCTAGAACCGGAGATATTCATTAGTAAACCAGTCAGACATTTAATCATTCCACTTTTTTGCTTCCATTAATGTTTTTTTTTTACAAATAATTCGCTTGTGAAAGGTAAAAGTTGAAACTTTAATATATTTAACTTGTCTGCTGTTGTTGCTAAAAGTGAAATCAGAATGATAAATGGCGAACACACCCAAAATACCAACTTAAGTCAACTTAACTTGACTTAAGCACGAACAAGAACAAGAGAATAAAATGGCAATAAACAGAACGAGTACAAGTTAATAAAAACGCGTTGAAATTAACGAAAAGATTTGCATTTGTTGCGCAACGACTTAAGTCAACTTAACTTAACTTAAGTCATATGACTTAAGTACGTAAAATTTAGTTTAAAATTTAAGTAGAATTATTTTACTCAGAATTAAATTATTTTTTTGTTTGCAATTGATGCCAAAAATGGCAAAACAGGAAAGTGACTTAAGTTTCACTCTCGAATATTCTTCACTTACTTACAACATAAGCACATATACAAAGTGTTCCGTGATGGCACTTCAACTGAGTTTTGATTTGATTTGTTTAAATTTGTTCAAATCAACTTGACTTAAGTATGGATTAGTATAAAGTGTATCCACTTATGTACTTAAGTGGATTCCACGTTTCGAAAAGTCGATTGCACTTGATTATCACACCGCTAATTAACTGCTGCTCGAGTAACACACTTTCTGCGTCTTACTTTACTGCTACGGTTGCTTCATCACATTTTATACTCGGGTTTTTTATATATATTTAAATGCATTAAACTCTTAAGTTAAGTTAAGTTGAAAGTGATGTTCGAAATTTTACCGGTCGCGCTTGCGTAATCGAAGTTGAAGTGAAATGAAAAGGAAGTTGACTCACAGCTTTACTTAAGAGTTTCACTTGATGGAATATAATAAAATAACGCAATTATAATTTCATTTTTTTTATAAATTTTATTATAACTTCGTTGTTTATTATTATTTCTTAATGAAATTTGGTATAGTGGGAGATTATGACTTTGTTTATTAATTGTCGTTTAGAAAATTTCAAATATTTTATTTAGTATCAAAGTTATTTGAGGTTAAAGTTAGTTATTGCAAAATTGTGCATTATTCTAGTTTTATCAATATAAGTAGAATATTGACAATAATTTTTAAGTGAAATTTGGTGATAGTAAAGTCAAATAGATATTTTATCAACTGCAATTTAAAGAATTGAAATATTTAATCTATAACAAAAGTTATTTGTAATTGAAATTTTACTTGTTGGAATATAGCAAAATATTTAAATAATTTTTGTTAAATTTTGTTGTAACTTTGTTGTTTATTAATATATTTTAACAAAATTAGATGCACATATTGAGTGTAACTTTGTTTATAGAATGACATTTACAAAATTCAAATATTTGATTTATTATCTAAGATATTTGATATTAAAGTTGATTAATACAAAAACGTGCATTATTCTAGTTTTATCAACATAACTAGATTATTGATAATGATTTTCAAATAAAATTTTGCGATAATAAAGTACAATATTTATTTTATCAAGTACAGACTTAAAAAATATATTACAGATCCAAAAATATTTGGTGTTAAAATATGTTATACTAAAAATATATTTAAAAAAAAACACACTATTCATAAAAAATCTTATAACTTCTTTAATAATTATTTGATTTAAACACAAATTCGCAGAAATATCAACAATTAACCACTCTTTAAATCGTATTTTACAAAATTCGAATATTCCATCTGTAACAAAAGTTATTCACAATAAAACTTTAACAACAGAAAAAATGAATATATGCAACACATTCATCACTACCACAACACATATTTCATTATTTATTATAAACTATTCATGATTGTCCGCAGAATAATTACTAATCATTGCGTTGGCGCATACTTTGCATAATAATCCAACGCGTTTAGTCCAACATCAATAATTGACAAAATGGCGGCCGTGTCGCCAACACAATGCACAAATACGATCGCGTGCATTGCATCAAACAAAAGAACCACCAAACCGCACTCGCTGAATATTGTAAACCATAATCAGTAATTCGTAATAGTAATTATAATTAGATTCGTAGTCGTAGTATTCGTTACACGCTGTTACTACAAGCATACAGCTATTATTAGCTTGTAACATTTTTGCTTTGTGTCACAATCGCAGCCGGAAATCAAAAATTTTCATGTCGGACTAAAAGCTAACGAACTGTGATGTGATGCGATGATCATTCGAGTCGAAGAACACAATTGTGATGATATAATCAACGCATAAATTACTAATATACGCGTGGTGTATGTTGGGTTGCATATGTTTTTCATGCAAGTATTGATTTGGACAGAGTGTATGTTTGTAAATAGTTTAAACATTTCCCAGAAGTGTTGTCAACGTCTATTAGCATTGGTTAATGTAGGAAAAGTCCACTTGAGATGAATTTCAACGAGGCTGCAAGGTCACCGTTTATTTATTCATTTAATTCATTCGTTTAGCGTTTATTGTTGCTAATTTCGTTTCCTGTTGATAATATTCATGATTTCTTCACTGTTATACACCGCAGCCATCTTGTTTTTATGTTTTTTATCAGTTTTTTGTACTTTGATGCTAAGCGGCCATTTTGTTTTGTTTCAGACTTCCCTGGAATGTGTTTCGCTAGCACCAAGTGCGCCACAGTTGAACCTGGTAAATCCTGGGACCTCACCCCGTTCTGTGGTCGTTCCACCTGCGTTTTGAGTGAAGACAAACCACCGCGTCTGCTTGAATTGGTCGAGGATTGTGGACCATTGCCATTGGCCAACCCCAAGTGCAAATTGGACGAAGAGAAGACCAACAAAACCGCGCCGTTCCCAGGATGTTGCCCGACCTTCAAGTGCGAAGATGGCGCTGTGTTGGAATACCCGGAGATCCCGACCGTTGCACCTGTCCCTGATGAGGTCACACCTAAAACAGCTTAGATTACGCTATTGACGTTTTGACACCCGAACAGCGACAACATCGAAGTAAATTTAATTTATTACGGGTGATGAATACGATGTAATGTTTTTTTTTTGTTTAACTCATCTGTGCACTATCTACAGTTCTCTTTTTTTAGTTTTTTTTTGTGTTTTTGTACGATAAATGATTATGTGAACAATTTTTTGTGATAAAATCGATTAAAATCTACAAACAATTGGTGATTATATTCATTTTTTCCTGGAATATGGTTGTGGTTTTTCAATTATTTTCTTTATTTTGGTATAACTATTGTTTCAATTGGTATAATTTAACCATATTTGGTGTGAATATGAACAATTAGTTGTACTTTTATTAGATGTAAGCAAAAGTATAATTTTTTTTTATAGTACTATTTCTGCTCTTTGGTAAACAACAATAGTTTTTCCTATTTGAAACAGTTTGTATAGAAAACAATTCGTATCTTTCGAATAAGTTAAGCAATTTAGGAGTTCTTTTCGTTATATAATAGATAAAAAGTTTTTCAAAAACCAGCACACCTTTGTTGCCTCTTGAATCAACGAGAAGTGCCCTTAAATGCCCTTCAAAAAGTAATTTTTCTTCAATTTTGATAAATTTGCATACCAAACAGCTCATATCCCTCATATTAATTAAGTAATTTAGAGTCTCTTATGAACATGTAATATTTAAAGAGTCCCTTAAAAATCTGTCACTTTTACGATCCCTTAAATGTGCGGGAAATGCCCTAAAATGCCCATCAAAAATTTATTTTTTTCAAATCTTGAACATTTTGGCAATTTCGGGTTTCTTATCATTATATAATAGTTAAGGAGTTTCTTAATTACCTTTCAGCTTTTCTATTCCTTTACCCTCTAAACTCTTGGGAAGTGCCCTAAAAATCCCTTCAAAAGTTGTAATTTTTTGAAAATTTCTAAAAGTTGCCGTGGAAAACACCCTGTATCATCTGTAAAAATAGTGCAATTTAGGTTTTTCCTACGCTAGTTTATTGATGAAGAGTGCTTTTACAAAATGAATACCCAATCCACCCTCTAAACCCAAGGGAAGTGCCTTAAAAGTCTCTTCAAAAGTCGATATTTTATGAATGTTTCTAAAAGTTGCCGTGGAAAACACCCCGTATCTCCTGTAAAAAATGCAATGGGGTTTTCCTGCGTCAAATTTAGGAGTCTTTGTACCTAATCCACCCTGCGTCAACTATATTTTTCAGATTTTTGTGTTTATAATACTTTTCAGTATTATAATTATCTTTAGTCGAAGTACAAAGCCAAATATGTAATTTTTAATTGTTATATTAATATTTTTGTTAGAAAAGCAATTAAAAAAATTCTTGGGAATTATTTTTGTTTGAATTTTATTTCGTTTGAAATTATTTTCGCCTGAGCAACAGGGTCGAACTTTTTCCGATAAAATATTTTCGGTCGAAGAACAGAGTCAAACTTTTCGATTAAAATTTTTTCCTGCGAAGTCAAAATAAAACTTTAAATGCCCATAACTCCTGAACTAAAAAGGCTAAGGGAAAAGGACTTCAGATCCTGAATGCTTAAAAAATTCTCTTTTACATAAGCTATTAAAAACAACAAATTCTCAATTTATTATTTCGTGTATGTGTGAATTTGCATATGTGTGTGTGTCCAATTTCGGACCGAAACCAAGTAAAATCGAGTTGTGTTATCCGGATCCCAGAATGTCGAGGAGGTTGAAAACTTTCGCGGGACTTTTGACTATATCTTTCTCTCTCTGACTTTATATCACCCTCTCTCTCTGTAAGACTGAATTTGAAATCTATGTTCTGCCTCTCTCTTTCTCTCACCGTCTCTCTCTTTCATTTTGTTCAATTTTGCCTCGAAACTAAGGGAAAAATTGATTTTGGGTACCAGGAACCCAGAAGTGCGAGGAGGCTGAAAATTTTTGCGCGATCTTCGCACGAATTATAAATAATTCCGAATTATTTTTTTCCTTCGCCGGAAATTTTCAGATTTTAATGAAAAAATCTACAAAATGAGTACAAAATTAATGCTCTAAACCTATGGGAAGTGCCCTAAAAATCTCTTTAAAAGTTGCCATTTCTTAAAAATTTCTAAAAGTTGCTGTGGAAAACACCCCGTATCTCCTGTAAAAATAATGCAATTTTGGCTTTTCCTACGTAAACATATAGATGAAGAGTGCCTCTACAGAATAAGTATCAAATTCACCCTCTAAACCCATGGTAAGTGCCCTAAAAATCCCTTCAAAAGTAGCCATTTTTTAAAATTTTCTAAAAGTTGCCGTGGAAAACACCCCGTATCTCCTGTAAAAATAATGAAATTTGGGGTTTTTCTGCGTCAACTTATAGATGAAGAGAGCCTCTACAAAATGTGTACCTAATCCACCCTCTAAACCCTTGGGAAGTGCCCTAAAATGCCCACGGAAAATGACCATTTTTTACTCTATTTTTCAGATTTTTGTTAAAATACTGACTCCACTTTGGATTATAATTATCTTTAGTCGAAGTACAAAGCCAAATATGTAATATTTAATTGTTATAATAATATTTTTGTTAGAAAAGCAATAAAAAAATTCTTGGAAATTATTTTTGTTTGAATTTTATTTCGTTTGAAATTATTTTCGCCTGAACAACAGGGTCAAACCTTTTCCGATAAAATATTTTCGGTCGAAGAACAGGGTGGAACTTTTTCCGTTAAAATATTTTCGGTCGAAAAACAGGGTCAAACTTTTCGAATAACATATTTTTCTGCGAAGTCAAAATAAAATTTTAAATGCTTATAACTCCTGAACTAAAAGGACTAGAAGGAAAAGGACTTCAGATCCTAAATGCTTAAAAAATTCTCTATTACATAAGCTATTAAAAACATCAAATTCTCAATTTATTATTTCGTGTATGTGTGAATGCATGTGTGTGTGTGTCCAATTTCGGACCGAAACCAAGAAAAATCGAGTTGGGTTATCCGGATCCCAGAATGTCGAGGAGGTTGAAAACTTTCGCGGGATTTTTGACTATATCTTTCTTTGTCAGACTTTATATCACCTTCTCTCTGTAAACTTTCGCGGGATTTTCGACTGAATTTGAAATCTATTTTCTGCCTCTCTCTTTCTCTCTCCGTCTCTCTCTTTCATTTTGTTCAATTTTGCCTCGAAACTAAGGGAAAAATTGATTTAAATATTAGGAACCCAGAAATGCGAGGAGGCTGAAAATTTTTGCGCGATCTTCGCACGAATTCAAAATAATTCCGAATTATTTTTAAGAACTTCGCCGGAAATTTTCAGATTTCAATGAAAAAATGTGCCAAAAATGCCAACTTTTAAGGGGGTTTTTAAGACATTTCTAGGCCCTTTAGGGCACCGGAAATGATACCAAACGATGAATCAACTCTTTTTCTACCAAATAAAACAAAGAACAATCAAATTGAACCAGAAACAGCCGAGATACAGGGCGTTTTCGAGGGCGTGTTTCAAAGAATTGCAAAAAAGGCCGACTTTCATAGTAGGTTTTAAGGCATTTGTAGAGATTTTAGGGAGTTGAAAAGTACATAAAACGATGGAGCAGCTATTCTTCTATAAGATGAAACGAAGAACGCTCAAATTGAACCAGAAACAGCCGAGATACAGGGCGTTTTCGAGGGCGTGTTTTACAGAATTGCAAAAAAGGCCAACTTTCAAACTAGATTTTAGGGCATTTGTAGGGCTTTTAAGGGGTTAAAATCTACATCAAACGATGGAGCAACTATTCTTCTATAAAATAAAATAAAGAACGCTCAAATTGATCCAGAAACAGCCGAGATACAGGGTGTTTTCGAGGGCGTGTTTCAAAGAATTGCAAAAAAGGTCGACTTTCCAAGTAGATTTTAGGGCATTTATAGGGCCTTCAGAAGGTTAAAAAATATATGATGTGATGAAGCAACTCTTTCTCTACTAATGAGAGTAAAAAACAATCAAATTGACCTAAAAAGAGCAGAGATTTAGGGTGTTTCCGAGCGCATGTTTCAGTGAATTGCAAAAAGATCAACTTTCAAAGTAGATTTTAGGGCATTTATAGGACCTTTAGATGGGAAACGGATACATCAAATGGTGAAGCCATTCATGTTCTTTATAATAACATATAACGTGACAAAATTAAGCAAGAAACAATCAAGATACAGGGTTTTCGATTAAAATTTTTTCCTGCGAAGTCAAAATAAAACTTTAAATGCCATTAAAACCCAACTGAACTAAAAAGGCTAGAAGGAAAAGGACTTCAGATCCTGAATGCTTAAAAATTCTCTATTACATAAGCTATTCAAAACAACAAATTCTCAATTTATTATTTCGTGTATGTGTGAATTTGCATATGTGTGTGTGTCCAATTTCGGACCGAAACCAAGTAAAATCGAGTTGTGTTATCCGGATCCCAGAATGTCGAGGAGGTTGAAAACTTTCGCGGGACTTTTGACTATATCTTTCTCTCTCTGACTTTATATCACCCTCTCTCTCTGTAAACTTTCGCGGGATTTTCGACTGAATTTGAAATCTATGTTCTGCCTCTCTCTTTCTCTCTCCGTCTCTCTCTTTCATTTTGTTCAATTTTGCCTCGAAACTAAGGGAAAAATTGATTTAAATATTAGGAACCCAGAAATGCGAGGAGGCTGAAAATTTTTGCGCGATCTTCGCACGAATTATAAATAATTCCGAATTATTTTTAAAAACTTCGCCGTAAATTTTTAGATTTCAATGAAAAAATGCCAACTTTTAAGGGTGTTTTTAAGACATTTTAGGCCCTTCAGGGCACCGGAAATAACACCAAACGATGAATCAACTCTTTTTCTACCAAATAAAACAAAGAACAATCAAATTGAACTTGAAACAGCCGAGATACAGGGCGTTTTCGAGAGCGTGTTTCAAAGAATTGCAAAAAAGGCCGACTTTCAAAGTAGGTTTTAAGGCATTTGTAGGGCTTTAAGGGGTTGAAAAGTATATCAAGGGATGGAGCAACTATTCTTCTACAAGATAAAACAAAGAACGCTCAAATTGAACCAGAAACAGCCGAGATACAGGGCGTTTTCGAGGGCGTGTTTTACAAAATTGCAAAAATGGTCAACTTTCAAAGCAGATTTTAGGGCATTTGTAGGGCTTTTAGGAGGTTAAAATGTATATCAAACGATGGAGCAACTATTCTTCTATAAAATAAGATAAAGAAAGCTTAAATTGAACCCGAAACAGCCGAGATACAGGGTGTTTTTGAGGGCGTGTTTCAAGGAATTGCAAAAAAGGTCGACTTTCAAAGTAGATTTTAGGGCATTTATAGGGCCTGCAGGAGGTTAAAAGATATATGATGTGATGAAGCAACTCTTTCTCTACTAAAGAGAGTAAAAAAACAATCAAATTGACCTAAAAAGAGCAGAGATACAGGGTGTTTCCGAGCGCATGTTTCAGTGAATTGCAAAAAAGATCAACTTTCAAAGTAGATTTTAGGGCATTTATAGGACCTTTCGAAGGGAAACGGATACATCAAATGGTGAAGCCATTCATGTTCCTTATAATAACATATAACGTGACACAATTAAGCAAGAAACAATCGAGATACAGGGTATTTTCCACAGGACGCTTATAGCAAAAGAAAAATGTTCATAACAAAACGTATATTAATCAAATCGTTACAAATATTACATAAAAACAAACCTAATTAATTATTCTGTAAATTATAATTAGTATTAACTAATAAGGAAGTATGTTAATACATCAAATTAATTATTTTACATAAATAAATGCTTACAAAGTAAACACTACATGTATTGTGGGTTGCCTATAGACACACCTTATATTCAAAATAAATCCCACCAAAAAATCATTCAAAACTCGCATAAAATGTAAACTGAATCAAAAAACATGTGTGGGCTTTTATTACACACCTATAATAACAAAATCTATGTATAAACCGTTTATTTTCTTTTGTTTAACCAGTTTTCCAAACAATAATAAATTCCCACCAACACAGCGCCACACAGCATGATTTACCACGTTTAAATCCATGAAATTAATTCCATTTCTCCGCATTTAATTTCCTCTAACTCTACATTTTTTAACGCGTCACGTTCAGTGAACAGCACAATTTCGATGCTTAACTATGATAAGCATGTAAATTGGGTTGCAGCTGCACGATTGCCCGACTGCCAGTTCAAACACCTTCATCCACCCTCGCATAGCATACGCGATCCACATCCACCCTTGTGCTGCTTCGTGCTGCCGTCGGTTCCGTCTTCCGGCGCATTTGTTCCTCGTCGCACGCGCATCGATCGCGTGCGTCGCGACGCCGACGGCGTCCCGGCGGCGCGCCTCTCAACAATCGCTCGCAGTCTATTTCCAGCCGCTTTTCCAGCGCCAACTCGAAAATATTTTTCTCGCTCGTGCATTGAACCGCAACGCTACAAACATAAATTAATTAGCATACAACATTGCGTTGTAAATCGTGGCAAAAATGTGTTTTCATTTACGTTTAAGATGTGCGCGCGCTGGCGTAAACATCCGCAGTGAGAAAAGAAGCCCTCTGGGTTAACCTGTGTGCAATAACAGCTGAAACACAACAGGAAGTGATTAAAAAATGCATAAAAATAATAATAATACAAACACAAACATTATAAATGGATTGATTATTAACTAAAATTAATTATTTTATGTTTATTTGAGTAAATTGATGAATATTTTCAACATGGTGACTTAATTATTGTATGTGAATGGGTTTTGGATTGATTCAATGTTTTAAGTGTGTGCAAGTGATAAGAATTGAGAGATTTTGTTTGCTGGACGGCGGCTGATAGCCGATGAAGACGAATCGATACGATACGTTTAACATGTGCGAGCGCATCCATCCGGAGGCGGCGCATGCCGCAGGAAACACGTAAGTTTATGCAAAAGCATATTATCATAATATTTACGGCATAATTCGATTAAAAATGACAGTAATTTATTATTAAAACGAGAAAAATCGATGTTTAAGATTAATTTTTTGTTTGTAAGTTTGTATTGTTATTTATGTAATTTAAATTAACAGAAATGTGAGATTTAGCTTTAATACGAATTATATTTTGTATTTAAAGGAATTTATTGGATTAACGCGTCGAGTAAAATCGATTTTGATTAAAAATTTCATGGAAGACGCTTCAAATGTTTAATTTTGATGTAAAATAAATGAAATAATTAAGTGTTTCATTGAATTCGATGTAAAAATTAATTATTTCTTCGCTTTTTGTTGTTTTTTGTATGAAAAGTTATGAGTTTGTTATTTTGGTTGCAAAATTTTGTAAGTTTTTTTTTGTTTATTACTGGTTAAAGTAATTTATTAATGCTTAAAATACTGAAAAATATGTTTTGATCATTGCAATAATTAAAATAATATTGCATTTTATTTAATTTGTTAATAAATCTCTATACTTATATTTGTTATTAATATTTTCATCAAAAACTAAGTTTTTTTTATTATTAATTGCATAATTTTGGCAGAAAACAGATTTTTTAAACTTAAAATCACTTAAAACAACAAAATAGAAGAAGTTATTTGTATAAAAAAGGTTGATTTTAAAAGCAAATTTTAGGACCTTTTCAGGGCCTTTAGGAGGTCAAAAGGTATATCAACCAATGAAGTAACTCTTCTTCTACTAAATAAAACAAAGAACAATCGAATTGAACCGGAAACAGCCGAGATACAAGGTGTTTTCTAGCGCGTGTTTAATTTTTTTACTTTTAGAAAAAGTTGCTTTTCAAATCAAATTTTAGAGTATTTTTAATGCCTTCAGGAGGTCAAAAGTTAAATCAAACAATGAACCCATTCTTCCTCAACTGACTAAAATAAAGAACAATCGAATTGAACCGGAAACAGCCAAGATACAGGGTGTTTTCTAGCGCGTGTTTTGAAGATGTGCAGAAATGGTAGATTTTCAAATCAGCTTTTAGGGCCTTTTTAGGGTTTTTAGGAGCTCACAAGTTATATCAAATGATGAAGACACTCTTTCTCTTTATAATAACACAAAACGTGACAAAATTAGGCAAGAAACAACCAAGATACAGAGTGTTTTCGAAGGCATTTTTTACTAGAACAAAAAACTAACTCTTAAGTACGAATTTGAGGCATTTTTGAACCTAAAATCACTTAAAACAACAAAACACATCTTCTATTCCACATTAAATCATAAATAATTAATTGTTGTGTAATATTGGTTGCATACCTTCAATATACTCCCACATTTTATACGTTTTTCCATTAATTAACCACAAATATTTATGCAAACATCAACAAAACCCTATAAATCCCTATGCAAATAATAATAATCATATTTATATACCTTATCACAACTAAAAAGCAAACTACATAAATAATACTCACATGTACATTCAGTTACCTACAACTACACATCAAAACATCAAAACTATTCCAACACCGATTTACTCAGCGATTCAATCCGTTTATTCCCAGTTTAAACACGCATTGAACAAATTCATGACGTAATCTAATCGAGTGCACCACAGTCCGCCATAAAAAGGTCACGTTTATGATAAGTGATAAGCCGCAGCGTATTCCGGCCGTTATCAATGCGCTGCAGATCGTCAATCGTACAAACACCATAAAATTAAGCAAACCAAATCAAAAGTCTAGTCATTGTCGTGATTAATACGTGATCAAACATGTGTTTAACTACAATTTTACACACCTACAGAATACTCAAAATGGCGCCGTGGTAATGGTAAGGTCAGCAAGAAATTTAAACTCAATCACGTTTGAAACTCAATGAAATTTGTGTTATTGTTGTTACAAAAATAAAACATTTTAATTCAATGCGCACGTTTATTCTCTACAAGCCTCGATATGTAGCAATACAAAATGGCGTCACAGTCGTCCAACACACATCCAACAATTCACACATTTTTATATTATTTATCTTTATTCTTATAATTAATATTAAATCAAATGATTCATTTGTTTCAGATAATTCATGAATCATTCAATATTCAATGAATTCCATGACTTTGACCCGGAATCACTTCGTCAACCAACCAACTCATCACCAGCTTAAAACATTGTGCGAAACAAACAAAAATGGAATTATTATCAAGTTTGGTGGGTGGTTATTGTGATTACAATCGCACCATCTAAATAATTCGTGCAATGCGCAGCGTAAGCAGGACGAAAGCGTCCTGGAGGATGCGAATTGTGTGTTTAATTGTGTCGCCAGCCACGAGTGTTTTGTGTCGCGCGCAGGCAGGAACCGGAAGACGCGAGAGATATTCCCGGCGAGGGAGTGTTGCTCGTTTGGCTCGTTACGAGTGTCCTCGAGGGATGAGAGTAATTTATTGAAACGTGCACGTTAAATTCAATTTGCGTGCGCCGAGTGAGTGAACAAAGTGTAGCAAAGTGTAGGAATAGGAAAGTGAACAAACTTAGCTTGGGTCTTGAGTGTGTTGGGCATAGTTAGTGTCCGGACAACGTGTGCAAGATGCCGGGGATTGTGGTGTTTCGAAGGCGATGGAGTGTCGGATCGGATGATTTGGTTGTTCCCGGATTGTTTTTGTTTCTGATGCATCTTATTTGGTAAGTTGTGGATGATTTTTGATAGAAATGAATGAAAATTTGTTTTTTTGGGGGGAAATTTTGTGTTTGGAGCGTGATTATCGCTGTTTTAATTAGTTAATTGATTAGTTTTGTATGTTATCTTAATCTTTGGTTAATTCTCTATAATAATTGTTATTATCGGATTGATAGTTTTGTTGTTATTTGAAGTTAAACAAAAAAATGCGTTTTTTAAGTTTTTTCGGAAAATAATTTTCAATTTTGGATTATAAACAAATAAAAATAGATAAAAAGTTAGTTTAAAGTCAGTTTTGTTGATAATTAATTTATCTTTGCTTATATTTTAAAATCAAACTTCTATCGTTGATACTTTAAAAGTTATAAATAATTTTATGCAAAATTTCAATTTTTTTTGTCTGCGTTAAATTGAAAATTTGTGTTTGGGGCGCGATCACGGATGTTCTAATTAATATATTAATTAATTTTGTATGTCATCATAATCTTTGACTCATTCTCTAACATATGAGATATAAATTGTTGTTGTTGGATAAATAGTTTTGTAGTTATTTAAAGTTAAACAAAAAAAAACGTGTTTTAAATTTTTTCTAAAATTAATTTTCAATTTCGGATTACAAACAAATATATTAAAAATCAATATATAATCAATTTGGTAGATAATTAAATTATCTATGATTATATTTTAAAATCAAACTTCGATCTTTGATACTTCAAAAGTTATAAACAAAATTATAAGTTTTTTTGTCTGCGTCAAATTGAAAATTTGTGTTTGATAAGCGATTACAGCCGTTTTAATAATTTAATAAATTAATTTGATACGTCACCGTAATATCTAGTAAATTCACTATTACATAACATATAATTTGTTATTGTTGCATTGTTTGTTTTGTTGTTATTTAAAGTTAAAGAAAAAATGCGTGTTTCGATGTTTGCACCAAAATGAATTTTCAATATCAAATTACCGCAAAACGAAAATATATAGAAAATTGTTATAAAACTATTAATATACATAATTAAATTACCTTTGATTCTGTTTTTAAATCAAATCCCTACCTTTAATGCTTTAAAAGTTATTAACAATTTTCTAAAAAAAATTCAACATATATTTCGTATTGTTACATTACAATTGTTTACTTTTTCACTAATAACTTTTAAACAAACAACAATACACACCCAAAACAAAATTATAATTATTCTCCATTAAATTCTCTTCAAAACAACACCTCATTCAATTTGTTGTTATTATAAACAACCGAATTACAAACAACAAAACAAAAACACCAAACCTATTTAGGTTAATGTCTCGTGACAAAATTGCGTAAATTTTATTTATTATCGTTGATAATTCGGGACGATGCAGTGTTGTTCAAGGTCGAAGTGGATCAGGCCCACGAGGAGACCTAGCGCGATCATCCTAAAAATAAAATAAAAAGGAAATGTCAACGCAAATGGTTTAAATATCACTGGAGCAAGTTTTGAAGTATAATGTCGCTATAGATTACGGGTGTAATGCAGTAGTTTTATATTAGGTTGACATTTTGACAGTTATTATTAGTTGTGGAGGTTATAGTTTTTGTGCTATTTGGTACTTATTCGGATATTTCTATTTATGAGTATTTACGAGTAGTGAATGTTGAAAATAGGTTTTTTATTTTTGTTTTGTTTATAACTCGGTTGTTTATAATAGCAACAAATTGAGTGTCATGTCGTTTTAAAGGGAATTTAGTGAAGAATAATAGCAAGTTTGTTTTGGGTTAATATAATTATTAGTTTAAAAGTTATTAGCGAAAAAGAAACAAATTGCAATGTTACAATATCAAAAAAAAGTTACAACTTGTTAGTAATTTGTTGATAACTTTTGAAATAATAAAGATAGGAGATTGATTTAGAAATATAATTAAAGTGCATTTAATTCTCTATATAAATGACTTTATAGTTATTTTCTGTATATTTTCGTTTTCTTCTAATTCAAATTTCAAAATTAATTTCAGTGCAACTTTTAAAAAAATTTCTGTTTTTGTTTTGTTTATAACTCAGTTGTTTATAATAGCAACAAATTGAGTGAAATGTTGTTTTAAAGGAAATTTAGTAAAGAATAATAACATGTTCGTTTTGGGTCAAATATAATTATTAGTTTAAAAGTTATTAGCGAAATAGTAACAAATTGCAATATTACAATATCAAAAAAATGTTGCAACTTGTTAGTAATTTGTTGATAACTTTTAAAATAATAAATATAGGGGATTGATTTAGAAATATAATTAAAGTGCATTTAATTCTCTATATAAATGACTTTATAGTAATTTTCTGTATATTTTCGTTTTCTTCTAATTCAAAATTCAAAATTAATTTCAGTGCAACTTAAATTTTTTTTTCTGTTTTCGTTTTGTTTATAACTCAGTTGTTTATAATAGCAACAAATTGAGTGACATGTTGTTTTAAAGGGAATTTAGTGAAGAATAATAGCAAGTTTGTTTTGGGTTAATATAATTATTAGTTTAAAAGTTATTAGTGAAAAAGTAACAAATTGCAATATTACAACATCAAAAAAAGTTACAACTTGTTAGTAATTTGTTGATAACTTTTAAAATAATAAAGATAGGAAATTGATTTAGAAATATAATTAAAGTGCATTTAATTCTCTATATTAACGACTTTATAGTAATTTTCTATATATTTTCGTTTTCTTCTAATTCAAAATTCAAAATTAATTTCAGTGCAACTTAAAAAAACGTTTTTTCTGTTTTTGTTTTGTTTATAACTCAGTTGTTTATAATAGCAACAAAATGAGTCAAACGTTGTTTTAAAGAGAATTTAGTGGAGAATAATTACAAGTTTGATTTAGGTTTGTTCAATTATTTGTTTAAAAGTTATTAACAATATTATACAGAAATTCAACTTTTTTTGGATGCGTAAAATAAAAATTTTGTGTTTGAGGCGCGATTACGGTTGTAATACTTAATTAATTAACTAATTTGGCATATCATCAAAATCTTTGATTATTTCTCTATGATATCAGGTATAATTTATTATTTTCGGATTGATAGTTTTGTTGTTATTTTAAGTGAAACAAAAAACGTTTTTTTTTTAAACTAATTTTCATTTCACACAAGTAATTAATATTTTGCACACCCTGTATATAAATTTAATTAAATCCCGTGCATAAGACGCGCAAAACATTAATAAATTATTAAAATATTTAAATATCCCCGTTGCGCAGTAAAAAAAGCGCAAAAAGCGATAAATTTCCTGCAGTGCAGCTGAGCCCAGAGGGTGTAACAACCCCCAATGCGGCTGTGTACGTGTACTAATAATTTTAAACGTCCCGAGCATGTTGGGATGCTGCGGCATCCCTAAAAGTGCATAGCGAAGGTCAAACCTGCACGTTTGTTCACATCAGGGGTGCAATCCACCCTCGTACTCGTTCCGATACATCACTACACAATATATTACACCCACACTATAATATTCACCCCCTCAGGATGAACGCCGCCGCGAATAATCGAAGTGTGAGTCATTCATGAAGGCCGCAGCGCAATAAGATCGCCCACATTGTAGAATTTTAGGTTAAGTGCGAAATATAACCATTACACCGCGTGCAGTGTAATAATATCGAGTTTTATAACTCGTAGGGCTTTTAAAATGTCAAAAAGTGGTATTATGTAGGGTTATGAGTTATAAATATTAGGTTAGGTTGTGTTTTGTGTTTTCTAGGTTATACGCGCGGTGGTGAGTCGTAAAAATACGTATGAATAGACATAAAATCAGGCCGGTTATCTTTGTAGAGCGTTTCCGGCGTTGATTGACGTTTATCCTGATTGACTCGTGCTGTTATCCTTCGTCACGTTCGCTTTCCACGCGGATTTTTATGGGTTTGTTGTGTTTGAGGTTAGTATCGACCTGAGGCTATGGAGTAGTGACGTCATGGAGTTGCAAAAACAGCCAGATGAGTAAAAACAAGAGCGGATAGTTTTGTGGCGGTGCCAAAATTGCTTTCAGGATGTGATTGATGAAGAATTTTTAGCGATTGATATTAGTGGAATACATTTTGATCAAATTTTGTTTAATCGAGTGGAAAATGGGTTTTAAAGTGGAGAAAAACGTAGAAATTGCGTTTTGCCGCCATTTTCTTTTATTTTTGAACTATGGCTGCGTAGGGATTAGTTTTTAAAGTATTTTAAAAGTTTTCTTCTATACCGACACGAAATTTAACCTAAAATAAATCTTTTTCAGTTTTTATGGTTTAATCAAACATTAAATGTGTTTAAAAATTTCAAAAAACATATATAACCATATTTTTAACCTATTTTGAGAGCTAAATTTACAGTTTTCTACTTTACCGACTAAAAATCTATAACCTCAAACAAAACACTTGAAAAATGACCAAAACTATGACTTTTTCTAATTAAAGTTTTTGTTTCCACGTGATTTTACAGTTTTTTACTTTACCGACTTGATAAAATTCTAACCTCAAACAAAACACTTTAATTTAAAGAAAACCTCTCGCCATAAATCAACGCAAATCGCAATAAATCAAAGTAATACATCAAGCACGAGTATTATTATCGTTGATTAGCTTTTCTTGTTCTTCGGACTTCTGGCGCTTCGCCCGCTGTGAGCAGATGTGCGAAGTAAGACGGATTTGATGCAATTACCCAATAGTTTTATTACTTCCATACGTTGCGTCGCGTCGCGGCGCAAACACAATGAAAAAGAGAAGACGAAAAGAAAGGAAAACCTCTGCACACAACCACAGAATACCGAATTGCTTTACGAACCCTCCACATTCACTAATGAGAAATGTCTCAATAAGTAACGAAGATGACGAAATTATTACGGCTATTAGTAACTGTTGAAATGCAGAAAAATAACAAAATAATCTTTGGTTTATTCTGTATCATATGAGACATAAATTGTTGTTGTATGAGTGATAGTTTTGTTGTTATTTAAAGTTTAAAAAAAAACGCGCTTTTTAAGCTGGTTTACACGTTGTTTATTTTTTGTTTAATTTTAAATAACAACAAAACTATCAATTCAACAACAACAATTTATATCTCATATGGTACAGAATGAACTCAAGATTATAATAACATAGAAAATTAAATAATTAATTAATTAGAACAGCCATAATCGCGCCCCAAATACAAAATTTCAATTTTTTGCAGACAAAAAAAGTTGAAATTTTGTATAAAATTGTTAATAACTTTTAAAATATTAAAGTTAGGAGTTTAGTTTAAAGATAGAATTAAATACAATTTTATTATTTATAAGTTAGATATTATAATAATATTTTACCTATTTTTGTCTCCTTGTAATCTTGAAAATTGAAAATTCATTTCAACGCAAATTTCATGAAACGCGTTTTTCCTTTTTATTTATTAATGTTTTTACGGTGAAATCTTAAGACACAAGATTTAATTAAATATTATAAATTGTCTTTAGGGTGTTTTGTGTTTGAAAATATATTTTAATTAATTAATTACCGAATTATTCATTAAAATCTTTGGATATGAGGTTTTCGGATAAATAGTTTTGAAAAGCAAATAAAACACAAACAAATAATTAATATTTTGGACAACCTGTATAATATTTAATTAAATCCCGTCCCTAAGACTTAAAAACATTAATAAATTATTGAAATATTTAAATATCCCCGTTGCGCAGTAAAAAGCGCAAAAGCGATAAATTTCCTGCAGTGCAGCTGAGCCCAGGGTGTAACAACCCCAATGCGGCTGTGTACGTGTACTAATAATTTTAAACGTCCTTTTAGTGTTAAGTGCGAATCCACCCTCGATAACCATTACACCGCGTGCAGTGTAATAATATCGAGTTTTATAACTCGTAGGGCTTTTTAAAATGTCAAAAGTAGTATTATGTAGGGTTATGAGTTATAAATATTAGGTTAGGTTGTGTTTTGTGTATTCTAGGTTATACGCGTGGTGGTGGGTCGTAAAAATACGTATGAATAGATATAAAATCAGGCCGGTTATCTTTTTAGAGCGTTTCCGGCGTTGATTGACGTTTATCCTGATTGACTCGTGCTGCTATCCTTCGTCACGTTCGCTTTCCACGCGGGTTTTTATGGGTTTGTTGTGTTTGAGGTTAGTATCGACCTGGGGCTATGGCCTAGTGACGTCAGGGAGTTGCAAAAACAGCCAGATGAGTAAAAACAAGAGCGGATAGTTTTGTGGCGGTGCCAAAATTGCTTTCAGGATGTGATTGATGAAGAATTTCTAGCAATTGATATCACTTGAATATATTTTTGATCAATTTTTGTTTAATCTAGTGGAAAATGTGTTTTAAAGTGAGAGAAAACGTAAAAATTGTGTTTTAGCCGCCATTTTGTTTTATTTTTGTACTATGGCTGCGTAGAAATTAATTTTAACGTATTTTTAAAGATAGATTTACAGTTTTCTTCTATACCGACACAAAATTCAACCTTAGATAAGTTTTTCATTTTTTCGGTTTAATCAAACACAAAAGTGTTTAAAACATATAAAACCATATTTTCGAACCTGTTTTGGAAACTGAATTTACAGTTTTCTACTTTATCGACTAAAGATCTATAACCTCAAATAAAACACTAGAAAAATGAGCAAAACTATGACTTTTTCTAATTAAAGTTTTTGTTTCGAAGTGATTTTACAGTTTTCTACTTTACCGACTCGAAAAAAATCTAACCTCAAACAAAACACTTTAATTTAAAGCAAACCTCTCGCCATAAATCAACGCAAATCGCAATAAATCAAAGTAATACATCAAGCACGAGTATTATTATCGTTGATTAGCTTTTCTTGTTCTTCGGACTTCTGGCGCTTCGCCCGCTGTGAGCAGATGTGCGAAGTAAGACGGATTTGATGCAATTACCCAATAGTTTTATTACTTCCATACGTTGCTTCGCGTCGCGGCGCAAACACAATGAAAAAGAGAACACGAAAAGAAAGGAAAACCTCTGCACACAACCACAGAATACCGAATTGCTTTACGAACCCTCTACATTCACTAATGAGAAATGTCTCAATAAGTAACGAAGATGACAAAATTATTACGGCTATTAATAACTGTTGAAATGCAGGAGAAATAACAAAGTAATCTTTGGTTTATTTTGTATCATATGAGATAAAAATTGTTGTTTGATTCATAGTTTGTTGATATTTTAAAGTTAAACAAAAAAGCGCGTTTTTTAAGTTTTTTGTGTGAAATTAATTTCAATATCGGATTAGGAATAAATAAAAATTTATTCAAAATTATTATAAAGTCAATTCTGTAGATAATTAAATTATCTTTCATTATATTTTAAAATCAAACTTCGATCTTTGATACTTTAAAAGTTATAAACAATTTTATGCCAAATTTAAACTTTTTTTTCTTCGTCTGCGTATAAATGAAAATTTGTGTTTGAAACGCGATTACGGCCGTTTTACTTATTTAATAAATTCATTTTATACGTCATCTTAATATGCGGTTCATTCCCTATCAGATAACATATAATTTGTAATTGTTGAATGGTTTGTCTTGTTGTTATTTAAAGTTAAAGATAAAACGCGTTTTTAATGTTCGCACCAAAATTAATTTTCAATTTAAAATTCCAAAAAAATAAAAATAAATAGGAAATTGTTATAAAATTATTATTATAGATAATTAAATTATCTTTGATTCTATTTTTAAATCAAACTCAAATCTTTAATACTTCAAAAGTTATCAACAATTTTCTACACAATTTCAACTATATTTCGTATTGTAATATTGCAATTCATTACTTTTTCGTTAATAACTTTCAAACAATTAATGATACAGACCTATACCTACTCTTAAATTATTCTCAACTAAATTCCCTTTAAAACAACATTTGTCTAAATTTGTTGTTATTATAAACAACCGAGTTATAAACAAAATAAAACCAAAACCCAACTCTTTTTAATTACTCGAAAATAAAAATATCCGAATAAATACCATAGATAACCAAACTATTGTACCTCCACGAGTATTAATAACTGTCAAAATGTCAACCTAATATAAAACTACTGCATTATCCCCGTAATCTATCGCGACATTATACTTCAAAACTTGCTCCAGTGATATTTAAACCATTTGCGTTGACATTTCCTTTATACTATTTTTATTTTTAGGATGATCGCGCTAGGTCTCCTCGTGGGCCTGATCCACTTCGACCTTGAACAACACTGCATCGTCCTACTATTCACATTCGTCCTGATCTACATGATCCTGCTCGGATTCAACATGATCAACGAACTGGGCATAGCCATCGTCGCATTACGCGGCAGCATATTAGACACCGCACCGCGCGCATCAATGAAATATCTACTCTACGTGCGTCTAGGTCTACTCTTACTTGAAACAGGCTGGCTGGTTGCAGGATGCGTCTGGCTCGTCTATTATTACCCAGGATGTCCTATCGACAAAGCAAAACAAACTGTTTTAGGTAATTAATATTCAACACAACCTTAAAAATATTGTATAAAAATTTGGTGTATAACTGGTTGCAGGGCTTATCGTGTGCAATTGGTGTATAATAGTCTCTATAATCGTGACAGTCTGGTGTACTTACGACGCCGCTGGGCGATCATGGGTGAAAATGAAGAAGTATCAACGCTCGATGCGTGAATCCGAATCCAAGTTTCAGTACAAACGATCTGGAAGCACTCGTAATTGGCGACAGCGAAAAGTGCTGCGTGCGTATCAGGATAGTTGGCATCAACGCTGTCGGTTTCTCTTCTGTTGTATGCGACCCTCCGATCGCAATCGCAACAGTTTCGCCGACATCGCACGATTACTCTCGGATTTTTTCCGTGACTTAGACGTAGTACCGTCAGATGTCGTTGCTGGTCTTGTCCTGCTGCGAAAATTTCAAAAAATCGAAAGAAAAGCCATAGTAGAACACCGTAAAAATGACACTTACGAGTTTTTATCTGGTGTCGCGGTCACGCCAAGGACACAGTTTTTATCCCTGCAACAAAATGGCGCTGATGGTCAAGGTCAGGACTTGGAACTGTTCCAAACCGTTATACACTTTGCGCATTTCGCTGTGCGTGCGTACGGATGGCCGATCTATGTGATGACACAAGATATGGGCATGTGTCTGATTTGTGCCAACCTGAGGTGTTGTTGCTTTCCATGTCAGAAACCATCCGATGCTGAAATCGTCGAAGATAATTGTTGTAAATGTAACTTCGCCGCGCTGGAAAAACTACGTGAATTAGGAGATATAGAGATTATTTACGCTACGTACCATGTGGATGTGGGCGAGACGCCATTTTTCGTCGCGTTGGATTATGACAGACGCAACATTGTCATCAGTATTCGTGGAACACTCAGTATGAAAGATATTTTGACAGATCTCAACGCTGAAGGTGAATGTCTACCAGTGAATCCCGTGCAGGAAGACTGGCTGGGTCACAAAGGTATGGTTCAAGCAGCACAATACATCCTCGAGAAACTAAAATCAGAGAATTTAATCGAACGTGCGTTACACCACAAACCCGAGAAGGATACAATGACTTACCAGCTGATTTGTGTTGGTCATTCACTCGGTGCTGGCACAGCGTGTATACTAGGCATACTACTACGCCAAGAGTACCCGGATCTGTTGTGTTACTGCTATAGTCCGCCAGGTGGCTTGCTGAGCATGCCAGCTGTGGAATATACAAAATCATTCACAATATCCGTGGTGATGGGTAAAGATGTTGTTCCGCGAATCGGTCTACATCAAATGGAAGCACTCCGCGCGGATTTAATCAACGCAATCAAACGTAGTGTTGATCCCAAGTGGAAAACAATCGCGTGCAGCGTCCTCTGTTGTGGATGTCGGCATGAACCGACGTCAGCAGTCGAGATGTCAACCGGCGACGCGACTGTAACCGAATACATGAAGGCCAAGGATAAAGCGCGCTGCTTCAAGGTTCATCCACAGGATAGTTCCATTGCATTAACATCACATCAACCGTTATATCCACCAGGGAAGATAATCCACGTTGTGCGACATCATCCATCGAAAGGAGAGTAAGTATTACTTCTCATACTATAAACCTAACCTAAAAATTTTTAAACTTTTTTCAATATTTTATCTTTGCTTGAATGCGCTTGGGATTTTTTACCGGCAGACAGAAATACGAAACAAGATGGAGGTAACGTTAATGTTGTGCCACAACCCTGAGTAATCGCGCATGCGTATTTCGATTTATGTTAGAATATCTTGCAAATTAACCTAAAAACGTGTTTGATTGAGGTTATATGAACTAAAAATGATTGTTTATTGTTTTAGGCAAGCGTTGAGCAGTAAAGAACCCGTGTATCAGGCGTTATGGGCGCAGAACGTCGATTTCGACGAAGTTTTGATCTCGCCGGTGATGATTCAGGATCACATGCCTGATAAGGTCCTGGATGCGCTGAATAAGGTACGCGATTATCACGGCGTTACACACCAACGCAAATATAAATTCACCGAGGATGAAACTTGTTTTTCTTGAGTTTTTATGACTTTTTGAGGTTAAAAAGTTGTGAAAATAGGTTATGTATTGTTTTTTTGCTTATAATTTGATTTTTTTTTATAGTTTTATACTTTGCACATTATGTTTATTTATTTTCAGTTGAAAATTAATAAATTTTTGATGTTTTTTTTAGTTTCTGAGCTTTATCTAGCGTTTTTTGTGATTATTTTGATGAGAAACTGAACCGGGCGGATGTTGTGCACATAGGTGGAGAGGGCGGTGGTCGGTGGCGGTCGGGAGCATCGTCATTGCGTCCCGGGTTCGCCCTTAGAGCTGAAACCACCGCCTCGGGACATAAGGTATCGCAACACATCACCCACACACCAAAAACAAACAAAACCACGAATATTCAACGATAAAAACCATGAATTTAATATTTCTAAATCAAAATCTAAACAAAAACATAAAATAAATATAAATCCATGGTGATTACCTTTAAACATAACCTCTAAACACTGTTTTGACATTCTAACCGCCATTTTGAAGTGATAAACACGTGCTAACTCCCCCTATCTGCCTCTCTTGCCCTTGTGTGTCGCCTTGTGCACTATATAAGTAAAAACAGCTTGAACACACTGTATATTTTCATCTTACGCACGTATTTTACTTATTTTTAACCTCAAAAAACAAAAAATTAATTTTTTTAATAAAAATTTTAGGTTATAACAACACCAGGCCCAAGAAAACCACAACGTACACATCCCAGTCTGGATCTTCTTCTGAAAACTGTCAAAAAGATTCACTACGTCCGGTTTTTCATCCCCAACCGGAAAGTCCTTCAACTAACAAACTTCTACTGGAAACTTCATTTACAAGCCTCCAGAGCCCTTCGGCGCCTGCTAGTAACGCATCATCATCAGTAAATGGCTTTCATCATCCTCTAAGTAAACATAACCTATTTCTAACAAGTTCTACTAAACCCAACAAAACAATGTCGTTGGATTTACCATCAGCGCACCCTGGTGGTAAAATAGATTTAATCCATGATGATTGGTTCGGTTTGGCACCACTTGCAAGTCCTGAAAGTTTATCAGAATTGAGTTCGATTTCATCCAGAGCTAGTTTCCTTGGTTTGGGATTATCGTTAACTCCGACGACGATAGGTGGCATACCTAGAGTCGGCAGTTTTGAATTAAAAACACCGAAAGTCATGCGTCGCACACCCAAAATCAACAATAACCTATCCACATGCGCAGATGACATTAAAAACGTGCGATATTATGAAAAATTAGGTCAAATATCAAAACATTTGACATTTGATGAAACTGACGCATGCGCAGATGTTACTTTAGGTTTATTAGGCAGCAACACACATATTACAAACTCCAGCAGTAATCTATCCTATGAATCTGCAAGTAGTCATGTTGAGGATGTCAAAAATGATTTCATTGTAGCGACATCTAGCGACGACTTTCAATCAGTTGAAGATATACTGGATTCAGTGATGCAGTCAGCTGGCTGTGCGGATTTCTTCAATTCGAAGTCAACGTTCCTCGAAACACACTTTGATGAAGCGTTTGAGTTACAGAATCAACCTTCACAAGGTCAAATCACTTTGACATCACCCCTGACACCGACACCAACGAATGATCCTGATTTACTATCGAATTTCGCGATTGATTTAACTTTGGATTCTGAACATAGGTCACAGGCGAGTTATGAAGTGGCTACGACTGCTTCCAATTCAAATTCCAAGGCGAATTCGATTGATTCGGGATCCATGTGTCGTACACCATCAGATCATGCGAAGAATGTCACTTTTAACCCGCAGGTTATTAATATTGAGGAATTACGAGCGCCGCAATGCTCACCAAAGCGTAGAAAGTGGAATTTTATGTCTACGACACGAAAAAGAGACTTTCAACCATCACCGCCATCTAGGAGTGACTTCCAACCGAAAACTATTCTGTCATCTTCTAAAAGAAGGAATAGTTTTAATACTTCAGATGAGTTTTTCTCACGTAGTGAAGCATTACCTCTGTTGACTAATCTAGGCGCTGGTAGTGAGCGGACATCACCGAACTTTGTCCGACGGAAAAAATATGTCTATCCCACCGGGATTAGTTATATCGGGAAAGGGAGCGAGAGCAGTGTGTGAATATTTGGTTGCATAACTTAGCGTAATGAATTTTAACATTTTGTATATTTGTATACTGTTTATATATTAATATGACTCGGGATGTAATGTTTTGACAGTCAATTATATGATATGATATATGATTGTGTAGATGGCGCTGTCAAATGAGTTAAAATGTCCGATTTCAAGTGCGTCCGCAAGAAGCAACGTGTTTCCGTTCTAGAAGATACAATACACACAGTAAATATAAATATTTATATATAGATTGATATATATGATATATAGTTATTATTAATGTTATTGTATTTAGATAGAAATGATTTACTTATTGTAAGATTTTAATGAATAACGAAGATGATGTCCATGTGTGCGATGATGGTGAGTGATGAGTGAATATGTGGATTTGTGAGGATAATATGTATGATTTAGGAGTTTAGGGATGTGGAGGGAGGTTAGGTAGGATAAAATTAACATTGTTGTACTAAATCTAGAGAGATATTATTTAAATAAAAAAGGAGTGGTGAATTATGAATAAATAATGATTACTTATATATAATATGGGTTTTTGAATTTGTGGTTTTTTTTTTGAGGGGTTGAATTTGGTGATTTTTGGGGGTGGATATCTTGGGATTGGTGTTTTTGATTTCGATTATCTTTTTTGAGTTTTGTAGAGGGAGAGTTGTTCTAACGTGTGGGTTTTGTTGCGATTTTGTAAAATTTTAGTAAGTGTCCTTAAAATGTCCTGGAAATTTTGTGTTTTTGGAGATTTGGAAAAATACGTGTTAGTAAACACTTTGTATATTTTATGCATTTTATTTGATTTTATAGTTTTTGGTGTTAATTTAAAGTGGAAGAGTGTCTTTATTAATTACAGTTTATTTGAAATTTTTAAAATATATGGAAGTTCTCCAAAAATGCATTTGAAAACGTGCATATAGTAAAGAAATAGCAAAACACGTAATTTTCAAACCTTTGTAACTTTGGAATGGAAAATTAGTTTCTGATAAAATTTATGTCATTTTAAAGAGGGAGAGTTGTTTAATCATGTACAGTTTATTGCATTTATTTAAAAAAGCGGAATTATTTTCTACACGTCCTGGAAATTCCGATTTTTTTAGGTGTTTTTTGGGGGTGAATATCTCGGAATTGGTGTTTTTGATTTTGATGATCTTTTTTGTGTTTTGTAGAGAATGAGTTGTTCTATTGCGTTGGCTTTGTTGGGGTTTTGTAAAAATGCCGGAAGTGTCCTTAAAATGTCCTGGAAATTTGGTGTTTTGTGAGAATTGGTAGAACACGTGGTAGAAAACACCTTGTATTTTCGATAGTTTTTATTGTATCCTATGTTAATTTAAATCAGAAGAGTGTCTCTATCAGCTACATTTTATTTGAATTTTTTTAATAAATAGAAGTGCATCAAAAAAGCCTTTGAAAACGTGCATTTTGTGAAAAAGTGCAAAACACGTTATTTTCAAACCTCTGTAACTTAGGAACGGAAAATTATATTGTGATAAAATTTATGGTGTTCCATAGAGGATGAGTGGTTTAATCATGTACAGTTTATTGCTTTTATTTGAAAAAGCGGAGTTTTGATTAAAACGTCCTGGAAATTTGACTTTTTTCATAATTTTTTAAAACACATTATAGAAAACCCTTTGTATCTAGCGGGTGTATTAATATTTTTTTACAAAATTATTATCACCAAGTAGCAGATAAACGGCTTTATCTTTTGTTTTTTGATTCAACTAATTATAATAATTAGAAGTGCCTTAAAAACGTTCCCAAAATTAGGCATTTTTTAAACATTTCTGAAACTTGATTTGAAAAACACCCTGTAACTTGTAATTCTTTTAATCGATTTTAATAAAATTTATGTTGTTGTGAAGTAAAGGAATTGGGCAATAATGTACAATTTATTGCAACTCTCTAAACATATTAGAAATCCCATCAAACAGCATCCAAAATTATGCATTTCTCTTACAAATTTGCAAAATTATCAAAAACATTAAAATTTTCTCATTAAATTTCTATTTTTTAAATAATAAACTAAATATTCCGTATCTAACTATATAAATAAACATTATTTTAAACAATTCCAATCAATTTTTACAAAACTTAATAAAATTATTACAAAATATTAGGCAACCAACTCATCTAGTTCATCTATTCCAATTTCCATCCCAATTAAACACCTAAAAATCCATAAACTCAATTAAACTCAATGCCTTCTCCTTAAACTACTTCCACTCACCCAGCCACTATCGATAATTAATGTTTTTATTGCATTCGTGTCGCGTTTTTCACCTTTCCTTTCCACTTCCACATCCACATTTAATGTCGTTAAACGCGCACGCAAACCGACAATTTCTCTCCGGCATTTTTCTTTTTCTTCTCGAAAACTCTCCTGAACCACACTAAACTAAACTCAAACGACTTTCCTTTCGCTAGTCAACCAGAGTTTCTCTCGGTATCAACGCACCTCAACTTCTATTCACCTCTTACACTTCGCGCAGTAAACATTTATTCAAGACCGCGCGGCAAATACAATTCGAACAAAATTTCACGCAAACCCTGGACCATAAAAGCAACTACAAGACCCAACAAGAAAGAACCACACAAAATGGACCGCTGGTATGGAAAACTCGCGATTGTTACTGGTGCATCATCGGGGATTGGTGCTGCTGTGGCTGAAGCATTGGTTAAGGAAGGAATGGAGGTAAAATTAGTAAAAATGTGGAAATTAGGATGAAAAAACTAAAATTATTAATAGAAAACATAAATTTATTAATGTTATAACATTGGTAGGTTGTGTAATATTGTTTTAAACGTTTAAAACACTAAAATTAGAAAAATTAACAAGGAAAAGAAAGAAAATGTGTATAAGTGGTTGCATAGGTTAAAACAGAATAAGAAATAAAAATAAACTTAAATTTAATGATTACTTACTTAATAAACAATAAATAATAACTTAAAACAACAAAAAACACGAAACACTAAAATATACATTGATTTTGTAGACATGAATGGCGCATATATGGTTGCATAGGTTAAAAAATAATAAAAAAAATTAAAATTAAAATTTTACAATTAATTGGTTAATAAACACTAAATAACAAGTAAAAAATACTAAATAATTAAATAAAAACACTTAAATTATTATTTTCATACATCCTGTTTCATAATTTAAATTTTTTTTTTAATATAAAACAATGAAAATTAACCAAACAAAGAATTAAAAACATGTATAAGTGGTTGCATTGGTTAAAACAGCAACACACAATAAAATAAACATAAATTTAACGATTTCTTACTTAATAAACAATAAATAATAACTGAAAACAACAAAAAACGCTAATTAATAAAATATACTTACGAGTTGTAGAAATAAACCGTACATAAATGGTTGCATAAGTTAAAAAACATAATAAAATTAAATAAATCCAAATTTTACGATTAATTAACTAATAAACAATAAATAACAAGTAAAAAACACTAAATAATTAAATAATAACATTCACCTTATCATTTTCGTACATCCTGTATCATAATTTAATTTTTTTTCAATCAAAAACAATGAAAATCTACCAAAAAAGAATTAAAAACATGTATAAGCGGTTGCCTAGGTTAAACAACCACAATAAACCAAAATCCCTACTAATATTATAAATGTGAAAGTCCTGATGTTTGTTACACTATCACGCAAAAACTACTTAACCAATCATCATGAAAATTTGTACACATATTCTTAGTGGTCCCCGAATGGTTATAGGCTACTTTTTATTTAATAAAAAAAATTAATTTTTAAATAAAATAAAGAAATAGTTTAGCCAATAATACCTCTGCATCTGGCTATTTGACTACTTTAACGCCATCTAGCATTCCAGCAATGAAGCTCAAACCTAAGTACTATAGTACCATCACACTGTATTATCACACTGTATTACCGACAGCAACGTCAACATCAAATCCAATTGACTACACTATGGAGACTGTACACTATACTTTCATAGACTATACTTTCAGCCATTTTAAACTTCCCGCCATTCTACTTCATTGTTACTTCTTCTGTGACTACAGACGCGTACGGAAGCAACTTCATTATTTTAGATATTTGCGACCGAAGCCAGTAAACTATAAAAAACAAAACTTAACATTTATCCACCCAAAAATACCAAATAAACACATAATCTCTCAGGTTGTAGGATTGGCCCGCCGTGTAGACAAAATGGAGTGCCTCGCCAAGCGCCTCTCCCACCACCCCGGCAAACTCTACCCACGCCGCGCAGATGTAACCAAAGAGGGCGACATTGTCGAGAACTTCAACTGGGCCATATCCTCTCACGGCCCCGTGCATATCCTAATCAACAACGCAGGCGTAGCACGCCCCACGGATATCATCGGCGGAGACACACAGGACTTCAAACGTGTGCTGGAAACCAATCTGCTTGCATTCGTGATTGCTGCGCGCGAGGCATGTCAGAGCATGATCGACAATGGCGTCGATGGGCACATCATCAACATCAACAGCATCGTCGGCCATTACGTGCCGATCATTCCGCTGATCAATGTTTATCCAGCAGCGAAACATGGCGTCACTGCTTTGACAGAAACACTGAGGCAGGAGTTATTCAGACAGGGGAAGAAGATTAAGGTTACGGTATGTTGACATTGACATTGACATCAACATAACCAAACTTAACCTTAATTTTTTTTTTAAATTTTTTAAATTTTTTTGATTGATTTTTAGAGTGTGAGTCCAGGTTATGTCAAAACAGAGATTTTGACAGCGAATGGTTTCATGAAAGAGGAAGATGTCGTTAGTATCGAGGCAGCGTCGCCATATTTAAACAGCACGGATGTTGCGGATGCTGTTTTGTATGTTTTGGGCACACCAGAAAATGTCCAAGTGACGGAATTGACGATTCGCCCTGTAGGTGAAGCTGTTTAATTATTATGAGTTGTTATAGTGTACTTAATTGTAATTAATTGTAATTAACCTAATTACACAAGTTTATGGTGTTTTTACTGCGGAATACTTCATCGATTAGTAATAATTCAACAAAGTATCACTTTTAATCAATTATATTAGTTATATACGTGTAATAAATCGATATTAATGAATATATTGTTTTTATAAGTGTTTACCCATGATATTTTCTCTTAAGTATGTCACGCATGCGCATATTTATATGACTTAAGTAATATAATATGGGTAGGATAATGTGTTTGTTATTTATGACATATGTAGTCAACAGGGGGCGTAGCTCAGATGGTAGAGCGCTCGCTTAGCATGCGAGAGGTACCGGGATCGATACCCGGCGCCTCCAAAATCGTTTTTATTTGTTAATAATTAATTTTTTAATATTTTAATGTTTTTCTTTGGGAATTATGTGATAAATCAATCAGTATTGATTTTTATTATTCATCAGTGAAGTAAACCGAGTCACTCCGCTTATTATTTATTATTTATGAGTCTTACAACATGACAAAGAGAAGTTTTGATGATTAAAAACGTCGCTCGTCGTTACGGTTGGAAAAAACGAAGTATAAACGGGTGTTGGATCGATTTCGGTGTTATTTCACTAAATAACTATCGCCTACACTACTTGCCACAATATTTAGAACACATTTACAACATAAAACTGTTTGTAGAGGTAGTTGAGGTGTGTTTTTGGTTGCCTACAGTGAATGGATGAAGTTTTATTAATAAAAAGTTATAAAAACGATAAAAATAAGTGAATAACATATAAATAAAACATTTTATATTTATATTTAAATTATTTAGTGATAATTTCACATTAAATTTCATTAAAATCATAAAAAAAACAAAAAATTAAAAAGAGTAATTGGTGTATAAGTGGTTGCATAGGTTAAAACAACATAATAAATCAAAATTAACTTGAATTTAACAATTATTTACTTAATAAACAATAGATAATAACATAAAACAACAAAAAACACAAAATAATTAAATATACAGTGTTTAAGGTGTGTTTTAGGTTGCCTATAGTGAATTGATGAAGTAATATTAATAAAAAGTTATAAAAACGGTAAAAATAAGTAAGTAACACATAAATAAAACTTTAAATATTTATATTTAAATTATTTAGTGTTATTATCACGTTAAATTTCATTAAAAACAAGAAAAAACAAAAAATTAAAAAGAATTATTGGTGTATAAGTGGTTGCATAGGTTAAAACAACATCATAAATTAAAATAAACTTAAATTTAACAATTATTTAATCAATAAACAATAAACAATAACTTAAAACAACAAAAAAAAACACTAATTAATTAAATATACATTTAAATTGTAGAAATAAACAGTGTATAAATGGTTGCATAGGTTAAAATCACATTTTAAATAAAAATAAATTAAAATTTCACGTTTAATTAACAAAAAACAATAAAAACTACCAAATAAAAACATACAAAACAATAAACACTATATTCATTAATAATTATCACATTTTAAAACGTTTTTCCCCGTTGTGTAGTTATATTTCCGTTCAATTTACATTCAGGTAGAAAAAAAAAAGAAAAAAGAGAATAAAAGACACATGTTCACTTCACGTCTGCGGCCTAGGGTGTAAATTCACATCGGATGCGACCTTTTGCTTTATTCATCGTCCACCACACACACATACACACACACACACAAGCATCAATATAGGCAACACCAACACCACCACATGCACAGCGTCTTCAGAGCGGCGTTCGTGTCTGTTGTGTAGGCTAATATTTTCCGATAGACTGCTTCGAGTAAACTAACCGAGTAACAGTCGACGAACGCTTCGATATTCATTTGTTTCCGGGAACTTCAACTGGGCCATATCCTCTCACGGCCCTGTGCATATCCTAATCAACAACGCAGGCGTAGCACGCCCCACGGATATCATCGGCGGAGACACACAGGACTTCAAACGTGTGCTGGAAACCAATCTGCTTGCATTCGTGATTGCTGCGCGCGAGGCATGTCAGAGCATGATCGACAATGGCGTCGATGGGCACATCATCAACATCAACAGCATCGTCGGCCATTACGTGCCGATCATTCCGCTGATCAATGTTTATCCAGCAGCGAAACATGGCGTCACTGCTTTGACAGAAACACTGAGGCAGGAGTTATTCAGACAGGGGAAGAAGATTAAGGTTACGGTATGTTGACATTGACATAAACATCAATATAACCTAACATAACCTATTTTAACCTTAAATTTTTTAATTTTTTTGTTTTTTTTTTGTTTTTTATTTTTAGAGTGTGAGTCCAGGTTATGTCAAAACAGAGATTTTGACAGCCAACGGTTTCATGAAAGAGGAAGATGTCGTTAGTATCGAGGCAGCGTCGCCATATTTAAACAGCACTGATGTTGCAGATGCTGTTTTGTATGTTCTGGGCACACCGGAAAACGTCCAGGTTACGGAGTTGACGATTCGCCCTGTAGGTGAAGCTGTTTAATTGCTAAGAGTTGTTATAGTGTACTTAATTGTAATTAATTGTAATTAACCTAATTACACAAGTTTATGGTGTTTTTACTGCGGAATACTTCATCGATTAGTAATAATTCAACAAAGTATCACTTATGATCAATTATATTAGTTATATACGTGTAATAAAGCGATATTGATGAATATATTGTTTTTATAAGTGTTTACGCATGATATTTTCTCTTAAGTATGTCACGCATGCGCATATTATATGACTTAAGTAGTATTAGGTCTTTGTTATAATGTGTTTGTTATTTATATAGGGCACAGACAACAGGGGGCGTAGCTCAGATGGTAGAGCGCTCGCTTAGCATGCGAGAGGTACCGGGATCGATACCCGGCGCCTCCAAAATCATTTTTATTTGTGAATAATTAATTTTTTAATATTTTAATGTTTTTTGCTACAAACTAAGTGATAAATCAATCAGTATTGATTTTTATTATTCATCAGTGAAGTAAACCGAGTCACTCCGCTTGTTATTTATTATTTATGAGTCTTATAACATGACAAAGAGAAGTTTTGATGATTAAAAACGTCGCTCGTCGCTACGGTTGGAAAAAACGAGGTATAAACGGGTGTTGGATCGATTTCGGTGTTATTTCACTAAATAACTATCGCCTACACCACTTGCCACAATATTTAGAACACATTTACAACATAAAACTGTTTGTAGAGGTGTTTGAGGTGTGTTTGTGGTTGCCTATAGTGAATGGATGAAGTATTATTAATAAAAAGTCATAAAAACGATAAAAATAAGTAAGTAACACATAAATAAATTATTTTATATTAATTTTTATATTATTTTGTGTTGATATCACGTTGAATTTCATTAAAAACAAGAAAAAACAAAAAATTAAAAAGAATTATTGGTGTATAAGTGGTTGCATAGGTTAAAACAACATCATAAATCAAAATAAACTTAAATTTAACAATTATTTACTCAATAAACAATAGATAATAACATAAAACAACAAAAAAAACATAAAATAATTAAATATACAGTGTTTAAGGTGTGTTTTAAGTTGCCTATAGTGAATGGATGAAATATTATTAATAAAAAGTTATAAAAACAGTAAAAATAAGTAAGTAACATTAAAATAAAACATTTAATATTAATATTTAAATTATTCAGTGTTAATTTCACGTTGAATTTCATTAAAAACAAGAAAAAACAAAAAATGAAAAGCGCACATTATTGGTGTATAAGTGGTTGCATAGGTTAAAACAACATAATAAATCAAAACAAACTTAAATTTAACAATTATTTACTTAATAAACAATAGATAACAACTTAAAATAACAAAAAAACACTAAATAATTAAATATACATTCAACTTATAGAAATAAACCGTGTATAAATGGTTGCATAGGTTAAAATCACATTTTAAATAAAAATAAACTTAAATTTCACGTTTAATTGAAATAAAACAATAAAAACCACAAAATAAAAACATAAAAACAATAAACACCATATTTATTAATGACTATCACTTTATCACATTTTAAAACGTTTTTCCCCGTTGTGTAGTTATATTTCCGTTCAATTTACATCCAGGTAGAAAAAACGAAGGAAAAAAGAGAATAAAAGACACATGTTCACTTCACGTCTGTGGCCTAGGGTGTAAATTCACATCGGATGCGACCTTTTGCTTTATTCATCGTCCACCACGCACACACCAATGAATATATAGGCAACACCAACACCACCACATCCACAGCGTCTTCAGAGCGGCGTTCGTGTCTGTTGTGTAGGCTAATATTTTCCGATAGACTGCTTCGAGTAAACTAACCGAGTAACAGTCGACGAACGCTTCGATATTCATTTGTTTCCGGTTCGTTAACGCAATCTGACGCGTAAAAACACTACAAAACTAGTGAAAAATTGAGGTTATGTTCAAAAAATAAAAATAATCATCATCAAAATGTGTGATATTTAAATAATAAGTGAAAAAATCTGCAAGCGTACAAGAAACTGAGTCATATTCGTAGTTGTGGTGTGCAATGCGCACACATGGTTGACTAAGTGAGTCGCGCATGCGCATATGACACATGTACACACATGTGTGTTGCGTTTAATCTCTTTTTATTATGTACAAACAATATATCCAGTGTGCATTGTACATAATCTTGATGATTGACTTAAGTCTGTGTGCGTGTGGCATTGAAATCCGAATCCAGTCGTTAGTCGAGTGGATTTCCTCCACTTCGAGGAGTGCGCTGCTTGAGACGCGTCGCTCGGCTCAGTTCGAATCAGTTTCGCGCGAGGAGTGCCGGCGTGCGCACACGCAACTGACTTAGCTGTTTACTTAAGTTTTCGACACGTTCGTATTGATATAGAAGTAATACTTTTACCTTTTACTATTTGTATTTACGTCGTGTGTACTTTGTGTGGTGATTTTTCGAAGTGACTTAAGTTAAGTAGCTTTGGGATTGTTTTTATCATGGTGTTATCTTTCTCGTGCGGTTGAGGTTGATGCCGGCGGCGAAGAACGGAATGCCGAGCGTGCGTGGACTGGTCGGTGTCCAGCCGAACATAACCTTAAGACAAGACGCTTAAGAAGAGACTTAAGACTTAAGTCACATAAAATTTTTTAAATTTTATGAAAAATTTTTTATTTTGTGTTTTGAAATTAATAATTAATAATTTGATTTAATATAAATGTGTATTGTTGCATTTGACTTAAGTTAAGTAAGTGTTTGGATTATCATCAGCGGAAAGAACAAATAAAAAGTGTACGGCCAGGAAATCAATGTAAGTAGCTGTTGGGGTCTAATTAATTGATGCAATTTACATTTTTAACGCTTAACTTTCAAGTCATAAAAGTTTTGAGGTTTCTAATCGACTTAAGTTGATACTTTTTACTTACTCTACTTTAATGTATGGTTTTTTGCGGTTAGTGTAGAATGACGGTCTGAAAATGAGTAACACGTGTTTTTTTACATACTTTTGTTTATAACTCATGAAATAAAAGAGATAGTGATGTGATTTTTTTACTGAATTATAGAGGAGAAGCTTTAACATATGTTTGTTGTTTTTTATGTTGTAATTTGTTATTATTTAGTGTATTTTATTGCTATTTTAGTGAAATGTATATATAATTTGTTTAAAGTTATTTAGAACATTTAAATCTTTTTTGTTTTTTAAATGTGTGATAATGAGTTGCTTTAGAATTTAATTGTGAGTTTATTGTTCTTTTTATGAAGTCCGTAGGTCTTTTAGTTTTTGAGTTATTATTGAAAAAGTGATTAAAAGCAAGATTTTATGAGTTTTAGACCGTTATCCGTCATATTTACCATTTTTTGTCAAAAAAATAAATTTTATTTTATTAAATATTTAATTACTCATAAACTAATAAAGATAAAGACTTGAATTTTTTACTAGTTTATAAACAAATAAACTATCTATCGAAATATATATTTAAACCATATGAATTTTATTTATTTATAACATTTTATTGCAAAATACTGCAAAATTACAATAATTTTTTAAAATTTATATTAAACCATCACAACTTATTAAAATTTATTATATATTATACAATATATAATCAAAATTTAATACTTAACAATTCCTGAAAGAATCATCTTGATATCTCAATTATTCCCCGAGTTATCATCAAAAATCTCAACAAAAACAAAATTTTCACGTTTTCAGACCGCTATACTGCACATAATGCGAATTCAATTAAAAAATTAAAATTATTTTACTTTAATTGCTGATTACTCGAAAACTATACCACATAAAATGACCAATCAAATTTTTATAGCATCACCATGTAATTTTACATTTACCACATCGTTATCATCAACTATAAACAATCAGATACAATGTTATAAACAAAATCATCAGAAATCAATAAAACACAACGAATAATGAATAAAATTTATAATAATATAATTCTATAACAATATGGTAGCACAATTATTATCTAAATCAACATGTATTTCTAGTTCCTTATCAGATAAACCCTAAATTGTTAAAAATTTCGTCAGCGGGGCTTTTTACCATAATACCACATAATATATGATAACAGAGTGCGTGATAAGGGATTAACGGCATATAGACATGAAGGTACCACGCGAACAGGTCGAAAATCCACGTGGAACATTAATTTGTTAATAAATTAAACAATTACATCACGAAATTTCAACTTTCACAAAAATTTAAATAATTTCTTCAAAAAATCAACGAAAACAATCAATAAATCAATTAAAAATAAAATAAAACACAATATAAACATAATATTCATAATTTATTTCAATTGTTTATTCATATTTAGTTGTATTAATGACGTAGGCAACCAAATATGCACGCAAACGCTCATTGTGCGCGAAATAAAATATGAAATCTGTTTCTATATCGAGAACAATGGACAATAAATGAAATAGTTCAATTCTTATTATATTTTTTTGTTTGTGTCTGTGTGTGTATTGATAGCTTAGATTTTGAGCGCTCGTGAAATGCGTCTTTCTCCGGTGGACGAAATTGCACACCGAAGACGATCGCGCGCGCAGGATCGAAAACGTGCAGTAGAAAGCAAAACGAAACGAAAAAAAATACGCGAGATGTTGTCGAGACCGAGATAGCAGGCTAAACAGCCGGATTTTATGGGTTTTAATGTCATGCAGTCGTGTCAAGTGCGTTCATTTCATCGAAAATGTGTTATGATTGATTGAATTCATTATAGGCAACCCCAAATACATGAAAATTATGTTTGGGAGTAATATGTTGGGTTTTTTAATGTATGCAACTTGTATTACACAATAATACTCAATGATTTTATCTAAAAATGTGTTTTAGTTGTTGTGAATCATTATAGGCAACCAGAAATACACAAAAATTATGATTTAGAGTAAAATAATGTGTTTATTATGTATGCAACTTGTATTACTTGGTTAAACTCAATATTTTAATCGAAAAATGTGTTTTTATCTGAAAATGTGTTGTGATTGTTTTGAATCACTATATGCAACCCAAAATACACAAAAACACAGTTTCAGACAATATATTTTTATTTTTTGAGGTATGTAACCAGTATTACTCCATATTTCTCAATAATTTCATGTAAAAATGTGTTATTATTGTTTTAAATCATTGTATGCTACCTAAAATACATAAAAACACATTTTCAGACAATATATTTGGATTTTTTGAGGTATGCAACCAGTATTACTCCATATTTCTTAATAATTTAATCTAAAAATGTGTTATGATTGCTCAGAATCACTATAGGCAACCCAAAACACACATAAACACATTTAAACTTAATATACTTCATTTTTTAAACGTATGCAACTTGTATTACACTCATAACTCAAACATTTTTCCATTTTAACGTTCGAGTGTCGGTGATTTCAGCTCGCAGACACTCTCTGGCACTTATTATGTGCATTTTAATCATTTTAATGCCGTTGCACTGACGCTGGCCGTTTTCCTGCACATTCTTCACGTCTCCCTCGGTTATATAAATAGGTGGAGGTGGAGTGCGCGACCAACAACCAACACGAGTTGATTTCAAGATTTTAACTGCATTTACTGCGCTATAAAACACACTCACGCATGTGTTACACGTCTAAATATAAATTAAAGTTATTATAAAGTGTCGTTATTAGTTGAGGTTATGTATGTGCATCATGTGTGGCGAGAAACAGACAAAAAAATAGTTTTTGGTTTAAATTTAGAGTTTTCATATATAGGCAACCAGTATAGCATGAATTAAATTATTTACAAGCAGTGTGTGTTGATGTTTTAACATAGGCAACTTTTAATACATGTTTTTTGAAGGTTTTGAATGAAAATTTAATTTTTAAATATATAGGCAACCAGAATTACATGAATTAAATAATGAAGAACGAATATATCTTGTTATTTTAACCTATGCAACTGTTTTTACATGTTTTAGACTTTTTTTAAATAAAAATTTTATTTTTAAATACATAGGCAACCAGAATTACATGAATTAAAGTATGAAGAACGAATATATCTTGTTATTTTAACATATGCAACTGTTTTTACACGTTTTAGACTTTTTTTTAAAGAAAAATTAATTTTTAAATATATAGGCAACCAAAACTACACGAATGAATGAAATTAGGTGAGATGTATTTTTAGATTCCGCGTGATTAAGATTGAATCATTGATTTACAAAGAATGCCAGCTCGCCTCCGACGCAGAGTTGAAAGTTGCGAAAAAAAAGCGAATGAGTAAACACGAAAGGTAAAAGCGACGAAAACAGAAACCGAACCTGAACGACCTTCACAACAATTCATGTGTTAACAAGTTATAGCCTATGAATGCGTCTGTTACGTCGAATATAAGTCGACACAGTTACGAAAAGCCAACTTAAGGCATCTCAAAGATGAGTGTAAGTCATTGTAAACAATTCCTTTGATAACACACAGCGAATCAAAATAAATTGGAAGAGCACTTTGTACTTTTAATTATTTTAACATTTTCGTGTTTATTTATGAGTTTAGTTTAGAGAGACGGCAGATAATTGACAAGATGGCGTAAGAGTAACATATGTAACGTTTTTAACGCTTTTAGATGGTTGTAACATCTTCAAATGTCAATGGAATGTATGAGAAGTCGATACGTGCACATCAATCGTCTCGAAGTAACAAAATCCTTGCGTAATTAGAGCATGAGAGTCAAAAAAACATTCACTTGATTCATTTTTAAGAGGTTTGTTTGGCAAGCAATAGATTTTGACATTTTAATGTATGCAACACTTTAAACATATTTTAGTTTCATTAATTCTTGCGTTATATCGTGTTATTTTAACATATGCAACTGTCAATACACGTTTTACTCTTATGAACTCAGCTGATGTTTGTTTGGCCAAAACTATAGGCAACCCTTAATACACATTTTCGTAGTGCTAAACACGTGCTAAATCAGCTGATATACCGGGTCATTTTAACCTATGCAACTCTCAATACACCTTTTACTCTTATGAACTCAGCTGATGTTTGTTTGGTCCAAACTATAGGCAACCCTTAATACACATTTTCGTAGTGCTAAACACGTGCTAAATCAGCTGATATACCGGGTCATTTTAACCTATGCAACTCTCAATACACCTTTTACTCTTATGAACTCAGCTGATGTTTGTTTGGCCAAAACTATAGGCAACCCTTAATACACATTTTCGTAGTGCTAAACACGTGCTAAATCAGCTGATATACCGGGTCATTTTAACCTATGCAACTCTCAATACACCTTTTACTCTTATGAACTCAGCTGATGTTTGTTTGGTCAAAACTATAGGCAACCCTTAATACACATTTTCGTAGTGCTAAACACGAACTAAATCAGCTGATGTACCGGGTCATTTAACCTATGCAACTCTCAATACACCTTTTACTCTTATGAACTCAGCGGATGTTTGTTTGGTCAAAACTATAGGCCACCCTTAATACACATTTTCATAGTACTAAACACATACTCAATCAGCTGATATACTGTGAGAGTTTAACATAGGCAACTCTCAATACACATTTTACTCTTGTGAAATCAACTGATGCACCATGTCAGTTTAACATATGCAACTCTTAATACACATTTTAATCTTCTTCTACTTCTTTGTGTGCAGGTTGTTTTCCCGTTTGTGTCAGCATTAGAAACTTCTCCAATAATTTCGGTGAGTACATTTTATATATTACATCATCCTCTCGCTGAATAGAAAAGTCGTGCACGACGTGCACAAAAGACAGAACGAGGACATATAATAATCGAAAATATATTCCTATGCATCTCGACATGACGAAAATTAGAGGTTAGGAAATGCGCGATGCGTATTAGAATATGCATATTTCAACAATCGAACAAATGAATTACTCTACTCGCGCTGTGTGCCAGAACAAAGAATCCGTTCGGTTTCGCGTTTGTATCGAGCATCGGTGTGGTTGTCCATTGTTGGCCCGACGAAATGTCAACTTTTACTTTCCATAAATTACACATTACAACCTGCACATCTACATGCGTGTAATTTGGGTTGCATAATCGTCAGGGGCAATACATAAAAATATTAGTTTTATGTCGCGTTGGTAATAAATTAATGATTATTTTATTTTAATGTTGAAACACTGATCGATGATTGATGATTGAGTTAAGTCGACTTAACGACAACAAAGTATTATTATGTGTGTTGTGATGACTGATGGCGGTCGGTAATGATACGCGTAACGAGTGTTTTAATGCCTGGCGACGAAACAAAAGACGCCAGCGACACATCACGAGCGTTATTTATTTATATTACAAGAGATAGCAACAAAGAGTCTCGTGTCGGTTGGAAAGGTCAAAGAAGCATCCGAGCGGCGAAGGATTACAAAGTGCAGTAAACTGTAAATTACGCAGCGATTTATAAGTTTATGAAACGGTTTTCATGAAAAATGAGGTTTTGACGTGTTGTACACACAACTTTAAGTTACCATCTCTGTATCTTTTGAAGTAACAATCAGAAATTTATAAGTTATACATCAAATGAAAGGTAATTTAATTATCTATAACGTATATTAATTACAAATTTTTATTAATTATATTTTTGGAGTTATTCGCGAAAATGTAATAAAAATCAAAATTTGTCATATCTCGAAGACGAAATCTGATAATAATTTTATTTTTTTGAGAAATGTCATGTAATTAATCAATTATTTTGTTTTCTATAAAATTAATAAGTTTTTAACGGATTTTCATGCGTTTTCACGCGCTGTACACACAACTTTATGTTGCCCAGTGTATAACTTTTAAACTAACAATCAGAAATTTATAAGTTATACATCAAATAATAGGTAATTTAATAATCTATAAGTCACGTTAATTACATATTTTTATTAATTTTATTATGAGAGTTATGCCCGAAAATGTAATAAAAATCAAAAGTTGTCATATCTCGTCAACGAAATGTGATAACAATTTTATTTCCTCGCGAAATGTCACATAATAAATTAAATATTTTGTTTTCTATAAAATTTATAAGTTTTCATGCGTTTTTCGCGTGTTGTACACACAACTTTATATTACCCACTTCATAACCTTAAAACTAACAATCAGAAATTCATAAATTTTACATCAAATGAAAGATAATTTAATTATCTATAACATATATTAATTTCAAATTTTTATTAATTTTATTTAAAAAGTTATGCGCGAAAATATAATAAAAATCAAAAGATTTCAAATCTTTTCAAAAAAAATGTGATAACAATTTTGATTTTATCGAGAAATGTCACATATTTAATCAAATTTTTAATTTTCTAACGAATTTATAAGTTTTAAACAGATTTTCATGCGTTTTTCACGTGTTGTATACACAACTTTATGTTACCCACTTCATAACCTTAAAACTAACAATCAGAAATGAATAAATTATACATCAAATGAAAGATAATTTAATAATCTATAACATATATTAATTTCATATTTTTATTAATTTTATTTTAAAAGTTATGCCCGAAAATATTAAAAAAAATCAAAAGTTTTGCAAAAGTTGTCAAAAAAATGTGATAACAATTCTGATTTTGTCGTGAAATGTCACATAATAAATCATTTTCTTATTCTCTGAGCCTGAAAATGAAAACAATTGTTTCTGCGGTTATTAAAAACTGATTTGTTTATGAATTACGACAATGTTATCGAAGCCCAATAAATCACGCTTTTATTGATCATTATTACGAACAATAAAGCGTGTTTTGTCATTGTCGAAATGTATGCGATGTATTTACGAGTGAGGTTAGCTGAAAGATGTTTTCATGGCTATCAAAAATAATAATTATTCACGTAATGTTGTTAATCGGTGAATAACTGTGTAATTGTTTTCGAAGAATTATCGTTCCGGTAGTAATGAGTAATAAGTAACGACTTGCGTTGTATTGTGTTGAGTTGAGTTGAAATGCGTTGAAATTTCGAGGTTATGTTGAATGCTAAGTTATTAAACGTTTAAAGTATAAATTAATTAATTTTTTGTACAGATTTTAAATGAGATGCACCTTGAGAATTTATGTTATTATTTTTAATTATTTTGCTCAATGACAGAATATGAGTTTTGTATTGTATGCAACCAAGTTGACAGGTATAATTGGTTACTGGTTGTATAATAACAACCAAATTTACAAATTTTGACATTTAAATAGAAATTATTTAGATTTTTGGTAAATTTGGTAGAAAATTACATGATTAGACATCCTGTTTATTTATTATGTTTATAAATTGTTTAAATTATTTATTTTGCATATTTATTTGCAAATATTTATAAATTTTGATGAAAAGTATATTTATTATTTTTAATTATATATAACATTTTCTAATATTTTTTCGTTTTTTTCTTGGTTTCAATGACAGAATTAATAATTATGTGTATTGTATGCAACCAACTTGACAGTTTAATTGCTCACTGATTGTATAAATAGAGTTTTTGACATTAACATACAAATTATTTAGATTTTTTAGATTTCTAACAATATTACACAATTGCACATCCTGTGTGTTTATTATAAATTATTTAAATTATTTATTTTTAATATTCAACTCCAAATAGTTATGAATCTAAACTACATTTAAATATTTTTTACTCAACGACAGGTTTTTTACTAATTTTTCATTTTTTTTATAGCTATTTCAATATAAATTTATGTTGTTTTTAATTTTTAATTTTTAATTAATAATTTTCCGCATGTGACTTTAAAAAACACAATTTTCAACATTTTACATAAACATTCCTGAATTTCAATTAATTCCACATAAAATAATAAATTTTTAACATCCATAAATTATTATTTTCATGTCCTTACTTACGACAAGTCAATAAGCTGTCCATCAAAATTTTAACGCAGCGAATAATCGTAAAAGTCACCGAGCGTGCCAATTATAATTGTCCATCGCGATTGATTTCTGGGCACGCCGAAACACAAAACACAATTAACCGCCATCTTGTAAACGATTTCAATGCGGGCAGCAAGGCGATTAAAGTGAAAATTGAAATTCAAAAGCAAATCGCTCATACATATTCGTCGATTTAATTAGCACGACTTAAGCTGAATCTCGGTTTAAAGTTGGCTTTGGTTTGGAGTCACAGTCAGCGTCGGCGTGAAAGGAAAGTGCGCGGCGCGCGCGTGCGACAAACAATATGCAATGTGATTGCAGGCAAAGCGCAGCAGGCATGCGCAGTGAGAGATTAAAGGAATTAGAGGTGTGGTTAGGTTATGTCGCCAGGTATGCAGAGCAAGACGATCCTTAAACGATGCTAATGCTAATAACTTGTAACGGGTTAAAACATCTTGCATACTTGACATTAAAATTTTATTAAAACTTTAAGTAATAACTTAAGTTAAGATAAATTAAAACCGGAAAATATTATTATTTACAGTTTTAATTAAGTTTTGCGAATGTTTGTGTATGAAATGCGAAAAAATCAAACAAAAACAAAACAAAACAAAATTTTAATTTTGTTGTTTTTTAAAGTTTTTTCTATGTTTTTAGTAGTTTTTAGTGAAATTTTGTCATTTTTACATCACATAACCTAAAATTTATTATTTTTTCGTGAGTTTTTGACATTTTTCGTATTTTTCTCATCTTTTTCAATGTTTTTTATTAAAATTTTAGACTTTGAACACTAAATAACCTCAAATTTCAACTTTTTACTATAATATAACCTTACATAACCTAAAACTTAATTTCCGTAGATATTACAAACATATTTTTAAGTTAAAACATAAAAATAACAAAAATAAGTTTCTAAAATTGATTTTTGATTGTTCCATGTACAATTCCTATCTTTTTATGTATAATGTGTTGCCTATACTTAAATATTATCTAACCTCAATTAAAATCTAATAGAAATGATGCAAGAACGCGATTTCTTGGGGCTGACGAGGCGCTTAATTAAAGCATAATTAGCTATAAATCAAAAAGCTGAACATGTTAATATTGTTAATGTTGTTAATATATTGTTAATAACAATGATTGTTGTTCAAAAAGTTGCATCCGCTCGCTTCCCACAAGCGCTTCCTTTCTTGTTCGGCGCGTGTAATTTGTTAAATTGGCCAATTCCTTATACGAACCTTCATTTTAACGCATTCATTGTGTTTTTAATTAGCAACCAGCAAAATGTTATTAAAAAATACAATAAAAACGAAAACAAAAATGATTAAGTTAATAAAGAAAAAAATAGTAATTAAAGATTAGATAATGTAATAATTAATCATAATTAAATTACTTTTATAGAAATTTTGATATTTTTGCAAGTAAATATTCAAAATAAATAATTTAAATTATTTATAATAAACTAGCTTTAACCCGCGGCTTCGCTCGGGAATATCTAAAATAATGAAGTTGCTTCCGTACGCGTCTGTAGTCACAGAAGAAGTAACAATGAAGTAGAATGGCGGGAAGTTTGATTGAGTTAGTGTGCTTTAAAACATAAAAAAATACTTAATTATTGCATATTCTATTTATTATTCATTTCACAGCATGTTTAACAAGAGTTTAAATATTAATCAAGAACTAGATTTGTAGAGTGTTAATGGTAATAGTAAACTTTAGCAAAATATTTTCAATTCTTAATTTTACGCGTTTTAAGTTAAGTTTTAGCAATAAAAAGTATTTGATCTTCTATTTAGATGACTTAACTATAATATTATTAAG